AATAACACACTTCCCATGTGCAAACGTTGTGGAGAACCCCTTCTCATCAAGCCGCCCAATGGAGACAAGCGTATAGCCAACTTCGGGAGAGTAGAGCACCTCTGTGAGGTGGAGCTGCTTCATATTGACACCGCTAGGTACGTCGATGATGAGCTCGCCAACCCCAGTAGCACTGAAGTTGTTTTTGTTGGCAGTGCGAAGTGTTTGTGGTGGGATTTCCGTGAGGTTGACGAAGTCCTCGCGGTAAGGGGAGATGTGGCGAGTTGAGCCCGAGTCGTAGATCTCGACGCGAGGGGTTTCGAGGAAGGCATTCTCGACGTCAAATTTCTCCTTGACGGTGTTGATGATGGCATAGAACTCAGCCATCAACCTCTCCTCCTCCTCGTCGGATCCATCCTCAGAGCTCCAGAATGGGTCGTCATAGTCTCCAGCGTCACTTCCGACATCTGAGAACCAGTCACTGTCCATCAGCGCATCAGACTGGTGAGGCACCAGGAGGGAGTCGCTGTCGGCGTCGGAATAATTGTCGCTCCCCATCACCGTGTTGGTATTTGACTGGAGCCCTGCCATTGAACCATGCACTGACGTTTCATCATCAGACTCGACCATGACCGCGAAAACACCATCGCTGTCCCCCTCCTCAACCTCAACCACATTCGCAGACCCACCCGCCTTTGAAGAAGCTGCCTTCTGAGTCAACTTGTTGACAATCTTCCTCATTTTCGGGCACTGACTCTTGCGGTGACCAAGGTCGCCACACTTCCAGCACCCCCTGCTTGAGCCACCTCCACCATTCGCAGCCTGTCCACCACCTGTGTTGTTCAAAGTGTTCGATGAGACTGCCATCACCTCGTCACGGTCATCCTCCTTCGCCTTTCCCAAGCGCCCAAAACGTTGGGACTTCTGGCGGTCATACTCCTTGCCGATAAGCCGAATGAGGGTGTCAGGAGCAATGGTACTGGTTGGGGAGAACATTCGGGCAGCAGCAAGCTGCGCCGATGCAAAGTTTGAGAGTGGGATAGGAAGGGACTGCAGGATGGTCGAGCAATAGTCTTTCTCATCGATGTCGACACCAACCGAAGCAAGCTGTTCCCTCTTGGTGGCCAAGGAATCCAGGAACTCACGCACATTGCCCTTGTCGGGGCACTTCGACCCCAAGAACTTCATACGCATCTCGGTTTGCGCATAAGCGCCCTTCTCCGTGTACTCGCTGACGATGGTGGACCACCTCTCGAAGACGGTCTTCTTCGAGTGGATACGCATCAACGTCGAATCGGGAATCCTCTGGGTGAGTAAAGACTTCGCCGCACGCTCGTCCTTGTCCCACTTCTCCATAGCAGCTATCTCAGCCGCGGTCCGTCGCACCAATGGTTGGAGGGGCAGTGCCCACAACAGCCGCGGTCGCGGCACTGGCAGTAACAGTAGCGGGGGTAGGGGCAGGGGTAGGAGTGGCCGCAGGAACAGGGCGAGGGTCGGTACCAATGAAGTGACCCCAGAAGCCTTTAGCCTCGACGGCATCTTGGAATCAGACGGCAAATATTGCCCAATTCAAGCTGCTCGCATTGAGCTTGGGTACGGAGGATGGAAGGGTGTCGGAGAGAGAAGTCGTGGCAGTAGACATGGTGTGTAGGCAAAAATAAAATGCTGAGGTTGATCGTCGAGTTTAAGCGTAGGGAGCGGGGCCCATAACCTGTGAACCAACTAAGAATAGCTCAGTGTTTGGAAAAACGGCTGATAACATTGACCAGTACCTAAGAATAGCTAGGTACAGGATGTAAGCATATGAATAGTAGATCATAAACTAGAAAGCTCACCTCAGCGTTTGGAAAAACGGCTGAGGGAGCGCTAACGAAAACGGCGCGGTATAAATGGGCTCGACTGCCCAGGAGAGCCATGTGAAGATAAAACACAAAAGAGCAGCCGATGCATGATAAGAACAGCAACGAGATAACATAGAATGTTTATATGTACTCTAGATGTGAAGTAGAGTAGACGGAAGTAAAATGAAAGTTAACATAAAGACAAAATACCTATCTCCAAGCATGAGACGGGCCGTGCTGACATGAGCTGCATACGTGAAACCTGTGCGCTGCTCGGGCACGTTTGCCTCTCCAAATCCAACAGTAGTAGCATCACTCAAGCCTTTGACCAGGTCTCCAGCTTCATCGCCTTCCAGCCCTAGCTCCGATATCAAATCCCGCAGCTCATCCATGGTGACCTTGACACCTTGAAGTCCATACCCATTGAGTTCATCCCCAAGATCAAACTCGCCGACCCTCTTGTTCACGGGTATTAGGACGTGGAACTTTCGTTCTATGCCCATTTTTGGCAAGCCCGTCTGGCGCTTATTGTGACGTGGCAATAGACCCAACCCTGTGCACCGGCTGTTGATTGTTGCCGCTGTCAGTCACTGCCATGGGTGGTGTTGCGATATCAATCAGACCGAGGTCCCCGTTTCAGGGGAATGTTGGTGTCCAGGCACCACCCCCTTTGTGTTGTTACCCAGCCCCTAATTAGTAGCCTCAGGGAAAGTGACCGTTATCTGTGAAGGCTATACTGTTTAGTCTAGTCGGCGGCTCTCGGAAATGGGGATGTAAACCCCGAAATCCCTGGTTGGCTTCTATAAACGTGTTTCCATCTTCACCGCTCATCAATTTACGCAGCTTTGACACTGCCGTGCCATGCAGTTACCAGAAGTCTGGGCTCGGGCAACCGGTCTGGAACACGAGGAACCTAGGAGTTTGACCAACTGTGATGGGATTTATCCGAGGTGACCATGTGGTTCCAAAACGCAGGTTCCTAATCTCGAGACGTACCACCATGTGACACTCCGCAGTCCTAAGTAGCGTCGTAATCCCTTTTCATAGCCGCGGAGCGGATGAATTCCCCATCTGCTGGCTCCGCTTCTCACGGAAACATAGTCAGCTGCTTCCATCACGACGACTGCGCAGTTTTGGGGTTGGACCGCATTGCTGCAACACAGCCCTTACGGAATAATAGCCGGGACTGTGAAATCTCTGGTTCGCTTCTCAGGGGGGCTATCCATGAGTCCCTAGTAACGAGAATGATGCCGAGTTCTAGCCAGCTGGGATTTGATGTTAGCTGTCGTAACGGCAATTTCGAATCGCCGGAAGGATCATGACGGTTCTTAGCAACAGGGGCAGTGTGGGATCGAGCGCTCGGAAGAATTGTGACAGTTATTAGCAATGGGGCAGTGTGGGATCGAGCGCTCGGAAGAATCGTGACAGTTCTAATGATGGGGCAGTGTGGGATCGAGCGCTCGGAAGAATCGTGACAGTTCTTAGCAACGGGGCAGTGTGGGATCGAGCGCTCGGGAGTTTGATGTCACTGGTTGTTAGGAAAATGCAATTCAGAATGGCGTCAGATGGTGTTGTAGCACCGCTTGTGACTGCGGAACGTCACATGTTGGAGATTGGTGGCTCGATGCTGTGAACTGGCGCTTCTTGTTTTTTTTTTTTTTTTTGAAGTCTTCCACATAGGGTGTATTTTAGACGTACTCCAAATACACAAAAAATAGGGTGTTCGATCACAGTCCCTCGGAGGTAGGCTACACCTAAACGACCCTCCTCATCATCCCATCCTTCGATCCGCCGCCTTTGGTTGAAGCCCCATTGGGCGCCGAAGCTTCCAGCTGTTAAAAACAGTTGGTAAGAGCTGATCGTTAAATCTAAACAATCATAGGCCTCGTGATGTTAGTCCTTCCCAGCATTGGGCGCCAAAGCTTCCAAGCCTTCAGTTGCCTGCATGGTTGGTGTGCCGGGCCAACGTCACTAACGGGGGCTGCACATGTGGGTGCTAAGTACCCCTAACGAATTGGATGGTTTGGAAGTGAAATGTTGAAATGAGTGGCTCTGCCTTCCACTATGCCCTCTGCCCTCTGATACAACCCCCCCCGCTTTCCTCCCCCATTTCCCCCTCCTATAGGCACGCCTGGTACCATCCCCCTTTCATGCAAAGGCGGTCGAATATCTAGTGTTTCTTCCCATGGGGTGTAGCCGGATCATAGGCAACGCGGCTTATCGATCAGAGACTAGCCTCCTTCCTCCATGGGTACCTTCCATGACTAGGTTGCGCCCCTGAAGGGTCTGCGCAAAGCAGAGCAGGTGGTACTTGGGCCACCGTGAGTCAGGTGGGGCCACCAGGTGCGCTTTGAGATTGTCGTAACCAAGGTCTTCAGGCCTCCAGCAGAGCGAGTTGGATACAACCACGCCGAAGTCGCGATCTTCTCCGATAAGTAAAAAGGGAGTGTGAAATAAGAAATCAGGCTGATATTAGGGCCCGATAGAGGATGATGTCGATTAATGAGAGGTGTTCGGTAGTATAGTGCACGGCCATTGTGGGGGGGACGAATTCCCACGGCCGGATGGTGGTGGTTAAAGATCAAGAAGCGCGCTGGCGCTTCTTGTTCCGGACTATAAAAGGGGGGTGCCCTCCTTCGTCACCAATCGACTCTCTGCCAACTTGCTCTGCCAACTTGCTCAACCAACTCGCTCTGCAAACTCTCTTAACCAAATCTTCGAACTAGCACAAGCGAGTACTTTCGCGTTTATAACTGTTCTTCTATATTGACCCGCTCGTCTACCCCTTTAGTGCTTAATAAGGAATTCGTCCTCTCATGTGTCGTCCTTTTCCGGGTACATGCCCAGAGCACTGCCATCTCCCCCACCGACACCGATTTCTCCGCCGATTTCTCCGATCTCAGCTTCGTGAGCGACAGCGCGTCTAGTGCTTCCTCTAACCTCTCTCGCCACGAGGTCTCCAAGGCCGAGGCCATGTTTTACTATGCGGGCGTCTCTCCGACTCCCCCGAAGCTGGTCTACCGTACGGGAAGCGATAAGATGCCCTGGGTCAAGCCTACGGGACAGGAGGCCTACCGCAGGCTCAAGGAGGCGCGTGGTGTGTTCGGCCACAAGCTCAACACCATCTGGAATGACGTGGGGCCTAAGGTTTGCGACCTTCTGATCGCCCAGGAGGTTGCTTGGACTTCCATCGACGTCGTTCGATTCGTCACCGATGGAGACGGAGACGAGAAGATCAAGGGTCCCGTCGTTATTTGGGTTGGTGTTGTCCCCGGTTCGCTCGACAGCAATAACGCCTTCGACTCGAGCAAAGGGATCCTTGACCTCCTCGCGATCAACGACGTCAACGACGTCGAGGTCGAGTACCGCGAGTCCGTCTACACGCCGTCGGTCGGTCCAGCGCTTCTCAGCTCCGTTTCCAACCTCAACACCACCGTGGACGTTTGCGGCCCCCTTACTCCCGCTCTCGGACTCTTCATCGCTGCCTCTGACAGGCAGGACGCCCAGGGCACCATGGGCCTCTATTTCGCCGAGGGTGGCAGTAGCGACAAGGTGTTGGGTCTCACTTGTCACCACCTTCTCTTCAAGACAGACGAGAAGACCAACTTCACGGGCGCTGGTGCGCCGCCCAAGCATGTCCAACTTCTCGGCACTCGCCGCTTCCAAAAGCTTCTTGACGACATCAAGCTGCGTATCGGTCGCCACGGTATCATGCTCCCGATTCACGAGGAAGAGATCAATAGATTAAAGGTGAAGGTGGCGTCCATGGAAGAGGCTGGCAACGTGGAGGCCGCCGCGGAAGCGAGCGAGGAGCTAGAGGAGACTGAACGCCAGTTGAAAAAGACGAACAAGGCGATCGAGGACCTCGAGAGATTCTACGAGAAGGTTAAGATGGAGTGGGGCCCGCCCAAACGGCGCATCATCGGCCACATCCGCTCCTCCCCCGCCCTCACCTTCAACGTCGGTCCCAAAGGCTTCACCGAAGACTGGGGCGCGTTCGAGCTCGACGGGTCCAAGTTCAAGAACGCCTTTGGAGGCAACTTCATCAATCTTGGTACGTTTCGATTCTCTCTTCCAGGTTATCTAGTCTAACGGTCACACTAGGCACCGAGATCCCGTCCGACCAGTTCACCGTAAAAATGTACCCTCGAGATGACGGGCCGACGACCTTCAAGTACCCCAGCAATCGTCTCCTTGCACTCCGAGGCATGATCACCGAAGAGCGCATGCGCAATCCCGACATGCTCGATCACGACAACGAGACCTGCTTGTTCGTCATCAAGAACGGCAACGCTACGGGCGTCACCATAGGACGCGCGACGGGAATCTTCTCGTTCGTTCGCTCCGACTTATCCAGTCAGGGGTCCAAGGAGTGGGCCATATACAACTACGATAGTAAGTCCGGCGTGTTCTCAGCCCGCGGCGACTCCGGGTCGATCATCGTCGATGGACTTGGTCATATCGGTGGTCTTCTTACCAGCGGCGCTGGCAAGACGGAGACTTCGGACGTTACCTACGCCACCCCCATGTTTTGGCTCTGGCCCCGCATCAAGGAGCACTTCCCCAACGCTCACCTCAACCCCACCACCATGGCCTAGGCGCCGCGCCGACAAGAACGACATCGTCGGCGCTGGCGAGCCGTCTCGATTGCTTCCGCGACTACTTCTCCCCTATATCCACGCTCCTTTTCTTTCCGCGACTTCTTCTCCTTTCTTGATGCTCCGTTATTTATCGGTTGGTTGTTGGTTCGAACGGGTGCTTTGTTTGACCAGTGTCGGTTCGTCTCTCTCTCCGTCTTATCTTTTCGTACTTATAACTAATGACCTTAATGTCTAGGCCGTGGACTCGTGGATTTCGTCGTTTCGGTTCGTCTCGTCTCGTTTGTCTCCTTTCTTCGCGCAACTGACGCACTTTGACATCCAGGTTCCCATACGTCTTGACACGATTCGCGGGACTGTCGGATACGCTCACGACCCTCAAGTGGTGTCAAGTAAGCATTTGCAGGCATCGTCGCGTCGTTTACTGTAGCCTCTCGTTATCGAACATTCGCAACTCCACCACGTACTGTTTTTTCCCCTCCCCACTCATCTATGCCCATCGCCCGTCTATCTTTCCCATCTATCCCCGCTCGCTCGTCTATCCCCAGTTGTGTCCTCGTCTACCTCTTCAATCCCCACTCAGTCCTGTACCCCCCTTTTATCTTGAATGAACATTGTTGACATTGTTGTCTAAACCGCGCGTGCTAAAATGAAGTTCGATATCTGGGTAAGGTTGACTTAGGCACTTATTAGGTCTAGTGCTCTAGTGCTAGTGCCGAGTGAGACTTGGCTTTCTTCTCGTTGACGACTTCGCCGTCGCGACTCGCTTATTTCAGCTTTATCCTTGATATGTTACGGGCGATCTGAGTTATGTGCACGTGTCTAACAACGTTTGTTTCTCTCAACATAACCGTTATCAACAACGAAAGCGCCTCCCTGTCACTTGGAGAATTGGCAGTACGTAGGAGTGAGGAATAGAATTGAGAGTTCGTCTTTTCAATAGAGGTGGGAAGGACCAGTGACTACAGAGCAAAGTTGAATGAGCCAAGTGATATGGCGAGCCTTCGACCTCCACTTGAGGGTTCGTTAAGGCCCGTGCCCGCGTGACACTTCCTGACTCAATACAATTGGCATGACTGAAACGGTAGGACAACAAGACAGGCTCAAGGGTTTGTTGACGATCGAGCGTCTTGCTAGAGGTCGTGTTGTTACCAAAATTGCCACAACAAGGCTCTGCCCAAACATATTAGCGTTTCTATATCTGTTGTGGGAAAGCGTGTAGTCATCATTTTTTAATCTATCTAGCCAGCTCCAAAGGCAATGCTATATACCGGATGAAGGAATACCACTCGGTCGTGCCGAAGTCTACCGTGCCGTCTCGTATCGTCGAAGGAGATATATTTTCATTGACGAGATGGTCGCTTGTGTTGGTCGACACCGAGTCGTAGGCGTCGTAGCTGCCACAAAGGTCATTGCTGTCTTTGAGTCTGAAAGCTTTGTCAATGGGGATAATTCGCATTTGGCGCTTGGTAATTCGTTCGTCCAGACCGTCTTCCTTGAAAGCTCTTTGGCCGCTTGATTTGGTCAGAGTTCTGAGGTCCACCATGGTCAAGTTGCGTTGCGTTTGGTCGATAAGAACGATGTCTGTGAATGTGAATGGGATAGAGGAGAGGGTCAATGTAAGGAGAAGCGATCTGGGAAGAGGTGGAAGAAGAACACTGTCAGTTATGTAGCTAAGGTACTAGGAAGGGATGGGTAGGGTGTTGACATACTTAAGGATTAGGTGGGTTGCCGCCGCTGGTCAACCGAGGCTGACGCCGTGACTCTGCTGCCTGGCTATGCAGCATGGGTTCACCAGTTATAAGACTTCCATCATATGGCATGAGCTGGCGCTGATGGTGCAGGTCATGGACACACATCCATGCCGCATTTCAGGCAGTGGTTCCTCGCTATCGACACAGCACCCACTCACGGCTTACCTCCACTGATCACCTTCCCTCTCCTACTTATCCTTGTCTTTCTTCACAGGGCACATGACCCTAGCGACAATGCCGTTGCCAGACCCCGAGGGGTATACTGAAAGTACTCGTTTCAGCTCTCCCAGCTTGAGGCGGGACTGCCTGCGATAGCTCATTCCACGCCTCACGCCCTGGACTAGTCCCTCGGCCAACCCGCATCGACCTCCTCGGGAATAACATGCACGTTGACTCACAGGACGGGCAAGTCCATAGGCATCTGCGACAGGGTGAGCCTGTCTGTTCAGCTTATCTCTCGGGTCAGTCGAGAACCTGCTCGGGATTCTCTCAAAACGGACAAGGAAAGCGGACGGAACAACCATGTCTACCTTGTTAACCATTAGGAGCTCCGTGGCCTGTCATACGATGAGTTGGTACCGCGTCATGGGATCCGTCTCTGACAAGGATAGAGGGGGCGCATTGAAAACACCATGTTGCTTGGCCTTTTCCTAGCGCATGGCTGACGGTATGACCAAGACTGAAACCTGGTCCTTGCCGGGGAGGAAGACCATGGGTTTTTCGGGCCACCTGTGATGCGTATTCTTTGCCCACCAATGACATTAAGGGTGTGACGGAAGGCATATTGTGTCAACAAGGGTCATGTTCGGTGGTGGTTGGGGGCCATTGCACAAGGCATATACATACCCTGTCATGGGTGCTTCAAGACCCAGTAGACGTAGGAAGCAGGGATGCCATAACGATAGACATAGCCGCGCAATGCGAGGTTCGAGGTGTTGGGCGATTTAGCCTCGAATTATGGTAGCGATACATTTCAGCAGTATATGACAGTATATTTCGTCAAATATTCGAGCAATCCGGACTTAGAAAATCAACTTAAGACAGCTGCACTGGCTAGCTTTCTAATTCCGAACCACTTGATGTGGTTTAACCAGACCAGCCTGTGGTTCGGCTGGAAGAGGGTATGGTTCGGTTGAAAGAAGGTGTGGCTCGGCTGGAGGAGGGTGTGGTTCAGCTGAGATACGGCTTCCATGTGGGGTTCAGTAGCTGACGCCCAGTGAAAACCGGTTCTGAGCAATCCGAAACCATCTGGAGTTATCTGAGTATGTCTGAACCAGGACGAAGGGGCCTGAGAGGTCTGACCTTGTCGGAAATTTATCTGAATGCTTCTTCAACGAATAATTCAGTTGATTGACTTCGGGCAAAGAAAGGCAAAGAATTTCTCAAAACAAGTCCAACCGGCTTCGTGATTGGTCGCCTTCACGCTCATGTGACCGCCACCTCCGAGTCCGAGTCCGGCGTGGCAAGCTCTGCCCTCCCCATTGTTTCTTTCCTTCTAACCACCATCCCGACTCCTCCCGACTCCTGCTCCCGCCATTCCACATGGTGAAGGAGGACATATTTTCATCGTCGTTCGCACTATCCTGTCGTCTTCGTCTCCTAGCTCCACCCTCATCTTCGTCTCTTATCTAGCACTCGTACAGGCTCATACTTGTGTATTGCGCTGACACCCCTCGGAAGTGGTAGTTGGGGCTGAAGACGGCAGCGGGTAGGTAGGTTCTACCCCGTCTCGTGCTCGTAGCCTGTGCTAATGTCCTTTTCACAGCCCGCCCACTGTGGACGCCTTCGGATGAATGAACCCGAGCAGACAACATAGGAGAGGAGAGCAGAGGCGGCTATCGACTCCATGAGAGGTAAGCCCGCTGGTGTCGTCGTTGCACAACTGCGCTAACAACCATTTTCGGCGGTATTATTAGGGGTGTACGTTTGTGTGCACCGCACCAGGATCGTGGGTGGTGGTGTTGACATTGGGATAAGCCTCTGATCCCTCAGGGCAGGTGATGGGGGGTAAGTAGAATCGAACTTACACCTGCCCCGTCTGACCTAACGTCCTTGTGCATGCAGGATGCCGCACCCTACGCAGCAAGAATACGAAGCACACAAGAGCTTGTCCCACCCTGGCTGCACAGCGTGCGAGAGGAAGGCGGAGACGAGGACGCATGGCACAATGACGGTGGGTGTATTCGCCCTCGCACAACTCGCCCGTCTCTCACTACCCCGTTGTCTTGTTTCAGTGATATAGACTGCAGGTGAGTACTTTCAACCTTGTTTCGTGCTCGTAACCCTTCCTAATGCTTACCTTGGTTTTGATATTTTAGTGTCCGTTTCGATGTGGACATCCTCGAATGAAGGCTCCGTTGTACACCGCGAAGGGGATGAGAGACGGCGATGACTTGGAGAGTCATATGAAAGAGGTAAGCCTGTTCTTTCACTGCTGGACTGCGCTGAAGATGCCTCACGTTGACTCTAGCATACTCCGTGGTCATAGTGGCTGTATGCTGATGTTCGGGTTGTGGTGGACTTAGGATGTGTCCACGGAGTCGGTGGTGGCTGTGACAGAGGCGGAACGGGTCGCGGTTCAGATACCTTCAGACATGTACGGATAGGCTCAGAAATAGAAGGGGAAAAATAAATTCATGCTATTCAGCCATGTACAGACACAAACGGACTGGCTCAGAACCTCTCGGCAGTCCCTCAGAACCATCTGAAAGGAGCTAAATTAAGCAGGGAAAAGACTCAGCAAGGCTCGGATTCCATCTGAAAAGGGGGAAAAATAGCGGAATGAGTCCGGACTGAGCTGAAAATTTGGCGTGCAGACTCAATCCAGTTCTGCTCGGCTGTATACAGCTAGCTTCGGACTGGCTCAGAACCGGTTTTCACTGGGATTGCGGGCTAGTGGGATGGTGAAAAGGTCAGTGGACTACATGGATGAAACTCGACGCTGAGGCGCTGTGTTGATGTTGTCAAGAGGGAAGGCAGGGGAAGGCGTGCACAGTAGAAAGAGCGAAACAACGGCTGGGGAAAAGTTGAAACACCAAAACACGAAAAGAAACAGAGACGCACCTCGACTATGTAGAGTAATACCCATGGCTGACTGCACCTGCCATGCATGCCTCGTACTTCCAGGCCAGTGTCGAATTGGAGGGCTACTAATCTTACATAGCAGGGTCTTGTAGAGCTTCGTGTAGCAGCCCGACATGGAGTCAGTGAACGAGAGGTGCTGAAGATATGGGTTGGGAAACGAAGAGAGATCAAGCGAATATCAAGTATGTACCGTACGTACCTTATGTAACACAAACTGAGCAACCCTACTAGCAGTACTCGGACTTGAGCAAACTTCTCGGGTAAGGAAATTTCTTCTTTCCCGTGAGGAATGTGATCAACTCGGCATTGATGAACACGATGAGGATGCGAGGGAACTGAACCGCATCATCGACAAGCTCACAGGTGGGATACTTAGATCTAGCCTGAACATTGTGAATTATGGAGTGAGAATCTCTCTCCTTACTCTCAGTAGAATGGGCATTAAGATTCAGCCCATGTAATGGCGCTCCGATGGGGAGGCATCTGGAACTGCAACATTACCCCGAGCTACGTAACCAAGGCAGGCTTGACAGCGTCGAACGTCAGCCCACCTCGGAGTCAGAAGGGATGTGCATGAAGGATCCTATCGGACCCCATGAGCGGCAAGCATCAACAAAGAGTGTGGTGGTGGTGAATTGGCATATAGGTAGGAATGTATCGCAGTCACAATGAATCAAACACATGTTTAGTTCAAATGAGAAAGTGTTTGAAGAAAAGAAAGGAAAAAAGGACGCGTGAAGTCCAAAGAGAAATGCATTCTCGGGGGTTACAACTATAATATAGAGAATGGCAATGGAAAGGAGGAGGAAAGGCAACAAACAGAGCTGAGAGAAGACATGAATATCTGTAGACAGGACCACAAACGCAACTGAGCAAGCAAAATGAATGTAGGCGATAGGAGAAAGTGACCCAAGCAAAGCGAGAGAGCAGCAATGATGAAGAAGGCCGGGTATGAACCCAGCCCGGAAACCCACCACTGAAACCTGAGCCCGAAGCCAAGTCCCAGCGCAACGCCTCACATCCATGCAGAGCAAGCCAGCGCTAGTGCACCCCAGTCGGCTCAACCGTGATCACATTATTTGCGTGCTACACATAATGGCCCATCCGCGACAAGCCAAACAGGGGCACCGCTTCCGTGTCTGTCACAACAGCCCACACCTTCTGCAGCTCACCGAGCCGCCATGGCCAGATCGAAGGCGACCCCGCTCGCAGCGCGAGAAAGGTACGCCTTCCGTTTGGCCTTGTGGTTCTGGTGGGCGACGATGAAAGGCAGCGGTGTCGTCATTGGTGTAGGCGATGCTGTTCTCGGAGGCAGCGGAGGTGACGGGGGTGACGCCACGATTGAGACGGCGGGAAGGCAGGGAAGGCGCCATCTTCGAACGAAGTCATTTGGATCGTGCGATCGCCCGCAGAGTCGGTGGACGAGGGCGAGTATGTGAGCGATTTGGTGTCTGGGCTGGATGTGCTGATCTTCTGCGACGAGAATTCCAACTACGTAGTTGACTAAGGACCGGATGGGGAGGCAGAAGGGCAGTCAGAATCTGCCTGATTGTGCAAAAACCTAAAGAAGGGACTTGCCTGCAAGCGTAAGAAACATCGACATCGTCAACGATATCCATATCATTAAATCTGATGTGCTGAGAGGCCTGTAGCAGAGGTGCTGGCATCACAGTAGATGTCGCTGTCGAGCACTGGTGCCAGGCTGTCGCTGGAAAAGTCCGAAGGGTAACCCCTCTGACAACAATCCCGGTGGTGTCCTTCCTTCTCCAGGAGGTGGCAAGGGTCTAGACTCCAGATAAGATGAGTATTATAGAACTGCTTGTCACTGTCGTCCTCAACATACCCGTCTATCAGCTCACCACCTTCCATCGTCCACAAGGACCTGCAATTCAGCCTTGAACTTCTGACCGCTTTGCCAGAACCCGCGCTCATAATTTCCACTCGCTCCATGCCGCATACAAATTAGCCCTTGGGCAGGGTAGGGGGAAGCCGCTCATGAGCATTACCCACTGCGCGACATTCCGATGTGAGTTTGGGTGGTCTGAGGCCCATCATGGGGCTACAAGTGGAAAGCAGCGGGCTCCACCCAGGGAATGTCATGCTGGAGGTGCTCAGGGGCTGCCTTGGGGTGGCAAGGAAGATCAGGGGAACAGGGATAAAACATAGAATTTTGCAAATTCTTGCGGGTCTGATTCTTCAGGACATGCGAAAGCATGGCGAACGTCACGATCAGCTTAAGTATGCACTTGAAAGCAGGTGGGAGGTCAGCGTTGAGAGCTGCCGCCTTCTTCACCATGACGTGTATCGCAGCCGCAACCTCCGGATCGTTGATGTCCTCCGAGAAAATCGTGCAGGCCTTCCTTAGTATCCTGCTTGGGTGCCTGTACTCAAGAACGGCGGAGATGTTGATGGTGGCGATTATGATCCAGACGTGCTCCTCTATGCCCTCGATTAAGCAGGCGAGGATATGCTTGATGTCGCCAAGCTAGATATTGGTGAACAGCATGGGGTGCAGGAGGACGAAGAGCTCTGAGGCATGAGCCCCGACGGGCAGCCTGTGACCACGTCAGGAGAGGACCAATCCACGGGACGTCGGAAATGGGTGGTGCATGGTGCCACTGGTGAAATCTCGAGGAGATTATGCATGATCTCAGAGACCAGAGATTGTGTCAGACCAACAGCAAAAGACAATAAGATAGATAGTGCACAACTCACTCACTCTTTGTGATCACTGTTCCTCCATCTCTCCCTCTCCACTTCCTTCCCTTGACTAGTCCTCTGTTCCTTGGCCCTGGAACAGATGTCCTTCAAACAACGCCGAGGACACCAATTGGTTGTGGAGGAGCAGGTGAACATCGATGAGGAAATAGAGGCGGCATACAGTGATGTCGAAGACACAGACAAACACTCTGTGGAGGCTCTGGGTATCGGTGTCGGTCGGTCATGTCTGACATGTGTCCGCAGAAGGACGGCAAAGTATACAGAGTTGTCTTTGCAATGATCAAATGGGTGGCAGGCGGCATTACTCCTCTCCTCTTGATGGCTGGCAGCGCCAGACACATGGGGGACGTATGAGCTACCAGTGTGATCAGACATGACCTCAGGCTCAAGTGTCTGGTGCAGCGGGATGGGGTTGGGTTGAAGAGTTTCAAGGACGCGCCTCGTTTCTGAGCTGCCTGGGAGGGCCAGAGGATGGGAGAGCCTGAGATTTTGAGCCTACGGGAGAGGTCCTCATGGTCGGCTTCCTGTGTCGGCTGGGAGACTATGACGTGGGGTGATGCACAGCGCGGCAAGGAGGGGGGTTGCCTCATCACTGGTGATGATGGGGCGGGCTTTGGGGAACATTCTGGACGAACGAGAATTGGCGAGGAGGTAGAGTTTGGGTAGAGTTAGACCTTGAAGCCAAGCGGTGATACACGAAAGCAGCCAAATTGCTTATGTAAGTATTATAGGCTCGTATTGTGTACATGAAAAGCAACTAAAAGGGTGAATAAGTGAATTTTCGCTCATCGGTAACCCAGAACTGGGCATGAGGCCAAAGGCTCAAATAGTAATATTGGATGACATTATACGTCAGCCCCAGTGAAAACCGGTTCTGAGCCAGTCCGAAGCTAGCTGTATACAGCCGAGCAGAACTGGATTGAGTCTGCACGCCAAATTTTCAGCTCAGTCCGGACTCATTCCGCTATTTTTCCCCCTTTTCAGATGGAATCCGAGCCTTGCTGAGTCTTTTCCCTGCTTAATTTAGCTCCTTTCAGATGGTTCTGAGGGACTGCTGAGAGGTTCTGAGCCAGTCCGTTTGTGTCTGTACATGGCTGAATAGCATGAATTTATTTTTCCCCTTCTATTTCTGAGCCTATCCGTACATGTCTGAAGGTATCTGAACCGCGACCCGTTCCGCCTCTGTCACAGCCACCACCGACTCCGTGGACACATCCTAAGTCCACCACAACCCGAACATCAGCATACAGCCACTATGACCACGGAGTATGCTAGAGTCAACGTGAGGCATCTTCAGCGCAGTCCAGCAGTGAAAGAACAGGCTTACCTCTTTCATATGACTCTCCAAGTCATCGCCGTCTCTCATCCCCTTCGCGGTGTACAACGGAGCCTTCATTCGAGGATGTCCACATCGAAACGGACACTAAAATATCAAAACCAAGGTAAGCATTAGGAAGGGTTACGAGCACGAAACAAGGTTGAAAGTACTCACCTGCAGTCTATATCACTGAAACAAGACAACGGGGTAGTGAGAGACGGGCGAGTTGTGCGAGGGCGAATACACCCACCGTCATTGTGCCATGCGTCCTCGTCTCCGCCTTCCTCTCGCACGCTGTGCAGCCAGGGTGGGACAAGCTCTTGTGTGCTTCGTATTCTTGCTGCGTAGGGTGCGGCATCCTGCATGCACAAGGACGTTAGGTCAGATGGGGCAGGTGCAAGTTCGATTCTACTTACCCCCCATCACCTGCCCTGAGGGATCAGAGGCTTATCCCAATGTCAACACCACCACCCACGATCCTGGTGCGGTGCACACAAACGTACACCCCTAATAATACCGCCGAAAATGGTTGTTAGCGCAGTTGTGCAACGACGACACCAGCGGGCTTACCTCTCATGGAGTCGATAGCCGCCTCTGCTCTCCTCTCCTATGTTGTCTGCTCGGGTTCATTCATCTGAAGGCGTCCACGGTGGGCGGGCTGTGAAAAGGACATTAGCACAGGCTACGAGCACGAGACGGGGTAGAACCTACCTACCCGCTGCCGTCTTCAGCCCCAACTACCACTTCCGAGGGGTGTCAGCGCAATACACAAGTATGAGCCTGTACGAGCGCTAGATAAGAGACGAAGACGAGGGTGGAGCTAGGAGACGAAGACGACAGGATAGTGCGAACGACGATGAAAATATGTCCTCCTTCACCATGTGGAATGGCGGGAGCAGGAGTCGGGAGGAGTCGGGATGGTGGTTAGAAGGAAAGAAACGATGGGGAGGGCAGAGCTTGCCACGCCGGACTCGGACTCGGAGGTGGCGGTCACATGAGCGTGAAGGCGACCAATCACGAAGCCGGTTGGACTTGTTTCGAGAAATTCTTTGCCTTTCTTTGCCCGAAGTCAATCAACTGAATTATTCGTTGAAGAAGCATTCAGATAAATTTCCGACAAGGTCAGACCTCTCAGGCCCCTTCGTCCTGGTTCAGACATACTCAGATAACTCCAGATGGTTTCGGATTGCTCAGAACCGGTTTTCACTGGGCTGCAATGCTTATGCCGGGCCCAAGCAGCTGCCACTCACTCTTCTGTTGCAGAGAAGGATGCTCACAATGTTCCTACTAGTGTGATCAGTACCCACCTGGCCTCCTTTTCCTCTCGATGCTCCTCTGGATCCGGCCTTGGGCCCCCCCTTCCTGCCATCACAACGACCGGCCCAACTCCAACCCGCAGCTGCAGGCTGCATCCATTGTCCACACACCCGACACGAACTTGTCCTCCCTAAGCCCCTATCTGACGACGTCTTATGTCAAAACGGGCCTTCCCAAGTCCTCTCTCCGCTCCCTGCCTTCCCACCATTTGTGTCCGCAGTACCACTCTGATGGCATGTCCACCGACGCTCAGATGCGCATGGCGAAGGTCTTTCTCCCCCCCTTCTTAGAGCTTTCACCTGTCGAGCTTTTCAACGCCCTCTATCATATCCCGTGGGCCTCGCACGATCGAGCCACTCTGAAGACCTGGGGTTGGCGTCGGCGTCTTGATCAGGTTCGGAGTTGGGGGGCAAGGACTGAAAGACGAAGTCTGTGCAGAGATGAGAGAGGGAAGGAAAGGGTGGTGATGGAGAGCAGCACGAGGAAATGTACCCCCCACTACTGTCGACATCGACATTGGAAACGGATGTTCGACTCACCACTCTCAGCACCACCAGCACTCTCCTCAATGCTACTGCCAGCGGCGTAAGGTGAGGAGACAGACCGTGACGAGGCTCGATGCAGTCGCAACGGGTGACGGGTATGATGGCTTGTGCTGCCGATGTATTCCTACGCTTTCCGGGCGCACATATTCAACTACGCGCCTGCGCCTGTCGACGAGCTTGGTCGCTTTATTGTGTTCGTAGTGACTAAAAGGCCCAACTCGCGCTTGTTGCTGCATTTTTCATCTGTTGGGCCTTTACAACGCCGCCACTTCACGCCTTTAACTATTCCCAACTCCTTCCATGTAATCGGGCGATTGGTAAACGTCCTCCTTCGACCCTGGCCCTTTCCCACAGCCTGCCATCTTGCATTCAGACGGCGAGACCGACGGTGCCCTCTTTCGCCCTGCGATCCGTTTATCATCTCGAGTCCTGACATCATTTTACAGAAGTTTAAATTTAGGATTCGGTCGTCCGGCTCAGGCGTATTTATTGGTGTAGGGGGCAGAGTGGGCCGCAAGGTATGTTTGCTCGGCGCTGTTTTTCCTTTCTCAAATCCCGACACCGTTGTCCAGCGTCCGCCTGCGACAGCCAGCCCTTGGCTCCCGTCTGGCGTTTCGTGCCTCTGGCATGTGAGCTAAGGTGCCGCCGCTCTAATACTGCCCAACAATGGTATGCAGTACTTTGCTGCCCCTAAAGTGCTTTAATGTTGAATGCCCCCTGCGATGTATTAGATCCAGCATCATGCCACTCAGATCTCGTTCTTCGCTGGGCTGTCGTAGCTGCCCTTGTTCAAGCATAGTACCCTGGCCCTTACGACGAGACCCGGGTTTGCAGATTTCCACAAGCGTAGGTGAATCACGAATCAACTTATCTGTTCTGAAATTTTTTCCCAAGACACTCTGGGTCCGCTACAGCAATGGCTGCTGCCTCATCCAGGCTATTAGCATTAACAATCGGCTGCAACAACACCTTGCACTGGCGGCTCGCATAACGCACATTCTCAACCACAAACGGACGGCAGAGAACGCTCCAACAATGGCTGGGATGCCTCATCGATTGTCTCACTCCTCACTCACATCTCGCGATATAACTAGCAATGGCAGACACCCAGAAGCTCTGCCGCCACTCCCTTTGACATGGGCTTGACTGACGCCCTCCCGCTCGCCTGCTCGCCTTCTCGCCTACTGGCTCTTTGAGAGTGGATACTTCGGCCTTGGATAGCACCTTGATCAGGCAGAACAAGTTGGCGTACCCTTCTTTCAGATTTCCTTTTGTACCAGCTGCTACTGGCCCCAACCTAATACTTGGAAGGCGGCGCCCGAATGGAATCCATCTTCTATCCAAACGTATGTCTCTTGTCTTGCACGCCAATTCAAGCCACCTGTTAACACTGACCCTTTTCCCGTTTCTCCCGCATTCTTCTGTTTCTATGCCTTCCTACCGTTGTTTGGAGAATAAGAGTGCCAATTCAGCTTTGAATACTGGCAATCGTCACTCATTCGGAGGGTCGGGTGGCAATTTGAGCTTGAGTCTGCCACGTAGGGCCTGTCTTCCACCTGCGACACAAAACATCGTAGCTGATGCCCACTGGGGTGAATGCCCATGTCCATGCGGGAAGTGCGGGCATCACCCGTCAGTTCTGGAGCGCTTCACTGGACCCGCTCATGGCCTCAGAGGCTTTCCCTGCTGTTTGGCCACAAGTGGGGTACAATTTGACTGGGATGTGTGGTTTGGCTAGCTGAGGGGTATCAATTAAAATTTTGCAATGGACAGTCGGAATGCAATCTAATCTAGTCAAAGGCATACCGAACGAGGATGTCAACCGACTGGCCTCTGCAGCCAGCTCAACCAGCCAGGGACACAGGGCTGTCCAATCCAAGTATATAAAAGGCCCTCCATCAAAATAATTCCCTCAACTGCACAACACTCTCTTACACCTACCTTAAAGACCAAATTCTAATATGGCCAGCCCTGCACCGTCGAACTCTGGCCCCAACAACATTCGAACCCTTTTCCAACTACCCGCCAATCCTTCGCCACAAGACATTGCGCAACTTCAGGCCTACGTCGACCAAGCCTCTCAGTCTTCCAGTGTTTCCACACATGCCAGCAGCACAGCGCCTCCTGCCTTGACCCCGCTGGCAGATGCCTTCGATTCGTTGGGCCCACAGGCACCCTTCACTCAGTCGGCTCCGGCCTCAACTTTTGCAAATCGTCAGACAGTACCCCATGTAGCTACCAGTAACGGCCAAGCGTCTATTACTCCTTATCGCAGTGCTCGCCTCCTCCATGATCCTGTTCCATCCAACCCCATTGCTTCCCAACCTCATCATTCAGCCGTGCCGCTGCAATCTCAACGTGAGCCGCAATACCGAACGCTTCCAGTCGAGATTCCTGGCGCAGACAATGCCATTTGTACCCTTGGATACCCCCCTTTCCAACGTCCATCTTCATTTCTGGGTTTCCAAAGCATGACCAGCCAAGCAAATCAGCAGCGATTGTCCTTGGCCTCGACACACCTTCCATGTCGACCAGCACTCCCTGTACGGACTCAGACACAAACACAGATTCGGCGAGGATCAGCCAGACGTGGTGCAGCAATTCCGCCTCCCACACTTCCATCCAGCGGGGAGGAGCTGACCGATTGCTACATACGGGATGAGTATGGCCGACCTGTCAGTCTGAAAGTCCGTGTTAAGCTCTACCCTCCATTAAATGTGCGTCTGCCTTCTATTTTTTCCATCTGCATTATCTCAGATCTATCCCAATCTGAAGGAGCACGCCTCGGACTACTATGCGTTCCGGTTCTACACAAATTTGTTTGATAATTATATTAACAACCATGGTCTTCTACATGACTACGAGCTTCCTCTGACTACAGCTGTTATGGACATAATGAAGAGGGTCACGTCGGACATGGAAAATGGCCCATTTTCCTATCGTTTCGGCCATCGTCAAAACCATATCCTTGCAGAAGAAGACCTCGCCCTAGGCCTTTTGGGAGTCCTCAACCGTGGACGAAGTAGAAGCAACAACCAGGTTCATTTCAAAACCCAACCAATTCCTAACGGAATGACCCTTGAGCACCTCACTACTGGTGCATCTTCTGAGAGATACGCCATTTCCGGCATCTGTATCAAATACTCAAGGTTCAATTTACACTTTGGTGAGTTACTACTACTACTGCTTCTTATTCTTAGTCGTCCTTCATTCCACATCGTTGTGCAGCTATCCTTAAAGAGCCGGTCCAAGCCTGTTATCTCAGCGAAGACGGAGTCACTCGCCGGGTTCACCGCTGCATCTCTGCACGGCTGTGGTCAAGGTTTCCGTATGACAACCAGGCAAATGCTCACGAAAACTCTGGTGCTGTCACTTCTGGTGGAGAATCAACTGACGATGAAGATGGTTCCAGAACGCTGTCAAGGTCCCGAGTGGGTCAGAGTCGCATAAATGAAGTACGTCTTCCTGTTTCTGTTGTAGGCCGCAGTCTGAGAATTGCCAAGTCCCAAAATGCACACAGAAATTCAGGAATCAGCAGACAGCCGGTTCATGATTTGGAAAATGAAGATGTCTCGACGGACGTGGAAACCCCTTTCATGCGGCTGGGAGTGGGCATCCGTAGGCTGAGTGTGCGTCTCGGTGTTATTCTTCTCCTTTACATAAGAGCCTCACCTGGAATGTCCATTCCCTAGGCTATAGGTCCAGCATCCTCGTGTCATCGCATCCGGCCTCGGACACCTGTAGCTGATGTCCAAGACTTTTCACGAGCCCCAAGCCTTCCTCCTATTCTGTGGTTGAATGAATGGGTTCCACCACCCACTTCCGATGTGCTCGACCTGGCTGACCTGGAGGCCACCGTTTTTGAAGCCACATGTGGCGATGACAATGATGCCCTGAAGCTGACGGTAATAGGGCCAGACGTTGCTGAGCTCTCTAAGCTGTTGATCAAGCACATTGAAACTGCCTTGCAGGCGGATGATTTCTCCAAGGTTCTTGCTCCTGCTCGTGAGTTCAAAATGTGAGTTGCTCGTCATTGTCTTGTTTCAGATCTGACACGGAAATTGTAGCATCTATACAGACAACGATGGTCGCGAGAGGCTGCGTTCGACAGGCAGAGGAGTGGAGCAAGAGGCTGTCTATGTCGCATTCAACACCTTTCGGAAGAATGAATCAGAATTTTTTCTGCCACGTGCGGGGAATTACTCGTCCTTGGCCGTTACTCATTCTTTTTCGACATCATTCATCTCTCCTGCTCACCTTCAAAAGCTTGCTGTGCTTGGGGCTCTTTCAGCTTTGATGCTAATCTACGGAATGGCGCCGGAACCCCTCTCTCCGGTTCTTGTCCACTATATGATACACGACTGTGATTTCAACTCCATCCACCCTGGCCTTCTGTCTGAATGGCTTCCAGAGCTTCAACAACTCCTCCGTTGTTGGATTGATGGAGATCACTCACTGGACCTTATCCATTTTCGCGAACATTTTGCAACATATCACGATATGCAGGTTTGAACACTTTGCATGCTTTCTGGAGCCCCTACTTATCCTTGGTCAATTCTATAGATATCCTGCTTGAGCCATCGCGACGATGCTGCCCATCAGGCTCTGGCGGCAGAAATGCTACATAGAGCTGTTATTGGGCCTGAAGGTGTCTCTCATCCTGAATTCCAAGCATTTCTCAAGGGTTTCAAGCTCCATTGTGTGGCTGGTTTTGAATTTCCAAAGGTATTTATGTCTCAAATGGTTTGCCTTTAATTACAACTCACTTGGGCTTCAGATAAAGACACTGATGGAAGGAGGGTCGGAGGCCCTGCTGAACTTTGCATGGTCCTCTCAGATCAAGTCTTTCAAGGACTTGGAACAACACCTCCGAATTTCTCATCCTTTCCCTTCTGTTGCGCTTGAGCTCCAACACGCACTTTCAAGACATGGCCAATCATTTGAACAGCTTCTTCATAATTTCCTCAAAGGATCTGGGGTCCCATGTCCGGCTCTCTTTGAATCTGCCAAGATTCACTTCAGCCCTATTGTGGACTTATCCCGTATTGACGAGCTCAGCTTTCGCTCTCGCATGTTTGCTTGGGCTGTAACTGGTAGCCCATCAGTTGATGTAACCTCCCAGGGCTTATCTGTGAGTTTCCGTAGTTTGATGTACATATGCCGATACTAAATGATTTTTGCTCGTGGTAGATTTACATTTCACCCGAAGCAGACCCAAATTATGCTCCTGCTTCACACCGTGATGCAATGATGCACGAGGGGAAGCTATCGTTCAAGACTTGCTTCAAGCAGGTCTGATTCCCATTTCCATATATTGCAAAACTTGCCGCCACCGAGTATTTGTCTGAAGGCGAGCCTAGTTCCTTTCAGGTGGCCTTTGACCATTGGGTGTTGTGCGAAGTGCTGAATGGGATTGGCGATCACTCTATGATTTGAATCCAGGTAAAGCCTCAACCCTTTATTAGATGCTGGACTCTGCATCTCATACACTGCATCCGCTGCTTGCCTTCTTTCACTCTCCTTTCCTACAGTTTCATTCAACAAGAGCTATAGCGATCACATATACCCCTGCCGTCCTAATGTTGTTCCCTGCATCCTAAAGAATCATCATCATTTTATCGTTTCATTCTACGACTACATCCATCTATCCTCAGCGCCTACTACGGTCTTACCCTTCTCAGACTATTATGATACTAATGGTTTTCATTAATAATACCCAATATGCCTATGGGCAATTCATTAGCAGGTGGCAACCATAAGGCACGGTGGCTGTGCAAATCATCGGCTACAGCAGGCAGCAACATTTCTTGAAACATATGCCATTGTCCGCCTATTCATGACTGTGCTCTTCTACACCACAACACCACCAGTGGGACGGCGATGGAGGACCCTTGGGCGAATTCTCTAAGCCTAGTTTGCCACACACTTCACTGCCGATCGCGATGAGCTCGACTTGGCCCGCACCTCCCGCCTCTGCAATACATGGAGATCACGAAGACGACCTTTCTATACCACCTTGGCCAACAGAGCCAACAACACATTGGAGTGAGCCCGACTTGCCAGAGACTTCGCGCTGGGGCAGTGATGCTTCTGCAGGGTGGAATCCTGTACCCTCTACATTTGACAGAATTTCGTTAACAAAGGACGTGGTGCCAGAGTTTAAACCACCTTTCAGTGTCAAGTCAACTCTACAAGAAGAGAGGGGCGATGACGGTACGGCACTGACAGCGCTGCACTCTTCTCCGGTCGTGACACCGGAAGAGAACACGCCTCCCAGTCCCCTGCCAGTGGAGCCCTTAAATCCACCAGCTGACTCGCCGAAACCACCGCCATTGGCATTACCGACCATTGAGGATGCCGATGGTTTCGGTGCACCCAATGCTAGCGTGTCTGATGATTGGACTACAGCCTCAATGCTGAACTTCTCGCTACCGTCTGCCAGTGCTGCCGCTTAGGGAGCTGCTTGGGGAGCACCCACCTCTGCAACTTCTGAGCTTTTAGAACGAACCGATGTCGATGATGCTTGGGACACTGCTCGTCAACAGAAGGAGAAACATGTTGTTCGTATAGTCACATCGTTCTCTATATTTTGTAGCCTAATCATGTTGCAGCCCCCGGAACTGTTGCCAATTTGATATTTCTTCAGCTGGAAGAAATTTCAAATGATCTGCAGAAGGATGCCGAAGCTGCCTCAAGTGGTGAGCTCGAGAACCAGCGGAATTCGAACTTCGATTCCCTTTGTCTGTGAGTCCTCTCTCTATGCGTATATTCACTTTTTTGAACTCAGTTCCTCACTTTAGAATCCTTGCACTTCAGCACAAACGTTCCTGATGACCTCACACTACCCATGAGTCAGCCATTCTCCAAAACCTTTCCGTTGAAACAACCCTCGGACGCCTTGAAGCTCACAGCATGCACCTTAACACACCCTTTTGCGACATTCATGATGTCGAAAGGTTCGACTTCGTGGGAGGCCGCCATAAAAGCTCGGCTGAACATCACACAGGACAGCATTACTCCTGCAGGATGGAAAATCGTCGAAAGTGGCAAGCAGACGGCCATGCCTGTCGACAACAGAAAGAGGAAAACAGGAGGTGGTCTCCTGTCATTCTTTGGGAGAAGGGCGACAACATTGTCAGCTGGTCCCTCCAGATGCTCTGCTTCGTCTGGAAGTGCTTCAGTCAAAGCAGGAACGTCTCCCAGGGCTAGCATTGGCAGTTCCCATTTGAACCCGCTTCCATATCATCTACCTTGCTCGGCGACTTTGAATTGGGACCAAGACCCTCGGCTTTTCGAGCTCAGCCATGCATTGAAAGCTTTGGGTTTGACCCAACCCTGAGGGCGTTGCTCTGTCTTCAAGCACACCAGGACCGAAAAGTATGTACTTGTTCGTCTGGGCCCCCAAGCCCTTATAGCTTTCGCTCGCAAACTATTAGATAGGCATGTGGCTGTGCACATCCAGATGTGCTTGTGCTTGCCTGTGACGCCATCCGCACGGCCTGCTCGATGTGTTTCCGAGCCTGCGCATCCGAGAGCGGTCATCTGGCCTGCTCTCCTCTCGCAAATACACTGTTCAGTGTTCACGTATCCCCCCTTCCTCTGTGACGCCACTACCGCTCAGCATGAACATTGCGATATGTCAAACGTTCGTAACACTGCCTGCGATAACACCCCACTAGACAGCAATTCAGCCAGATTTCTCCTCTCTCTCGAGTATGCTATCACCAACGCCCACACCTATATGATTGATGTCCATTTCTCATTGACAGCACCGCAAGTCATTTCCTACGTTGTCGGGTGTGGCTATCTTTGGAAAAGGTAGTGGAAGGAAGAGTGGGATAATGACCCTATGGAGTGGATGAGGATGAACGGAAGGTATGTTTTCTTATGCGAAACATTTGAAGGATTGAGTCTGATTGTTCGTATACTTAAAGTCCCTTCTTAAGGCTAGCCCCGTTGTTCCTTCTTCGTATGTATGTGTCCAAGTCTTTGAGAATAACTATGAGATCCTGATCCAAGCTTGCAGTTGTACCTGGATACACTAAGCACGTCCTTGACACCAACATTCTCCCTTCATCCCTGTCCGTGGCACCCCACACCCTCCATGGCCACCGTCTTGTCATTCTCCACTGTTTGATCGCACATCCTTGGCCGTTGAAATTGCCTCTTTCTGTGACACTTCCGCTGGACATTCACGGACTATCAGGCCTCCTATGCTTCCCTTTGAGGGTATTATTAGCTGACACCCCTTCATTGATAAATCTGTGGTCATTTTATATGGATTGAATTCTCATATACTGTGTAATTACTCAGATAGATGGCAAATGAAATCGGGGATATTGCTTCTAATTTTTTAAGTATTGCGAAATGGAGGCCTTGTACTTGCGGATATTGCCTTGTGATAACATTGCTGCCTGGCGTTCATCAAAATCGTTCGATTGCTTCATAGGTCTCGTTCTTTTGTCGATGGCCCCACCAGGCTTGAATAGAAAGCAAATACCACGCCACAGTTTGAAAAGGCGATCTTCTTCCTTGCTAATTCAAGACTGGACTTTGGAATCCGTAGAATCTACAATTGAAAGCATGAGAGGGTCCCTGCAAAGGAAGATTGAGAAACGTGCTCCTACATATGAGGGGATTTGACCACTCTCGGCGTGCGGCCGTGAAGGCCCAACGGTACCAAAGTGTTTTGTGGTTGAAGGACACCAGCCCCCAGTGGAAGTGCTCCAGAACATCGAGGGCTGACAGGTTACGGTATCTTCCGTCTAGCTTCAGAGTCAACTTCTTATCAGACGATTTCACATCCAGACCTAGCACATCAAGAATGATGTGCATTGAGCGCCAATTTAGAACCATCGCCACAAGAGATAGATGATGCTCTGTCTCTGCTTCTAAGAACCTGGCATTTTGAATGTCGAACTGGCTGATAGGTAGGTGGGCCAGGAGATCCTCAAGACTTGAAAAATTAACGACACCGGACTCTTCGGGCATTTCTCCATAGACATCGAAGGACGGCAAAGGCGCCTGAACAGGAATATGCAAGGGCAAACCTTGGCCGGCTTCTTGGTTTTGCTGAGAAAGAGCTTCTGAATACAATAAGTTACATTTCAATTAAAATGAACTGGTAGTTGAAGCTTACCATAGCGGTTATTCTGTGGACCTAGCAGAAAAAATGGATTGGGCAGCCTGTTAGGGTGGAATATAATGATGAAATGCAAGGAAGGATCAAATCTGAAGTGGGACCAAGTTTCCTCAAATGAGGGCAGCCTCCAATCACTCCGCATGATTGACAGAAGAATGTGTCCGGAAATGTTGGTGTTGTCCAAAGCCCCAGTACCTTGCAAGACGTTGTTCGAAAGCGCTCGGAAACCGTGGCTTGGATCTTCCATGGAGCGACCAAATTCCAGAACACGAGAGGTAGCCCAATTGTACTGGGACGGGATGTTGTTTTTGGGGGAGAGTGCTTGAAGAATAGATGAATTGACGGGGAATAATGGATGGGCCACAATGTAGTCTCGGAGGGCCTGAACAAGAGAGTCCACCAATACTGTTCGGGAGCCGTCTGCACTTCCAAGTAGTTGCGCTTCTATTGGAACATTGAAGAAATTACAGGATGATATATTCATATCATCCTGCCGGATGACCACCGTACATCCTACGAAAACGGAGTTGTTCACCTGAAAAAAAAACATCAGCCTTCTAGCATCAACCCCACTCTTATAGAGTGGCATACCGTGAGAAGCGACATACTCGAGTTGTGGGGCCATTCAAGAACTGAGCCAGCGTTTAAGACCTAGGGAATCTGACGGGCAACTGGCGGGAGAGCCGCGTAACAGTAAGTATAGGCTGGGCGTCCGTGTCGGGTAGTTGATTGCTCAGATTAGATAAGATCAGTCCACGTAGAGAGGGTGCAATTTCCTTTTTCAATAGATGTCCAGTGCTCCAATATTCAATCCCAGCGGCGCCATGAACGATATGTGGTAGATCCGCACGGCATTTCAACTTTGCAATCCACCCTCGACATTGTCTCTATCATCAAAACGCTCTGGTCAACATCTCCTGACTCCAGCTCCAGATGACATCTCCTCCCAGACCCTCTGTGCCGACATTTACTTCTTCAGCATGGAGATTGAAGAGGCTGCCAAGTACGCAAGTATGCTTGCATCGCGCCGTCAAGGGGTACGTGCAGCTCCCCAGGCTGGGCGAGACGATTTTTTGGAGGAACGGATGGATTCTCAACACATGTTTACATATTCTACATGCTCTTGCGATGTCATACTCAGAATTCAACTAATCTTGCTTTTTATAACAAGGTGTGTGTTGACTCAAATCGACCTTGCATGTGCATGCCATACTCTTTTACCTCCCCACACTCCCGTATATGCCTATCAATGTGTAAGTCTGGTCAACACCTTGTTGAGTCGTGCCCCCCCTGCCCGTCAACAACTCCAGGCCGTGCTTAAGTGGACTCGGTAGCAAGGTGTGTAGATACTAGAAACATTGGAATTGTATCCGAGTTGCGAGAGTCGGTTCACTCAGCAGTGTGGACGAAGATGTGAGCGAGCTTCTCACTGTTGCAAATCACATCAAGGAGGATTGCGAGGAGAAATATGCTCACAATGCCCTGTCGCAAACTCAGGAAACCTCGAGCAGATGGGATGCGGTGTGCTCAGGGTTTCTGGATATAGGAGATCGAAGCCGTTCTCACACCATTGTTGCCTCCATTAGCTGACCGAAACCCATCACTGTCGACCAACGTGCTTCACCGTCTTTGTGGGCTACACATGTTATTCGCAAATCATTCTAAGTAGCGCACTCTGTTGTATTCGGTAGATGCCCTACAAAAAAAGTTAGCCCATTCTCAATGTGCTTGATCTGAACCCTGAGACACCGTGACGAAACACCTTCACATTGCCCTCAATTCCGTGGAACGAACGAGTCTATTCCAGGCAAATAGTGTCCAGGACCCAGAGGTCGAAGATGAACAACGTCTCCCACTCTCGGCGTTCATTTCATGCCTTTGATACACCCTGCAGCATGGTTGACAAGCAATCAGGGCAAACAAGTGAATGGCCCCACCAGCGGACATGACGCTGGTGGTAGTGATTCTATTTCAAGGGATGGAACATGAATACCGCCCTGTGCAGGATCCCAATACTAAATCGAAGCCATGAATATACAGCGGCTAAATGAGACAGTGACAAACCAGTTAAATCAACTGCAGGAGTACTTTGAGTGTGCATAATTTCCGTGTTTGCGTGGTTGAAGATACTGGTTGGGGTTGACGATATCTCGCTGGATGAACCAGAGCCAAGTCAGCTGCAAATTGTGTGTAGCAAGAGTTGAAATTGAGACAACTTAAGACGGTTGCCATCTCAAGGCGACCACCAGTGGCTCTTTAAGTTTCCCTCTGAGGACGGAAGAGCCCGCCACAGCGGTTGCTACCTCGAACGCAGATGTTGTCCACATGGGCGTTGGGGATTTGGAGAATCTTAACTTGATCGACACCCAGTCAGCTGTCCAAAGGGCGCCGACACGTTTGAGGGTCATGATACCGTCAACGACAGTATTCTGTCATACTTATGTCGCATATCTGAATGTGAAGATGAGAGCCTCAATAATGCTACAAGCCTCTCAGGGAAAGCGGAAATGAAGGACCTGAATTCACTAGTGGCAGATGCCTTGTCCTGTCCATTTGAGAAGTGTCCTACGTCCCATTTGAGCACTGGAGATTAGAGAAGTAGGACGAAACATACCGGAGGTGTCCATTTCCTGTCCTGTCCGTCTGAAAGAGCGAGAAGGCATCAGGCAGGAATAAAGCATGCAGGCTGTCAGTCGTTCATTTTCTTCATGACAATCCAGTACACGGCTGGCTGACAAGGGGGTTGAGAACAGAATACGTGCAGGCTTCATGCGGTGATGATTGTTTCCTACATAATGGCATAACCAGTAGGCGTGAGAGATTGGACCTCACCACCGCTCTGATTACAACCAACATGTCAAGCAAGCCCATCGCAGCAAGCTCCCCTGCTGCTGCTGCAGCGCTACCCTCTGCCCATCGCTCGGAAGAGGACCGGCGGATCAACATTAGATTTATTGTCAGACCCTCTGAGGTGTTGAAATCCCCGGCTATGAACTGGCTGAAGAAGGTGCGTAGAGTGTAGAGGTACTTTGAACTCCTTCCTCCTCAATTCACGGCTTCTCTATACAGCTGTCACTGTCAGGGTTTACTCGAGATACCAAAATGAGAGCCGCTGCTGAACAATATAGGCTACGGCGTAGACACGACCTCAAGTCAGCCATGAATTGACGAATCCACGCAGAGGATGTGCACCTCCGGTACCAGCATCAAGAACTACTTATTCTATCGAAGGCGGCTGACAACAAGCAATCTTTCATGAACCTTGACCCAACTACTGCACACACGCTTGCGAGAGCTACACACAATACTCTCGCAGCAGAAAAGGAGACTGTCCGATTGAAGATTGAGGAACATACTATCTTCCTCCACACCCTGCAAGACGATTTTGAGGACCTCGAGGCTCGGGTGCATGATGCTGCCATCCAAGTCTCGTCAGTTGTATCAACATGTTCAGAAAAGGGCATCCCACACGACACTCATTTTGCTGTGACACCGCCTACATCACCACCTAGCTCATCTTCACCACCATGCCTCTTCAAATCCCCTGGGTCGTCGGACAGTGACGAATGGGGATCATATTCGGAAACATCAATTGTGAATGGACATGCTGCGTAAGATTCATACCGTGACCAGTATCTACAATCTCTTCTTTTATGTATCTATTGCTTTGGACCTCAGCTACTCGATGTATTGTTCTTCTAGGCTTTCCATTTTCGTGTTTGTAACTCTTAAGTTTTCGTCCTTGCACTATTTAAGAGAAGGCAAAGCTTGCTGTCATGTATCGCCCAAATGTCTGAACATCTGCCTCCCAATAGTGAGCACAAATTTTCCCTCTAGGACTGGAGTAGGCGTCGTTAACCGTGTATTAGCAAGTGAACACCGTCAAGCATCTGAGGATAGTCAGGATGCAAACCTCGTCGTCAACAGTAAGCCTATACTTTCTGGAGCTTTGGTGTTTTCTGATCAGTCTCGTGTTAGCGCTCTCCGGGGCACACCTTATGCCTTCTTACATTGATTTCGATTATGGACTTGAAGACAGTGAGTAAATCCTTTCGTCTTAGCGACCGACACGTCTGAGTAACTGTACGTTAGCCTTCGTGGACACTGCCTGGACGACCGCACCGTGGCTCGAAGCCGACTACTTGGCATTGCCTGATTTTCCTGTCCAGGTACCCATCACCGGCAGCAGAAGCGTCCAGTCTACCTCCCAAATCGTTGGCGCTGAGCCAACCTTCTCTCTTGTCAACCCTGCCTTCATTGGCCCCGGCATCGAGCATGCCTCATCTCACGTCGACCCCGCCTTCATTGGCCCTGGCATCGAGCATGCCTCATCTGGTGCTGAGGCCTCGTCCTTGTCAGGCAAGGTTCGGGCCGACCCCGTGAGTGAATCAAAACCTCATTTCTCATTGTAGCTCTAATAAGTTCATTTTAGCCTGGACAAATGACTCGTCACGGCCCTTACTCTCTCCCTCCACCATCGACTGCTTCTGTGGCCTCCTTGAAGGAGATCTTACTTAGGGGGAAGGCGCTAGCGTATGTGCCCTCAATAGCCTCAGAGGTAATAAGTGAAAAAAACTATTCCAGCCTCGAAGGCTTTGATAAACTTGTCGTCGGGTATGCCCGGCAGAAATTCCTGGAGCAGTCGATAGTTCTCGGAGACATATATTGCAGTAAGAAATCCCCTCGGCTGCCTGTATATGCCTACCAGGCGAAGACTTTATTTGATGAAGGGAAGGAGAAGCATAAAGGTTTGTGTTTCCCCTCAGTCAGGAACTCAAAATTGTGACCTTTTTCTTCTTAGGATCAAAGCTCGTCTATGACGACAGGGTTCAAGAAATGGTAAGCCCATATGGTTATGTCCTTTCCCTCAGAAACATGTTTCTCATAACCGCGCCAGATCCTCTGTGTCTTGACTGAGTGGCAGAGCCGGCTCAAGGGCTTCTCTCGTCCGTTTGTCGAACACCTATTTCAGCTAATTGACCCAGCTACCATGGTCAGAGACAAGGGTGTCCGTCAGGCGATCCAAGCTGATAACTGCTCCATTATCCAGAGACTTGGACTGGCGGAAAACCCCCCTAGTCTCCGATATGCGCATAACCCTCCAGAGGTGAGCCCACAATGCCTTCCGCTTTGAACCGTCTGTGACCTTATGCAGGATACGGGAGAAAAATACGCAAATCCTCTTGTCATCCATATTTTGGGCTACATTCTCTTCCAGTCAGAAGATGAAGATTCTGTTGGTTTTCGAGCTGCTGCCACGTGTGGGCCCCTCTTGAGAGACGAACTCGTTGCAGCCGCTCTCGCAACGGTAAGCTGTTCCTTCTTTCAAGCTCAAATTAATTGATGCATTTTCATAGGTTTGGGAATGCGCGTGCGCGTATGAGAAGGGGAAGCCCCTGAAGAGGCAATCGTTCGTTCGAAGAGCAGAAGACCACTTCGCCATTGTCCTTCAAGATATACTCAACACGAAACAACACCCCGTCGATGGGCCCAAGTTTGAATCACTCAAGCAGATGTATTGGACAGCCCTTTTGTAAGACAGACTTCCTTCAAATCCCCTTGATTTGTTCTCAGTGCGTTATTAGTGGCCCTGACGACGACGGCAGCGACAACAACAACAGCGGCAACAACAACAGCAGCAGCAGCTCCGCCTGACATATAGCAACTTCCTGCCTATGGCGTAGTGGAGGCCGAAGTTGGGACATGGTATTTAGCATCACCGGTTACCTTGCAAGACTCAGCACAGGGGAGTGGACGTTAGTAGTGGTGAATTTTGTACTGTCTTGTTTTTGATACATTTCATATGCTGGTCGTCTATTCTAGTGCAATGTATTTCATTCCTTTATGCTTGTGTGTGTGAACTGCTTGAACTTTGCATTTCAAAGTTTCTGAAATTTGGGTTTTACAATGGGAACAAGAACCTGTGTAACAGCCTTCAGAGCCAACTTGAAGCATCGTGCACCTGAAATGCATCAAACCCCTCACCATCCTCGTAACCGTTTGACATTCCAAGGCATAAGGGATTGGTAGGCAAATCCCCGCTTGGTTCAACGGTTGAAGCTGATTGAAGGCACTGCGGAGTAGCGCTGCACGTGATGTGACAGTTCGTGCAAATTCACACTGACAGCCTCAAAAACTCGATGTCAATGTTCAATTGTTCATTTTTCCCCATTGACCTTGGGTTCACTCCAGCGTTCAACTGTTCTTTTTTTTTTGCCCTCCACTGCCAACGGCTCGCTTACCTTCCTTAGCTCGCGCTTAGCGACCGCGTGATTATCCAGGTAGGTTCATACCAGGTTCCAGTTTGTTCTCCCAACCGGAAGCCGCAGGGCGGTTGTACTTGAGCCCAGGAATAGCCCACCCAGTGGCTTCCTTCCGAGTTGTCAGATTTCTTCTTTTCAAATGCCTTCTCGAAACTGTCGATGGCCAGTTGTACTCGTGCCCGGGAATAACTGTTTCCTGAGACGATTTCCTCAGCGCCGGTGTTCCGCCCGATGTCCTCTTTCCGCCTTGCCAATCTGGCCAGTCTGACCAACACCATTCTAGGTTCCACGAGGGTCAACACAAACGCCTATGTTAGCCCCAGTAAGAGGCTTTCTTTACCTTGGAACATTAGTCACTGATAAACCTTAGCCCATCTACTCGGCCAACCCATTATTCGACTTCGCGAAGCAAGTGTTGACTGGCCTCCAGCAAACCCTAAACCCGCTTCTCGGACTTTTGCCACTGACTTCGTGCGCCAGTTCATCAGGACCGTCCAGGCTACCGTCTCGAGCCAGCAGCCCAGTGCCTAATGTGACGCAAGTATGCGACACATCGAGTTCCTCTGCCCCGTTTCTTGCACCCGTTCCGACCCCCTCGTATGAGAGTGCTCTAGGCAAACCCTCGAAGGCCAAAGATAAGGACAAGAAGCGATCACATGAGCTCCGCAAGAAACATCGGGCAGCTGAAAAACAGCAGGGTGGCAGTGTCAACGCAAAACGACAGCATCCCAAACTTCTGAAGCATATACAGAAGGCCCAACCCCACAGGACTCAATTCAACAGCACCAAATTCCCAATTGCATCTACCGGCTATGTTGCCACTGAAGGCGGCTGTCGCAAGAAGAAGACTCAGCAGCAGCGAGGTAGTCAGACTGTTTATCGTTTGGAGGATATGGTTGGGGAGCACTCGCGATTCAAGTTTGGGTATAAGCCATGGGATGGGAAGTACGTATGCTTTGTTTAATCCCATGACCGTCAACTCAACGAGACTGGGGCAGAACCCCTACCCCCTTACTAGACGACAGCACTCGTGTTTTCGGACTGCTCGGCGGCAGGCCAAACGATCCAGGCTGGGAGGCCCTGCAAAAACAGGCAGCACAAGACATCGAGGACGCTCGGAAGCGGCTTTCTTTCCCAAAGGACAAACTCAAGCACCGTCGCAGCGCATCTCCGGCTGCTGCTTATGGCTTCTCCCACAGAGGAGGCCGCACCGAACCAACGCCCGTGCAACACTCTCCAGAAAATGAGGCCATATTGGAAAAGCTGATCCACTCGCTGGCCCTCTCTAGAATTGCAAGCTTCGCATCAGGTTGGTACCTATTTCAGCACTCTGAGGGTTGTCTTTGATGGTGTTTTCCCAGATATATTTGCTACGTGGCACCCCCGTCTTTACCAGTATTACACAGACTACCTCAATGTTCTTCTCGAGGCCACCTCTTCCCTTTGTCGCAACTGGGAAAACAGCGTGTGGGCTGCAATGACCATCAATTTCGGCCCCCGTACCGCTTGTTTCAAACACCTCGACTTCAATAACCTTCCGTTCGGGTGGTGCTCGATCACCGCTCTCGGATCGTACGACTCTACGAAAGGTGGACACTTGATCTTATGGGACCTCCACCTCGTTGTCGAGTTTCCACCCGGCTCGACGATATTCATTCCCTCTGCTGCCATATACCACTCAAACACGCCTGTATGCGGCTTCGAGACTCGATATTCTGTCACACAGTATACAGCAGGAGGTCTTTTCCATTGGGTTGACTATGGTTTCCAAACTTCACAGAACTACTTTGCTTCGCTTTCAGAGGAGGAAACTCAGAAGGAACTCGAACGTCTGGCGGAGCAGCTTGATATGGGTTTATCTTTGTTCTCCACCTATGATGAGATTTGCAAACGTTTGAACATCCCCTCTGGTCTCTAGATAACTTTTCATAATATGTACATGGTTTGAAACTGAATATTGAGTTGTCTTGCATGATTCACAAACCTTGAGGATATGTGGTGCCACAAATCAGCACAACTACTCCGATATCTTATCAGTTGATGACAGTCAAATGATGTGTCCTTGTCTGAACCGAAGTTGTAATACCATCCAATTCACCAAGGTTTCAAGCAACTTTCAAGTGTCTCGCGCTTCCTCTACAATACCTTCAAGAAGTGGCACCTTCATCGCGGTGCCAGTGATTCCGAGTCAGCCTGGGCGACACGTCAACATTTCCCATCCCATTCTCTCTCAACTATGCTGGCTATTCGGTCATGGATCCCAGTCATTTGACTTGCCGATGTGGCAAAAGATGTTCAAATGAAGGCTTGCTCTTCAAGCACCAAGAGGCATGCGTGATGCGTCACTTACCATTGAGATATGAATACAACAGGCATCTTCCGCTTTGCCCTCATTGTTCGCCGATGGCGATCTGGTGAATGAAGGGCCTCGACTACCATGCGGTTTGTATGTCTGTTTGAGTTGCTCTCCTCACAAATACTGACAACCCCTTCGAACAGCAAATCGCCTGTTGGTTTGCCCATCGCAGTGGCCAGAAGAATGACGTCAAGGATATCAAGAGGGTCTCTCCTGAGAATCCTGTCATCATCCTCCTCGTTCGCCTCACAGGTGCTGGTCTACGCAAGCCATGTCAGTGCATCACAGACAGCCTCAGGCCCCTGTGCAAAAAAAGCACAAGTCCCAAATCAATACTCAATGCGCGAGGAAGATGGTGTCTCATGGAGTAATGAAAGGTCGCGTCAACATTGAACTGCGTCGAACCATTGCCCGAACACTCTTCAACGAGTTGCTGGGTTACAAGCAAATCAAGTGGGAGCGTATGGCGAGGGGGGCTCGTGCAGCGGCGTCGAAGGAATCGACCGAGGTTCTGAATGGAGAGCTGTCAAAGAATCCGGAGTCAATGCAGAAGTGAATATTTTGGTTGCTCGCTGATGCTCAACGCTGATGGACCCTCAGGCATATCCCCCGAGCCAACTGATGGCGGACGTCTCCATATTCTGAGGTAGGTTTCTTACTTACCTCACCTTGCAGCGCTGATTTGAGTGCACTCTGGCACCACTTCTGAGGACACCAAATTAAATTTCGGACAAGCTGAACGGCAGGTTATAAAGGGTTTGTTGTCCTGCTCGCCTCTCATTTCTTGGAAAAAATTAATGTATGTATACTTTTCTATTTCATGCTGTTACGTCAGCTAACGCCCCAACAATAGCTATTGACAGCTGTCGGCTCTGCGCGTTGAAGAAAATTTCTGTCGCTGCAAGGGCTGCAGGGTCTTGAACCTCTACTGTCAGTGTGGACAGTGGTATGGCGACCAGTAGGGTGTGGCCCAATCATCAAAGAGGGCGATGAGGGCGCCGAGAACGACGAGAACGATGAGAGGATCTGTCACCCAAACCTTAGAAGCAACCTGTCAAAATGGGCCCACCTTGCAGCCGCCCTCATCGAAAATCGCCTATGGAGAATACCGACGGCGGCAAGGACACGAGGACTTCCAAGGGCACTGCTCGGGTGGCTGGGTTGTCTCATTCGGCCGCTCCTCCTTTCACTCTTCCGTCCCTTTGTCCATACGAGCACACCCACGAGAATTGGGCCTGAGTCATGGCGAGCGGACTGGCTCTATATTTTCAAGGGTGTGATCCAACGAATGGCGGGCACCAACACCCCGACGACATATGCCGTCTTGCAAGATAAGCTCGTGACAACCTTTCGTTCCTGTCTGCTAACGTTCCTACCAACGTCAAGAACGTTCGAATCCATCAAAGGCTGAGTGGCGGTTATTTCAAGTTTGCCCGGTCACCGCCTGTTTGTAGGGCTTCCTGTACGTGTTTGAAACCTTTGCCGCGATTGCTGCTGATGTATTACTCAGTCAAGTGTTGGATCCGCGCATCTCATGTATTGCTCTTGTTGAAGCCTTTGCTGTTGGTGTTGACCTCGTGGACAACCCCAAGACCCTCAAAACCAAGCTCCGTACTCATCATCTCCCCAATTATGGCGGCGTCAAAGCCCTTCCCTGCCGTCTACTCGGGCCTAATCAGATTTTACTTTGCCATCGGCGTCACGAGCACTGGTTGCCAACTTCACCGCTCGCCATCAGTGTCATCTACATGCAATCACGAATGAGTTGACTTTTTGGCAAAGACGGCCGTCACCGACACGGCACGGTTGGCAGCCCACAATGGCTCAAACTCAAGTGATTTTCTGGTCCTGCACCCGCATTTCGAACTCAGATTTGATACCAAATTTTCTGGGTGCCCCGGCGCCTGTCTTTAGAATGAATATTCCATGTTCCAGCCTTGAGGAGCTTTGGTCCCTATGCCTGCTCGTTTAAGTTGGCTCAGTTCTTCACCAGCCCACCAACCCACCCCAGTTTCAACCAAGTTGGTTCAAGTTTCGAGGGCCAGTAGCTCCTGCTACCATCTGGCATGGGCATTTTGTGCTCTGGTCAGGTATGTGCCAGTGAAGCTCGTGATCGGCACCATCGTTAATGTTGATTTGAGACCTGCGACTTTCACCTGCCCTGCCTCTCCTTCGTCCTTCATCTGGCCTCGACCTTTGAACGGCAACCCCATACATGGACACAGTGATAACAATGAGCCTCTGCTCTCGCGTCAGCCCTGCCATAGGCACATGTGCCACATCTATGCGACGTAATCATGTATCTAGTCCTAGTCAATAACAAATAATTAGCTCCCACACACATCAATGGCAATTGTGATAGCGTGATCTGTCAATTGATTTGACTCTTCCCTTGAACTTATCACTCAACCATGGACTCAACACACGTTCAGGCACCACAGCTTTTAGAAGCATTTAGAACTCATTACTTCCGACTTGAAGGGGTTCTCCAGGAAGTAATGGTCAACCCAACTGACACTGTTGTCTTGCAACGAATTGGTGATGATCTCGAGGAATATTCATCATTAGTTTCGGAGGTGATTTCTTTCAAAGCTCTGTATTTTTGAGCCAGAGAACTAATAATATCAGCACATAGCAATTTTCAACCCCACCGAGCTTCAGGTACTGGAAGGGAATATTTCCCTGATGAGGTCGGATTTGTGTATACGATATCACGAAACTTTGGATGCCTCTCACCATGGACACCCAACTGTCATTCACCGCCTCCAGACTGGCCGCTGGGGAAGACCTCAAGTTGTCTTTGACCCTGCTTTCCTCACCTGGGCATACAATCGGCGGTCTATCTCATCACTAGCGCGCTTTCTAAATGTGGGCAGGACGACACTTCGTAACGCTCTTATTGCATATGGCATAATCCCCCAAGGCCCGGGCCCTCCCCAACAACTGCAACAAGAAACCAATCCTCTTCCTCCAGCTCCTTTTCCCGCTGATGATCATCCTCCTTTAATCCCTCAAGATGATATTCTCGAGCCAGCTAACCTTGTAGAGCCTGTGGCCCTTCCAGATGATGTTCGGGAAATTGCTTTCCAGATTTCATCTACATCGTCAGCATCGCTTCGCAATCCTACCTCCTGGCATCATTCTCCAATATCAGATGAGGATCTTGACAGTCTTGTAATCCATTTACGTTTCCACTTTAGACGTGCTGGAATAGCAATGCTTGATGGCTTGCTAACACGTCTTGGTCATCGTGTTCAACGAGAGCGCATACGTGAATCCCTGTTATGCATTGACCCTATTCGTCGCGTGTTTGAACGAATACGAATCAGACGCCGCCAATATTCTGTGGCAGGCCCAAATTCTTTATGGCATCATGATGGCCAGCATGGTAAGCAATTCACTTGACTTGTCAGATAATGATTTCTCACTTTTGTTGAAAGGACTTATCCGTTGGGGGATTATTATTCATGGGTTCATCGACGGCTATTCACGATTGATAACTGGGCTCAGAGCTTCCAACAACAATCGTGGAGAGACAGTCCTAGAACTCTTTTTGAGTGCTACTGCTGTATATGGTGTCCCCTCTCGACTGCGGGGGGACCATGGAACTGAAAACATCCTTATCGCAGCATGGATGGAAGAGCGCCGGGGCAGATTTCGTGGCTCCTATATTTGGGGGCGGTGAGTCCTTAAATCTGTCCCTTACCATTTAGGAATCTGAAATCTGGGGGCAGGAGTGTTCATAATGTTCGAATTGAACGTCTCTGGGTGGACATGACTGCCCAGATTGGAGCAACATGGGCAAACTTGTTCATGACTCTTGAGCTCCGTCATGGACTTGACATTAACAATGGCAGCCACATTTGGCTGCTCCAGCATATATTTCTTCCTCTAATCAACTTTGACCTCTTACTTTTTGCAGAAGGTTGGAATGAGCATCGTATCCAAATCAGGGATGGACCAAATAGGTCTCCTAATGATTTGTTTGGGTTCGACATGCTTGTTCATGGTGTACGGGGGGATCCTCTCAATGAGATGATGTCTCCTGAAGAGCTTGAGGTTTATGGGATTGATTGGGAGGGTCTTCGTGACGAGCGTCTTCTTGAGTCTCAGCAACTGAACAATGGGATTGAAGAGGGTGCTACCTCTTGGATTGGGCAATCAGGACCTCCAGACCACCTCAACGAAGTCAGAGTTGACTCCCCCAACAACCCCTTCACTGAAGAAACTGTTGCCTGGTTGGAAGATCTCATAGCCCCTTGGAGAAATGGTGTTGGTGCTGATGATGAAAGTCATATTGAGTTATGGGCTCATGCTCTTGCTAGTGCACAATCTATCTCTAATGTATTTTAAATAAATAGACTCTAGTACCTTCTATCTAATTTACATTACAAGTCCTAAGTAGAAAATGTGACATCAGAGTAATATACTGGGCTGTTCAAGTTTGCATTGGTCCAAGTCCAATTCAGTCACAAGTCTTGATGTCATGCTTGAAAGTTGAATCTTGTCATGAGCTGGCTGACCTGTACAGTAGCTGCTGAGTGCTGGTGCTGAGTACAGTGCTGAGTGCTGAGCATCTAAGTCTACTGTACCATTTCGAATTATTCAGCTGTCACAGGTCACAGGGCATGTGTCCGAGGCCGAAATCAGTGCATGTCACATGTCACAATTTGAGAAATTTAGGTCATGTCACCGGCTTGCTTCCCCCGAGGGCATCCAACCGACTGGGAGAGCCAGAGCCCAGAGCCCCGGCATTCCCTGAAGCACCCATGTCGCGCCGGGAGCTACCCGTTTTGGTGCCTACTATCAACCTCTCCCGTCACTCCTTATAGGTAGATAGACGCTGGATGTAGTGTCTCTAGAGTTTTATTTTATTTAAAATCTCAATTCAGCTAAAAAAAGACTATCCCACTAACCCTCTGCACAAAAAGTCCCCAAGAAATCAGGATACACGTCGCACGAGGGCCTGCAGGTACTGTCTTTCTGTCATCGGGCTATAGTACTTAGCATAATTGTGTAACAATAGCTATGAAGTAATTTTATATTTCCCCCTAGAATGAGGGTTGGCAATTCAATCAATGCCTGTCAGCGCGACACAGGTCTTGGCCCGAAGACTTCAACGTTTAAACGTCCGCAAACACCGTATAGTAAGGTAAGCTATTTATTTATGTAAACAACTTGGATAGCATCGTAACTACATAACTCTTTTCCCTGCTCTTGTACTCTTGCCACCCTCTCCTTCTACCCAAAACCGCTGTCCACACTCGCAGCACGATGCCGTCACGGTGCTCACGAAAGGTATGTCCCCCCATCTCCAAACGCCCGCGACCGCCACCTAAAGTCTTCTAGACACAAAACACGTTGGTGGTCTTGGATAACGGCAGCCAGGAATGGTGTAGAGGGTGTTGAAGGTGAAGGACACGGCGACGGCAAGGATCTACAGGTAAAGTAAGTCACTCAACTTGGATAACTCATCTAAAACGAGCTAACGTACCTTCGTTATCACGCTGCAGCTCGCCCCCGAACGTCGAGCTCAACCCTCCGCCCTTCATCTAGAAGACGAACCTAAGGTAAGTCTTCATCATCGAGCATGAGACGAACGACTTACCGTCTCTTTTCCCTGTCTCTACAGCCCTTCGTCGCCACTATACACGACATCCGACACCTCCCGCCGCTGTCCAACACCACGCAGACCACGAATCCCAGCGGTGCCGTCGACAGAGACCACGTATAGCTAGGACGAACATAAGTACTTTCTCGTATACCCACAGACGGAGAACTCACCCGTACGACATCGTTCGCCCACCGATACCGCCATCGTCGTCCATGGAGAGCATCTGGGAAGACACGGTGAAGGAAGGAGAAGGCCTCGGGCTGTGAGGGAGGGTGCCGAGGGAGATGCCCAGGAGCCTTCCTTCGCCATTCAAACCCACGAAACCCGCTCATACGAGGCCCAATCAACGGCCTTGCACGTATAATGCTCCCCAACGTCGAAGGAGGTGGTTCTGCAGGCGGTGTAAGTGTGGAAACGAGCGCGAAGCCTGGACATAAGAGGTGAGTACGAGGCAGGTCTGTACGCACGAAACGAATGTGGACTTACCCTATCCACCCCATTGAACGTAGGCCACCACGCACCATCGACCGCGACAGCTTACGAGCTACGCCCCACGTCCAGCACCCCTCCGACTCGTCCAGGTCATTGACATTCACCGATGGAATTGACGTTGGGTGGGTGGTTGACGAACGAGGGTGTTAGGGAGAAATCTAAGGGTTATATGTAAGTTATGTATGTCCTTCATGAATGAAAGAGAGGCTTACTTACCTTGTTGTGGTGCTATCCGCCCACCCAGGCCGTCGCTGTCCATGGTGAAGACGATAGACAACTTGTCCATGGACAAGTTCGACGGTGAAGAATAAGTACGGTAAGTCTTTCGTGGTCGACTCCACAGATCAGCGTCACTGAGCCCAAGGCTCCAGGCTCTGGGCTCCGGACTCTCCCAACCGGCTGGATACCCTCATGTCACCGGCTTGCTACCCTGGCATGCAGAGGAGGGGATGTGAAGTGGTAAAGCTTTGTTTCCATTTCGCACAGTGTCTCTCTGCTGACACTTTTCGTGCAAGTACATGACAGTGACTGTCAACAGAGAGCGACAGTAGCTTTCACGGTAAGTCAGAGGAGAGCCTGGACGACTGAGACGAGGGAGTAGAGGAAGACCCAGACATTGCATATCAAGAGGCTAGTTTTGGATCCCTCAAGCATCATCTCAAAGTATATGTTCACAATGCTCTGGGCAAAGCAGGTAGTAGGGCCTTGAGTATATGATTATCCAACAATATGCGCATGTGGTACTCGTCCGCGCTCCCGCTGTCGCCGCGCTCAACGCCTCGGCCGCCTAATGTCGACATCCCAGGCTCTCCTGGATTTCCTTCACCCGTCTCGGCACCTCCTAGGGCTTTGCCTTCAAGCTCCTGTCTGGGCACCATCGCAGTAAATTCCCTTGTGGTCCTCCTTGAGGATGGCTACTGACTTCGATGACAGACTCAGGAGACAAATGAATGAAAGAGAAAAGCTGCAATGAGCGTCAAACTGCGAATTGGCTTCTAGCTGGGAGACGATTCGGAGTCTTACTAAAAGAGTCAACGCTTGATTGACTGCAACTCCTTTCTCTGCACCTTGAACCCCACCGCCACCGTTCAAATGTTTTCCCATCTCCATGTCAACATGGGTCCAGTGGACGATACTGGCCGAAATCGGTACTCATGAAGGTGGGCGCTACTACGCTCTTGTGTTCATCGCCTACCTAAAGGCTGGGTGTTCCTGTTGACAAGTATGTAGGTCAAGTCTACAACCATCATGCCCCACTTAAGAACCCCCACTGTAGCCTCGATTCGTCACTAGCGAGGTTGTAGACATTGGAGGTGATTTTTGGATGGTGTCCTGTAGCAGGGGCAGGTGTTTCCTCTACCGTTGGCTTTCAGCCCGTGTGCGTGTGCGTGCTGTCCATCAAGAGATGGCTGGGTTTTAGAGTATTCTTGTTTGTCCAGAATGTTCCCCAAAGCCCGCCCCATCATCACCAGTGACGAGGCAACCCCCCTCCTTGCCGCGCTGTGCATCACCCCATGTCATAGTCTCCCAGCCGACACAGGAAGCCGACCATGAGGACCTCTCCTGTAGGCTCAAAATCTCAGGCTCTCCCATCCTCTGGCCCTCCTAGGCAGCTCAGAAACGAGGCGCGTCCTTGAAACTCTTCAACCCAACCCCATCCCGCTGCACCAGACACTTGAGCCTGAGGTCATGTCTGATCACACTGGTAGCTCATACGTCCCCCGTGTGTCTGGCGCTGCCAGCCATCAAGAGGAGAGGAGTAATGCTGCCTGCCACCCATTTGATCATTGCAAAGACAACTCCATATACTTTGCCGTCCTTCTGCGGACACATGTCAGACATGACCGACCGACACCGATACCCAGAGCCTCCACAGAGTGTTTGTCTGTGTCTTCGACATCACTGTATGCCACCTCTATTTCCTCATCGATGTTCACCTGCTCCTCCACAACCAATTGGTGTCCTCGGCGTTGTTTGAAGGACATCTGTTCCAGGGCCAAGGAACAGAGGACTAGTCAAGGGAAGGAAGTGGAGAGGGAGAGATGGAGGAACAGTGATCACAAAGAGTGAGTGAGTTGTGCACTATCTATCTTATTGTCTTTTGCTGTTGGTCTGACACAATCTCTGGTCTCTGAGATCATGCATAATCTCCTCGAGATTTCACCAGTGGCACCATGCACCACCCATTTCCGACGTCCCGTGGATTGGTCCTCTCCTGACGTGGTCACAGGCTGCCCGTCGGGGCTCATGCCTCAGAGCTCTTCGTCCTCCTGCACCCCATGCTGTTCACCAATATCTAGCTTGGCGACATCAAGCATATCCTCGCCTGCTTAATCGAGGGCATAGAGGAGCACGTCTGGATCATAATCGCCACCATCAACATCTCCGCCGTTCTTGAGTACAGGCACCCAAGCAGGATACTAAGGAAGGCCTGCACGATTTTCTCGGAGGACATCAACGGTCCGGAGGTTGCGGCTGCGATACACGTCATGGTGAAGAAGGCGGCAGCTCTCAACGCTGACCTCCCGCCTGCTTTCATTCAACATAACCAGCTGACTTATGAAAGGCTATATCTGCCGTGGTGGGGGGCAGATTTCTTGGCGTAAGGTTGGTGACAACTAGAGAATTCCGCTGTTCTGAAATTACAACCTGTAAATTCTTTACTTCCATCTCAAGCTTTGACACAATAAATTTCAGCATGTTGAGCTTCAATGATGGGTGAACCAGAATTTGTGCAAGATATTATTGAGGGTCCAGTGATGCAGAAGATAAGATCGAACAAGGCCTCACTAATCTCAGCTCATCAACAAAGGCGGAAGACCACAATGCGAGATTGTGGTAAGAAGGATTCACATTGACAAACCACACCCAGTCATTCGTGAACCACACCTGGTGACACACGAACCACACCCAGTCATTCGTGAACCACACCTGGTGACACACGAACCACACCCGGTCATGCGTGAACCACACCTGGTGATGCACAAACCACACCTGGAGCATGGGCAGAGCTTAAACGCATAAGAAAAGCACATGGCAAAAGTCCACGGTTCCTGTTTGATGGAACTAGAAAGGCAAACCACTGCATGAGACCCATTCCAGGATAGGAAAGTAGGAAAAAGTGTAGATTCACATCTGAAGAGCCTCCCTGCCATTATTTGATGAAAAATACAGTGATAGCAGTAGCCGGAGGAACTGGACGGTTGTGTGTTGTGTGAGCATTCTGAGGACTACGGCATCACACTGGAGAAGTTCTGAGGAGAAGAGGTTCCGCAATTACGAGGATTTGATGGAATTGCTCTGCTCAAGACGATGATGGCACGCGAGCAGTAAGATGATAAGATCGTTCACATGCCGGACTTCAGCAACAACCGCGCGAATTGGGTGCTTCGGTACAAGCAGAGCTCCGTGTCTCGCGATTGAGGGCGGAGAGGGTTATCAGCGGCTGTATGGCCAACCATGGGCGAGATGGGAGGGGACAGGTGGGTTGTAGATAGCGAGCAACAATTTTATGTTTAGATTCCCATCTTTACGAAGCGTGTCTGAGTATTGTTCTCTTCTTGGATAACTGTTTCGTCCATCCTTTACCATCTGCGCAAGTCTGTCGCGCTGTTCTTGCATAGCCGACCAGCGACTCATTTGACATTTGACAATACGGAAAAAAGCAGTGCATTATGCAGGGTCCAGGCACCGTATGCGTAAAAGAGATCTCACTGCTCGAGGCTTTGGGTAAGGCACATTACCTGAAAGCTTGAGAGCGTAGGTACCATGTATGTAGTGAGGCGTGGTAAAGGCCTGAGACAAGCCCGTGACGGGCTGAGCTGACGAGAGCCTGCTGGACGGAAGCAGCATGCGAGGCGCTGTGTACATGGGAAGACAAACATCCAGGGTTGCCAACAATTCGATTCAAGTCAAATATGAGCCTATATTGGGCTTGCTTGGCTTCTCAGCACGTTGATTTGACTGAATTGGCAAGAAGAGCTTCGTAGCGAACCAATAGAAAGCGGTACATCGTATAACTACGAAACGCTGGCGCTACACTATGCCGCACCACGCCGCACCACGCCACACCACGTAGCATTACGTGCTAGATCAAGTAATGATTCCGTGGTTAGTAAATGAGCCACACCACCAGCCACAAGCAGGATGCCGTTTCCTCAAGTTATCAGGGCCTGTTATTTGCAATCAACTGTACCAGTTCTGGGGCCTTACGTGGCATTTATTTGCAAACAAGTTACAACTACGTACGTATTGGAAGAAAGAAAGGAACGACGTCTGCAGGGCTAGTAACACACATGCACACACACAGAAGGTAGATAAAATGAGGGAGATATGCGTTGCGGAGGTAGATAGACGATCACGACTGGGCAGGGGTGAACGGGGTGTAGGTTGGATGGGAGTGGACAGCTAATCGACGACATGTACAGTCAGGTCCGTGGAATCCTTCACGAAGTAATTACTGCTGCAGGACGCTACTGCGTAATTGGTCATCGTGTAATTATCGTCGCGGTTGCGGTCCTCTCTGCAGGGCTTCGTTAGAACACATACATATGTATCAAGTGTTGGCAACGAAGAAGCGTACCGCGACACGTATATTCCGTCGACCGAGCTGTCCGTCGTGGTCGCTCTAGTGTAGGCATTCAGCGACGAGAAAGACTCAACGACGACGGGTTAGAGAAAGAGACGTACTTGGTGCTGCTGACCTTGGCGCGAGGCAGGACCATGATGACCGAGGCGTGAGCCCCCCGAGTCGCCACAGACTCGATCGACACGCCTACTCTTCTGCTTCGTCCCACTCGCTCATCCGCCCTGTCCCACTCCTCATGAAGGCTGTGCGACAGGAGCGGGAACGCAATGGCCCACATCAATGCGGCCTTGAGGAACGCGAACTGCGCGAGGAAGAAGAACCACCGCCAGTCGAACAAGACGCCCGCAGACGCCACTCCCGTCGACGCTAGCGCGGCGAGGAGCGTCAGCCACGTTGGCGCTGACACCATCCACCTCTCCTTTCGCCGCCCCCCCCCCCTGTTGGTCATTTCCACACAATACCTCTTTGTGACGCTGAGGAGTCTTGTCCTGACCCAGAGGTAGAAGACAAACTCCGTCCACAGGAGCAGGGCGGCAGTCCACCAGACGACCTGGAGGCCGTGGCGGCGGAGGAGGAAGGTGCCAGTTGCGAAGAGGCCAAGCTGTGTCAGCATGGTGAGGTAGAGGGCGGTGCGGGGGAGGATTTTACCCGTGCTGTGGACGAAGTCCCAGATCCTGGTGACATCCTGTTGCGCATTGTCAGTTCTCTGGTGGAGAGGGGTGTTTGACAGGGCAGAAAGGAGAAGCATAGGTGCCTTGACGAGTGCCGGTGGAGAGGGGTGGTTGACAGGGTAGAAAGGAGAAGTATACGTGCCTCATCGAGTACCGCGTGAAAAGTACATATCAACTTGATTAGGTCCGAGTAAAGGCCATCGTCGCGCTGGGTAAGGAGCAGCAGGACGAGGAAGGCGGCGTTGAGGACGGACGTGACGGCGAGAAGGCCGATCAGCAGCTGCTTCCTGTACAGGAAGTGCTCCGAAATGGTGACTGGGTGCGCCAGGATGTGTAGGAGCTGCAGGAGGGTAGACTCGAAGACGGCCAAGACGGTGGAAACGATAAGGAAATGCGAGGCTGCGGCGTCCGACAGAGTCGTCGCGGTGAAGCGGAAGATGAGGGCCACGTCGGGGATGAACACAGCGTGGTAGACCACGGCCAGGCAAAGCCACCTGGTGGGGATGCTAATGCTATCGAGGAAGCCCATGGCAGTAGGGAGCAAAGGAACGAAAAGGGGGAAATGGCGCATCGGACAGGTTCTTTATAAGAGAAACCCGGTGCCAATAACCCCATGATTGACGACTGACACTGCTTCTTAAGTTCTTGCTTATCAACCCGGCCATCATCTAATGCAGGTCGGCGCCTAGAGTCCCTAGTTACGATCTAGGCCCCGTTCACCACGCGGTACAGGCGGTGCAAATATACTGCCGTGGGAACAGAATTAAGAACTGAATAGATGACATGGGAAAACGCAATATTGGCTCCACGTTGGCGTGCTAGTAGCACCCCCATTTCCCTCGCGGCTGGATCTCAATCCGCAGCAGACCATGTGGAGGAACCGAGTCAGGTGGTGCAGAAATCAATCGGATCGACCATCTCACTCCGCCATCCTTCTTTCATCGAGACAATTTGGGCGTTTGGCTGTGCATAGGCTGCGTTGCAACGTGTGCGTGAAGTGTGTCCCAGCGCTGTTGTGGTGCTGTTGCAATGGTTGGGAAGGCGACCAGTCTCTCGATGCTGTACAGTTCCGACCTCTCTATTACCGCTGAATACAGCCAAAGGCACTGGGACGCTCGGCTCTTTGACGACTGCGGAGAGAGGCTGTTCAGATCGAAGACTTGATCCTGGGACGTCGAGAAGGGTCAGGGGTACCAATATAATTAATCAGTTGGCGATTACCACGCCCCTGGATACTCATCTATCCGGATTTGGCAACGCTGCCTCCTCTTCTCCTTCTCCGCAGCAATTGCTCTCCGCAGCCCTTATTTCCGCGGCTATCGGATCTTGATCGGGTTTGAATTCTAGAGTACCGCATGGTCTCGCCAGCCCATTTCAAACCCACGCTGTCACATAGCCCTCATTCCTGCGGCTATCGGATCTGGATCGGGTTTGAATTCTAGAGTACCGCATGATCTCGCCAGCCCATTTCAAATCCACGCTGCCACATAGCCCCTTTTGACCGTCGGTGATGGCAGTGACAGCGATATCCAAATATACGGACAACCGGCGGTCGTCGGATCTCGGCTGGCAGTGCTCCAACTCAAACACATCTGTTGGCTTCCCAGCGAAGCTCTGCAGCTCTCGCAGCCAAGGAAATCCCAGTTCCCAGAAGAAGGCCTGGACCGCATGGTCTCACCGGCAATGTGCAACCTCCGACTGATGGAAGCTCCACCACCTCAGCCCCTGGGCGCTCTTTCGAAGTTTCAAGGCGATGCTTTGAATGGGATGGTGGCCGCTCCATCTCGGCCATCTATCAAGATGGCAGTGCGTTGCCATCAGGAACCCAAGTTTTAGCCTAGATTACACACTAAGTCTGGGACTAGGTGTTGAGGAGCGCGTTCTCAATTCTACGCCACCTCGTGATTGAAGCTTGGCAACGATGCAGACTCGCAGTACCGCCATCGAGGGATGATAGAGTAGAAACAGGACTTCGCACCGAGATTTTGCGACTCAGCTTCAGGGCGGTGAACGACAGCTGGTGTCATATAAAGGGGGCTCCTCTCCCTCTTGCCCTTGTCGTATTCTCCTGACCCCCTCCCCATCCATTGCCTTCTCGTCCCCGACGACCTATCTCCACAGCGAGCGTCAGCGCCTTGACCTCGCACGGTGCTATCTCATCCTAGCCTACAAGGGATGCTGGCTGGCCGAGATCGTCGATGGCGAGACACCCTTGCCTACCAACGACGTCTGCTGGGACGAGCTCTTCGGGTCCCAGGCAACCCTCACGCTGAGTGCCCCCCCTCCCCCCTCCCCTCAAGATCCGCCCCGGGATGCTCAGTCCAAGGAGATCGTGAGGCTGCTGGAACTGGAGACGCCGTCCCGTGGCAGGCCCAAGGCACTCTGCAACAAGGATATCCAGCTAATGGTCGTCCGCCTCCCGGATAGTGACAAAGACATTTTGACCATGTCGATCAAGTTCAGCCATCACAAGGGCTCCGACAACAGGCCGAAGCCGTATGTATCTTTCTTTTCCTGTTGTTTTTGTTGAGTGAAGATTGATCCTCCTGTCCTTCGCTGTAGACCTATCTTCTATTTCACGCCGACCAAGCGGGTTATCTTCTGCCTTGTCAGCTGATGGTTAGCATCGCCGTCCTCGACGACGCCTTCGACTCCCCGACTCCAACCAGCGTCAAAGCCGTCTAGAGCTAATAAGCGGGCGACGGAAAATCCCGAAGATCGTAAGTTCGAGTCGTCCTCGACACTACTACTAAAGCGTAAAAGAAAAATAAAAAATAAAAAATAAAAAATAAAACTAAAAGAAAAGCTATCTCCTCTCCCTAGATTCCCGTTCCCTAGCCTCTTCAGCGGCGGAAGTCTACTCAACTCCCGTGAACGTCCACTTATCTATATCAACACAAAGGTACTCGCACAGACCCGCGATCTCGACGCCCAACACCGTGCATCGCACCACCATCTCTTCTCGGTCGTCCATGAACCCCTCAACCTCATCCTCATCCGCAGCGGTGGGAGGTTTCGGGAAGAACCCACCAGCCCAAGGAAGGCCCATGGCATGGTAGTCGGCCAGCGACGGCTGTGACGAGAGATTGGTATCCGCAACGTAGGCTCCCTCGTGGATCCGGCGGAGAGTGGAGTTGGCCACGAACACGGAGTTGAGGCAGTTGGCTAGTCCCGACCACGGGAACCCAGGGCCTAGCAGGGCGTCGACGTCTCCTTTGTCAATCGCCCAAGCGACAAAGCGGAGGGTCGTGTAGAGGAACAGCAGGATGTTCTCGTTTCCGGCCTGGTCAAACACGGCTGCGACGATGGCGATGTTGAAGTGTCTGGCTAGCAGGAGATGCGCTTCCTCTCTGGTCCGTGGCGGTGACGGTTTCCCCAACTGCCGGGTGGCAGTGCTTCGGGTTCCCAGGGGTTTCAGTAGGTCTGTGCTGGCTGCGAGACTCTTGGTGCTAGTTCGGGCTCCTTCAGCGGTGTCGCTTGAATCCACGGTTCTCTTGTCTGCCGTTTCTCCGGTCTTCTCTTCTACAAGGTCGATGACCATCATAGGTGTTGTGTCCGCATCAGAAGCATCTTCGAGAACATCTTGGGCCCCATCAACCTCGGGCTGAACGGATTTCGATACGCCGGCATTTGCTTGGGGCTTCATATCCGTAACTGCGCGCACAGAAGCATCGCCGTGAGTAGGATCGTGATCGGGGGCACCTGTCGACATCTGATCGGCAGATACACTGCTCGAGGCGGAGCTCAGCGCGTAGAGGTACATGCGAAGGATGCAGAAACTCGTATTCGCAATGAGACACCTATACCTTGTCAGTTTTGACGGCTCCAGATGGGAGGGATTGGCGGAAGGCGTTTTAAACATACGAACGTGGCATCCATCCGGCACCCTGTTCCTCAATGGTGTGACTCAGGGTCAAACGGAATGCCTCCATCTTGAAAAATACTGCGTGGCTATGGATGCGGTGGCAATGATCCCGTGGACTTGGACGAAGAGAAGATCGTTGTGCTGTGCTGGGGACTGCTGGACCGGGTTCCGATCCTCACCCGGTGTTGACTCGACTTGGGCTAGGATACGCCTCAGGAAGAGCCCGATGGCTGTGTCCTCTTCCATATAGATGTGGGGCACGCTCTGGGATTTGATAAGGTAGAACAATTCCTCGATAGGATCCAGATCGGCAAGAGTAGCAAGACCATGGTAATTCGATCCCCTGGTAGGTGCTCTCTCAGAGGACTTGTGGAAGTAATCGTGGCAATCCCGTATCAATTTTTGTCGACACGCCTCTTCTCCTTCGTACTTCAATCTGAACAACCCAATCTTCCCCAAACATTCATACCAGAATGCCGAATAGGCACGGACTGAGCCGCACAGTTCTTCCAGGATTTTAGCAGCCTGATAGGTGAAGTCATCCCGAATCTTGCCGCTGTCTGGGATGTGTTTACGGAAGATCTCAAGCAGAGTACCGATCCCGTGTTTCCACATGGCCCCGAGCAAGTCGTATTCTGGACTGAAGATTCTCTCTCTCAGCCCGTTGTGGGCATTCCGGCTGTAACAGAGCATATAGAGATGTTGGTGTAGACAGAGCAGTATGATACACTTTGAAACGAGGTGTCGGAGTTCACGGTTGTCGTCCTCCGGCCTTGGGTCACGGCAGCCACGCAAGCGGCAGTTGGCCAGACTAAGGAGGCTCTTGCAGGTAGCCTTGGCCGCATTCAGATTTTTGTATGTCGTCTTGACCTCTCGCATGAGTTCCTCGGTGGGGTTGAGAGGCCTGAAGTTCCCAGATACGGGCCCTGCTACCTCGTCGGAACCGGCTGGTGGTGGAGGAGACTGATAGGTCTTGCAAAGGCGAGGCGATTGCGACTGCAGTCCGGCAGGGGAGTCCATCTCATGGTGTTGCGTTGTGCCAAGTTGAACTACTGCAATGGTGGCTTTGGGTGTGCGGGTTGGTCGTTGGAAGGCTGGTGGGTAGGTAGGTGACTGGAGGATGTGAGGTGCGTGAGATGGAAAGAAGTGACCAAGTGACCATGGGCACGCGCTGTCTTCTTATGCTCTCGCTGCTCGGAGGCAGCCAGCAATTGGGGAGGGCCTACTGTTCCGTGGGGACGGCGCTGGTGACCTCACAGCCAGGTTCTGCATAATCTAGGCTTCCAATGCTGTTCCCTGGGCTGAATCATGCGGCCAGTCCATGTAGAACCGTACTTGTGCGCGAGGTCCCTGCATTCATGCACCACAACCCGCGACTCACGAGGACAACACGCATCCAGTCCGCATTGCGCCACCCTGGCCCCCTGACCCTGGACCACTGCGCAGGACAGCTAGGCCGCCATTGCCTTACAGCCACAGTGCAGCCCAGCTATCGCTCCTCATGTGAAATGCCAGGCTGTTGCCTGCGGTGAGGGCTTGTTGGTTGGTCAGCGAACTATCCCTGCTTCCATGCCCTAACGTTAAGTGGCAAGAGTATTAGTTGGCGGCCGTGCCAAGCGCCTAGATAGGGGGCGGCATGACACGGAACCTTGGGCTTGACTAGGGGTGCTGTCATGCATCCACTGCACTGTCTCTTCCTTTGTATATACTGCACTCAATCCAGTAAGCAGTGAGTATCCTGAGGTAGTCGCACCCCGGCACATATGCCGGCCAAGCTACGTGTGGCATGTCGTCTTCGCTTGGTTGCCTATCATTGGATTATTCGCCGCCGTCACGGAGGAATTCTGTCAGAGTGCCAACAGCACTGCCTCTTTCTCTCGTCTACCGTCCATGGTGGCGAGGAGCCTAACCTGGTCCCATCTTGGCCCCCTAGCTGGGCTTGCGCGCATGTCGAGCTGAGTGGTATGATTGCCTATCACCTAGATGTCGTCATCACCCTGGGGTCCGTCAATGCGTCTACATTGCTGGGTTATGCCGAGCAAAACACCCTAGTTGCTGAGGAGCTTGATGTGGCCTCGTCTCCTGACATGGATGTATGTATGCCTGCCGAGCTGGTTGCCTCCCTGCCGCTCTTTCATACACCTGTGCTACTTCCAGTTCCGACTCGGTCATGCCGTGGCAGAGGATACCCTTGTTGTGCATGTGGGTGTATGCCTCTCTGGACTCGAGCCGACGGCTGACCACCTGGTTCCCTCTGTCATTCTAATGGTGGTCCGTCGTTTGTGTGGTTTGGGAGAAGTAGCTCTGAAGCAGAGAAACTATCAAAGTTTAGTTGGCATGCCTGTTCATGTGTGGACAGGGGGAAACTAAATATCAACCTTTAGGTAATCCGGCTTGGCAGATAGCTCGGCATTGCCGGCCGACTTAACCAGGATCTTGTCTTGTGGGGCTGAGCTTCTGGGATGTAGATGTGTAGGGAATAAGCAAAATGTATGCCAAGCGACATAACGCATGAACTGCCAAAATAGGCACGGGTGGGCTGGGCCCAAGGGGAATTCCTTTCTTTCCTGCCATTCTGGCAGCGTGCCGTCTCTTGCAAGTAAAACTAACTGGCTGCAGACTACCATTACCGACCTACCTGCCCTAACATTCCTCAAGAGTGTGCCAGACACGGTTGAGGTGGAGGAGAAGCCAAACCTGCTACGAGGGAGACCAACGGCCGGTCAACATGTCACAAGCGCAGGGCGGGAGCTTCCTCTTTGGTGCGCAAACTTTGGTGTGTGTATTGATCCGGTCAAGGAGCGGCTATAGCCAGCAGAGCTATATAGTAAGTTAGACGCAGAGCTGATTCATGACAGCACACATGAGAAATTTCCCTCGCACACAAGATCGCACAGCGGCACCACCATCAAATCCAGGGCACCTATTGCTGAAATTCTCAGACCCAACAAGCCACACTTGATGTCTGTTCCCTGATGTGGCGAAGCTCTGCATTCTGGTGTACTCTAACTCTCCCTGTCCACATCGTCCTCTCCATTCGTATCCTCTCCATCCGTATCCTCTCCATCCGTATCCTCTGCAATCTCCTTGGTCGTGACAGACTCCCACTTCTTCTCCTTCAAACAGAGGGCAACGGCTGCTTCAAAATCATGGTTTCCCGCCCACTGCTCTGGGGTTACCTCCCTGTGCACGCGAACTTCAATGCAGACAGTCCATCGAGACCCCACTAGTCGCATCTCAACGAAGTTCTTGACGTTGCAATTCTTGTCTCCCAAGTCTACAGGAGCTGCAGCCTGGCAGACCTCATAGTAACTCGACGTTCTGCACTTCGCAAAGCCATTCCAGTCTCTTTTCTCGTTCAGAAACTTCAAGAAACGACGGTCTCCCTCGAAAATATCGGCCTCTAGCCAAACATAGGCGGTAAACTTGGCATCGACAACGACCACGCTATCGATGTAGCTGAAATTGACCTCAGAAATGTCGGACGTGGACCCGATATGATGGGCGCACATGGACTTCCTATTGCCAGTGCAATTTTTCATGTCCATATCTATGATGGTGTTGGTGTTGGCGTTGGTCGAGGGTTGGGGTGGGAACGAGCTTATGTCCGAAGATGACGAGGTGATGGGACCATGGTGGGAGATCCCGGGGTCGATGAATTTTGCAGTGCTTGGTGACCCCAGAGTAATGGGCTCGGTCGGATGTAGGAACTGATTGGTGTGTGAGATGAATGAAGAGCAAGGAGAATGGGAGGCATACGGGAAAGGGTAACACATTATATAGACGAGACCATGTGCCTCCTAGCTTGGAAGTGTGACGTGCACATCCTGCGGCGGCCTTGCATAAAGGAGCTTCATTTCTGTGGCGGCCTCCGTTCAAGCGAGTCGGAGGATTGCAGGAAGGAAGGGACCGGGGGACGAGGAATTGCGGGCGGAAATGAGTCTGGGGTGGCCTCCCGCCCAAGCGAGTAGAGTGTTACAGGATCAAGGAGATAAAGATAGGAGCAATAGAACTTATAGAAGCAGACAGGGGTATGGATGGTGTTCGGTAAGCATATTGAAGATGCTAGGTAGACTATTGATAGCCGGGCCCCTGCCACTGGATGGTTGCCAGGGGTGAGCATGGATGGAAGATCACTCCCCGTGAAGGTTGGCGCCCTCTGAGCAACTGGTTGCCTCATGCCCCTGAGCCCAGGCAGCAAGCTGACCCCTCGCCGCTCCTACATCAATGCACACACAGCCGAGCAAGGCATTGTCGTGATCAATGGAGTGGAGCCGAAGATGGTTGATATATGCCTCACGGCACGGGGTGACGGACGGGGCCATCATTGGCCACATCTGTTGCTAGGAGGATGGTATGACCCTGTTTCTCATCTCCTGACCCATGAACATATGGCTTCAAGTACCTCCACTGATGATGCCTTGCATCAATGCCCCTCCTGCAAGGCCAACTCACCCGTTAGGTTCTATCCTACCACCGCATTAGAAGGAGGGTCAGGACGGCGTGGCCGAACTTCATGGATACTGGGAAGTGGTAAATCATGTCCGAGTCCAACTTTGTGGGTTGGCTGCCTCGCACCCCCTTTTCCCTCCCCATCATCGCCCGTGTCGCTGTCGAGCTCCTCAATCCCACCCTCCCTAAGGGTGTTCAACATTCATCCAGCACATTGGTCGGCCCCAGCACAGCGGAAGCTGTCAGATGAGCAGAGGAATGGGTGGGGGCGTAAGGAACGGCAGGAGTCTGGCTGCGAAGAACTCGTCATGTTACCACAGTCCAATATAGACACGGAGAGAGGTTGCTTAGCGGCTTAGCCGAGGAGCACGTACGTCGGTTAGGTTTAACTCGCATATCTAGTCTAGGGCTACTGTGTGTGCACAAGTCTACATACAGACACCGAGCGACTGTGGACAGTGGGACGTGTGTGGCCCATGCGTTCCGCCATGTGCCAAGCTGGATGAAAGAATAGCCAACTCTTGCATTAGCACCCGGTCGTCCACCCCTGCATGCATGGCCATACTAAACCACCACTATAGCCCGCATCGCATTTTTGACTCCCTTGGCTGCAAAAGAGGGTGGGGGAGTCGAGTCGACGCCATGACTGCTCTCAAACGGTCAATCTACCGTATTTAACATTCAGAAACTTTGCAGTATTCCCTATCGCAAATGCCCTCCTGAGACTTGGGCTCTGCAAGATAATCGTCAAAAGAGGGGACCCTTGAGTTCTGCCGCACCGCCGGCGGCTTTTCGATGGTGCTGATGGTATCGACTCTGCTCCTCACACTGGTTCCCCCCCACGATAGACCATGAACAAGTGTCATTGTAGAGACGGAGAGCTTGCGGCCGGCGTGTCTCAGGTTAACAATTGTAGGTTTGAAGAGGAAGTGGACACAGCACGCTAATTGGATGCTTAGGATGCCCTGGTCGTAACGTTAGTCGCGTCACGAGGCACTAAACACTCGGCGAGGAATGGGAATGAATTTGCCTACCAAGAGTATGGCATGAAGGTGAGCTGCATTGAACACAAGCTTGCCTTCTAGAACCCTGATCTTGTACCAGGCTCCGAAGACGGTAGATCCAAGCGATGCCAGGTCGTTAAGGATGGACAACCCCAGAGTAGCATATACCTTGGCCCAATTCTGACGTACTTTGGGGATCAACTGGCCAGAGCGGGCTGCCAATAGCAATGCAGCCGTCCCAATGGCTAGGAATGTCGTTACAAATGTGATAGTCGTGTATTTCTCGCGCCTGAATCTGGTAAGAGGAAGCAAGTATTTGTTGAAGAGGGTTCTTACGTTTCAATGGCCATCGGGATGAGGAGAGACGAGATATGTAATGCCACTATAACGGGAGATGCAATATGCGGCAACCATCGTAGCCCGTCAGAAAGCCCAAGGGCGTAGATTTTGCGTAGCATCTATACATCGTCTATAATTTAGCAACGAATACTTTGGTGTACATAGTGACTAGATAGGAGAAGGGAAGGATATCTAACATTTGTGCTGATGAGCAGTATGATGGCGCTGATAATCGTAACATCTAGCAGCTTTACTTCGATCTCCTGGCCTAGAGCCATTGTAGTCGCAATAAAGCTGACGAGGAGCGAAGCTATGACAGAGAGGTTGTGGCCAAAGGTGAGATACTTATCCCACGTCCGGGTGGCCCGGTTGAAGTCGAGGTACGTGAAGAAGGCTGTTATGGGCAAAGAAGTAGCAAGGACGGCGACGAGGCCTTTTAGGACGTGAACCCCGTATAGTAATGTTGGGTCTTCCATTTCGAGAAAAAGAGGCAGAAGACAGCGAAGTTAGAAGGCAGTAGGAGAAATAGGTAGAGGCAATGAGGTTGAGCAATATCTCCTCAGTTGCACGGTGGTGGCGGATGGGCCCCTATCTTATACCTAGCCATGGCCGCCTTTTCGCTCCTCCCCTCCCCCCCATGATGCACATTAGCCTTGATGCTGACCGGCTCTAGCACAGCCCATCTCCCACATGAAAGCAGGAGGGCAAAGGGTTTTGGATCTGTCATCCTCCTTCCAGATCAGGTAGCTCAAGCTGTGATGAATACGAGCTGCGTCAACATGGGGAGTTGGAGCCTGATCCCTGAGAAAGCACTACATAGGTAATGCGCCTGACACAATATGGCACAGCCCTTTCCCCTTTACTCCTAGTGGAGGCTCCTCGGTTATGCCGGAGCGTACGAAACAAGTAGGTGAAGCGAAGCGGTCAGGGGTAGGCTGGAAGCCTGGCGACGCAGAGGGGGGGTCTATTCTAGGAACGTCCCTGGCAAGGATTGTTGCAGCCCTGGTCAGGCCATCCCGGAGAGAGGCCTCCTTCCCCTGCTCAAGCGATGAGAAGGAACGCTGATGGATCTCCACCCTAGGACTCTAGGACCTCGGCGGTGCCCGAAGTCCTGTATCTCGGTTCGGTGGCCCCCCTGATCTGGACGACAATCTCTATCCAATTGCGGCCGAGAGTGCTATGCGTTAATTTTGGCTGGAATGGCCGAGGGCGTGCAGGCTGACGAGAACCCTCCTCCCATGGTCAAGGCTTTAATCTAGAGCATCATGCGCCCACCGCGGTGCTCGGTCATTGCTGCCTAAGAGTATACGAATGCGGTCTAGGGCGCGGCCCAGTGAGCAGCCCGTTGGTTTCAACTGTATGGTTTTATAAACAATGGGCGCTCGTACTTCGGTTCTTCCATAAGATGCTCGGCTAGCCCTCGCTGTCTTACTATGGGCTGACCGCTCGGAGATGGGCTACAATGTAACAGGGGACGCGGTGAGTTTTCTCCTGCGAGGCTGACCGGCTACCTGATCTGAAGGAGGCAGCTCGCATCAGCAAATGGAAATTGTAAGGGTCGAAGGGGGTGGTCGGGCGAGACAGCCCAATTCACGTCCTTAGTTGTCATCAAACACCTCCTTCTCTACGTGGGGTTCTAGGGTTGTAAGGGAGAGACTGGGATCTGACTGCTGTCACGTTTCTCACCTTTCCCAATCACCATCATGACCCGATCCTGATTATCAAGAGTCCCGGAGTGAAGAGTACGATTGCATGTAACCGCGAGGCACAGGATTATGGGGATGAGCCAAGACGGGGTTATGAGGAGTTTACATTAACGAGCGACTTGGTGTTTGGTCCCAGCCAATACACCTACAAAAGAAAAAATAAGATGCAACTCCGGAAGAGAACACACACAACATGGCCCTCAAGGCCACCACATCCACCACGTTCACCACATCCACGATAGACTATTGTCCGGTATCGTGCTCTCGTTCGTTTACGGGGCGTAAACATATGAGTTAGCAGCCTGCAGGCTGCAAAACACACAGATGCCACAGTTCTCCAAACTATACTCAACAGTCAGCAATGTCCGGTAATGTCTTATCTAGATGTTCTAAGGTTGTTCAAATACCTGGTATCCCGTTCGGTAACCAGGCCGCACTCGCAGGTACCCACCTGGGAGTAGCCTTTCACCCCACATGCATATGCTATCTAGATAAAATAGTCAGGTACCTAGCATATCACGGAAAGGCGCAACTGTCTTTAGGAGAAACTTTACCTCTTTCTGGCACATGTTTGCGGTGTTGAGTCGTTGACTTGCTTGTGTTTTGAGATAAGGGTGAGGCTCTGTTTTGGTTGGATGACGATGGTTGCTGGCAAGAAATTGAAAGCGAGAAGCAGGGCAATATACCCATATTTATAGTTTTCAGTTCCTTGAGAGTCTCTTCTCACCATGTCGGAGCCTTGGTTTTGACTGAGACCCTGAGCAGAGTGATGATCGGGCCTAAGGAGAACTGCGCCAACACGCCCCCGGAAAGCCCGGTAGATTCGGATGACCAGCGTGTGACAACCCTTGTTCTCACCACCTCCTGGCTAATTTCAAGCCGGCCACCAGTGGTGATAATCCCCCTGACCCCTTAAACACGAATGGCACGCGTAATCTTATCCTTTGCTCTCAACCCCTGTGCCCTCATCCTCGGCTCGCCCGCATCGTCGCAATGGCTTGCATGTTCCTGTAGGACCTCCATGTTTCCGTCCAATGGAATCAGGCTCTTGATCACAATCCTTCATTGCCACCAGGGCAAGTGCTTCCAATAGCAGAGCGGACCTATTGCCAGAAAGGGGTTCCAAGGCACACCGCTCAGCTAACAGTATCTATCACGTTCTCTTGAACCTGGCAGACCAGCATTGATGCATTGGGCCAGGGCTAGACCTTGTCAATGACTCACCGAGGCTGACGATAGATAGGACGGGACAGATTCAGACAGCTATGCATGTCGGGATCCTGTCCATAAGCGGAAGGTGAAGATACTGGCTGGTAGCATTCCGGCCACGCCGAGCTTCGTATAGCCTATATTACATCCAAGTCTGAGGCCAGCAGGGATAATATGCAGGACTCGGACCATGAGAAGGGCCTAGACCTTATCAAAGACTCACCGAGGCTGATGACAGATAGGACGGGACAGATTTCGGGCAGCATACACGTCCGGATCCTATCCATAAGCGGAAGGTGAAGGCACGGCTGTAAGTCCTAAGTCTGAGACTTGCATAAATGATATACAGGACTCCGGCCATCCCGCTCTTTGACTCCTATAGGATCAAGTCCCAAGCATACCTGAAAGACCTTCCGAGATATTATGGGCAGGGATTTCTATGCAGGACCCTGGCTAGGCCAGGTTCTGACGCGCGTACAGCCATATTTTAGGCACACTCTAAGGGAGCCCCGAGATATTGAAGGATCTTGTGGAGGCCTCTGGTCATGCCGAGCAGTCGTGGCTATATCCCAGTCACACTTGAAGGAGCTCTGAGATAGTATAGTCAGGGATCCTATGTAGGACCCTAGCGAAGTAAGTTTCGACGCGTGTGCCAGACTTGCATTGACAACCTCTAGGCTGCCGTAGGAGCGTGGCAGACTCTCAATATACCTTAGTCCTTTCTCACACTGGCAGGAGAAGCTCAAGTATTAAAGGAGCCATAACCTCCCCTTCATAGCCACAACTTTTAGCTACAGCTCCAACATCACCAACCAAGCCTCAACATCATCAAGCAACACTCACGCCCACAAACAACACTTGTCACTTCCAGCCTCAATCCCTTCAAATCCTTCCAAGATGTGCACTCAGCCTTGGTATGAGGCCCCTGCGGGTTGCCACCACGTCACTTCCTACCTCTCCCCCACTGTCGACTTTTGCCGTATCGTGGAAGCTCGCAACCCCGTCACTGCATGCACGGTCGTCATTCAGGATACCGTGACTCTGTACTGTGCTCAGTGCAGTGCCGCTTAAACAGGTTAGCAAAAGCTTTTATAGTCATAATCATCCTTCTCGCTAAGCTTCCATCACAGCCTCGAATCAAGCCATCTATCCACCAGATCCCAGACCGCATATCTCAAGACGGGAGCGAAGATGGTGTGAAGACGGTTAGGAAATATGGCTCGGTATGGATACGGGATGGAGGAACTTTCTTGAAGGTTGGAATGACGAGGGACTCTCTTCAGGGCTTGGAATGACGTGGTTTCCTTTCTTCATTGCCTCTGCATTTCCACTACAGTTCTGGCCCTTGGCCACATGCCGGAACCCTACACTCTTTGCAGATTTTGACTAGTTTCTTTCTTTCTTTGGACTTAGATACTCAATCAACTCACAGACACCGGTGTAAAAAAAAAGACCCAAGGCCTCTATTCTCTTTGCAACTGTGATATATGTTCTATCAATGATAACCTTTACCTGTAGGCGGCGCATAGCACCAGTGCAAGTTTTTAAGTTTTTTTTTTTTTTTTTTTTTTTTTTTTAAAAAAAAAAAAAAAGGAAAGGACCTAGGCTCAGAAAGTCAGCCGACCATGGCGGTGCCCTTTATCAAATACCTTTGATTCCTACATGCGAGTGCAAGTGCAGTACTGGCTGCAATATTACGCTTAGTATATCACAAGTGCAAGTGCCAGCGCAAGACTCGCTGCAAGTAAGGCTGCAAGGCAGTTGTAAGTGCAAGTCCATGTGCAAGTCCGGGTGTAAATCCTGAGGGAAGTCTATGACTGTGATAGGCTTCAAAATGGTTATTATGCTGCTCTGGTTATTTTGGTGGTGATTACTAACTAGGGCTATTGGGCTTGCGAGATCAGAGAGTACTAGGGGCGTGGCACGGTAACGGTCATTTCCTCCTAGCCTATTTCAATAGTTATCCCGTTTTAGCGCAGATTCCCACCAAACATGACTCATCGTTGTTTTATCTAAGCTCTGGGCTTAATACGGGATGTGTCATTTTTTCCGCTCGATCTGGTTGTAGTTCCATTGACGTCACTGAGTTAACTGACCTACAGGACCATAATGGTCCATTACGCTACACAGCTAAGTCACATGAAAGGATCCAAGTTTGGAGGATGAAATGAGAAGAACAACTTGGAGTAGTTTAGCTATCTATGAGTGGTCTGGCCCGAATACACCAAAAAGGAGAACAGAAAAGAAGAAAAGAAAAAAAAAAAAGAAAAACGACGAGATCTTCTCCCTCTGTTCAGACACCAGGAGTATCTTCCTCCTCATCAACCTCCTCCTCAGGGAAATTTATCTAGGATATCTTTTGCTGAGGGCCTGTCCTGCAGCTTGTCGCTAAGACAATCCTCGACTACCTTCTTGAACCATTTAGGGGCGCTAGCCCAACGTTCCGACTTTTGGGTAAGAGGGCGCCTTATCTCGGGCTCGTCCACCCACTCACCGAGTGACCATAAGACCATACCGAGCTGGAAAATATCTGACTTGACCCCAATAAACAACTCAATTTCTTCACCGTTCTCGATACACCTCTGCATCTCGGGAGTATGCCATCCTTTAGGACAGCCGCATCTGTTGATGTCGATAATCTTGGCGTTATCCCTGCTGAGGACAATGTTGGACAGGGTAAAGTCGCCATGCACGAACCCGGATTCGTGGAGGTCGGAAAGGCCTCCTGTGAGCTGCCGCACCCATTTCACGACTGTTTCCCAGGGCGCCAGTTCTTCTTTGTAGTTGTAGATCCAATCTGCGAGCAAACCGTTGTTGGCAAACGCAATGAGTACGGCCTGGATACGTTGAGTTTGACTGTGGGGAATGTCGGGGCCGTCAGGGCTGTCGGAACTGGGGGACCTAGGGGAACTGTCGACTACAATCCCTTCCATATCAATGATGCCTTTCGAATGGCGGTTTTCGTACAAGGCCTTGATCTTGTAGAAAAACCTGTCTAAGACAGCTGGACTTGGAATCTCCTTCATGATGGGGACCTTATCGTCATCCCTCGTCTTAACCTGGTAGACGAATCCTGAAATGTGGGAGACGACGACAATATTGCTCTTCTCAAAGGTGCGGATGCCTTCTAGGTACTGGATTTTCGATACCGGCTGATCCCGGATGATCTCGCCCGTCTCTTTGCAAACATGTATATGGAGTCGATCATCAAAGTCAAGGCTGAGATTCGTGACGGTTTCGTAGAAATTGATCTCACACAGACTGTCCCGGATTGCCTCGTAGATAAGTCTAGCCTTATCGTAAGAGTGTACTGAAGGCAATCCGTACTGCTCTGAGAGCGATATAAGCGTGGCATCGGAATGCGTTATCGTGACTCTTCGAGTATGCTGCTCTGTCATGTAGGTAATGAACATCTTCTTCCGGCCATCGCCATAATCAGTTGTCATGTTCAGGATCCATCCCGATCCGTCGGCGTCGATAACGTCATCGACAACGTCGTTGGGGGCGCGGTCGTAGGAAGCGTCAACCGCGTAGTCGGAGGCACAGTCGTCGTCGGGGTCCTTGCCTAGGCCTTGAGATGGCATAGCTTTGTCAAACTCCCGCAGCAGCTTAGCTTCCTCGGCCAGGTTTTCGGGGTGTTTAGTTGTGGTCGCCATGGTACCTTTGGCTGGAAGAAAGGAGAATGGTCAAAGAATGTGATGAGTCAATTTTTGGTGCGCGGTCAAGTCAAGGTGCGATGTGATGAAGGTACGAAGTGATTGTAGACGAGTGGCAATGTCGATTCTTGATCTCTTGTCTAAAGGGAGGAGAAGCGAGCGGATTAATACCCAAACGGCATGATTGTGTCGAGGATGGAGACACCGCCACACGCATGAAAACAGTCAATGGCAAGTCCGAGACACTACGCTCTCTCTCTCACGCGGACACTTTTCATGCCGGGGGAAGAAGGCAACCATAGGATCTTAGCAGGCACATACAAGCGCCAAGACCTGGCGCCTTTGACCAGAGTATGCTACTCCCGCTTCCCACGCTCGGTCTCTGGACCGGACACAGCCCTTAAGCTCACCACACACCCATGACGGTCGATCCTAAAAGGAGCGCCAGAGACACCAATGGGCCTGAAGATCATACAGCGCCCCCGGTGGCCATGCCGCTGTATCATTTCAGCATTTCCGGATCCGGAGATGACCCGTGTTGCCTTCCAGGCAGTCCGCACTCCATGCCACAGGAGGACCAATCCACCTATACCCGGCCCGCCCCCTTCCTTTTTTATGCCTTAGAAATTGCCTGAGGCTGATTCCGAGACAAGGATGCCTTGGTCGTGTGGTCTCGAGCCCCTGGCACTGCCTACCAACTAGGGGGGCCCTTGCTGGTGGAGGTGACGCTAGAGACACGCTCGGCCATGCCATGGTGCTGCCTTATGCCTCTATGGCACCGCCGCCTTATCTATTATGCTATACGGGTCGTTGGTGTGGTAGGAATGAACCCTCCTACTTCAATGCCTTGGCGTTAAGTGGCGAGAGTGTCGTACGCGGATATGCCGCAGCTCAGTTTCGGGGAACGCGACGTGGTCACATCCGGACCATTCACCCAGCCTAGGAGTATTAATAGATACAGGAGGATCTCGCCACCCCCTTACAGGCTTGGACAGCCCGGGTTTCTAATATGTGAAACAGGCATTAGTCCACAACTTGTATGGTACCGCCTACTCGTCAGTATAGATTCGGGGATGCCGATGACCAAATTGGAACGAGGCCCTGGTTAGGCTGCAGGAACGGCGCCGGCTTTCCTACCTGCTGGAGGCTTCATATCCTGGTACCTCCTTGTTGTACAGCCAGGCAGAAGAGCCACGGCGCCAACCTCGCTTGGCAATCGCAGGGGGGTGGCAACCAAATCCCACATCCTCACCTTGCCTGTTTATCCCTTGCAGCCAGCTACTTAACAGGGTCACGTTCCTCGTTCTCTCCCCTTTCTCTCGCCCGCCTCTCCATCATACATCGACACACCCCTCTTCTCATTTCATTCCCAACATTGCTCCCGCCAACCAAACGCAGCCCAATCTGATCATGGCGGACCTCAGACTTCCCAACGGCAAAAGATTGTTTGGCAATAGCAGGGACAGAGCAAGAAGCAAGCGCCGGTTGACGACCATTATCAGCAGAAGTTATATGCACGCGGACAGGAACAACAGCGACGATGGCAACGAGAGCGACTTGACCATGGAAAGCGGTCCGGTCATCAAGGAGGAAGACATTCTCTCCCTTCATCCGGCACCGACCCGAGCCGGCACCTCGGACCCCACACTGGGCCTCAACAACGCCACGCAGACGGCTCCCCTCAACGCACTTGAGCCCAACAGAGCACTCCTCCAAATCTCGCCGAAGTTGACTATCCTGAACAGCAATATGGATGGGAACGGCAAGCTCTCTTTCGTGATCAACTACGGCTCTCCTACCGTTTGGGTGTTGTATCACCAAGTTAACCAGGACGCCGGCATCAAGGTGTATCTCCGAAACCTTTCTACTAAGGATTGGGAGGAGTATATGACTGGCGGGGAGAAGGCATGGCTCGAGCCTGCAGACCTTGGGATCCATCTGGATGGCCAACAGATACAGGTGACAGAGGTACATAGGATGAAGAAATGGGACGGTAGAATGATGCTTGAGATCTCGGTATCCGACTTGGTGTTGGACGAGGATGGAGTACATCGCATGGGGTTAGTTGAGGAAGCTGCCCAATTTCTGCACGAGAATGCCTTCGATATCGTTTAGGTTAGGTCTTAGTTAGTAGGTACTTCGACCAATGTTTTGAGTTTGGTTTGGTCGTGTATTCTACAGAGTCTAGTCTAATCAATAGAGTTGACTGAGGAGCTAAGGGCTATCAAGAGGAAGATAGTTGCTTTGTGAGCAGCTAAGGGTTGGCGAGAGGAAGATAGTTACTTTGTAAGGATCTCGAAAGGGTATCCACAAAGCTCTTTATATATACGTTTTGGGTGCTTCTTCACGGACAAAGATTACCCTGATTCTATTTCTCTTCTCTCCCACCCGTCTAAACGACGTTGCTCTTCCTTGCTTAGTGCGACGAGATAGGAAAAGACTAGCCTAGATACGACCGAGCTGACACGGCGCTATCGAAATGAGCCATGTCTCGTGCCGTATGTCATTGGGGTTGGATGAGGCATTTCCAGGATCTCGCGTATAGGTCCGCATAAACGGGCGTCGTACGACTGCGGCCTTCTCCTGTTGCCTACATAATATCTGGTAATGATACTGAGAGATAGGACCCTGTTGGAATATCACGCCAGAACGCAGGGATGGGAGGTGTAGGAGGTCACGTGGTGAGGGAGCCAGGCAGGGCCCCTGCCCCTATATCCCCACTCCCACGTTTCCACACCTCCGAATTTTCCTCCCTCTTACAACAATACACAATTGATCCATCTGAGCTCACAGCTATTAGGCGTACTACGCCCTGTTTGCTCCAACGTACCGGTACCCCTGGTGATTCCTACAGACCCACAGAGGGAGTTAGGCACGTTAGGCATTCCTGTCGAAACAAGGGTAGGGGTTCGGCAAGTATGTATCCATGAGCTCATTATCATCCTGTATGACTTGCCGTCTCAGCTCTAGTCCGACCGCTATTCAGCCTAGCATAGGAAGTTACACAGGTACGAGGTGCCTGATGACGGCTGGGGAGGCCAATGCAGGCAACTCGTCTGACCACCCATGGCCACCTTGCAGATTAGGCAGCCAGTCAGCCTTATAATAATCACAGCTCCAGCAATATTGTGACTCATCTCCGAGCGGTCAGCTTATAGTAAGATAGCCAGGGGGTGGCCGAGCATCTTACAGTCCACAGATGCGCCGGATGATAAGCCCCCCCTTATCCACGCTTGAAACCCTAGAACGAAGGAGGACGCGGAAATGATCATGCTGCTTATGCTGCCATGTGGTTAAAGCCAACAAGCCTCCACTCTAGACCGCATTATGCCAAATCCCAGAAAGCAGTGACAGAGCACGGCCGTGGGCGCATGATGAGTCTAAACCACACGAGGAAGGCGCTGGTCAGCCGGCGCAGCCCTCAGCTGATCAGCGCCTGATCGTATGACGCGTTCGACCGAAAGAGGATAGAGATAGTGCCCTGGTCCGGAGCTAACCAGGATATGGGACTTCAGCACTGCCGAGGTTTCAGTCCTGGGTAGAGTGCCACCAGCGTTCTTTCTCGTAGTCACTTTATCATTGCAAGGAGGCCTCTCTCGGGGATGGCCTAACGAGGACTACGACAATCCTTGCCAGGGATGATGTTCTTAGAATAGACGCTCTCTTCTCGTCATGAGGCTTCAAACCTGCTCCGGCCCACTTCGCTTCGCCCTATTGTCTCGCATAGTCCGGCAGGGCCTACACAACTGCCAATAGCACGACAGAGGTAGCCTAACTGGCGCTGCCTCGACCAGTCCCAGAGCAGGGCCATACGCTTGGACAGATGCTCGTCGCCGCCCTGCCCCTGATGGTGCAATAAAGCCTAAGTCGCTTATGCTGCCCCTGCCTCAATGCCTAGCTGTCCGTTTTATGACTCTTGACCCTCGGCTATATGATACGAAACACGAGCCAGGATGTAATATTGTAGATGATGTGGCGATACGCCGTCCTGGCCGGGCTACCATTGATACCTAGTACCTAGGTGCCTAGCTAGGATATTGCAATCATGCGGACGCCCGTCTATACAGAACTCGGACCGTGAGATGGGCCCAAATGACTATTTCCATCACTCCGCCAGACCCGAAATCTGCCTTACTAGTCCCGTATCTAGGTACTAAAATGACCGGAACGATGCTGATTGGTCAATACAGTATCCTAGATATCCACTTGGCCTGGATCTTTTGGCAGGTAATGACTGGCAAACATGAGCACGGATTGTCTCCAATACCTTCTTGGACCATAGTTATGGGGGCCCAGGTACAGGTAGCCTGCACATAATCCGCCGCGCCGCACTCAGGAGACCTGAGCTCAACACGGTCAGTGTGACAAGGCTCACCGCTCGCCCGGCATTGCCGAAAGAGGGAGCCAGCATATAGTCGTGACGCGGCAGGCGGCGAAGTTAGCCACGGACCCCTTGTTATCAGGTACATTGCAGGCAGCATACCACGCCATGGTCTATATCCTATGCCGTCTGCATTATTGTAGGCGCCCTCTGCATCTTTCTGCGCCGCTGGCTGAATTATGCGGCAAGCGGGAAAACGGAAAGCTATCCAAGGCACACCAGATAACCAGCAAGCGCAAGATGCTTGAAACATGGGCCGCCGAAGGAATCGAGTGAGAAAGAATAAAGAGCTGCTCAGGGAAGCCTACCGTTGGCTAGACAGCCAGCCAGTCTATATAAGGGGCGCGGCTGCTCCTCTTTCTTCACAGAAAACAAGCAAGACACAGTGCACTTTCACACGCCTCCAACCTTAACGGATACATCGTGGCCACACACCCACTCAAGCTTCAGACTCTACTTTCAATCTCGTCCTTCAATCACCAACTTCAGCCTCAAAATTCTTCACTTTCTCCCCCAGTTACCACCGCTTGTTCCCTATCCCAACCGCGCGCGGCCACGCAAGCAACACCAGCACTATGTCCGCCGGGATCCTGAACACTGGTCGTAGCGGGTTCTGGACAATGCCTTGGATTATCATTTCGGCCATCATCATGGTTGCCACCACCTTGGCTTTTGTCATGATACTTGCTCGCGCCACTCCTCGATCGGATCCATCCGCCAACCGAACCCCTGGCTCTTCCCCTTTCATCTTGCCGCTGAAAATGCTGAACGGCAAGGCGAACGTGCCATGCGGACAGTGCCCCGCGTGTGAATTGGAGAGACTCCTGGATGTTCTTGTTCGGAAACAAGAGGACGACGACGATTTGACCTCCGATGATGAGGACGACGGCGATTTAACCTCCGATGATGAGAAGAACTGTGTGGCCGACAACAGCGACGACGAGTCCGTGGATGTGCACCAAAGACGCGCAGAGGAGCTCGTCAAAGGTATCAGGCAGGGACACAGTCTCGTTTCCCCGAACGACAGCAACTTGGCGTCGGCCTCCTCTGATATCGGAAAGAGGACAACCATTCAGGCGGCTACAGCCAATCTCGAGCCGGGCACCCCCTGTCCATCTCTTGCCGACGAGACCCCGGCGGGTCGAAGAAAGATCCGGACCGGGCAGAGGACCAAATCCCGCAACAAGGGCAATGGCATCCCCAGACATAACCTGAGTGTCTCATTTGCCAACTCGAGTTCCAAACGCCCCGCTGGACCCCAGATCGGCAAAGTCGAATTTGTAGGCGTTGCAGGAGAAGAACCGGAGCAATACCACTACGAGTTGAAGGACTACGTCTGGTTGACCGTACGCGACGCCCTAGCAATGGAGCTGAACACTTCCAACACGGTTGAAAGTCTGGCCGGACTCTTTGCCAGTATAACTTCTACGCGCTGGAAAGAGGCCCTCAAGGAACCGAATTCGGAGTTTTTTGCAACACTCTTGCCATATGAAATGCCCGGCAGCCTCGGGATCGCGTACTTCCTCGACGTCAAGTTCTGGAACGGCGAACTTGCGGTCAAGGCCAAGGTCTTCGGACAGGCGAGACCGTCGGAATGTGACGAAGTCCTTCGAGAAACCGTTGTTCAGCATAGCAAGAATATGGTGAGATCTGCTCAGAAGAGTATGAGACGATTTGCTGGTAGGGCTGAATAACAGAACATGGGGAAGGATAGGGGCTTGAGGTAGCGATGGCGGACAGCTATGGTGGGGAAACGTGTTTCCAGAGCAAATGATGGGGTTTCAGGGTCTCACAGATTGGTTTATGTTTGTTTCTGTTGGTTTGCATTTGCTTTTTTTGTTTTTCGCTTCCTTCCCCCCTCCCTTACTTTTCTTTGTTTTTTCGTCGGTAGACCTCGGAGAAATATATTGACTTGTTTACCTTTTATGACGTGTCACATGCTCCAAAAAGCTCTAGTGCAAAAAGGTCACCGACTCGCTGGTACCTTCTTTGGTAAAGTGGACGTTAGGATAGATCCAAACGCGCATGTGCCGCAGCAGTACCGCAGCGGTACCGCAGCCTGTATCTTGTCTTGGCTCGACTCGGCTCGGGCGCTAAGTCCACCCATGCTTCTGGCTATACAACCTATTACACCTAGTCACGATAGCCTTTCTTGGTTCAGGAAGGCCCTCTGACGTTAGCTGTTCAAATTTTCGCCGCGGTGTATATACGCGCCGCATACATAATGGACCTAAGGATGCAAATGCAGACGCACAATCCATGCCCTGAGGCACACACATGACATCCAATGTATGTAATGTATGTACTTGGGTGTGCGGACTCTAACAAACGACCCCTTTTCAGAAAATATGCCCTCTGTCATACCCCCGCGCTGGCACCTATCGTAGGTGGCCCGAAGAACCGCATCGAGATTTGGAAGCCATGGTCATCCTCCCCAGGAGAGAGCTGATTTCAGGCTGCGTTACACTGTCAAACCTCCTGGCGCGGGCCGGAATTGGGCTCGGAACTAGTGTCGCCGAGCCAAACCTCTGGAGAGGCGGGCTGCTATGGAGGCAGGTCGGCGTACCGAGGCGGCAACTACGCTTGTAGAGGCGCTCGCCTCTCCTAGCTCTAGTAGCAGCAGCAGCAGCAGTAGTAGCAAAGATAACGCTGGCCCTCCCTCCCCATCGCCCTCGCCCCACCCCGGTCCAGCTCCGAGAAAGAGCAGGAACGATCATAATAATAATGAAGAGAGCAAAGAAGAGGTAGTCACGCCTCCTCGCCGCGCCCGTCGTACCCTAAGTAAGGTGCTCCTTCCTCACTGGGCCTATTCTCGTACTAACTTTGGAAGTATCTGCTTCTTCAGAGGAGATGGTGACGGCGACTGGGCGAGGATCTTCTTCTTGATATGCTCAGGCGTTACTTCGAGCGGCGTCATGGCCCCGGGAACGCCGACAGGTTTAGCTTCGGGCATGGGTCGGTCCTCGTCGATTTTGGGGTCCCATTCATCATTGAGACGGAGGAATATGTCGAGTTCGTCGTTCTCGACCGCGTCCTCGCTGCGAATTCAAATCGCGTGAGTAGGCACGAGGCGAATCGGGGTCTTCGCCTGCGACTTACAATTCCGAGAAGGTCTGGATACGAGAGAAAATCAGCACCGGAGCTACAGAGACGTGTAGGGGACGTACGCCAGGATATTTAGCGCCAACCAGGATTCCAGGAAGCTGCTGGTTATCTATCACAGTTCATCAGGACGAGCGTTGAATATGATCTCATAGCCATCCTCACTTGGTGGGGCTTTTCTCCGCCATAACCGCTTCGCTTCTTCGTCTGACGCGAGGTCATAAACGATATAGGGTATCTTCTTAACCTGCAAGATACGCAAGATATATTCTGGAGAGAAAAGGGGCACTCAGCACGAGTAGAAGGCACAAGTTTTTGGGAACGTGCTAACCTTGGCGCTGCCGCAATGCCGGCTGAGAGGCGATCGTCGTCATGAAAAGCGAGATGGGTGGTGAAGGCATGGTGGTAGTGAAATCGTATGGGCGGGAGATGGGCAGTTGTCGTCAAGTTCTCAGGGGCTGATTAGATCGGACAGTCCATCTGATGCCAGATCTAATCTCTCCTCTTACCACCATGTCCCCTTCTTCCTCGCCAGAGATCAAGGCGTTGGTCGTCTGTCTAGGCACGAATTTGCTTCTCTTCCCTCCCTTCGATTGTGTTTTCTCACTGGATTTCTAACAGGGAACATTTGCCGCTCACCGATGGGTGAAGCAGTTCTAAAGGATGTGGCTAAGAAGCGAGGGATTGACATCACTGTCGACAGCTGTGGTACGGCTGGCTATCATGTCGGCGAGGAGCCAGATGAACGGTCTGTATAGTACACCCACTGTATACTCTGGCCGCACTATCTAACATAAAATGGCCACCAGGACCGTTGCAGTTTGCAAGAAGGTTGGTATGCGACATTCCACCTGCGTGTCCCTAGACCTGAACGCCGCTGTGCACCAGCACGGTGTGACTATAAACAGCTTAGCTCGCCAAGTTAGCACGTCAGACTTCATCCGCTTCACACATGTCCTCGCCGCGGACGAAAGCAACCTTCGCAACTTGACAAGGATAAAACCATCCAACACTACTGCTGAAGTCCGACTCTGGGGATCATACCTTGATAACAAACCTATACCAGATCCCTACTATGGTGGAATAGTGCGTATTTATATTTCTCTCATGTCAGCGCGGAAAACTTCATCGAGGTCATAGGATGGTTTTGAGAAAGTCTATCAGCAATGCGTCCGACTATCAAATGCTTTTCTAGACAACGTCACAGGGAAATCAGCCTCTTCTTGATACCAATTACTCATTTATGTTTGTATTGCTGATATTCACGTTTTACATTGTCGAGTTCATGAAAGAATATTAATGGGGGGTAGGCATGTTGACGGAAGCACGGTTGCCCACAGCGTCCTCTGCTTTCCAGAGACTGGTAGTAGTCTAGACGAGGAGTTCAACTCTGCGTCATCTTAGAACTGATGTAGTACAAACCTTGTTTTGGGTGTAGAAGTTGATACCACTATCTTGAGTCAGAATCTATGGAACGACGACACACTGCATGACTTACCTCTTGCCGTAGAAGCCGATGTCTCCAAGGACACTGCCCTGGAATCATAATTAATGGTACGACAAGATTGTGATCCTTTGAACAGGAATCTCACCTTATTACCACTCCAGGCGAACATTGGCAAAGGAACTGGAATGGGGACGTTAATTCCAAGCTGACCAACGTTAACCTCAGTTTCGAAGCGTCTGGCAGTGGCACCCGATTGCGTGAAGATGGCAGCGCCATTGCCGTATCTGTTTTTGTTGATGATTTCGATGGCATCATCAAGGGTTTCAGCTTCCAGAACGACCAAGACAGGACCAAAGATTTCTTGTCTGAATAAATTCATTTTCATGAGGTGCATGCGGATATTGGACATTGAAACTCACTGGTAGCACTTCATTGATGTATCACCTTGGATGATAGTCGGGCCAACGAAGTTGCCATAAGGATACTTCTCCGGAGCCTTCAATTCCCGCCCGTCCAAAAGGATCTTTCCACCGTCCTCTTCTGCTGACGCGATGAGTCCAGTGACTCGGTCCTTGGCGAAGGGCGAGATCAAAGGTCCTCTATTCTATATATGAGTACCCGAGCGCAAGGATTATATGAAAGAAACACACAGATCAGCACCTGGCTCAAACCCTCCATTGACTTGCAGTGCCTTGGCACGCTCAAGAATATCAGGCACCCATGAGGAGGCATCTCCAACGACAACCGCTGTATCTGAAGTTGAGTATTTCTGACAAAGGAGTAGATGATTGCAACGCACCGACAGAAAGCGCCATGCAACGTTGGCCCGCGGCTGGAAAGTGTCGCTCAAGAGTTGTCAGAGAAGAATTTCGAAGAGCTCACCACCAAATGCAGCCCCCACAATAGAGTTAATAGCCAGATTCCTGTTGGCTGCAATACATGAGTTAGACAGCTGTGTGGTTCACTCAGCCACGAAAAGAGCGAACCATCCGGCATCAAAATAGCATGGTTTTTAGCGCCCAAATTGGCCTGAACGTGCGGAATTAGCACCCATGTTCAAGGATACAAGGACTAGGATGGGAAACCTGAACGCGCTTGCCATTTTGTGTTCCCCTGATCGAACTGTTAGCACAAAATGATACCAGATATGAAACACTAACCTTTCGTATATATGCTTGCCAGCTTTATCGCCGCCTACGAAGCTAATTGCTCTGATTGCGGGGTCGCCACAGATGGCGTTGACAGTTGGAATGCCGCCATGAACAACATTTAGAATGCCAGGAGGCAGGCCTTCACGACAAACTGTGTTCAGAATAGTTAACATCCGACTTGCGGGGAGTGGACCAACCAGCTCGTTGGCAAAGCTCAGCAATCATCATCGCAGCTCCTGGATCACGTTCTGAGGGCTTCAAGATGAGTGTGTTTCCAGTTACAGCAGCCATAGGTATGGTCCAAAGAGGGATCATTCTGATAAACTGGCTCAGTGATAATCAGGTAGATTGAAGGAGAACATACGCCGGGAAATTGAACGGTGCAACGCTTGCGCAGACACCGAGAGGCACTCTCCGAACTTCTGTGTCCATGTCCTTGCTCACTGCGCGAGACGTTAGGGACGTGATTGGAGGCGACAATGAAAACATGGTTACGGACCTTCAATCTTGTCTCCCAGAAGAGTGGATGTTATTCCAGCGGCAGTCTCGACAACTTGTAGGCCTCGCAGAAGGTCACCATACGCATCTGAAATATCCGAACTTCAATCCACTTCATCCTCACATTGTATCCATCCACACGCACCTGCAAGGGTCTTTCCCTGCTCCAGGACAATGCTGTTTGCAATGGCATCCGCGTTCTGACGCAAGAGATGCTGTAACCTGCCAGAAACCCATCAGGTGGTTGGATCCGGAAGAGCCGGGTGGACGCGTACTCTAACACAAATCGTTGACGAGTGACGACGCTAGTTCGACTCCAGGTCTTGAAAGCTTCTGACGCAGCATCTACCGCATCCTTGAACTCAGACTCTGTCGTTTGGGGAACCCTGGTAAGGACTGTTTGGGTTGACTATCAATGCGATGAGTTGGGTATCTAGCCCCTGTTCCCTCAGTACAAGCGTGTTTTTCATGACTTACGGGGTCGTGAACATCAATCCATTCCGTGGTTTTGCTTTCTACAAACTCGCCCCCAACGAAGTTCTTGGTGGAGCCTCCCGTTGCGCTGGTTCCCTTCCAGTTCGCGGATATTTGCTCAGCCTTTGGGAGAGCAAGAGCGCCGAGAGCCTTGCGATTGGTAGACGTATGGAAAGATGCCCTTGTAAGGGTCCTTAGCTGAGGGAATCGGCGAACAGAAATCACCATGGTTGGAGCGAGAGCAATGATGGTCCGGTTCCCGGGCTTTCCCTGGGCAATAAATGGACGGCGCCCTAGAACCGACCGGAACAGCGGAACCTGGGGCGGAGCGCGTCAACCACGTGCCACGTATCACGTGAGCGGGTGCCTTGGCTTACGACAAGATATTTTGAGGTCTCCAGTTCTGGCTTTCCAAATCCTTTCGTCCCTTTCTTCGTCATTTATACCGTCTGTTCACTGCTTTTCTTGGGCTATACAGCTATTTTCTCGCGTCTTTAGGTTTTCTTCGCACTGTGGTTTCCATTAAAATGAATCCTAATGGCCACCACGCGATGAACGGGTTCACCCCCAATAACAGCGCGTCCACCAGTTCGAACCGTTTCCACGGTGACTTTCCTCAGCAGCATTCGAATCAACCTCTTTTCGCAAACGGACTTCTTCCAACACATCTGCATCAACACCAGCAACCTCAATCTGTGCACAATTCGCAGCACCAATGGCAGCAGCATCAGATCCCACCCAACGTACCAGCTCCACAAATGAACGTCCAACAACAAGCCATGGTAAATCAAGCTTGGGGAAACCCAATGCCCATCCCCCAGCAATTTCCGAATATGAATATGCTACCAATGGGCTCTTTTAACATGCCCTTCCTGTCCCAACAAATTATTCAAGAGGCCTTTGCTATGTCGGCACCTGTTGAAGCCAGTGACGAACCTACTCTCCTCAAGAAACTTCTCGCTAGTCGGAAGATAGGTCAAGGTTACAAGGACGCTTTGAATAGTCTTCACGGGGTAATCGATTTTGTCTCCCTCCTTGATCCCTGCTGATGGATTACCTGCAGACAAACGGGCATTCTGCAAGTTTATGGAAAGACTACTACTTGGATCACAAGGACCGCATCGATTCATGGATTGCAATGTGCATTCAGAAGGAGAAGGAGAAGGAACAGAGTCGCACTCCGGTTTCCGCTACCCCCCAGCCACCGATGGAGAATAAAGATGTCCGCAAGGTGTCGGTTCCGACGATAAAGAAGCCCTCTCCCGCCTCGTTTAAGCGTGAGCCGTCGCCTCAGGCGTCTAGTTCTCGGGTTTCTTTGACAGCTCCACCTGGCCGCCCAGCTATCAAGAAGTCAAGAAAGTCGGAAACCCCTGCGCCCAAAGAACCAATGCCAGCAGCGGGCCGCAGAAATACGATGAATAGCCTTTCTGCCCCATCTCCGGTGTTCGGTGCCCGTTTGCCTGCTCCCAATGCAGATGTCAGGATCCCCGAGCCCCCGTCGCGTTCACCCAGCCCTCCCACCAACATTATTCCGCATGTAAGAGGAAATAAGTATACCAAAGAGGACCGCGAATTCTTCATTAAATTCGTCGGATGGCGACTAAAGCAAGACCCCACACTTAATCGACAAGACTTATGTGAATTGCTTGCAAAAAAGGTATGATTAGTCTGGTGTCCATTCACAGCATGTGCCCTAAGCTCTCGGACAGGCACCTCATCATACGGCGCAATCATGGGCGTCTCACTGGTCAAATAACCATGACTTGCCAGACAAGATTCTTGCTGCAGCCAAAGGTGACGACTACTCATCTGAAGAGGAGTCCAGTGAAGAGGAAGAAGTTCCGGTAAAGCGACGACCAAAATATAAAGACCCTTCAACAACAGAAGAAGAGGATTCGGACTCAGAAGAGGAACTTGAAGAGTCTGACAGTGATGACAGCAAGCCCGTGCGACACTATTCCGAGAAGGAAATGGGGACCAGTGGTACTCCGTTCAATGATGCGGATCAGTTCATCGCGGCAAAGTATATTGCCAACTTCCCTCACTGGGAAACAGCCACCTCGAAGGACCGCTGGGATCCTTTCCATGCAAAGGTACTTGATACTTGCTGGATCTTCGAATTTGACTAACATGTTATCAATAGTACCCTCAGCGATCTGCGAAATCGTGGGCAGAATATTATAGGAGATGCCAGGGTCGTACGTACTCTTGGCTTCCAGACCCATCTTTTTCGATACCCTGACGCATTACTTTCAACAGCCCTCCTCAAGTTAGCCAAGAGAATTAAGCGCGAAGGTACTGCACAACCTCAAGTCGATTCTCAGTGTGCGCGGCCTACGCGAGGCTTGCCGAAACGCAAAATGGACTCTGACCCAAGCGATGACACTACTCCGAAGCGCGGCAAAAGGGAAGCAGATTGAGACTAAGTGCCACTTTGGACATGTTGTTTTCTGGTCGGAGATACATATATTTCTTTCTCTTTCTTGCATGGTTCTTTAGATGTCTACTACGTATGTTTCTTATAATGTATCGCCATCCTTTCTACTATTGACGTCTACTGTTCTATGTATATGTCTTGGGGTCGAGGCGTGAGTTCGACGTAAAAAATCTGGGATATTACAGTATTATGATTGTCGCGCTCACGTTCACGTGCACTTCTGCAGTGGCTAGGAGATCGATAAAGACATCAGCAACACTTCACGACTCGTTGCCTCCTTCATTCAACCATCTGATCAACTTCTTACCGTCACACAACAGCAACGACCATGGATGAGGAATACGATGTGCGTCCAGCGCCGGACGTAGAACACCGTCTGGTCCCCTAACGCATCCCTTCAGGTGATCGTCCTCGGCACTGGTCTCACAGAATGTATTTTGTCGGGTTTGCTCTCTGTCGAGGGCAAGAAGGTCCTTCACATGGATAGGAATGACTATTACGGAGGTGACAGCGCCAGTCTCAACCTCTCTCAGGTAAAGCCAGAATCACTTCAATGCCATACTTCATCTAACGTGAACCGCAGCTGTACCGCAAGTTCCGTCCTGACCAAGCACCCCCAACCGAACTCGGTCGTGACCGCGATTACGCCGTCGATCTTGTTCCTAAGTTCATCATCGCTTCAGGAGAATTGACCAAGATCCTCGTCCACACGGATGTCACTCGCTACCTGGAGTTCAAGCAAATCGCGGGTAGCTTTGTCTATCGCGATGGGAAGATATCCAAGGTGCCCAGTACGGAGATGGAGGCTGTCAAGAGTCCTTTGATGGGTCTCTTTGAGAAGCGACGTGCAAAGAAATTCTTCGAGTTCTTGCAAGGATGGAGGGACGAAGATCTTGCGACTCATCAAGGTGTGCTATCCTAGGAACATAGACCATGCACCGTTCTCACATTGGTATCAGGTATCAATCTTGATACTGATAGCATGAAGACCGTTTACGAGAAATTCGGATTGGAACCTGGCACTCAGGACTTCATCGGACACGCCATGGCCCTCTATTTAGATGACGAGTAAGTGTTCTTCATAGTACAAGCAACTCTTTAGTAATCGCTCTTGCCTAGCTACATCACGAAAGCTGCTCGACCAACTTATGACCGCATCATCCTTTACACTTCCTCCATGGCGCGTTATGGCAAGTCACCATACATTTACCCCCTTTATGGACTCGGCGAACTGCCCCAGTCATTCGCGCGACTGAGCGCCATCTACGGCGGCACCTACATGCTCGACAAGCCGATCGAACAGATTGTCACCGACGCCGACGGTAAATTCGTCGGAGTCACTAGTGCTGGTGAAACTGTCAAGGCAAAGCAAGTCATCGGCGATCCTAGCTATTTCGGTGCATCTGCGGATGGAAAAGTGAGGGTTGTCGAGGAAGGTAAAGTTGTCAGGGCAATCTGCTTCCTCAAGCACCCTATCCCAGGCACCGAGGACGCCGACAGTTGTCAGGTCATCATCCCCCAGAATCAAGTTGGTCGCAAGCATGGTAGGTTTGTTAGTTGTGCTATTTATTCCATCTTATCTGTTTCTGCAGATATCTACATTGCAATGGTTTCGTCTACACACAACGTTTGCGCGAAGGACATCTACGTTGCCATTGTCAGCACAATTGTTGAAACTGATCGACCTGAGTTGGAAATTGCTCCTGGATTGAGCCTCCTCGGACCTATCTACGACAAGTACGTCTTCAAAAACACCACAGCTATTTGGTTTTGACGCGAAACCCTTTAGGTTCGTGGACATTACTCCTTTGTACACACCGACAAGCTCCGATCAAGCGGATAACATTTTCATTACCCGCTCATACGACGCTACTTCTCACTTCGAAACTGTCGTCGAGGACGTACAGGATGTCTGGAAGCGCGTCACTGGCACCGATCTCGTCCTCAAAAAACGGGAGGTTGAGGTCACCGGGTGAATCATATAGCGGCTCGAGAAGCCATCACTACCTTTCTCTGGTCTCAGCAGTTCCATCATATAGCATTTTCAGAAACCATAAATTCATTGCTTTGGATAGACAACCAACACAGGCTGCCGCCTCTAACAGGGAAATCAGAAGAATGCACTCATGTCGAACTCAGGTACGTTGACATCATGTTTAGCAGACTTCATGAGATTTCCGAGTCCTGCTTTTCTGGCGAACAAATCGCTTTCCTCCTGGATGATGTCGATTGGATGTGCTTGTGTTTTGCTGTCAGGCGACGCTTTGCGTGTCGGTGGAAGGGAAAGAATATCCATATCGATCATGATCGTCGACCGTCGGCGCAACGCCGGTTCTAGAGGGAAGAGAGGCCGCGAAGGAACTGGAGCTGCAACACCACGAGGCGTGAAGGATGTTAGGCCATTCCGCAGTGCCGTCGATGGTCTTGCAAATGACCAAGAGCAAACCAGGTCCAAAGCCAGGACATGGCATCCTAAGACGAAATTAACTTGGGGTTATATGAACACAATCAAATTTACCCATTCTGCAGAATACACGTGCGATCTGCAACACAAAGTTGAATTCTGCCCGACCTGAAATTTCGCTGGTGCCTTTCGCTGCTTGGAGAGTCCTCGATCGCAGTTGCGAGAACAGGACTGCAAGACTCGGGTCATCGTAGTGCGGCTCTCCTATTTCCGTGACCTTAACATCGAAGGCTGCCTTGATATCTTGTAAAGGTGTCTGTAAAAATTCTTGGTGAGAGAAAGGATACGCGGTTCATTATGTGGACATACAACAAGAATGCGAACAGACAGATCCCGTCGATGCAATAACCAGAATGCCCAAGCACCTAGATACCGGTTACCATGCTCGAAAGCAATAGGAAGGACTGTATTTGTAAGGATTTCTCGCAGTATCGGGCCGTCATTGCCCTGCTCGACAATCCTTGCGAGGGCAACGGCGAGCTGGAAATCTCCTAGTTGTTTAGCGCATACGTTCACTGCATCTTTCGGGGAGTCACCAAGTAGGAAGAAGGCCGCCGCGTAGTCTTGAAAAGAACTTGAGAAAGGTCTAGAGGAAATGGCACAAATACCTACCAAACCTTTGCTTGCTCAAAAGGGCGAAGGCGTTCTTTTGTGCTGCCGTACGCCAACGGGGGGTGGTAAAGTCATTTCCTAGGAAGTTAAGCATAACAGTTTGCTCTTTATGCCAAGCTGCTTGTCTCCAAAGTCCTTGAACGAGCTTGGTCTTTCCCAACGCAAAGTAAAAGAGAGAACATGCTGTGGGATCGCGATTTTCCCCAGCCATGTATTCGTTTCGCGCGATAACTTCAAACTGGGCTTTCTAAAATTCGATAGATGAGAAAATTAGGAAGGAGACGTCATCAAAGAGGACGAACGAGCGAATCCACAGAATTAAGCCAAAGCGCAACCCCTAGTGCCCGAGCATCCGACCATGTCATCTTGCCGTCACACGCCGCAGTTGATGCATTGAGCAATAAGTCCTGGCTTTCACTATGGAATGCCCAGAACATATCACGATATCGGAGCCTTTCTCTCCGTGCTGACTGCTTGGGAGCTGTTCCATTCGTCATGCTATCTGAAGTAGGTGATGTCCGGCGATTGATAATGTAGAAAGACCGCATGGATATTAAATAACGAAGACCATTGGAGTCTAAAGCTCGTCGTTGTTCATCGATCTATGGCCAAAGCTTTGCATAATGCGAGTGTCAAAGCAAATCAGGGGAAGTACAAACCTCCAGGGTTGCTTGGATTAGGACCAGCAAATGCGCTTGTTCGTTGCTTGACAAATTGGGTAAGGGATGCGCCTCTAGCGCCTCAAGGAGTTGAGCAACTACAGGGCGCGTAAACGCAATTTCGTCGGAGCTGAGGAAAGGATCGACCAGGTTTCGAATTAGAATTATCACACAATACGCACTCGTCCGGCGTCGTGGTGCCATTGAAAAGAAGGCCATGTTGCTTCTTTGGAACGCGCTGAGGTACGTTTAGCCTGTAGTCCTCGTGATGGAGAACCAGGAAGTGCTTACCCCTGGCTTGATTTGCTCCTTCTGTAAGAATCTGTCCACAGGGAGTGGCGGTGGTCTTGAACCCTTGGACGTGCCACCTTTGTCCAAGAAAAAGCGGGCAAGGTTAACTATGATCTCTTTTACCAGTTCAATTTTGTCTAATATGAACACCATGAATAGGTGGCAAGAAAATCATAGACATGCCACTGACCCCACATCAGACATTGGAGCAGCATTTGAGGGTGGTAGTCATCTAGAGGTCCGTTTTGGCGCGCAACATACTCGAATAAACTCTCATTGGTCTTGCCCACCTCACTCCGATTCGGAGGAGGCTCGCTGTAGAGGTACATCTGCTGCCCAGCCGCGATCAACAACGATCCATGGGCAAGCCATATGGAGTCGCTAATCGTATATGGAGTGAAGCTAGAGTATTCCTTGTCAGGTCCTGGGGGCGAATGGATGAGTTCGATATCATTACCTGGAGATGTCTATGGTTCGACACAATCCCCAACCTGGGCCGTCGTCGAAGTAGGTCATCCGTTGTTGGCAAAGAATGTCTATCCGGTGGGCGTATCCAACGGCCAAGATCGATTGCATGTAGGGAGTAGAGCTCCAATCCAGGTCAAGAAGTTCTTCACTAGACCACATTATGAGCAACAAACCAGGGGAATTATGCACACTGCCCGTACCCATAGTCTCCTCGATATTCAAGGCCAGAGGCAAACTCGGATTCCGTTGAATCCCAGATGGTGAGTTCATCACCGTTAGGGCCACCAACGACTGGACGAGAGCAAGGTCAGCACTGGAAGACGCCAAAGGTGTGGAAAACTAACTGAGAGCCGTCTTCTTCGCAGAGCTGCAGCGAACCTTTCTGAACCCGCTGCGGCCAGTTCTCACTTTGCCACTGCATCTCCACCCATTCTCCATATTACCTTCGTGTACCCAGAAAGCCAGTTCTCCACTTTCAGATATGCTGAGAATGAGATCACGATCAGCCCAAGTCCCAGTGCCGCCCCAAGCCATTGGGTCGACAGGTAGGATGAACCGCGGCGTGTAGGACAGAGGGAGCCGGTTCTGGGCGATGATGAGCATGCTAGGAGCATCTGTGACTTTGATCTGGATTATTTCAAAATCTGCAGTTATCCCGATCACATATTCGTAGCCAAACTCAGAGGGCATAGTGAAAAGCGATTCAAGATGAGGGATTTGAAGCGTCTGAGGAGGGGAAGAGTGAAGAATGGCGATGCCGTCGTCTTTGGTATAAGTGACAAACTGCTTCCCTACACTCACTTCAATAGCTATTCAGGAATGTCACTGGTTGTTGCTTACCGTGAGCGAGGACAACGACAAAATCAGCTCGATCCCAACTTGACCCTCGAACAACCTTCGTTCCACGTTCTGCAATAGTCCAGATCTCGCCTCCTTGCATACGAAGGGCACCAACGCCGCTGCCTTCTGGTGTCCGAATGAATCGAATGATTTCGGACTTTTCTTCGGCAATGCGTTCCAAGAATGTGGCATTTGTTTTGAGGCCATCTGACCTTGCATCAAAGAAGGATAGTGGAGAGAGATTTATCGACATTAGTGGAGGCGATGTTATTAGAGATAGAAGTGTAGGCTCGGGGTGAGGAAGGACATAAAGGAATGACGGTGGGTGGGAGAATATTGATGGCTGAGATTGTTGCAACGTGAATTGCTGAAGCAGTGTGGGTGGTCGGCGGTCTATGTTCTACAAAGGGGATCTTCAGCGCGCTAGAAAGCAGGTTAAAGAGGAGATATACCGCAACAGCAGTTACGACGACTGATCCATCTGCCAATACTCTCAGGAATAAGTCCCATCCTTCATCCTTGATCTCCTTTATCCGTCTCGTGCGAGCGTCGTCGACTTGTGATTCGTCTTTGAGGATATATAGGATGACTTTCTCTACTGTTCTGCGATCTAACCAGAACACGGAAGACGAGGATGACTCTAGTTGTTCTACGACGGAGAATGGTAGAGACGAGAACAAGTCCAAAGAGGCGTGAAGTTGCAAGTAATCTGGGGCGTCGAGCACTGGAAAGAATATACGCAGGGTGGCATCCGATGTTACCGAGTACAGTATAAGATCGTCGCTGAAGAACGCTTCGGAATCAACTGGGTTCCATAGGTTGTGGAAGGAACATATACAAACCGGCTCGAAGCCTGCGACCGCCGCCACGCTACCTTCGTGACTGGGCGCGGATGAGGTAGTAGTTGTGTTTGTCGCCCTGATGTAGTGGAATATAGCCTCACTCCATTATCCTTCTGTCTGCATGTCAATTAGACTCTCAATCACAACTAGAGTGATGGCGCACTTTCGATACAGTAGCAATGTACATCAGGGATGGTGCGATATTCAACAGTATTGGCGTCGGAGTGCTAACCAACGGATAAGAGGTGGATCAAAGTTGAGTGACGACACCACTCACGAAGCTGTCCACTTTGCAGACCAGGTGAGAAGGTCATTCTCGAGAACAAGTGTGTAGAGCGACAGCCTCCTCTCGCACCCAACAGCAAGAAGACCTGGACGTTGTAAAGACGCGCTCTAACAGAGCAGATGTTTCTTAGAACGCACCGGCCTTGTTATCCAAAGTCGTAACTTCATGGTTCTCTTGAAGAACCAGGGTAGAATGAATCCTCCAGATGTCTTGCTGGGTACCGGAAAGTGACCAGGCACATATTCGGGATTTCATTGAGGCAACTATCTACAAATACAACGATAAGACAGGCACGAATTGTAAGTAAACGGCTAGCACGCACAAGTTTCATACCAGAGTCGACTGAGATGCAAGAAATCTTGTCGGAGGTATGTTTCGCGCCGGGAAATGCTTCCCAGAATGCCAGGACGCGCACAAGTGCCAGGGTTCGCGCATTGAGGATTATGACGGCGTCTCCGGATGGGTACAACTGCTTTAAAATGAGTACTTGCGTCATCCGTTCGGATGCACGACTCACCAGGAGCGACTCGGATGGGAGATGGAGATACTGTACGCCTGCTTCAGGATACCCCGTACATGTCTGTTGAAGCTGCAGCATATCATGGGGACTGGGAATGTAGGTGGGTGATGGAGGGTAAACTCTAGTAACTTCACCTCCGACAGCACCGAAAAGGCATAGAGTCAGGTGACACCATGTCATTAATCGGCACACTGCAGACGCGCAGCCTACGTCTCTCACCATCTCCCTCAACCATGCACCTCCGTCAGTGCCTGCCATGGGCTCTGCTGGCAGTCTTGCTCCCAGCGATCTCGACGGCGTCGCAGATACCATTCTCGAAGCCGTCTCCATCTCGGATGACAAGGACCATCGTCGATGCTCTCAATGAAGACCCAGACTACACCTCCCTGCTTCGGTTGTTACAAAGGACACGACTTATCCCAACTCTCAACAGGCTCAACGCAACCACATTCTTTGCCCCGACTAACAACGCGATCAAGAAACACTCATCGCAGCCCGGCTCCCTCTGGCGCTTCGGTCTAGAGGAGGAAACGGATCTCGTTCCCGACAACATCCAGGAGCAACTCCGACAGCAACTTTTCTATCATCTTTTAAACGAGACAATATCACCGCTCCCAGAGGAGAGCTCAGTACCCTTCTATAAGACTCTCTTGTATCCCCGGAAACCTTCGGAGCCACCAACGCGCGAACCACCGCCCTACCCGCCATGGATGCCCATTCCCGGTGGCACACTCGGTGGAGAACAACAGCGACTACGACTTGCGTCTCTGGAGAACAATTTCCACGTGGGTGTCGATGCATTTGGCCAAGGGGGTGCGAAAGTCGTCAAAGGAGTGCAGGATGTGGGGAATAACACGGATAATTTTGTCCTGTTGGGCATCGATGACGTCCTGGAGCCACCACCAGACCTTGGTAGCGTAATTTCCCATGCAGCGAAGAGAGCTTCAGCTTATATCCTCGATAGCGTCCGTCGTCCAACAGTATTCAACGATCTCGTACTTCCAGAAGATCATGACGCCGGAAATCATGACGCGTCTGAACTCGACGTCAGAGCTAACGCTTTTCTTGCCGGTTGATAAAGCTTGGGAGGCCTTCCATCCAATCGAACGTCTTTATCTTGAAAGCGAATTTGCATCAGACGATTTGCACCGGATACTCGACATGCACGCCGTCATCGAGGAGCACGTTGCTTGGTCCGACTCCTTTGAGTCCGGGTTGAAGCGTAAGGCGACCTCGCAGTCCTCCGCAACACGTCTAACTTTCATTTTTCAGTGACAACTGTCAAAGGAACCAAGTTGGAGTTTGAAGTCACGCCTGAAGGAACCAAAGTTCGAAATGCCAAACTTACACAACCTGACATCTACGCGTCAAATGGTGTCCTGCACCTCGTGTCCTCCTTGCTTCTTCCGCCTGATTCTCTCAAACTAACACCAGAGAAGTACCTTCTCGCTCTCAACTGCACCAAGTTTGTTTCGCTTTTACATTCGGCCGACCTCGAGCATCTCATCAACGACACGCACTCGAAATACACGATTCTTGCCCCAAGAGACGACATTCTTAGCATATTTGAGGACCCTGAATTCCCGGAACCCGGTTCAGAAGAGCTGAAGAAGGTGTTGCAATATCACTTTATTCCCGGGCATTGGACACCCAACAAACTGAAGACGGGAAGCTTGTTGGAGACTGCCCTGAAAGAGCCGGGTTTGAACGATCATAGTCAAGTCTTGTTTGTCGAGGTTCAGTCTGAGGATAAGAAGAAGTCGGCTAGCAAAACTATCAGCTTTGGAGGGGCTGGGGTAATTGGTGACCCGGGTAAGTCAATGAAAGGATTCTCTGGTTATATTTCTGTCTGACCGAAATTAAACAGTCGAAGTCAACAATACTTTGATTTACTTCGTTTCACGGCCCCTCACACCTCCGCCTGATGTTTTCCAGGCCGCATTGCCTTTCCTTGATCTCTCATCTTTCTTGGCTGCGGTATTTTCGACCGCCAAAGCTGAAGCCCTTCGAGTACAACCCAGTACCACTTTTCTAATTCCGCACAACGATGCCTTCAAGCGCCTCGGACTCTTGGTCAGTGCCCACCTTCTCTCAGCCTCCTCGAAGGACGACCTGGAGAACGTCATCATGCACCACGTTTTGGACACGGTGCAGTACGCGGCCCCCTTCCAGAATGGCTCGCAGCACAGCTTCAGCACGTTGGAAGGCAGCGACATCAAGGTGGATCGGTTTGCGAATGGGACGGCCCTCGTCAGCTCCAGTGGTGGTTGGGCTGATTTGCGCGCGGGGCTGCAGACCCGGGACCTTCTGACGAAAACGGGCGTCATACACGAGCTGTCAGACATCATGATCCCGCGCTCGGTCAGCATATCTATTGGGAAGCTTGTGAAAGCAGCGAAGGGCAGCACCATGACGACTCTAGTCAATAAAGCAGGATTCGAGTGGATCCTGAATGGTACAGCACCACCTGAAGGTTCTCCGTGGTCAGATGCCAATGTCGGATGGACACTGCTCTGTCCACCAGACGATGCATTCAAGACGTACAACTTGACGCAATTATACTCGGACCTTGAGGGCCTGCGGAGCCTCGTCGCGCAACACCTTATTCCAACGCCCGTGCAGGCGACATTGGGGGAGTCCGATGACCCTGTCAGTAACAACCGCCCTCTTGTCTTGGAGGACGCGACCTACTCCACCCTCCAATCTGAGCAGTCAGCATACGGTGACATTGTGTTCCAGCGAAAGACCGGCTCCGCTGATTTCATCGTCGGCATCAAGGGTGCCCGTGGCACCGATGGAAAGGACGACTGGGCCCGCGTCGTCGCCTGGGGCCGCTCGACAACGGGCGGTGGGACAGGCGGTGTCATCCAGATTGACCGCCTGCTGACCCCGTATAAACCCTCGTGGTGGTTCGCGTACGGCGCACCGTCCGCTGTGGGCGGTGGCGGTATGGTTGCAATATGCGGCTTCTTCTATGGTGTCAGAGCAATCTGGAGACGAGACACAACTGAAGCGACGTACGAGCCTGTCGGTGGGTTCGGACGAGATGATGATGATTCATAGATTGCTTTAACAGTAGCGCACACACACGAGTGCGGCTGCATAGAGGGGGACTGTAGGAATAGCAACATCTAGGTACTAATGATTGTATGTATATATGATATTTTACATTTTGCGGGCAGACGCTCCCGGTTGACGCGTCGTTTTTATTCACATCGTCGTTGACTTGCGAAGTCTGAGCTGGCGCGATTTGGCGCCTTCGCGGCCTGGTAGACAATGCTTTGAGTCTCAATGAAAGAATCCATTGAAAAACCAATGAAGCCTTGTCTTTTTAACATTTGCTGTTAGCCTTCTCGTTCCTTGCGGCCAAGTGACTTCGTTTCTGGGTAATGACCAGCACGCGATAGGGAGACGCGACGCGTCGTGTATATACGCGTGGAGATTGATCGGATGTCATCCATGTGAAATCAGGAGGGCAGAATTTGGCAGCCGGTCCGGAATAAAGACTGTCCTCGACTCGGGCGTGCTCGCTTCCTCCCCGCATCCCTGTCCGCCAGTGCGCCAATCCCCACAAAATGGTTGGTCACTGCCCAACACAGGGGGAACGCGATCGCTGACGCCTTTCAACCACAGAGCAGCGAGGCGCCAGCAGCAGAGGAAACCGGTGTCTCCGCGACAGAGTCCGTCAAAGCGTTCATTGCGGGAGGCTTCGGTGGTGTCTGTGCGGTTCTCGTTGGTACGCACATCGAAGTTCTATGAAATCGTAATCCCCTCCTTATCCAGAGTCTAGGTCATCCATTCGATCTGACGAAGACGAGGCTGCAAACTGCTGCTCCTGGAGCATACAAGGGCGCCGTTGATGTCGTGAAGAAGACCGTGGCGCAGGATGGCATCACTGGGTATGTAGGGTGGTCTTAGAGCCACCTCCACGTCCTGAAGAATTGATACGATGCCCATGCCAGGTTGTATCGGGGGATGGTGCCTCCCCTGCTGGGAGTGACGCCCATCTTCGCCGTCTCATTCTGGGTACTTATATTCGTTCGTCCGTGTATTCGGGAATAGTGCACTCATTCCGGAACACGACGATAGGCATATGACGCCTCGAAGCAGTTGATCTATGCCTTCACGCCCAATAGAACCTCGCAGGCTCTCTCAATTCCCGAGCTTGCCACGGCAGGCTTCCTCTCCGCTGTCCCGACAACGTTGATCACTGCCCCCGTGGAACGTGCAAAGGTGCTACTACAGGTGCATACTCTCTTCCTAACCTACATTCCGGATACACTGTTCTAACAAGCTTTCCTTGGTAGGTCCAAGGCCAGGCGGGCTCTGAGACAAAATATAAGGGTGTCACCGATGTACTGAAGCATCTGTACAAAGAGGGTGGCGTGAGGAGTATTTTCCGGGGCACCGGTGCGACATTAGCTCGAGACGGTCCTGGAAGCGCTGCGTATGTCAAACACTACATTCACTACCGTGAAGCAAGAAGCTAATGTTAGACGGCGAGCAAAGATACTTTGCCGCGTATGAAGTCACGAAGAAAGCACTGACACCGGCTGGTTCCTCGCCCTCTGATCTCAATTTGGGTGCTATTATCGTCGCAGGAGGCACTGCGGGTGTAGCGATGTGGAGTTTGGCCATCCCTCCTGACGTGCGTCTCCATTTTGCTATTTGCTCTCTAAAAGTAGACCCCTGCTCATTCCTTCTACGCATTTGGAACAGGTCATTAAATCGAGACTACAATCTGCGCCTTCAGGAACATACTCTGGGATGCTCGACTGTGTGCGCAAAACAATTGCTCAGGATGGCGTTCGTGCCCTGTGGAAAGGTTTCGGACCTGCTATGGCCCGGGTACGTACACGGTGTGGTTCATGAATGACCCGGTGAAGCTGACGGAAGCCCGTCAACTATAGGCTTTCCCTGCAAACGCTGCCACATTCGTCAGTGCTTGTTTCGGCCTTAAGGTGTTCATATCTCATAGTGTCATTATAGCTCGGTGTGGAGGCTTCAAGAAACTTCATGGATAAATTATTCTAGTTCGAACATTTAAGAAACAATGCAAGGATTACGAAATTATACCTCCTAATTGCTGTGTCCATTCACGTCGACGAAGGGAGCAGTATACTCCTTCACGCTGTCCAATTGCTATTCAAATATCATCCGTTACTTTTGTATGCCTAGATAGTACAACAATGTGATTAGAAGATCTAGATTGTGCAGCACTTGTTTCCCAGCGTCTATATGCGTGTTGTCTTGATATTATTACTTCCAGGCCGAAGGGATCTTCGAGACGATGTCGGCCCAGTGGGAGAGCCTGCCTTTTTCCCACTCTTCAATGTATGAAAGTCCGGAGCTACCACGGCGGCCTTCTTCGATCTTCAGACGCTTCTCCCCGTCGCACCAAAACAGAGCCCAGGGTCCCATCCGGACATGCCCCGTGCTGCGTTCGAAATACCACTTGTTGACGGGATTATTCGACCGACTCCGCCAAACGAGATCGCGCCCCTCACCCTTGCCTCCGCGCCCACCGTTCGGGTTAGCAGAGAAAGGATGGCCCAGTCCGTACGACTCATCGTGCAGCGCGACCCACAGGAAGTCCACGGTACCGTCGCCCTGATGGCTAGGAAGCACTGCGAACTTGTCGAGGTACGAGATGGGCTCGCCACCTTTCTTCGATGATTCGTTCGTGACGATCGCGGCCCCGGCATAATCACCGGCGACAATGACAAAGTCGAGCGTCTTCTCGAGGCGGGTATAGAACGCGTCTTCGTCTAACGTACGCTGGAAAGACTGCTCGAGCAGAGCATTCATTTTGGTTTTGTCGATGTCTGCGACGGATCGTAATACTTGAATAGGAAGGCCGCGTCGGAGAAGTGTTGGAGTGTGGGGTGTGAGACTCCGATTTCCTTGTAGGAGGGCGTGAGGAAGGCTGGAGCTAACCGCAGGCTTGTTCGTGATGAGGTTCCCGATGAGTGAGCTTGGTGATTTATGGGAGACCATGATGGCGGAGGACGTTGTCGGCATGTACGCTAGACATGTGCGCGCGAGGGCGAGGTTAGAGAGGGCAGACGGATTTGAGTGGTACCACCGTGGGTCGAAGGTCTCATGAATATGCTGGTACTCCGACGTCAGATTAATGAGCAGGTGCGGATACCCTGACCGCGCATATGACGGTACACCCCCATCTCGGTTGATGATCATGAGACGCAGCGGTGTAAGGTCGACTTCGTCCGAGAAGTCGAGATTGCCGTCTTCGACAGCGCGGCTCTTGGCCCTATCCAGGGCTGAAGCTCCCACCATGCCTCGCGCAAGGCCGGCGATAACGTCGTTCGCGTCTACGCGAACGGACCGACAAAATGAATCAAGGGCGAAGGGCGCAATTACAGGGATCTCGCCTGCCCTCAGCGCAGAACGGATTGGGGTCAGGTCAGAGGGTAAGATGTGGGTCTCGGGCGGTTCGAAATCTGGATCGGCCGACGGAGGAGTTGCTTCTGAATCCTCTTGCTTGGGTCCTAGCCTGACCACCGCACCAACAATAGGACGAGCTCGCGAACCCTGCCTCTCGAGGTTGGTGACGATGCGCATCGTCTCGTCTACTATGGACGCACGTTCGTCCTCCTCTCCGCGGGTCCGCTCGTCGTTCTCGACAACGATGACGCTGACTAGGCCGAGCTTTTCGAGGTAGACGAGGCCGCGACATATACTTTCTAGCTGCTTGTCCGTGAATGGACCTTGGATCTTGACAAGAGAGGTGCGGCGGTATACAGGATTGAGTATGGATGCAATGACCGGACTCGGCTGGGGAGCCTCTTGGACGTCTGTGGTTGACTTGGTGGAGAGGACAGGTGAGGAACCAGAGGGGATTGTGCTAGAGACAGGTAATTTTGTCTCGTTGGGTGATGGTTGGGAATTGGGGCGAAGGCCAAATGATGCGAGGTAAGAGCGGGCATCCCTAAGCGATGGGTTCGTGCGCAATATTGACAAGATAAAGTCCTAGCACAGCGTCAGAGATAAGAAACGTTGCGAGAACGACGCGCTTACGTTGTCTGGAGGAGGAAAATCGTCGGATGGTTCTGGAGGAGCCGCTCTGCCGCGCACAGTCTGCAGAAGGATCAGCACGGCGCCGACGACGACAAGAGTGCCAACTCACGGCATAAAAGGCCTTGAAGGTATGGGAGCGCTGCGCGGAGAGGGCCGCTGCGATGCGGGAAGGATTACAGTGGGGGATCATGAAGGGGGGATTTGTGGGATCATGGGTGGTGGTAGGAGTCAGTTTTATGAGCGCACAGGCGAAGCGGTGTACCGTGTTTTTTATCTGATAAGATTTCCCGAGATCGCAGCCGATCAGGTCCGATCCGCCCACACTTACACCATCTTGGGTACCCCATCTTACACCTCTCATCTCAGAATCCTTCTCATTGGACCCAGGACAGCCCATGAACGCTATATTTGCTTCCCCATAGAGCTTATTATTAACGCCATTGGTTCCGCTGCTCCAACGTGTCTCGCCGACAATTCTCGTACTCACCTCTCCAGTAGGCTTTCATCTCCTCGTCAAACTTTCTTCGCGATTATCCGACAATAAGCCAAGTCTTTACACGCTCCAGATCTGCGATATATCGGCTATTGGCTCCTTGTTGCGCACTGTTGCGCGACTTTCGTATGATTCCATCTGATTTCCTGGGCTTCTCCAACCGGCCGCTGGGTATCCACACCCTTTACACCGCAGGCCGCACTAAAACACGAAGATGCGATACTCACCGCATTCTTCCTGCATAACATCTGCTATCAGCTGCGACATCTCTTCGCCCGATGACATAGGAAACTCACGTCTACGAGAATAAGCGCGTCCTCGCTGCACAGTACGCTGCAATGGTCATGGGCGTCTGCGATGTGCAGCGTTCGATACCAGAATGGGAGACGTGTATGCACTGACTTGCGGAATATTCCCTGCGCATCTGTCACCGTCTTTGTCTTCTTGACTAGGTTTCCCGAGCTCATCGTGGTTCCACCACTATCCCGTCCAATCGCCAGTTGATTGAAGTCACAAACATTCACCATAAGCCCCGGCTTCTCAGCATCTGCTGCCAGAAATGCATATCTGGTCCCATAGACATAGCAGACCCAGGTAGCCGAAGGAGAACCCCAGAAATCCAGCAATCGTGTTTCGATAGGCGCCCACCGCTTCCATCGGAAATTTGACGCCGGTGAAGGAGTGTTCTCTTTCGAGAGCGATAAGAGATAATGAGCGGGTATGAAATGAAGGAATTCTTTTCTGTCTTCGTCTGGATCTTCAAATGGCATTCTGTTATCATCGTAAAACATCATTTGCACCACAATTATGAATTCGCGGGGATCCTGAGAGAAAGGTGTGTCGCCCGAGGTATTACCTGGCTTCGGCAATGGTCCAGGATCTGCGCGAATGACCGCATCACGGAAAGGAAGATTTATTGGCTGTTCTGGGTAGTGGAATTTGTGAATCAGCTTGATCTGATCGGTGTCTTGTCGTTCTGGACTCTCCTGTCTGAAATCCACGGTTGCGAGCAGAGGATCGAACAGGTCATTCGTTACGCACAAAAGAACCCAGTCTTCCGAGAGCATGGTAAAGGCATATAAGTGATCGCTTGCAAGAACCTTGAAAGCGACTTCATTTAGCGGCTTCAGGTTGCGAGTAGTGAACTTACGAAAAGGCGTCGTCCGGATTTCCAGTCCCATATTGCGAGCTCGCTGTACTCATCGGCTTCGATGAAGAGACTGACAGCAGTCCCGAACACTTGGACGATGTAGCTCACTTGCTCGTCCCGTATGGTTCCTGCCAGTGATAAAAAACCCGGCTTGGGAACCAGCGGATGTTTCTTCCCAGTACTCAAGGAGCGGAGGTGAAGCCTAGTTTCAAGCTTCTCGTCCGGAAGTGACCTGTATCGTTCCTCCCCGTTAGTCTTGTATGATTACATCAACGCCACGACTGACCAGTCTGCATTTTCGACCAGGACAAGAAGATCTTGAGATGGATCCATTGCAAAGTCTCGCACAGTAAAACCAAATTTCTCGTCCACCGTCCACGTCCTTTCCTCAATGGAACGCAGGTCCGAAGGGAATTGGTGGAAAATCAGTTTGCCGTCCTCGATGTTCTGAGCCAGAACACCACCACACAACTCCCAAAGCCCCTCACGTTCGACCGGTATTCGAATCTCCCTGTTATATTTCAGTTGCCTGTGTGCTTCGCGATGTTTCTTCAGTTTTTCGAGGCGGAGTGTTGACGGCAGGATGCAATTTGGTTCATTTCGAAGAGTATCGACAGCAAGCTCAATGATGTACTGCAAAGAAGCAGTCTCGGTGATCAGCTTTTTGAAGAGAGAGCAGACCTGGACGCGTAATAAACTGTCAGAAAATGCTCAAATATTTCTTGGAGAATAATTACCCTCATGCATCGTAAAATCTCCCAAAATTCGAGGTGTTCAAAGATTCTGATATAGAGCTCGAATGGGAGCTTTGCGTACAGAACGTTTTCAGATTTGAAGAAATCTGTTTCTTTCTTCGGACTACGCGTCGCTAAGCGCGTCGCTGGTGATTTGAGAGGTGTAGAGGGCATTGCTGCTTGGATTGGGGTATATAAAAAGAGTCGCAAATGTGACCCGGTTGATGCTAGCCGCGGCCAAAGTTGGGAGCACATGACCTCATCGAGTCTGAGATGAGCGCATCTTGTCTGTTTCCTATCCTACCGTTCCCCCTTCCGTTTCTCTCCTTCGCGTCTCTCTATATCCGCAATCTATACCAGCCTAATACCATCGATTTGACCGTGAGGCTCACATGCCAGCACCCTCTTCCAAGACCTCATCTGGGACCAAGGTAAGATCGAAAATCGCGAAAAAGGCGCCGCCCTTAATTGATCACCAATCCTTGTGCTAGCTTTTCCAGCAGGACATCGTTCAAAAAATCTCGGCACCAGAGTATACAGGAATTGTACTGGTACGTGTCTCTGTCTATGCAGCGAGCCGTGCGACCAACGAGTTCGCTCCAGAGATGTTGGCACGACGCTGAGGAGGACCAGCCGCCAATACCTCACGCGGATCCGCTCATGCGGCCTCTCACATATGGGGAGGTCGGCGTATCTTTCGTCTCACATGGCGCCACGCGCGAAATCCTCCCCGAGTCGAGCCTCCGTCTCGTCGATCGCACCCTTCAACCGGGCGACTACTGCAAGCGCTCTTTCGACGACGTTCGCTCGGGAGTCGTGAAAAAGATCACGACCAAGGCTCGTGTGGCCCATGCTATCAGCGACGTGAAAGTGGACAGGTGGCTCTCTCTCGAGGATGTAGAGGATAGGCTGGAGGCGGAGCTTGGTGATTATATCTTGAACGATGATTGGATAGGTCAGGTATGTGTTTGATATGATCAATTAGGGTTCGACATTGACTATGGGATTCGAAAAGGTCGTGGAGGTACGCATGACAAGACGGAAATTATTTTTATTCTTCAATCCTTTCAACTCTCCAGGTCTTCGATGAATACATTGTACAAGTTGGGTCAGGACGGCTCGTCAGACTTCCAGAACTCGGCTCCCGGTTGAGTGTTGGAGAATCTGGTCCAGTACGCCTCTCCTGCTTTTCGTTTTAAACGTACAAATCTGAAACTTCTTTGTTCAGAATATCCTCCCTCCAATTGTCCTCGGCGCGGATGATCTTGATAGCACTGGAAGTGCTAAAGATACAGTCATCGCCGTGAAGCACAATACGTATGCCATCACTTGGTTGGCTCTTAACCAGTCGGCAGGTCCTTCATCAATGGCGCAAACCCTATGTTTGGCTAACTATACTTACTTTCTTCCTGCAGTTACCGCCAGCTGAGTCAGAGAAAAGACCGCGACCGAAGAGATTCTGGCATGGCGAAGATTTGAGCCAGTTAACTCTGGTTCGTATGCCCTCAGACTTGGAAATGCGGGCCGGAGACCGTGTTCGTCTGAAGAACACGACAAACATGCCGGTAACGTTCCATGGCAATGCAAGCGACCCCACTGGTGTCGTGCAAGTCCAGCAGTTTGTGGTCAAAGAGACGATGTCAACTGTGGAAATACTATGGCAGGATGGCACACGAGAAACTCTCAAATCGACCAAGGTCATCCCATATCTAAATCCAGATGAATATGACTGCTGGTGCGCTTATTTCATCGAGTCTTTATTTACTCTTCCTCAACGTCGAAGTACAGGCCTGGTGATCACGTCGTCTGGAAGAATGAAGGCGAAACGAGGCCGGCCATCGTACAGTCTGTGAATGCGGTCGATAGAACGGCCATGATTCTATTTCCAGACACTGGAAAAATCGAACTGGCGTCTTTATTAGAGCTCGACCCTCATGGAAACTCGGACGTGAATGCAGCAACAGGCCACGAAGAATTCGGCGTGCGCCACGGCGACTTCGTTTTCATTCATGCAACTGGGACTACCAACGGGATGGAGCCTCCAAAAGTGCCGCGAATTGGTGAAATCGAACCTTGGGTTCGCGAGTCACCCTTCGTCGACGGTGAATTTGCTGGTTGGCGGAAAGCACTCCACGATATAGGGGTCGAAGTTGCTGCTCAACGGGGTATTAGCTACGTGAATGAGAAGCCCATTCAGCAACCGGAAAAAGGGAATAGTCAGCTTCATTGGTGTGGAGAAGTTACGGCTGTATGTGTCTTTCATGTATCTCACAAGCTGCTATCTCACACGCTGCTGATAATCACTGTGAAACTAGTTGCACTTGGATGGAACCGTCGAAGTCACTCATCCTGATTTTTCTGTCGCCTCATATCCGTTGACACGATTGACTCGCCTGTATGATGGACTCGAGCAACTGCAGGACGAAGGATGGGATGACGATGGCGAGGAAGGTGACATCGATGATGGAGCTGAAACATGGGCGATGGACGAGGATGGCAAATGGCAGCCTGAGTATGGAGACGACGAATGGGAGGATGTTTCGTCGACGGGTGCTGTTGCCGATCTTGTGGACATTTTGGATGAGGACTCGATGGACGAGGATGAGCTCATGGAAGACTTGCCTTCCCACCCAGACCTAGAAGACGAATTGCAAATGGCTCCTGGCACCGAGAATCCTTGGAATCTTGGCCCAGATCTGAAGCAAGGACAACCGACTACTCCACCTTCAAGTACGCTCCCACCGGACGAAGATATAAGTACTGCAACGCCAACTCAGCAATCACGTAATGACGAAGCAGTGAAAGACGAAGACGAGCCGATGAAAGGCGAATCTTCGTCTAATGCACACGCCGGCCTCGACTGGAATCGATTTGAGATTCTGCCTTCTGCACCAGTTGACCATGCATTCTACTCTTCTCCTCATGCACAACCACCGAAGTCATTCCTGGCACGTCTGCGGAGGGAGTACCGTGCGCTCGAAAGCAGCCTTCCTGGTTTGTTTCTTCAATGTTTTTTTCCATTCTCGCTTTCATGGCTGAATCCTTGTTCTCGTCAGAATCCATTGTTGTCAGAGCCTTTGAAGATCGCACGGACCTGCTAAGATCTCTCATCATTGGGCCTGCCAATACGCCATACGAAGACGCCCCGTTCGTGATAGATTGGATGTTAGACTCAAACTTCCCCAATAGCCCTCCTATCGCCCACTTCCTCAGCTGGACTAACGGCAATGGACGCGGTTAGCACTTCAAGTAAATTTCTTGCAGCCAATACTGATCTTCGTCTCAGTCAACCCCAACCTCTATGAAGAGGGCAAAGTCTGCCTATCGATCCTCGGTACTTGGACAGGAGACAAGACCGAAGTGTGGAGTCCGGCACGTTCCTCTATCCTGCAAGCCCTCGTTTCAATCCAGGGCCTCGTCCTAGTGAAAGAACCGTATGTTTTCGCTTCGGTTCCACCTCAGTAATTTCTTGATAACGACGTGTAGGTGGTTCTGCGAGCCCGCATATGACAAGCTACGAGGAACCGAAGAGGGTACTGTCAACAGGTGTGTTCATGCAAATACCGTAGAGTAAAATTCATTCGCTCATTCGCCTGTCTGCAGTCGACTATACAGTGAAAAGGCCTACGTCCTATCTCGCGGCTTCGTCCGCAGAGCGCTCGAAATTCCTCTCGGCGGTCTTGAGTCAGAAATATCCAAGTTATACCACGAGAAAGGTTACTTGCGAAAGGTCATCGATGATGCCCAAAATTTGATACAGAAAAGCCGGGACAATGCTCCTCTAGCAAAAGAGGACCAAGACCTTGCTGTACCCAGACTAACAACAGGAGGAATTATCACACTCGAACGGACGTTGATCAAACTACAAGGACTACTAGACAAGTCTGGCCAATAGTTATACTTACGCTATCTACGTTGTGTCCACATCCGACTGACTTATACGTACCTTCTTCGATAATTCTTGCAGCTCATAATGTCAAATACTCAAATGCAATATATCTTGCAAACTCTCAAACCCTGTTTGATTGCAATGGTGTGAGTGAATGGATAGTAACTACGCGAAAGTGTCCCATAGAGTCGATTTGAATACGAACTACGGATGGAGATGTGCTACACTAAAATGAACAATGTACGAATGAAAGGAGCGGCACAGGGGAAGATACACTACCCGAATGGTAAGTGGAACTCAATCCCCTACATCACGGGTAAAGTCGTATAGAATGATCGCAATACAGAACAGCACAACCGTCTCGCGGTGGGAAGTCCAGGATGCAGGTCAGGCTAGCATTGCCCTAGGAAGCTGCTTTTCGGGAACGGCTGCTTGTAGTCGTCTACCCATGTCGTCAAATTTGGATTTGTGTACGCCTCGATATATCTGCAAAAGTTGACGGAGGCCACTATCTTAGCACTGGCAGCGAACGGAAGGCGGAAGAACGTACTGCTCAATGTACGCAGCTGTCGGGAAGTTCTTCGGATCGCAGCCAATATTGATCGCGCCCCGGGGCTGGTATACCCGGATGTAATCCACGCGCATCGTCGCCGGGAACGTCAGGTGCTCGAGGTCGACATCACCGAAATTGTTCGACATGCCGAGGTTAGCGAGGATGTACTAGAAAAGGGAAATGGCCAACTGGAGTTAGGGGCCGCGGGCTGCACGGCGAGTGGTAAGAATCTATCTCACCAAGGGCTCCTGGGGAATTGGTCTTGCGGAGATGTTGACCTTAGGGTCGGCGGCCATCCCGCCTGCATTCATCGTCCACGCAAGCTTGTCGTTCGAGATCCACGAGATGTACTGCAAAAGGGCGTACTTTCATTCCTGCTACCTGAGGAAAGAACAGAAAGGCACTTACAGCTCCATCAAACCCAGGCGTATACTCGAACCCATAGACCGAAAAGCATCCCTTCCCTGTAAGCTCATAACAATTTTGGTCTATTCACCCCCACCACCAGCCCATCATCAGTATCAATCCCACTCAGGGGTCGAAACCCCAAAAATCCACAAAAAACTCACCCGTTTCAGAAACGACCGACGTCGCCTGCTGGAACACGCCGCCCTTGTACTCGTTGAGCACCGAGATCGTCGGGTCGGGTATGATCAAATTCGCGGAGGTATTAAACCAATCATAACCGGCATTGAAGGGCTGTTGCACGTAGGATACCGGATTTAGTTGTTGGCGGTGCTGTGTGGCGCACGAATGCCAAGAGGATCTGCACTTACCGCCCATTGGGATGATTGTGAGACTTGGCCTGTTAGTGGTGTGCCGCTGATCTAGAAATGTCGTTAGTGCGGGGATGAAAAGTAGGCTTGAGGTATCGGCTTACTTGAGCCTCGAATATGTCGATTTCGGGAGCTGCGCGTCCGACGTAGGTGCCGTCAGAGTGTACGGGTCCTGGATGGGATTCCCCTTTACATGTGCATCTAGAGAGTTTCTGACCGGGCAGGTAGGACAGAACGCCCCCGTTCCCTGCATCACCGTTGACGGTGGCGGCGACAGGCAGACCATTGAGAGTCTGATTTGGAGCGGTGCCGACATCACATGCGTCGTAGGTGTATGGCCACTGGAAAAGTAAAGATATAGTCTATTAGAACATCCGAAAACTTCAAACAGAAAAAGCTCCTCACCATCCCCTCAAGGCTTGCACCGTAACCAGCCCTACCTGAAAATAGTTTATCACAACTCGAAAATAGGGACCTCGCGACGAGAGCGCAACTGCGCACCTAAATTTCCCATTGTCCATATGGCAGGCCAGAGCCCCACAACATTGTTGGCGCCGGGAAGCGTGACCGCCGACTCAATGAGCCCTCCGGTAAAGCAAAACTTGTTCCACGTCGTCATCATTCCTCCCTGATAGTTGAGCCCATGAGTCGCCTTTTGGGACAGAGTAATCTCCAACGCGCCGTTATTGGTCATGATTGCTGCGGGGTCGTACCATTCCAGGTTGTTCGTCTAAGCGGCGAACGCGAACAGGAAATCTTGTCAATTGAGCTATTTCGGGAACAAGGAGTAAAAAAAAATGATCCACTCACAGCCCAGTAATGCAAATCAACAGCTTCCCAGTACGGGTCGTCCCCTGGATAGAATGTCCGTCCGTCGGTGTTGAATTCGTCGCTGAACACGAGCTGCATCTCCACTGTAGGGTCGTGGTACGAGGGCTTGACGTACACGCTTTGAGGCGTATCCACATCGATGAGGCCCCAGTTTCCAGCCATGGTGGGAATCTGACCAGACGCGTTGATGCCTCCAATATTAAACCCCCCCAACGTGGATGGTCGAGTAGAGGTAAAATGGGAAATGAGTGGATATCCGGCACTGAAGCGAAGCGACAACAACGCGTGAGAGGTAGTAAAGCGAGGAGGTGGAGATGGGTGACGTACAAGAGCGCGAGCAGCCCCACACACAGCAGAATCAGGCAGCCGAGGTTGGTGAGCCCGCGGTAGGTGAAAAGGTTGGCGCCATGATCGCTCAAACGGTCCCGCCGTGGATCAGGATTATGCAAATAGTCGTCGGATTCTACGAAGTCTGGAGAGAGGTTTGAGCCCCAGGCGGTTGGGTCTGGCGAGAGCGAGAACTGGGACACAATGGCGGTCAGCGAGCAACGACAGACCCACGCGAAAGTGCGTTGCATACCTTGTCTGAGACCGACGAGACTAGAGAGCCATGTTTGCTTGAAGGTAACGAGCCGTACCGTGAGTCCAGGTGAACCTGCGATGTCTAAGGTGAGCTTGGCGCGACACAACCAAGAAATGAGCGCTAACCAGGGAACCTTGGCTTGGTGTTCGCTTGCCTGAGTAGGCGCCGGGGACGAGTGCGCTTGGCTGGAGGAGATTTGCTGAGGACGGGGAGGTTGCTGGGCGCAGGTATTGGCGTCGCTGGGCGTTGGGGCCGAAGAAAGACATTCGGCGTGCAGAGCAGAGAGCGGCAGTGACACCCCAAATCCACAACCAACTTTCTCAGGCTGCTTACCTCAGCTGCTGCGTTGGAGCATCACCGCCATAATCCTTCTCCCTCCCCTCCACGGCTCCCCTTTTTTTGCCGTCATTTATGGGTCCATCTAACAGATATATGTCATTTTGCCAAGCTCAACGCGCTCAGGGTCGCTCTCTGATCCCAGACGACGCCAAGCATTACTGCCAAGCCAAAGAGATAATTATCTAAGCAGATGAAATATCCCTTCCCCATCCGCCAGTGCCTCCCTTACCAGCTCAAGGCCAAGCTCGCTTTTGCCTGAGCTCCGACCCGCTGCTTCCAACCGTTCTAGCACAGTCTGCGTCAAATCTTCACAAGAAAACGTAGGATCTTTACTCAAAGCTTCCATCATGGACGCCTTGGCCGCCTGATACTCTGCCAAATTCTCTCCTCCTGCGTTCGATGGTCCAGGCCTAGAGACCCACTCCTCCAGCTCTTCCAACGCCATCCTCGCCATCTTCCCCTTCTCCCTTCGCGGAGGCCTGCCCTTGCGTTTCTGCGCTGCCACGTCCGAGAACCCGAACCCATCTTCCACATATAGCTCCCTGGGCAGCTCTCTCGGGTTCATCGCCCCGAGGTCGCTCTTGGGGAGGATGAAGAACACCCGGTCCTTAAATAGCCGCGACAAGAGGTGTCGGGCGTGCGGCTGGAGAGGTGCCAGATGCGGTGTTGCCAAACATTCGGGCATAGTTGTCAGGGAAAGGTAATGATCTGCAGGAGGACGCACGTTCAGTAGGTGCCAGCTTCAAGGCGGAACGGACGTGCCATAGGGGATGGGGATGTTGCTAATCGATCGCAGAGCCGGTATTGGATCCTTGATTTGGGTGTAGAAAAAGATGTACAGCGAGAACAGAGCGACCGCCCTCGTGAATGGAGCTTCTGTTCTAACCGTCCGTTCTATGCCATACCCTCAGTCAACGTTGATGAAAGAGTATCGGCAACAACACACCGAGAAACATTCGCGCTGTCACCTCCAGAAACGTCTGTCGCGACCGATGATCAAACACCTTGAAGTGCAACCAGTTCCAGCCCATCTGCAGCCAGACCGTCTTGAATAGCGTGAAGGGCTTCATCGACGTCTGCGCATACGCCTCATGGTACCGGAGTATAAGTGTGGATATGTCGTCTCTAAGAGCCCTGACATAGACGGAAGAGGTGAAGTAGTTCGGCTGGAGGACGATATCGCCCCGACTTGCCGATGGAGCGGGTGCAGGAAGCATGGGGGGTTGCACCGCCACAAATGAAAACGCGTGACTCTACTCTGTTGACTACTACTGCGTCCCGAAGTGGCCGGATCCTCCTCCAACCCTGCTCTCCCTCCTCCTCGATGCCCGCCCTCTTCCGGCGGCAGAGCAACATCCAATGCTTCTTCTGCAACTCAGCCATTCCCATCCCCGTCAACACCCGCAACTTCAAATGCCCCAGCTGTGCCTGCTGGAACCGCTACGACGAGCGCGGCGAGATCATCTCTGACGAGCCCGCCATGCACGACGAGCACCTCAACTCGCGTTCCTTTGCCAAGCGCGGTGAGTTTCTTGTAGATTGGGGGACTGTTCGTGCTGATCAGGATGCCACTACCCAGCTTCACCCAGCAAGAATCGTCTGCCTACGATGTACGGCCCCGGCCCGTTCTGCCATTCGTGCCAGACGAACCAGATGCTCATCATCAACCTGCTATCCAACTACCTACCTGCGCCCGAGGCGAGTACACTCCTTCCACCCACCCATCCCATCCAAGCACTAAATGATGTCGTACTTAGAGCCCCGAATATCAATCCCGCGTCGACATGCTCCCCGCGTACCGCGAATCCCTGCACGCGCGCTACCCGCCCGTATGCGACGCCTGCCTGCCCCAGGTCGAGGAGGAGATCAGACAGAAGGAGCAAATGGCCCGCGCGAAAGCCCTTGGCGGGTGGTTGAGCAAAGGGAAGGAGCGCAAGCGGCGCGTATCCTCTGGACCGGATATGGAGAGGGAGAAAGTCCTGGCGCCCGAGACAGTGTTCTGGTGGAAGGTCCGCGGTGCGCTCTGGGTCCTGTGTTTGGTCGTGTCGGTGGTTGGGAGCGGTTCAGGTACGAGGACGGTGAGCTTTGGGTAGAGAAGAGTACTGATTTGTGGGACGTGCAGCCGCGTATGGACGGCATCCTTTCGTTCGTCTAACCTTCCTACACCCCTTGCTTCCACTTCTGGCTGCTTTATCTCTATTATGGACCGCCTGGGACCCGACGTACGCGTCGTATCGAAAAGCGCAAGTCCAAGGACGAGACGTCCGAATACAGGGCAAGCGCACGTATAATGTTCGTGTTCTCCACCTCCTTCATATTCTCCGTACTAAAAAAGGATCCATCAGATGCTTCAAATATCTGCTTGGTCAATACGCTTTCTATCCTCCATCATCCTCTGTATACGCTGGTTCAACGCGCACTCAACTGTCATTCCTTGGTCCAATGACAACCGGATATATCCACTAACTGTATTATGCATTGAACTCATCGTGCGTCTCCTCCTCCTCCTTCCTACTCTGAGCACTGAATCAACTCTCCCAGACGATCACCGCCTCATGCTCCGTCCTACGAATCCAACAACCCCCCTCCATCCGCCTCATCGACACGCACTCACACAATCGACTAGACGACAAATCACGCTCCAGCACACCAAATCCTACCTCCGCCCCACCTCGCTCCTCTTCCGTAACCCGCTTCCCCTCAACACTGCCCGAACACGATGCCCTCGCCACCCTCTCCCTCTCCTCCAAGCCCGTCGTCGTCGCCCAACCCATCTTCGGCCTGCCCTCGCTGCACGGCGCGTCCATGCCTTCGCGGATGGAAGAACCCGCAGCGGACGACGCTATGGATTGGTCGCCTACGAACCCCGACGGGTCGTCCTCTTCGCCTGCCTTTGGTGGGAAACGCCCCGCCTCCAGCTCTACGGAGAACGACAACTGGCTCCGCCCACAAAAGTTCTTCGCACCCGAGAAACCGACCGGGCTCGAGGGGCTCTTGGAGGGCGCGCGAATACAGGACGAGCCGATGCCTTACGAGCCTGCTGATGGCCCTCGAGGGAGAGGGAGAGGAGAGAGATCTGGGGCAGTAGCGAACCACCTCTGGATATATGGCCCATTTTATGTGCTGGGGATTGCGCTTTTGGTAGTTGGTGTACATTATACTTTGAAATGGGCAGGCCTTGCCAAGTGAGCGCTGCTGTAACATTTTATGCGTGTCTAAAGAAATTGGAATCGTTACTTAGAAATCTAGGATGAGGGTTAGAGCGTAGCGACGACGTGACGGCAGAAGGAAGGGTAGTGAAGGCGAAGAAAGGGAGATTAGAAGGTTTGAACAGGGGCAGGGATAAGCTTTTTGTCCATGGTGCAAATCGATGAAATCGTTGCACATGTATTGCTGAAATGTGCAGCAGTTTCTATTTATCTAATCGCATGGGGTTTTGCAGAAAGAGAAGGAAAGGGAAGAGCATAAGATAAATGCAAAATGCAAGGTTGAATGCAGAGTGTCCTGCTTGCAAAATGATGAATGTGGAAGACATCTGAAGCGAATTGTCCGGGTATATTTTGTTTGATAGGAATAAAAGGAGAGGAAGAGGAAACATTAAAGGGCTTGAAGGAGGAGAGACTCATTTGGGTGTGGCGGGTTCTGTCAAAAACGACGTAGTTTATTGCTATCAGACCGTAAAAATGGGTACCAATCCAGCGGCATGTAGAAACAAATCGAAAAAAAGAATGAGACGTGGAAGGAGCGCCAGTTGTAACCGAACAAAAGAGTGTGCTCGTATTAAACTGTAGTGTATGGGTGGTGGTGGAGACGGAAACAGGGTTGGAGATGGAAGTGCTTGGATTGTTGGTAGGGGTGGAGATAATCGTCTTCTTCTCTGCGTCAACTCGCATCCAGATTTAGTACCGTGGGGCAGTAGGATAGGCATCGTATCCCTGGTGGTGAAGGGGGACTGCGGTTTCGTACCCACGGTTGACGCTGGGGCCACGTGCGAGGCGCTCCTGCATCTGATTGGTAGGGCTCGGTCCGCGGTTGAGGTCTGCGTATCCACCCACGGGCGCACCGTTGGTGGGGGAGTCGAAGTCGTCAAAGGGGTTCGGGTTAGCGTGTCCGTGGCCATGGTCGGAGTTTGCGCCGTGGCCGTATGCGGAGCTAGCACCCATACCCACACCAGCAGCGCCAGCGCCAGCACCGCGGGCGTGTCCGTGGCCAGAGCCAGAGCGGGAAGACGTGTTCGACGTTGCACGGCGGTGGGTGGGGATGATATCGTCCTCGCCGGTGGTGGGCTGCCAGTCGATGGGGTTGAGGCGGCGGTCGAACTCCTTTGAGCTTGAGAGCTTCCATTTGCGGAAGACGGTCCAGATAATAGCAATAGCGCCGATGGAGGCCGCAACAGCGATGAGGATGGTCATGGTCATGCCCTTTGCCTCTGAGCTGATTGAGCTATTTGATTGGGCATCGGGAATGATGGTCTGGGAGGGCTCGACGGATTCGGTCTTGGTAACGGCTGCACCAGTGCTGGTGATGACGGCAGGGACACCAGTGACATTGAGGGCTTCTGATGTCTGCGCAGGGGGAGCAGCTGATGTTGTCGTCGGGGTGGCACTGGGGGCTGAGGAGGACTCGCTGGAGCTGGATGCCACGGAGCTGGAGGCCGACTCTGAGGCGGACGAGGAGGCCTGGGAATAATTAAGAAATGATCAAACGTGCAACGGAGATGGGACCTTACAGATGTCGATGAAGCAGAGGTCTCGACAGAGCTGCTGGCTGTTGAAGATGAGGAGGGAAGAACAGCAATGTCTGACGTGCTTGAGGACTGGGAGGGGATGGGGGCAGCACCAATGGCACCCGGGAGCAGAACAGAGCCCTCGTCTTGGGGGAAGGGCGAACGCTTCTTCATGATGCGCTTGAGGTTGACATGGTCGCGCTTCTGGAGATGGGCGGCGGCGAAGTCTGAGGAAGCGAGGAGGAGGGAGAGGTAGACGAAAAGAGGGACGATTTGCTTGCGGGAGGAGAACATGGCGGATGATCCAAGCGTGCAGGAGTCTAGGGGCTGCCACACAAGTCAGCAGCAGCGCAAAGGGCTTCAACGGGACTGACCGAGTTCTAGCAGACGCGACGCCTTCAAGGAGTCTTTGGGAGAGAGAGGCGGTGGACAAGGAGAGAAGGAACAAAATCCTTCTCCCATAGTAACCGCCAAACACACACAAATTAATCCCCCTGCCGGCCATCCCGGCCCGTCTCCTTTTTCATTCTCCCCGCCACCATGCCCGTCCGCATTCGCATGGCAATGCACGGCCAGGCCCACAAGAAGCTCTTCCACATCGTCGCTATTAACAGCAAGCTCCGTCGTAACGCAAAACCTGCAGAACTCCTGGGTATCTACGACCCCCATGCCTTTGACGAACGGAACCCTCGCGTCGTGAGGTGGAGCGTCGACAGGATTCGATACTGGCTCAGTGTGGGCGCTGTTCCCAGTAAATCCGTCTCCAGACTGCTAGAGCTGGTACGTAGTGTCTCTTTCACTCTCTTTGCGCGTCACTGACCCCGTGAATTCTAGGGAGGTATTCTTGCAAAGGACTCCCCGTTCTCTTCTTCGATCAGACCACAACACCCTGTCCTCAAGATCAGAGAGCCTAAAACACCCAAGACACCTACACCGCCAGCATCGTCATGAGCCCATGCCGCTCCCAACCCCTCGGATGACGTGTCTACTACCATTGGGCACCCCATCCACTTACTCATACGATACGTGTACGATAATACTCAAGGACTAGATACGAGTATCTTTTCAATCTCGACGCGTCCAGCTTCCTGAGCAAGCTCCAGCGGAGTGAGGCCGTCGGGGTCCTGACAGACATGTGTTGAGTCCGGAGGAGTAAATTCAATAAAGAGCATAGTCACCTTGATATTCCGGTCCGCCCCACGCCTCAGTAAGATCTGTACGATGTCTATATGCCCCCTATCGCAAGCCAGGTGAATCGGCGCGTATCCCTATCATGAAAAGCGTGTCAGTCAACTCTCAAATACCATCGCGAAATGTAAGATGGAGAGAGAACTTACAAATTCGTCCAACGCATTCACGTCAATCTCCGGCTCCCCATCCAAAAGCGCCGTCAGGCCAAAAACGTCGTTCGACAGCGCGAGCCCGTGTATGCTAAAATCCGCTACCTGAGGAGAGGGGGGAGCAGCCAGGGTGCTCACAGTCAAGCCCAAGCTTCCTCCTCCCCCACTACCCTTCCCAGAGTCCTCATCGTCCCAAATATCCCCCTCCTCTCCCGTTTTCGACACAGCTGGTTTTGCCTTCTCAACAACACTACCCTCACTCCACCCCAACCCCCTCGCAATCTCCAAATACCTCTTCTCCGCCTCTTTCGGTATCTGGTACTTCTTCTCCGCCCCATCCCACGCATCCCACTTGGCTCTCCCGACCATATCGAAGATCGACGGCCGCGAGGCGTCCGGCTTGGGCGCGACGGTGAGGTGCTTGAACAGGCCGTACAGCTGTCCAAGGGCAGGTGGGTTAACAACGGGACGGCCTAGGAGGGGACGCGGACCTCGAGTTTCGTGGACGAGGACACCTGCTTCAGTGACAAGGCGGACGAGAGGTAGGCTGCGGCGCTGTGGAAGTGCGCCGAAGGTTCGTACTGCGTCGTCATTTTTCGTTGATTGTTCAAGAGCAGGTGCAGATGATGGAGTTGGACTCAGATCTCTTAGGGGAGAGAGGTAGAGAACATGATCTAATCGCACTCGGTTGGGAAATAGGGATATTTCTATTATGTAAAGCATGTATCCATAAATTTGGTATCCGGTCTATAGGGAAAGGCAGTCCTCTACAACGACAACGACAACAGTGCTCAGACGAGGCCAGCGGCTTTCATTGCCTGAAGACAAACAGGTTAGAGTTGAATTGAATTTAAAGAAAGAAAACTGACTTTAAGCATCTCTGACCCAATTTTAGCCGGGCTGTCTGTGACGACGACGCCCGCCTGCTCCAGCGCCTTCACCTTGTCACCAGCGGCACCTAAATCACAACGCTCTCGTCAAAACACACCCCAAGCAGCGCAGAACATTAACGTACCTTTTCCGCCAGAGATGATGGCACCAGCATGTCCCATACGACGCCCTGGCGGCGCCGTACGTCCAGCAATGAACCCAACCACCGGTTTAGGATTCGGCCGACTCTTGTTATACTTCTCCAGGTACTCAGCAGCCTCCTCCTCCATCGACCCACCGATCTCTCCGATGATCACAATACCTACACGCGCAAAAGCCCAGATCAGAACTTGCTTAAATGCGACGAACGTGGTTGGACAGGGGCGGTTGGATGAAGCGCACGTACCTTCCGTATTAGGGTCCTCGAGGAAGACCTTGATGACGTCGACGTGCTGGGTACCGGGGAACGGGTCGCCCCCAATGCCGATGCAAAGTGACTGACCGAGGCCCACGTCCGTCGTCTGCGCCACGGCCTCGTACGTTAGCGTTCCGGACCGCGAGACGATGCCTGTTCAAATGCCATCACAGGAGAGCGAATGAGGACGCGCCACTTGGAAAGGGAGTCGAGAGAGAGACGCACCGATTCGCCCAGGTTTGTGTATATGCCCTGGCTGGATGCCCATTTTACACCCTAGAGGGTTGATAACGCCAGGACAGTTGGGACCGACAAGCCGTGACTTTGACTGGCTCTTCAGTGCGTTCATCACCTGCAGAGGCAAAAAATAAATAAGCGGGTGCTATCCAGCAAACTTCAAGCCACGAACACGAATCTCATCGGACTGAGGAATTCCCTCCGTAATGCACACAATGAGCCCAATCTCATTCTCGATAGCCTCGATAATCGCGTCGGCCGCCGTTGGCGGGGGCACGTACAGGACAGTTGCGTCGGGTTTCGTGGCAGCTACTGCCTGTCATAGCCATGCGTCAGAGGTCAAAGACGGGTGGTTAGGAGGCAGACGCACCTCTCGTACACTCCCGAAAATTGGGAGTCCCAGATGTGTCTGACCGGCTTTGTTGGGCGACACGCCGCCGACCATGTTCGTCCCGTAGTCTAGCGCTTCTCTTACATGGAAAGTACCCTGTAGACCATTCACAAATCAGCGAAACCTCCCAAATTCTTGGACAACGGTGTACGCACAGTCTTCCCCGTAAGCCCTTGACACAGCACCTTGGTGTCCTTATGGATGAGTAGGTTCTGAATAGTGTCCGCATAGCTTCTACGAGCCGCAGATTGCGAGAACGTCCGGCGTCCTAAGGTTTAAGTACCACGAACGAAGAGGTGAGCATCACGAACGTGAAAAGGACGCGCCTTCCGTCGGCGTACCTTTGGACAATATCGACTGGCTAGCCTGGCGGAGCATAGTTGTTGCGGATTCGGGACGCTCTTGTGGTGACAGCACTGAGCGAGAGCCTTGGCCGTGCCGGTGTGTTTGCGCCCAGTGCCATTGGAAGAGGGTACAAATAGGGTGACGACATACCAAGTGGGTAAGCTTAAATCCTAAGCCCTAAGGCACCAAGTGAAAGGACCGCGATCATGACAAGAACACCATGGCGCAAAACACATTCGAGGAATACAAAGGCTTACTCTACCTATATAACTAATTCCGACATTGCGATAACACACAGACGGGATGATTGTCCTACAACTTCAATACAACTTACTTGTACTTTACCTTGAATTAATTGGGATAGAGGAACCCATGATGGTGATTGGGAGTTGCTTTATTGCCTATACGAGCTTCACTGGATTATAATCCATTCCTGCGTCTATCGCGAGTCTTCCTGACGGCCCTGTCGAATCCAAGAACTGCATTCCTGATCTTATCGTATTGCCGAGTATTGACCGCGCTGCAGAGATTAAATTAGACTTCAGAGAATCCTACGAATAGCACAACTTACACCGTCGTTTCCTGGAGGAACTGTGCCTTTGCTTCGTTGGGGACACTAGACGTCGGTATCTGTTCAAGTACTGCTGGCAACCACGTAAGGAGCTGCGTGTTCCAGAGGTAGACGAGAGCCCTGAATATCGAAACCACAGTCGCGGATGCATCCTCGGGGAAATCGCCAACAAGGCCCGAGAAGAGGAGGGACAGGAACTGGGGAGCTTCCTTATCCAAAGTCGGACGGATTGCAGCAGCATAGATGGGAAATTTAGGAGGCGTAGTGGAGGTGATGGGTTCGAGACAATCGTGCGTGACGATGTCGCGGAACAGATCCAAGGAAGCGAGGATGATGTCGCTATGGACCACAGTAAGGCCAGCCATGGCACAACGGAATGCGACGGGGTAGATAGATGAAGCGAAGAAGATCTCGGGCATCAGAGTGTCTAGCTGTAGGAGCATTTGCAAGTAGTCCTCAAGGACTGAAGGCAGCATCAGAATTATCACCGCTCAAAACAAGTGAATTTATAGATAGCTCACCATCTGGTATTTCACCAGGAGTCTTCACTTGCAGAAGGGCAGCAACCTTAGTCGTACTCCGTTCATAGATCTCCTGGATAGCGCCTCTAACGTCGTTGTTCTGCGTGTAGCCAAATCTTCCAATGATCTTTCCTGCAATCCATAAGAAACTTGGATATCCGCTGCCCTCAAAGGCAAACGACATTCTAGCGAGGACAGAGGGTGCAATGGAAGTGGTGGATTTGTTGAAGAGGTCCAAACCCCGTCGAAGAACACGGGTGGCACGTTCAGCGAGGTCATTGTTAAGCCCATACTTTGAAAGGAAGGTGTCGAAAATCGCCCATGCTTCTTCGCAGGTGTTCTGGCAAGCAGCTGGTAGATCCTCACCATACCCATGCACGACATGGAGCATGACCTCCAAATTCTCGAGGCTGTCTGGACGTCGGACTAAGAGAGACGTACAAGGGAAGAAATAAAACAACTTACTGCCAACATCCTCGATTTCTGAATGAGTGGGAGGCGTTGTTTTAGCTGAGAACGCATGGACTTGAGCGAGAATATCCAACGAGAATGCTTTCAAGGATTCCGCAGCCTCGTTCATAGGCTTCGCGGAAATGACGTAGGCAATGGCCTCGTAGACCTGTCTTCGGTCATCTTGGGCCAGCTTTGGTCCTGTAGTCTTCAAGAAAGTATGGAGGGTTGGTAGGAACTCGGTCAAATGCTACAGAAAAATGTTTGATCACTAACGCATAGCATTGAAAGATTTAGAACGGCCAACCTGTTTGCAATCCTGGCACAGATACTTCAACGCCTGACCTGCAGCGGCGCAGACTTCCGGATCTGAATCTTCGAACCCTGACGAGATATACTGGAGCTGGAAGCTGATGTATTGAGGGTGCGCGCTTATCCATTCTGTGTAGCGGGCGACGATCAACAGTGCAGCATACCGCACGCGAGGGTGGTTCGGAAGGTTTGGAATGAGGTCCATGATCTTCGGCACCGCGTTGTCGTCATCCGGGTCGATTTCAGCGCCCATCGAACGCATAGCAAACAAAGGAGCTTCAATTTCTTGCCATGAAGCATTGCGGGCAACCGCGCTGGCAACCTGCTGATATGCGGCCAAGAGACAGGTCTCGGTACGCAGCACGAAACAGCAGTCCTTGAGGGTATCGCCCATGACATGTCGGAAAGCACGGAAGTTATCAGCCTCCTGCCCTTTCAAACTGCTCAGCTCAGGTGGGAAGTGCAGGTGGTTGATGATGACGGTCATTAGCGATTTGAAGGCTTCGATGAACAGAGGCGAAATTGAGGGGCGCTTCCCAAGTATTTGGGCGAGGCGCATCCAAAAGGGGAACGTAATGGGAACAATGTCGAGATCCGAATAGGCAGAACATTCTCCGATGGCTTCAACGAGAGGGAAGAACGTCTCTGTGTGGTGTAGGAGCAACGAACGATACGTCTCCCCAGCCTCCGAAAAGATGCGGGCGTAGCCTCTGATCTTCTCCGGATCGTCCTTGTCTTTAGCAAGATATGCTTTCAGAGCAATAATCCTCGGGAAAATAAGCTGGATAACGTCCATATTGTCGTCGATCTCCTGTGTTTCGTGAATCATCTGGCAGATAAGGTCAACTGCCGGATCGAATAGTTCGTCTGCGGCGAGTGCTTCAAACGCATATGCAAACAGAGAAGTTGCAACGATGTCCTTCACGGTAATTTCTCCAGCATACAGCCAACTGAACAGACAATTGAACACCTGGGCTTGCACAGCAGATGTCACGCCTTTTGTCTTTCGTGAGCTACGACCATGAAGAGAACGAGCTAGACGCACCGCTCGCTGTGATATACATAGACAGAAGCTCCAAAACTCGTGGTGCGTTATTCGTCAACAGCTTCGCACTCACATCCTTAAATTCCTGATCCTATTATACTGATATGAAGGTCATTGTATGCGATAGATGCGAGGGACTCACCGTAATGGGGATCCTCATATTGCTGTTTACTTCCTCGGGCAGCACCGTCAGGAATTCTAGCAATGTAGGAACCGTTGCAGGGTTCCTCCCAAAAGACTCAATCAGCGTTTCCACTGGCTGCTCCCAGCTCGGTAGCTGCATCGAGAGACCAACGATTGCGAGAGCCAATTGAACGATAATGTTACGGGGACCGCCGTGGTAGGCTTCAAGAGCCGACAAGAGAGTGTCGCGGAGGGGAAGGAGGTTCGCGGCATCGACTTGTTTCAGATCATAGGTGACCTTAGAGACCGGAGATGAGGTTAAGGGGAATGGGAAGCACCGCAACATACCTTCGTCCGAAAAGTTTGTGCTGCAAAAACCTTTGCTGCTGGAGGCGCGTCGGGTGAGAGCAGGAGGACGTTGCAAGTCGACCATGCTTCAGGCTAGGACAAGGGTTGTTGGGCAGCGTCAGAGGTGTCGGTCGAGATTGGCCACAGCCGAAAGATAATTTACTGAATGCTGGAAATCCTGAAGCCAGGAGTTTGCTCTTTCTATTGACGCCTTGTCCGGTGCGCGGCTGAACACGTCAAGAGCAGAAAGTAGAGCTTGGATGTCGGTCATACGGACGACAAGAGTTGGTTGTGATAGTGGTGTAGAAGGAAGATCAGGGTTTCAGCGATGACGCCGATGAGATAGAGTACAAAGACATTTGTAGTTGTTGACGCTGGATCTAGCCGGTGCACGGGACACATCCTCAAAAAAAAAAACAGCAAAACACACCTTGCAGCAGCTGCGCAGAACCATGGTATATTGTGATCAAAAAGGTCCGCTACGACAGGGTTATTCCGCATAGAGAATAAGGAGAGGGTAACAGAATCTGTACTAAACGTGATAAGCAGTAGAGGGGATATCCTATGAAAAGAGCGTGCACGCGTTCGCAAGAACCAAGATAAGGAGTGGATAGACCGGGAAAATTCGAATGAGATGGTGTACAAGGAGAACAGTCGATAGACGATAGGGGGTGGCAGCGAGTCAAAAAAACATAAACAGTCTCCATCTTTTCGACCAAGAATACCTTCTACGTGCGGAGGAAACCCTTCTTCCTCGTAGTCTGTAAGAAAAGACAGTGAGTACGGTGCGCGCTTCACAAAGGTTATGACGTACAGAAGACTTCTCAGGTGTCAAAGGACGACCACTCTCGATCTTCCTTTTCTTATCCTCAAGATCAAGACGTTGCTTGTCAAGAGCATCCTTCATTTCCTTGTGGCGAGCATACAGCTCCTCTTCGGATTGCTTGAGCTTCGCTTCCTTCTCCTGCACCTTCTGCTGGAACACCATCTTCATCTCGGCCTCCATCTTGGCAAGTTTGGCCTCATGAAGGACACGCTCTTCCTGCAATCTCGCAGCAGGGCTTGAGAATGAAAGGTCAGATCTGAGATAACGAGAAAGAATAGACCTAGCAGCTTACTTGATCTCCTTGAACACGGATGAATCCTGAGCAACACCCATGCTGAGGAGCTTCTCTGTGCGCCAGTTCTCGTACAGAACGTCGTTGGTGTACTCCCTGAGTTCCTCCATGTACGTACGAACGAGCATTTGACGAAGCTTGACAAAGTCGCAATGCTCCTCGTTGTCGACCTCCACGACACCCCAAGGGTACACACGACCACGGACCTCGCGACCGTCGGGCGTGACCACGATCTTGTCTGAACCTACGACGGCGAAAGGAATCTTGCTGGCAATCTCCTCCGCCTCAGCAATGGTCTCCTCATCCTCGTTCTCGTAAGTAGGTGCTTGGAAGATATGGATGTTGTGGTGCGCAATGTCAGCCAAGATCTGCGAACGACCGTGAGATTGGGGATTGCAATAGAAGAATATGAAAGGGACGTACTCTCTCCTTGAACTCGGTAACCTCCTCATCGGTCAGGGTGTCGGACTTGGCAATGATGGGGATAAGGTTGACTTTGGTGTGCAGTCTGCGCATGAATTCGATATCAAGCTGCTTGAGCCTAAAGAGGGTGTTAGCGAAACGACGCCTGCTGACACGTATTAAGGACGCACGAGTGTCCCGTCGGTTGAATGAAGTACAGGCACGCGTGGACGCGATTATCGACAATCTTGGTCCTGTTGACGCGGTTTTCTTGCTCAAGATACGAGTCGAACCGAGATTCGATGTTCTCAACAATGGGTTTCCAACTGTTCGCGGCGCACAATCAGCATGCGACGCGTACGGGAGCTCTATAACAAGAGCTTACCTGTCGTCGTTGTTGACGAAATCACCGAAACCGGGCGTGTCGACGACTGTTAAATGAAGTCGGACACCGTTTTCCTCGATATCTATACGTAAACGAAGCGGTTAGGGCCTACGTATGCTCGGGGGGCGCTGTTTAAAAATAGTTACCAGCGCCGATACTCTCAATGGCAACGGTCTTCGGCCGTTCGGCTGCAGGAGGGAGGGGCTCTTTCTGCGGGTAGAGAGTGGTGTTGAAGAGGGTGTTAATCAGAGTCGACTTCCCAAGGCCAGACTCTCCTGCACTGTGGGTGAGAAACACGTCAACAGCACAGGGGGTATGGAAACGACTGACCGACGACCATGGCGGTGAACTGGAAGCCCTTCCTGACACTCTTCCTGTGGACCTGGTTGGGGAGGTTGGCGAAACCGACATAGCCCATGAGCTTTTTGCGAATGACACTGGAAATGCCAGCGGTCTGGGCGTTCGGCACCAGTGACGGGCTTGAGCCATTGGAGAGGCCATTGGACGCGAGGTCGCCGTTGCGCGAGGAGGTGTAGGACTCGGTCATCTGGGCAAGGTCGTGAGGGGGAGGGAGGGAGGAGGAAAAAGAAAAAATACTTTTGGGTTGAACAGGACGGGGGAGAGGAAAGAAGTCGGGCGATGTTGTTCTTGTTTGGTCGCGGTGGCAAGGGCCCCCTCCAATTTCGGTTTCGGCAACAGCAGACCCTGATCATCATCAGCCTTCACAGATTCTCCTCGCTTCCCGCCACCCACCAGGTAGAATCGCGTTCTTGAGGGGCGTCGCTCCATGTTGGCGCTCGTCAAGGGGCTCACCCAGTCCGGTCTGCTCACCACTGTCCAACATGCGCAAGTCGTGCGGCAGACAGCCCGTGTTGCGATTCAAAAATGTGATCACTGCGGCCCCACGCGAAAGAACGAACGAATAATAGTACAGACAGTCAAAAATCCTGGCACTCGGCTGCGTTAATGTACATATCGAACAGCTGGTCCATCGTCTCGTATTTCGAGAAAAAGTCCGGATACTCGTCTGCAGGATCCACCAGGTCGTCAGTTGCCGGCTCCTTGATTTCGAAGGACGAGTAAGTCCACGTTAGAGAGGGCGTCGATGCACCCGATACCTCCGATACCGCATCGTCTACCGCTGGATCTTCTTGCGCTTCTGGAAACACTACTTCAACGGCATCAAACAGCGCTTCGTCGCTTCCCAAAGGCTCGATGTTTTCTACCTCAGGAATAACGTCCAACGGAGAGGAGAGGCGACGGTGCAAAGATTTTCCACCCTCCACTTGGTGTATGGTTTCATCAAGCAAAGATCTTCGGCGCCCAAGAGGACGTGGATGTGCCAACGCTGACGGTGATAACGGTGGCAATTGATCCAGTTCATGCTGAAACTGCGGGACACGACGAATTGGCCGAAGTGTGTTGTAGATGGTTCTGCCTTGTGCTTGAAACACGTCGTGTTCTGGTCGCTGAAGGATATAGCAGCCACTCGCTCGGCAGTGAGCCTCGTGCAGCCAGGATGCCTCTTGTTCTGGACTGCGTGATGACAAAGGCGAATATCTGCTTTTCGAGGTGTGGGTCCTCCTGAATCTGGGTATATGGGTTATGCAATGAATCTCGGGTTTCGTCTCCTCCAGAGAAGAATGAGTCAGCGCTACTGGCTGGAAACTATGATGGAGAAAGAGTGTGGACTGGATTTTCGGCATCGTGAATTGCGGCAGGGGGCGGGAGGTCAAAGGAATGAAAGGCTGAGCCGGAAAGAAAGTGTTGAAGTGACACCGTCAAGGTGTGGAAAAGATGGGTGAATGCTCGACCAGGCGCTCTCTATATTGCACAGACCTTCTTTGGCACATGGGATCGTTCGAGACAAAGTCGGTTGATAGTCCATGCGTGGCCATGGAATGTTTCGTAACAAAGGAAGTGGAAGCGCTGTATGCCCAGACTGGCGGTTCTTCACCTGATGCCGAAGCTCTGAGGGAATCGTCTAACGAAGGAGAGGTGGACCAGCGAGCGGAGTGTCAGTGGCACTAGCAGCTGAGCGCGACTTCGACTTCAAGATGCACTACTGCGCGCTTGTAAAGTCCAACGTGAAGGGATAGTTAAATTCAAATTAATTAGCACGAGAAGACGCACGCTTATTCTCTCTTTGTTCCTTGAACTCAAAGGTCCCAAGGGTTGACAGAATCTACGCAATTAATTACTGGGAAGATACAAAGGTTGGTTATGACGAAGCAGGGGTGTCCGGCAGCCACTCCTTAGGGAAATCCGCGATAGATGGCCTGTGGAATACCCGACTCCGAAGGTGGTCACCCTTCTTGGACTTGAGAGCCTTTGCATAAATATGGCGGAGGTCAATCGGCACGTCGTTGAAGTCGTCTTTCTCGTTCTGAAAAATCAAATTAGTCGGTAAAGAACACTAACGAACCAACCGATACAGAACGAGACGTACATTAGCCTCCTCAAGAAGCTTGTCGAGTGTGTCGCTCGCCCACTTCAGGTTCATAGACGCTTCCGGGAAGTCCTCGCACGAGATTTTGATGTAACCATTGCCCCAGTCGTCCAGGCCGCTAACGCCCGCATCAGCGGGAGGGTCTGGTGTCCATCGTGGCCCAGCAAGAAGGATGAGTTTATGCGTGGCAGCTTCATTCTTCAAGGGAAGTTTGTCGACTGGAACGACAATGGCACGCTTGAGCGCGGCTGGGTGGGATTCGCCCTGGTAGTGTACGGAGCGGACAATTAGGGAGTGCTCCGCAGGTGGGGGGACAAATTGTTTCCGGTATGCTATAAAAATTAAATGAGCAACTAGTAAACACTTCGAAGTAGGTTCCTGGACGTACCGACAAGCTTAGGCATCTCGTGTTCAATGAGCCTCAAGTAGTGCAACCTCTCTCGCTGCTGCTGTAGTATAATATGTCCACCTGACGGGGAATCCTCCACCTCTCCATGCTCCTCCAGTTGGTCCCACAGCTCTTCCATATCATCTTCAATAACAGGACTTGTCCGGCGGCGTCCAACCTCTTCTGCGACTGGTGGTCTTCGTCGGAGGAGAACCGAGGAGGTGCTAAAGCGTCCAAGTGAGGCTACCTCTGAGACATGACGTACGCGCAGAGTTTTTGAGAGCGACAGACAACGAGCGAGGGACTGTGCCATGTCCACTTCAAAGACCGAAAGTTGAGCTCGGCGGCAGAACGCGCTGTCCAAAATTAGTGTGTTGAGGAGGGCGATGGCAGACAAGCACAAGCATGCCTTCCGCATCGGGGGCGCCAAGGCCCAATCCTGAACAACTTAACCATCAGATACAATCGACTGTTAGGTCTGTCTAGGGAGACTAAACTTAACCAAGCTTTCATCTGAGCCGATAGTAACTGCTGACTGTGATCGCTATGGTTGTGAGTACCTACCAGGCCATTAGAGTCGATCGTTCACACTCAAAATCAGACTAGCGCCTCCAATTATCGATAAAAGCCGAGCTAGAAAATGTCACCGACTTGGAGCCAGCAACCAAGGATTTCGAGTTCTTCTTCCAGGTGAGTTGAGAAGTTGAACGACTACACGATAGAAATTGTGACGCTATCTCCAGGTGAAATGCAACAGCTGCCATGAAGTTCATCGCAAGTTCGTGTCCATGAATCGGATCGTCAGTGCAGCTCTCGTCTTCGAGACCTGCCCGCATTGCTCATCTTCTCCCTAGCAAGAGCGGGAAGTAACTGGAGGAAAGGGAAGCACCGCGCATTTCGTGTGGAAATGCAGTCTCTGTAAGTCTGTCTCTCTCAATAATCTTTGCCTATTAATAAATGGATTGATTTGTTGTGACTACAGGCAAACGCGAAAGTTCAGCCAAGTTTGAGTCCACCCCAATCACACCCTACAAAGCAGAAAACGGTCAGTTCGGACCTCTGTTGGTGATTGAATGTCGTGGACTAGAATTCATTGGATTTGATCCGCGTGTATGTTCATTTATTAGACTTTCATCGTCAAACAGTTATATCTGTCCTTAGGGCACCTGGAAATGCGTTGGTACTACCGGGACTGTATTCCCTGAGGCAGACTTGGTTGATGGTGAATGGAACGATTATGACGAAAAGGTGAGGATATTATCCATAACTCCCATCAGACAATCTACTCACTTTCCGTCAACAGGCTGGCCTACCCGTTGGTATTTCAGAATTCGGTAGTCGCTGGGATCGAGCATAAATTCAGCAAATGTATGTCAGAATAAGTACAAGTATCCTAGAATGTATCCTAGAATGTATCAGATATCAAGTCGTAGTCGCATCACATCCAGGCTACTAGTTGACTCGCAAGGATTATATCTCATGTCGCTGCGGCAATAGAAGGCAATGATTTCTCTCTGGGCTTTTGCCGGACGCCGATGTCGCCGTGCCGTCCTTTTCTGGTGCGATGACATCTTGTTTTTGCGATGATTTCCGGCCTGTCAGTATTTCTCTTTTCCATTTCGACGCCTCCTCCGGCATTTCCTTTACAAGTGTATGGGCTTTATGCGCCGCTTTCTTGACGCTTTTCTTTCCCGAAGGCAGCGTACTCCACCATTTCTTGACTTTCGTCAAGTGCTCGATGCTGCAAATTTTATGAGTTGACGCCAGGACTTCTAAGCTGCCCACGCACCCCAATAACGCCGCCTCTGCTTTGCTTATTCGCACCTTCCGCATATCAACACCCCTTTCAGTCAGTATGTCGATGAATTTATGAAAGTGCTGCAAGGAATCGCGTGAATTCGAGGGTGTATAGGACTCGCCTGCACTCACATCGATGGATGTCCTTGGTGTGCAATCCGGTCAAGATGACATTTCCGCCAGATGAAGAAACAAGCGGCCTACTTACCTGTAGTGGCCAGATAACGGTGACAACGTATGGATAATTCCTTGTGTCACTGAAATTAACCCAGCTGATGTTACCATTCCTCCAGAGATGAAAGATGAATGTTGAAAGGCTCCTGTCTCTGGAAGGATGCATCGGTAAGGCGAGAAACGCTCTATAATTAAATGGCCTACCTTTGATACCGATAAAAATGTTGACTATATTATAAAGCGCCACGTATGAGATTCTTCCCTTGCATGTCAAACTGTAGGACTCACAGTTCCTGTCCTGGTATCATTTTAGAGACCGATTCTTCGAGTTACTTAGGACGGGGAGGCTAGATGCTCACCGACACGTATTTCTCTTGACCGTCTTCCGCAACAACCTCTCCATCATCCCTCGGAGCGTGAAATATCGGCGCCAATACCTCGACAACCCGTGTTTCTCAGTGGGCTGTCCCGCATAGTGCGTCGCGGCGTTGTCCTGGTCTTTCGAATCACTTAACGTTGCACTTGTGAACGGTTCACTGTTGGTGGTTGCCGATGCTGGTTTGCTAGGCATGTCTTGTGGGACAATGCCTTGGCCGTCTCCAGTATCTTTCCAGTGTCCAGCGGTAGTATCCACAGGCAGATTATTTTTCGCCCAGAGGAGCTTTCCGTCGTCGCTGATGTTCACTAAATAATTCAGGCCTACGTATAATTCCTTGGGGTTAACCACTTGAAGTGGAAGCGAGAGTAGTACGCACGCTGCTCGGCAGACAGGTACCTAAGGAAGGCGAGTAATCATAAGTATTGGACAATTGTTCCAGGGTCGGACGCAACCTACAGAATCCGCTAAAGGGGTCAATTAACAAAGGGAATGATTGAAAATTTATACATCAACGAACCTCTTTTTCCAGTCGCTCACGAGGGCATTCATCAAAGGATACATCCTTTCCTCCACCATGATCGAGCCTGGAGACACCACATTAGGAAAAAGACATTTCACTGTGGCGCACGTAATCACCATTTAAAAAAGTTGTCTGTTGTATTCTCTCCTTGCCACTTCTTATGATACCACTAGAACATTCTATATGTTATTATGGAGTATTGGGTTGCATCAAAAAAAAATCTTGACCTTCACTAATTATTTGAACTTATGAGATTCGAAATTTGTCATGACCAAGTGGACTCACGATTGGAACCATAACGATGTTTGCTACACAGAAATAAAAGATCCATTCGGTAGATGAACTAGGGAAGGGAGACGGCTCACCTATCGATAAGCTCAAGCCAGTGCTGTGTTTCAAGGTGTTTATCCTCAACGTCGACCTCGACGCCTTCCTCTTTCAACATCTTGTTCTTGTCCCTCAATTGGCCGATGAAGTAGGTCGCCCGTATCCATCTCCTTCGTGGACTATTCCGTCCATCAAGTGCACCGTTTCTATTGACCTACGGGCGAAAGTTTCAAGTTGGTAATCGACAGGCCTTTGGGAATATCACATACTGCAAGCTTGGCATGGTTCAATGCATCATCCCAGCGTGATTCAGGATTTAGATACTCATCTTTTGCTAGGTTATGATTCTTGCCTCGCCACATTCGCTGGATGAGTGTCGCTGCTGCGACTCTTGCTGCCTCTGAGCTAGCACATGAGTTGTCATTGTGGTGTGCCATGGTAGCTGGGAACTTGCAACGAAAGTGAACACCTGAGAAGCTGGGGTACTTCACGATGACGTCATGCAGTCATTAAGGAAATTAGATTGGGCTACATGTGGGTATCGTACCACGGGATCGCACTTTTCATCGAATGGTACGAGGTACGGAAGGAGAGCGATAGTGAAATGTGGCGGCGTGATAGTAGTACGAACATAGGGGGAGTTTGAAGAAAAGAAATTGATACTAAGACAAGTAAATGGATGCGATTGTGCAGGAAACAGGAACGTGCGATGAGTGGTAGAGTGATAGAAAAAGCGAGGATACAGATATCAGAAGATGAGGAAAGATGGCCAGGCGTGTTAGTAGTGGTGATAGTTCGTTCTTAGGTAAATCCAGTGAAAACCCAACCCGGTGGGAGTGTGAGATAGGGATGTTTTCGAAGCTCTGCGGCACTCGGCCGCTCTTCGGGATTGCTGGGCAGATCGTTAGTATCACAAGAAGAAACAAATAAGAGAAGAATGCCGTACATCGCGAAGCATTTCCTTCTGAAGTCATCCGCTTCCTCGGACAGGTGGACGTCTTCGTTGACAGGAGGCGGTTGCTTTGTTTGGTACAGCTAAAATGAAGTAATGAAATACTGCAGGCGGTTCCGAAAGATTTGAAGTCACCTTGAACATAACTGCAACAGGCTCTTCACCCATCCATGGTCTTCCACCTTGCCACATCTCAAGCACAACACAGCCTACACTCCAAATATCGATCTTGAAGTTGTAGCCACCCTTCTGTGTGTTGATAACCTCCGGGGCCATCCAGAATACGGTGCCTTGCATGGCAGTGAAAGCCCCTCCATGCATGTCCTCCGTACGTTTCGATATCCCGAAGTCGGATATTTTGCAAACGCCCGACATCTCAACGAGGATATTATCCGCCTTGAGATCCTGAAGTTACAGCGGTCGTACGATGAGAAGGCGAATTCCGACACAACCCATTGACTTACTCGATGGAGAATTCCTTTGGAATGGAGGTACTCTAGTCCGCTCAAGATTTGGCTAGTGAATGAACGCGTCACATTGTCCTCAAACTTGCCATGCTTGTGGAGGCAGCTTCCAACCGATCCGCCCGGCACATATTCCAGGAAACTGCATAACGTTGTGAGCATTTCTTTTGAGAGAAAATAGAATACATCGAGTCGAGCTCACATGCTGAGATTTGAAGGGGTTTCCTCAAACCCGAGGTACTGCACAATGTTGGGATGATCCAAGTCTCGCAGCGTCTCGCTCTCCATTTTCAATGCCTGCACGACGGTGTGCTGCCGCGAATCGTTCTTATCGCTTGCAGTTTGCGGGAGCTCAACTTGTTTGACGGCGATCATCTCTCCAGTCGTTGCATTAAGAGCAAGGTATACGCGTCCATAAGTTCCCTTGCCAATCAACTCGCCGCGTACCCACTTGAATGTTGCTGTAATAGAAAATGTCAGGGAAGGCTCCTTGTAGTAAGATAAAGATGACTTACTAGGGCCACCAGACGGTGATTCCGGTATTGTTGAGCTGCCATTGGTCCGCACTTGACCTGTCGTAACTTCCTCCAATCGGCTACCCCAGAGCTTAGTGTTCCGCTTGCGCAGCATGTTGTTGGCATACGAAGGCGCTTCAGCAGCCCTAGACGTGCGATCGATCTTCTTCTTGTGCTCCTGAGCGACGTAGCGAATGGATTTCTTGGCCCTAATCCTTGCCTTTTCGTCGTTTACAGGGGCCGGAGGAGGCAAAGCTGCTGCTGGCTCTAGGGCGGTGGGTGAAATGTCGCCAGACGACGATTCGATGACTGGCTTGTCAAGGTCATGTTTAGGGAAGAATCGCTCAAGGTGTTCGTAAATGTTCTCCGCAGGAGGACGAGGTGCCCAACTCTCATCGCCAGCTTCAATGAAAGTGCTTTCCGGTCTTTCGGGACGCTTCGGTGCAGGCCGGCTGGCCACAGGTTCTGGAGGTGGGCGATAGCTGGAGGGAGCAAAGTCTTTGGGTGGCGGGTCAGGCTTTCTGCCTATGCTTTCAGCTGTGCGAGAATAGGTCGAATCCTCGATTTGAACCTTAAGGGGAGGTCGAGGCGACGACACCGGTTTATTTTCTGGCCTGACGATCCAAGTACCTCCACCCGCATCCGAATCGTCATCATCATCATCGTCGTCGTCCGCCCCATAGGAACCCGTCGAGTTCTGGTTGGTCAATGCAGGCGGTGGGGTAAGCTGTCGTGTCAACGTCGTAGGTGGCTGTGTCCGAGAAACAAGAGTGCCTTGGGAACCAGTACCAATTATCTTGGAGAAATGTAACTGGTCTTCCAATTTCAGCGTCATCTCTGGCTCCCGATTGTTGATCATAATGTGTTGGTCAGGAGACGACGGTGGCGGCGAGTCTGCGACATTCTTCTGAGATGAATCATAACTTAGACTTTGAGGGCTGATCGGTGTTCGAGGAGGCGTAGTGTTCGACGTTTCTGGTCCACTTTGGATATCTGAACGGTCTGAGCGATCACTGGAGTTCGTAGGTCGAGGACCACGAGGGCTATGAACCCCCATGCTAGCAGAATGATAGCTCTTGCTTGGAGAGATCGCACGAGGAGAACGATTTGACTCTCCAGAATCCAGAGTAGACCCGTATTGATGAGGAGATTGCAGTCGTGGATACCCGCGAGACGTTGGCGATGTGACAGCATCTCCTGTAGCAGACTGTGGCCGCGGGATTGGGTCCTGGCTCGGGGACATAAGGTTGGATGAGTATGTGCCCCCTCGAGACACGTATTGGCTTGACACGCTTTGGCCAAAATCGGGCGAGGTTCCGTGTGGTGACGCTTGGGCGGGAAGTGGCTTCGCAAACGAGCTGCCTCGCGGCGGGTCGTATGATTTTGGCACCCCAGAAAGAGTAAGCCCGCTCGGTGAATAAGGCATATTCCCAGTTTGTCGTGTCATCGGCAGCTGTGCGTTTCGACGACTTGTTGAAGATGAGGAGCTTGAAAGCTTGAGGTTATCCATACTCTTGGTCGAGGTCTTCGCAAGTCTACTAGATGATCCCCAAGTAGATGGCGAGGCAGGAGAAGCTCTCCGACCGCCTTCCTCTCCTTTCCAGGTAACAAAGTAGTTGGTTGGAATAGGTTGACGACCAGACCGCGGTTGGGTTGCCGGGCGAGAGTCTTGCATACTCGGTGCCAGTTGAGAAGCTGCAGGGCGAGGAGGAAAAGTTGGGCGATGCCGAGTGACAGTTGGTACTCTCGTGCTCCGAGAAAGTGTTGTAGGGACGCGATCTAAGTCGTCAGCCAAACGCGTGCCACTGGCAGTCGGAGTCGGGACGGGTTCCCAAGATGGGTCGTCTTCATCGAAGACCTTCCTCCCTAGCCTATCTCTTAGATTGTCACGAGACGGCTCTGCACGCAGTTTCCCAGAGGATGGGCTATCTCGTCGAAGCTGTTTCGTCACGGCATCAGCATGTACCTCAGACGCTCTCAAGGCCATTTCCCGCTCAGCACCAGCGTCGGACCCTGAGCGAACATGAAGAAGACGACTGTAGGGGACTGCCAAACCAGATGCATCCTCGTATGACGAAAACGAGGGGCGATTAGGCGACAATGGCGGTGGTGGGGCTACCGTTGCAGGAACTGGCGGAAGTCCGTGCCCAATGCCAAACCCGTCTTCTTTTCTCTGCAACCATGCCCGTTCTGATGGTTGACCCGGAGGCGTGGCTTGTTCTGGAGATTGGATAAGGGGAGAAGCTGGACGCGGGTGTTGAACCACGCTCGGTCGTCGACGAGGAGATGGTGGGTGACCTGCTGGCGCTGATGACGATGGAAGTATTGTTGCCGTCTGGTGCACAGGTAGGCGAGGAGTCGACTTATTTTGGTCGCGATCCGGGTTATCGAGGTCAGCGTCATAACCGATGTCCAAGGGCACGTTGTCACTCATGGAGGAGATACTACCATTCCTCGAGCGAGACCGTCGTTTCACCCTCAGAGGGTTTATGTTGGCGAGAGGCGGAAGAACGGGAGGAGAGGAACTGTATTCCATAGGCGGCGCTGGAGGAGGGGGTTCATGGACGGTCGAAGACGCTATTGAGACAAAGAATTTGAGGGACCCCTTGGAATCACTATGATCACGACAAAGTGCCCATAGCCTATCGTTGCTCAAGGGCTCTCCGATCGCGAAAGAGCCGATCTCAGTTTGATAAATGGAATATGGATGGAGCTCGTCTTCGTGGAAAAGATTGAGCTAGTAGAGGTGAATTACGGGCCAGATACACAAGAAATAAGCACACACCTTGGTCAAAATCAACTCCCTTATTTGCGCCGCAGTCTTCGCACTACTAATGCTAACAGTAACATAACGCTCTGAATCGGCTGTAACAAAGATGATGGTTGAAGAGGCACTTGACGGGGATGTGTAGGAATCTGGGGTTGCTGCGGTGGGGGACTTGGCACGGATAGGGAGATCAGTGAAGTGACGATGGAAAACTAAAGGTATGAAAGGACACATACAGTACGATGACGCCGGGAGGAATTGCTGTCGGGGGGTCGTGGCCGGCCACCGAAAGGTGCCTTGATCAGAGCCTGGAATTTGCTCTTGCGGGAGGTTTCTTTGGAGGTGCGCTCATAGTAGTTCAGGTCGGGTGGAGACAAAACTTTTGACGGACTTTCTACTCGTGTCTGGAGCTCGACAGAGGGAGAGGGGGCATGTAGGCCCGGGGTGGAGGGTGGTGGAGTGGACGACTCGGCAGCAGGAGATCCTGCACTGTCTGGAGATAATGGAGGGTAGGACTGCTGATAGTGGGAGCCATTGCTGGTGACGGGGAGGATGTTCTCTGTGGTGAGATAGGACGGCTGGGAGGTGGAGGGCCGGTTGTAGGAGTAGGTGGGTGCGGGGGGCGGTCGGTGGTAAGGAGGGTATTTGGGGCGGAGGGGGTTCTCGCGCTCGTCCGAGTCTGAGCCGGGATTGGCGACATAGAGCTTCCTGTGGGGCCGTGATCCTCTGTCCTCTGACATTGGGCGGGGACGGCCTCGACGGGCAGGCTGGTCGGGGGCGATGGGGGCGATAGAGCGACGTGCGACGGGCGTCGTGGGTACGAGCTCGGCGGGGCTACCTGCTGGTGGTCGTGGAGGACGGCGTCGGGGGCCTGACAGACAGCGTCGTCGTCGTCGTCGAGGTTGAGAACGACAAGAGTGGGTAGAGACGAAAAGAGAATGGGTCCGTGCTGACTAAGCCACATGTACGCTCAGGAACAGGCAGCTTCGATTTCGAACACACGTTGTCCACACGGATTCTCATCTCTGCCGAACTCACTTTATTCTGTATCTTACATACGCTATTTGACTACACCTTCCCCGTCTCCCCAAAGGTTCCCTCCAGCACATTCAGCTGCACACAGGTCAGCATGCCGCAACAGCGCCCAGCTGCACGCTTACCTTCGGAAAGTCCATCTTCTCCTCCAGCAACGTCTCACCCCAGCACAGGAGTTTCAGGAGCCCCACCAGCTTCACCTCTTTCCCCTGAGACAGACTCTCAAGGATCGCTGCATTCACATCCCCGGCTGTCTTCATCCGTTGCGCCGGGGATAGCAGTTCGGCGATCGCAGGCGGCGCATTCGGGGCAGAGTCGAACGCCAAAAGCGCCATCGTCCGTTCAAGCTCAGACAGAAATTCAGGAGACTCTTCACCTCGAGGAGCGAGTTCGTCTTGTGCAAACTGTATGGCTTCAGGTATACGCCCCTGTCGAATAAATTCGATCAACTTCTGTTGCTGTAGCTTGAAGTACAGTGCAGGGTTTGTGTCGAGGATCTACCACCAGTCAACAATGAGGTCAGCAGACTGCATCGCGAAGAACGAGAAAAAAGACAGCGCAAGGCAGTGATCATATTGAAGACTGAAGTTTTGGTTTACGTATATCATCAGCAGCCACAAGGGCTTGAGAGTGGTGCATGAAACGGTTTAATCCTTTGGAGCCTTGCCTGGCAGTGGTGAACACTCGACATACCTCAGGGTTGAGGTCGTTCACGCGTGTGATGGCGTCTTCCACGTCTCCTCGTTGAAGAGCTTCTCGGATGTCCATCCGGCTTTCTATGCTCTCGAAGTCGACAGGCGGAGAGAGGTTGGCCTCCTGGCTGAACTCTTCAGCCGCAGACTTGTACCCCTCGATCACCAAGTAGTCCATGACTAGACGGTTGAGATCACTGTCAAAAGGCGGATAAGCGCTCGCTCGAGGGAAACACACAAGCTCGAAAGGTCAGATAATACATGCAATTTTTTTTATCTCCACAAAAATTAGTTTCAGAGAGATTCCCAATTGTTTTATCATCTTGGTAGAAAAATAGGAAACATGGACTCACGATTTCGTCACTTGAACATCATGTAGGCGTCGTTCCCATTCTTCCTTTCGAATGGAAGGCTTCGGAGGCTAGAATCGACGGTATGTAAGCGGGTCGCATTACCCCGGGGCATAGGTTGTACTGACCATGGGGACAAAGGTTGAGCGAGAATGCGGAATTTATGGGCCGGTAATTTGCGTGTTCAGGGCAGGTCAAAGAACCATTTGAAGATCACGTGAATTACGCACTGAGCGCCTCACCTTTCACTGATTGCTTTTCTGCAGCTACTCACATTCACACAAAGAAGATGCGGCACCGATGTTCGTCCTGCTCTGCTTACTTACTCTTTCATGAAGCTTGAAAACCTGCACGAAGATAATCATTGACGTTGAAGGTTGATGTCATGACCCGTTGACCCCTCAAGTTCAGTTGCAAGCCCGAGGCATTCCAGTTTATTTCAGTCCACGATCTCATTCAGTGGAGCCCACATGGCGTGGCAGACCCTCTATCATAAGTGACTTCTACGGGCCTGTGTCCGCATGGCCAGAATATGTCCTGTTCAATGGCTTGGGAGGACCACCGCAGTCGACGCCGGCATTGGGGATGGCAGGCAAGGGCAAGCAAGGACAGGCCCGTCGTGCCCTTTCTCATTAAAATCGTCTCACAGAGCCTACAATGCATACGTCTCTTGACCCCAAAACGCCCCCGCCAGGCCGCAACTCCACTGCTCGGGGAACTTGGCGTACACGCGCAGCACATTTGCACGTTATCAGACTATACAGTTTTTAAAAACGTGCCCACCCCATATCGATTCGATGATAACTGAATCCGCACGCGAGGAAGCTACAACGACATTGTGTTGTAGCTTATCGGCACCGAATCATTCAGCCGTCTCTGAAAGGAGAGCCGCCGGATTCCGGGAAGTGCTGCTTCAGTGGATCGTCTCCTGTTCGTGGTACCATGCAGTCCCGGGGCGGTGAAAGTCGGAGAATGACATGGGAACTGGAGTTAACCCCCGCTAGATAACCACTTCAATGAGTCTAGACTCCGCATATGCAAAGTGTCGAGTTTAGAACTCATAACAAGAGACGGCGTTTGGAGTAAATGCTGCATCCGTATTTCAGGAGGAAACGCCAGGGACAGACCAGTCAGATACAAATTCAATCCCGTTTGCTTCCTCGTATTCCTTCTGCCATTCATTGACCCGTCTCATGACATCGGCCCATTGCTCTTCAGTCTCGACACCTCTGACCCATTCGTCGCCGATGCCGAGCTCTTCGATGCGCTTCCAACCGCGAACGATATACTGGTAGGTGAAGACGTCCTTCCGCCATTGCTCTACGAACTTTTTACCATCATCCCGAATGACGCCCTGCACAGGCAAATCGTGATTAGAGACCTCAACAAAAAGAATAAACACATTCACACAGACCTTTTTCTTCAGGAAATCGACGAGATCGTCTTGGTAGCCGCTCGACATATCGAAAGTGAGCATTCTATGGCCAGCAGTGTATGGGTCAAAACCCAGCGAGCGGACCTCGTCTTCGTGGCGTGCAAGGTCTGCGAGCATCTCAGAGCGAGAAGGAAGAATATCAGGATGAGCAATTGCATATGTAGCGAATAGGCTCTGAGCCAAATCCGAAGCACAGTTTGGGATAGCCGAGGGTAGACCAACGAAAGCAAGAGCGTTGGTAGGGTACTCAGGGCTCAGAGAAAGAATGTGCTGGTGAAGAGGGAAGATGTATCGAGTGTTTGATACAAGGCCGTCGGTACCGGAAGAGTTGTCGCGAGCTGAGCGGTCGATTCGCAGGAGGCCGGTCTCCTCAAGGAAAGGTTTTCGGTGCTCGTATCCCGTTGCTAGCAGGACGACGTCGGGGTTTACAAAAGTGCCATCCACGAACACTACTCCAGTCGCGGAGAAATGGTGGATCTCAGGCTTGATTTGGCCTACTACGCGCTGGTCTTCATGCCTGATGGAAATGAATACCTGGTTTCGTCAGTCGAGAACACACAGGAATTTACGACACCGGCATACCTCTCGGGCCAACCCTGCTAACTGAGTAGACGCATCCCGACCACTGGCACCGTTTCCAACTATTAAAACGCTTTGCCCGGTAAATTCTTCCGGCTCACGGTAGTATATCGAATGAATGATACGCCTCTTGAGGCCACCAGGTGGACTGTTTGCCAGCCATTCGTCTTGTCCCTCCCAGGTAGGGATGTGTGGAATGTGGTTGTTGCCGCTGGCGACCACTAGGTGGTCGTGAGTTTTCGTCTGGACGACGCCCTTCTTCCGGTCTGAGACGGTGAGGTTCCAGAAACCTTCCTTCGAAGAACCTTCCCAAGCGGCTTTCTCGAGTCTGTGGTGAAAATGGATGTAGCCGCGGAGATTCAACTCCTCGGCGTAGCGTGCATGGTAGGTTTGGACATATTCGTGGCTTGGAAATAGAGGTGTGCCTTCGGTGAAGGGAAAGCCAGGATAAGTCATGAATGGCACTGGAGTATTCGTGCGGAGCAGTGGATAGAGAGGCGTTTCTGGAAGCTCAGGAGGGGTTACTCCTCTGGGGTCTGGTAACCTGTATTATAACGCGTTGGTTCCATGTTGGAAGGGCCAAAGACATCGACATTACCAGATGCCGCCAACATCTTCTCTTTCTTCATATAACACAATCTCCCATCCTTCACGCAAGGAGAGGGGCAAGTCTAGCAGAGCCTTGAGCATAGCAAGGCCGCCGCTTCCAGCACCAATGATAGCAACGGACTTCGGTAAAGCTGTGGGGGCATGGTGAGAGCCCATAGGCACTTGAGAGGGAAGAACGGATGAAAGAAACGGGATTAGCAGCCGCGACAAGTTAACCATGGTGAAGGATCAACTTTAAAGAGAGCATGAGCTGAGAGGACGCGTGGATCGTTAAAAGGGGCGTCCATGGCCAGAACTCGACAATTTGGTAGAAACCTTAGTCAAGAAGTCGTGAGCACGTTTTAAGCAATTGGGGATCTTTATGACGTGCTTCGGCCTCGTCCTGTTGCATTGGGACAACAGCCTTTACCGGGGTTTCAATGGTGAATGTACGAGCGTCGAGATGTGACACGGTTGAGCCTGTGGAAGTGCATTTTCGTGCTTCAGGAGGAAACAGGTCCCAGGTCAACGAAAGGAAAATCGACGTAAAATGCGAACTTGCTCTTGCAGTTGAGAAGCCACCATATATATTGGACAAGGTTCTCATACACCATTTGATATCATTATTACGCCTTCGAGACCACGCCTCCAGACCTTATCATGTTGAAGAAATCATCTTTGTCAACTGTACCTGGAGTAAATCGCAATCAAAATGATATTTCCGGTAGGCACTGTCGAGATGGCTTACTTTCTTTGCCTCTCCCGATGATATTATCCTTGCTTTTACCTTTGCTTTTGCCTTTACTTTCCACAACGGGGGCAGGGAGTGACGGTTTGCCAGCGCCGCGATTGGCCTTCGCCTCTTCTGCCGTAGTTGCTACCTGGGCCTGAGATTGTTGGATAACGTTGAAAAGTCTGACAACTTGAGGAAACGAAGTGAGGAACAGAAACCAGAGTGTTGATCAGGAACGTACCTCCTCGCTGTGCCACCTTTCGCAATGCCCTCTCGCTTTCCCCTCCCCAACCTCCAATTACGTCTTTTACCCGAGCCTTGTCTTCCTTCTCCTTCTTTTCTATTTGAAGGACCTTCTTTGCTCGTAGTTCCAGTTTTTCATCATTCCGTTTCCGTGCTATTGAAGGTTTGAGAGATAATGGCAGAGTCGACGGTGTTTCTGTCTCTAGAAGAAACTCTAGCGTGGCGCCAAATTTTGACCCGCCTGTTGCGCGTATTTTTCGCTTCGAGGTTTGTTTCGATTTTTGAGGCTTGAGGTTCTGAATGTCGTCCTCCTCATCCATTCCCGAGCCCTCACCAAAACTGTCCAAGTCTGCATCGTCGTTGTCGTCTACCGAGGCTTGCGATTCGTCCACTGATACAGTCGACTCCTTGTCATCATTGCGGTCTTCAGGTGGTGACAGCTTCTGGCGCTTGTGCGAAGGCATGGTGGACGAAGAGTGAGCGGTGGTGTGCAAAGTCTGAAAGCATCCTCGGCTCGATCGTGATGGTTATTTTCGGCAAAATGTTCCCGTTCAAGAAAAATGCTGTCTCGCTTCACGTTCAACCCCCTGCATCCTCAGCCTTGTTGACTTCCTGCCCACTCTTGGTCCACAACCTACGATTGCTTCGTGTCAGACTTCCGGTAATATCATAGAGGGTGCTGTAGATCATTTTCCCAGACGCGTTATCCACGCGCGTCTCCATAGTCCCGTCCCTACGAGACCGCCACGAGTTTGCAGACAGTGAATTACAGGCGACCGTACAGCGCTACATCGACTCTGTAGCTTTTGGGAATGCCAGCGACGCCACCGCACACAATCGATATATCCCCAGAACCAGATCTCCACCCTCTATACCCCACAATCGCGCAAATATCCCAACAAATCAGCTCGGACTCCGGTCTAAGCCCAGCTCAGAAGGCAGAGTTAGTCTCGCACTGTCTGACGCGTGCTTGCACGTTTGGAGACATCTCGGTGGTTCAATATCTGTTAACTGATCCTCAAGCACAAGCACATGTTGACTTGGGCCTTCGGGACGAGGACGGCGTCAATCTGATTAGTTTGGCAATTCATGGCTTCGGGGGCGACTCTGATCGCGACGTGGAAAGGGAGGAATGTGTGAGGCTTTTGGTATCCCAAGGAGCCGATATGAGTGCAGACAAGGGTGAGCCATTCTATTCTGTTAACCTCGACGTCATATAACATGTTTCTAGCGGGCTGGACCCCTCTGCATTATGCTGCTCTCCTCTCTCCGCCAACGCTGGTATCGTACTTGATGACTCATGGCTGCTCGCCGTTCGCATTGACGAACAGGAAGCTTACACCCCTCGACATCGTAACTGCGCATTCCATGGTCCCAGGCAAGGAAGATGTGGCACTGCTACTTGGAGAATCAATGCGTGGTCAAGGTTGGACAGGCGGTCATATGGAAGAACGACGCAGGTCGTTTGATCAGCGGTTGAAGAAGAAAGGCAGACAGAAGGAGCTGCGCGACGATGTTGGAAAGGTTCTTGGTGTTGGTCCGGATTGCTGGAAGAAGTCTTCAGAACTTTCAGGATCTGACTCTGACTCCGACGAAGACGAAGAAGTTGATGACGGTATATTTGTGAGTACGATACAGGAGGACCTTCCATAATCTGACATCTATTCTTGTAGACACCGCGCCTGGAATTCTCCTCCATGCTTGTGTTCTCACCTCCAATGTTGCCCCAGATGTTCGAATCCCTTATTGCAAACTATCCTCCCAAGTTTAAAGACTCTACTCCAGCCAATACTTTGTATATGCTGGCCCGATTCGCAGCGCTGACGTGTGATCATACATGGCTGGAGGACCTCATTATCGGCGCTACAGATGCCATCGAGGAAACATTCTTCGTAAGTAGATGTCTCCCTTTCGTGATCTGCACAGCTTATGCATAACTTCCACACAAAGAGTCGATCCGAGGACCTTCCTTGCTTAGTATTTTGGCTGTACAACACGACGCTATGGCTCCATCTACTAGAGAGTGATACCTCAATAAACGAGGCATGCGACATGCTCGGCTCTTTCGATCTAATAGAGGAAGTTATAAATTCTGTCTTCGGTGAGTCCGCCCCAACTATTCACTTGCCAACGCCGTGTTGATGACCTCGAGGTAGTATTTATTATTCGTTTCGCGGAACGACGGATAGACCAGTTACTGGACACTGCTATCTTATCATACACTCCGGTGCCCTCCCAATTAGACGCCGTCCAGTTCGAATCTGATTGGTCTTTTCTACGCCCCTTCACGAGCAAAAAGAAAGGGCCACCACCTCCATCCCTCGGACGCCCTGCTGTTCCCCCTTCTCCGAAGAGCCCACAGCGACCACTTTCCCCCTCTGAGAGCCAGACTACGATCCCCTCTTCCACGTCGCGTGGATTTTCGTCACTGCGGCAAACCATAAATCGAGCCCGAAGTCAATCGTCTGCGCCTCCCTTATCTTCGATTTTCCAAGACCAGCCTCCACAACCAATACCGGCTGACCTTATTTCATTCCTTGCATCTCTCCATACGCTTTTAATACTCTCTGATGTAAACCCGGCAATTATCACCCAGCTATGGTCTCAAGTAATGTATTGGACCTCTTGTGCGTCCCTTATCTTCTGTCATCTTTCATGGACTAATTCTCGTCAACAGGCGAAATCTTCAATCGGGTTATTACGCGCAAAAAGTATATTTGCAGGTAAATAGGGACGTTTTCGTGACTTGGTTGTTCTTGATCGCAATTTACAGATCGCGAGCTGCTCAGATCAGTATGAATTTGACCGCAATAGAAGAATGGATAGAAGAAATGGGACTTCCTTCCGGCATTCAGATACACTTTGCACCTCTTCGGGATTTATTGAATTGGCTTCAGGTATGCCGTCCTATTCTGTCTCATCGAATCTACTCACAGGCTGTAGTGCCTATCCTCCATTAACGAATTTTCAGACCTCGTTGCCACTATTCAGACGATGAAACACATGAATCCGTTGCAGGTAAATGCATCCAATGAGCCCTTGTTGACGACACCTCCAACGGTCTTTGGTAGATGCGTCGAGCCGTTCGTGACTACAAGTATGAAGTCAATGAAGGGCGGATGACGGAAGAGTGCATTCAGTACCTAACTCAACTGCAGAAAGATTGGGAACGGCATCGGGTCAAACTAGGAGTTGAAGCCATTAGGAAAGAGGTTCGTGTTTATATCTTCCAACCAAGCACTTCTACAATGACAAATTTCCAGATTGTAGAACGAGACCGCGATCGTGAAGGTAGCATATCATCCCTAACGAATGACGCTGCTAGTGTCAACGAGCGTACACCGTCAATCATTTCATCCAGTGAAGCGGCTTCCCCTCAGCATTCGATTGACATTTTATTTGACAAATCCTTCGATAAATCGTCTTGGGAGCCTGTACGCCCACCGCAGGCGCTGGGCGAACTGCTGGATTCGCGGTACATGCTCCCCTTGCTGTTCCCCTCCGACCCTCGACTCCTCGCCGCACTTCCTGGGAAACCAGACTTCCTTGAGGACACGAAGAGGACTTCAATCCAAAATTCAAGTTCCAACTCCGACAATGGTTCAAGTCGCGGAAGCACCACGGGGAAGCCGATGTCATGGAGATCTAGAAACCGAAAGGTCCGGGAAGTCGGAATCGCGACGTTGCAGTGGGTAGACGGCGTGCGATCTGCATCCCGCTGGGGCCGACCAGTCGCACACGAGTACGATCCTGACGAAGACGAAGACCGTCGGACGAGCGTGTCAGAGGGTCGTGGAGAGGAGGAATCGACGATGAGGATCAACACCCATGTAACACCTCTTACTCGCAAACCTTCGGGCAGAACGAAAGGTCGCCAAAGCATGGGGGAAACGACACCGATAGATGGCAGCTTTGATAGCAGGATATCCGGATTTCGGCATCAGGGGAATATGGACAGCATTCAAGGTCGATACTAACCACTCATCTGTAAATTAATACGTACCATCATGATCATTCACGGTTCCAGCATTTCTCCAACTCCCTGTCCGATTATCTTCGTGGCATTTGAGACCGAATATCTGCAGCAACATATGAAATTAGACGTAGTCTTGTTGAAGCCGTGTCGGACATGCCTGGTGTCAACAGCCTGCCTTCCACAAGGGCTCGGCTGACCGCACGACTTGCTGCGCTTGACGCCTAATTAGTAGACCTGTCATTTCGGCACACAGCTTTTCATCTCTTCCAAGTTCTCTACATAAGTATTTCTTCAACCTCCCTTCCTCTGCTTCTCCTTCTCAGTTTCCCCCGAACGCCTGCTCTACACACTATCTGGACCTGGGTCCATCGTCTACACCCATGGCCTCTAGTCAACCTGCTACCGATTCCAAAACCCCCTACGTCGTGGATTACACCCCCGAGCCGTCGACTTCGACCTCGACGACGAACAATTTAGTTGCGAGTACAAGTCAAAGGAGGCATTCCAAACAAGATCCTATGAACGATGACTACGATCCTACAAATGTTGGAGTGCCACGAGCACAACACACCTCGGACGCGTCTGATCCAACCAACTTGAATAAGGATCTTCCAGCCGCTCCTTCCGTTCCTTCAACTAAGGAGAAACGACTGTCTAGCTACTCCGACGATGACGGCCATGGCCATTCCAACGAGCAACCAACAGACGACACGGTCGTTACCCCCCTCGTTCGCGGCAAATCACAGAAACGGGTTCATTACCAGGATCTGGGTAAGATATTTCAGTTTCTTCTCTCCTTGGCGTGTGGGCATTGAGGCGTCAACGTGCACAGAGTATGGAGAACCTCATTCCCGAGCTGGACTGCCTCCGTCCAAAGAGAAACCATTGGCCAAATTCTTTGCATCAGCGAAGTATCCACTGGACCAACGGATAGAGAATAAGAAGCGGGGTATTGGACGCCAGAAGTATCCAGTTGTTGGTGAGTTGGATACCGCAGTCTTCGTTTTGTGCCTTCTTTGTTCAACAGTGATTCTAGTGTATACATTGACGGTTGCGATGATTGGAGTGTTCATTTATGAACTCGTCCTCAATGCGCGCGAGCAAGGGAATCCTTTCTCTTTTAGGGTATGCTTCGTGCTTCCCCGCTTTCGATGGCAAAACCTAACGTCTTTTTAGCCTGTCGTGAATTACATGTTGGGTCCTTCCTCCAGCGCGCTAGTGAACCTTGGAGCGCGCTTTCCTCCATGTATGAAATACGTCGAGGCTGTCCCGCCGTCCACTCCATTAGGCTGTATGCGACTGTCATTGCCGTCTGTCATGTAATTCCTGAAAAAATTCTAGGCATGAATAACACTGCAAATCCGGTGACCGAAATATGCACGGTTGAAGAGCTTTGCGGCTTCGGTGGTAAGTCTTGATTTGGTTTCGAGGTTATAACTAGGCTTACTCAGTTGCACCAGGCATTCCACCCAATGAAACGCCTGACCAATGGTTTAGGTACTGCGTGCTCCACTTCGCATATGGAGTGACGATTTACATGTCTTGTGCTAGGTTCATTACCGCGATTTTCCTGCACGCAGGCGTTGTTCATATCCTCATCAATATGCTCGCGCAAATGATCCTGTCGGCCCAGGTGCATAGCTGTTTCATTCATTTTTAAAAATCGCTTATATCGGCGTCTTTCCAACAGATCGAGCGCGAGATGGGTTCTGGAGGCTTCTTGATCACATACTTTGCGGCAGGGATATTCGGGTATGTGACTATTCCCGAGCTTCATTCATTGATCAGCTCACCCTGTCTCAGAAATGTACTTGGAGGCAATTTCTCGCTGGTTGGCATACCCTCTGTTGGTGCAAGTGGAGCTATCTTTGGAACACTAGCGGTACGTCGCTCGTGACTTCAAATTCATCAATGCCCCTGAAGCTGTCCATAGGTCACTTGGGTAGACCTGTTCGCGCACTGGAAGTTCCACTACCGACCTGTCAAAAAGGTCTGTCCCTATTCCTTTGCGCCCCAATGCCGTCATCTGAGCCTGGAAAAGCTGGTTTTCATGACCATCGAACTTCTTATTGGGTTCGCAATTGGATATATCCCATGTTGGTCTTACTTTCTTCACATTTTCGTAGCTGACCAGGTCTTTGCGAAGATGTGGACAACTTCGGTACGCCCATCCAAAAACCTAACTTGACTTGTGATAATAATGATATTCAGCCCATATTGGCGGTTTTGTCATGGGACTGTTGGTTGCCACTGTATTCTACCCAGTCATCAGCACCACGAATCGCCACCGATTCATTATGTGGGCTTTCCGTTTGGCCGCCATTCCTTTTGCAATTCTTCTTTTCGTGCTGCTAACGCGAAACTTCTATACTTCTGATCCTTATGATGGTGAGCCACATCGCTGGTGGCTTTTGAGCTCGTCGTCCCCTGACTCTTCTGCAGCCTGCTCTGGGTGTCGATATCTATCCTGTATTCCATCCTCTGCCAACAATCGCTGTCAAGGGTATGTTTCTACATTTTCTCCTCGCGGCGCTCATACTCATCCTCTGCCAGAACCGGTTTGTCGACCTAACATGTATTTGGATTGACGGATTGTTCCAGCACTTAATAGTCCTTCATTCTATAGAATCTTCACGTTTCCAACGATCACTTATTGCTGAACAGAATGCTGTGAAGTACCATTACTAGTACTACTACCACCCCCGGACCACATTTACCCATATCTATTTGCATGGACATATCGTAGCAAGCGTCAGTCTCTTACATAAATCTCTGCTGTACACCAGGTATCATCTGTTTGAGGCTGTTGATGAGAACAGGCGATCACCCTTTTCGGAGATAAATATGCCTCCGAAATAGGTTGCCGCCCGGCGCTACCCCTGCCAGCTCTTTGCTCAGCCCCACAAACGACGTCTGTCTTCGAATGTTCTCCCTTCTGGCTGATGCAAGTTAGACTCCATCTCAGCACCTGCTAGACACTCCCCTCAAGCCTTCTGATGATCCGGTCTGCGCAACTGGTGTCCTCAACAATCAGTATGGCGTCTTTTAAATCGAAATTGAATCCTTCATGGCCACATTTTCTCGGTATCTCTACCATTCTTTTTGGTTTTGTGATTGGATTGGGTCATTTGACTCTTAGTAGTGAGTCGTTCCTGCCGTCCAGATGCGCAGCAAAGTACTGATTCTTGCTCATACCCAGGCTGGTCAGACCCTTTCCACTGCAACGCATTATTAAACGACGGGAGCTGGATGGACGCTAACTATCGCAACTGGCAACCAGATGGTGCGTCGTAATGAGCTTATACTGTATTGCTCTAAAGCCGGCCTAGGGTGCATGCTATACGCGTACCCCGAAAAGGACTCCGCCGCCTGCCTGAAGTCCAAGGAACTCATCTTCATTGGCGACTCTGTGACTCGCACGCTCTTCTTCCAGGTTGCCCAATCACTGGACAAATCCCTCAAACTACCAATAAACGACTCCAAAAAACACTCCGACCACAAACTTCAAACCAGGTACGGAACGAACCTAACATTCGCGTGGGACCCCTTCCTGAACACCACGTATACACACGGAATCATTAATGGCGCGAAAGTGAACGAGGTGCTGCACAGGCAGAGCTCTGCTCAACGCCCTGCAATGATCGTTCTCGGCTCAGGATTATGGTACCTCCGTTATGCTGATTTGTCTGGTGGCAGTGCAGCCTGGAGAAGCAACATGGAGCGTATATTTTCCGTATTAAATAAAGGTCCAAAGCCGGCTGATGAAGTCGTTATTCTTCCTGTGGGCCAAGTTGTACCCTCGAAGCTCTCTGCTTCCCGCGCAGCAACTATGCACCCTTCTGACATCGACGCTATGAATTCCGAGCTCTACCATCACATCAATCCCCTGGCAGAACATCCTAGACGTGGCTTGCCACCATCCCTGCATCTTCATCAAACGCTCTCGCTTCCACTTGTTTTCAACAAGATGTTGGATGAATCACTAACGGAGGACGGTCTTCATTTCGCTGACAGCCTTGTCAACCTTCAAGCTAGAATTTTGCTCAACCTCCGCTGTAACGATATTCTACCAAAAAAATTCCCTTTGAGCAAGACTTGCTGTAACCGCTATCCAATGCCTTCCATGTTACAATTTGTATTTTTGGCGGCAGTCCTTCTCTCAGGTCCTTATTTCCTCTATACAACCTACAAATCAGGCAGGCCAATTCTCTTCTTTTTGTCATTCTGGTTGTTGATAATTCTCCAGGAATGGGTGGCGTGACTATTTCTGCTGCTCTAGCCAACCAGCATGCCCTTCCTGCGTTGATCATTAGCGCATCCATCGCCCTGATTTACACTGCCGATCGAACTGACTTGTGGGTCAAGGAGCAAAAACAGTTCAATCCATGGACTTTCGGATTTCTGTGCATTTCATCACTGGGCATAGGACTGGTCACAGTGAGACGAGGAGACAAGGATTTGGGATACCTGAATCGCGACCAGACAGATGAATGGAAAGGTTGGATGCAAAGTAAGCCTTGTTTGTGTTTTGATCATGTTCATATTATTTAAGCATATTCAGTTGCCATCCTCGTTTATCATTACTTCGGGGCCTCGAAGATTTCAGGGATCTACAACCCAATCCGCGTCTTGGTTGCGTCATACTTGTTTATGACTGGCTATGGGCACGCGACTTTCTACATCAAAAAGGCAGATTTCGGCTTTTTTAGGATAGCCCAAGTAAGGGTATTCAAAGTTTGCGTCAGTGGTAATTCTCATATTATTTTTCCAGGTCCTAGTACGGCTGAATTTCTACACCATCCTCCTCGCCTACACCATGAACACCGACTACATATCCTACTATTTCACCCCGCTCGTGTCGATGTGGTATCTTGTGGTTTACATCACCATGGTCATTGGTGCTCGATTTAATGACCGCACCTCTCTCCTCATAGGCAAGATTCTACTATCTGCTGCTTTTATGACCTGGTTCATGAATGAGAGCTGGGTGTTAGAGGGTGTCTTCAACGTTCTTCGCCGATTTTGCGGCATCCATTGGTCAGCGCGCGAATGGTCCTTCAGGGTGAACCTTGACCTGTGGATCGTCCATGTGGGCATGTTGACTGCGATTGCTGTCATCAAATTCCGCGAATACCGCCTGGGAGATCATCTACGTTGGCCACTAGTCCTCAAGCTGTCCATCGTCGCGTCAGCATTGATTTTGATATGGTTCTTTGCATTTGAACTGTATCAAGAATCCAAATTCACATACAACACCTGGCACCCCTACATTTCCTTCCTACCTGTCCTCGCCTTCACTATCCTCCGAAATTCAAGTGTCATTTTGCGGTCTTCGAGTTCTCGAGCGTTCGCCTTCCTCGGCAAATGCTCCTTGGAGACATTTATCGTTCAGTACCACTTTTGGCTGGCTGGAGACAGCAAAGGTGTCTTGCTTGCCCTTCCGGGTACCCAATGGCGGCCTATCAACTTCGTCATCACCTCTATCATGTTCGTCTACCTCTGCGATCGCATTGCGTACGCCACCGGCGAAATCACGAACCGAATATGTGGGGTCAGAATACGAGAGCTGCCTCAGCTGCCTCCACCTGTAACTGCGCCACCAAGCAATGCTGCACCTCAAGATGTCGATGGCCAAGAGGTGACGATCAACCTCGCGCCGCTACACGGACGCAAGGACGGCGCAGGAAACCCGCTGCCAATGGAGCCTGACACACCCATCCGTCCAAGACGGTGGGTCGATCGCTTAGCGGAGGACAGTCCATCGCAACCATCTGCCCTCCAGTCGTGGTTCGCAGAAAGTGGAGGAGCCCTCCGTGTAAATGCCAGATTGCTCATTTTCATGGCCGTCCTCTGGTTATTCAACATTTTCTGGCCATACCCTTACAACACCACCTCGTAGAGTAGGAATTTAATGACATTTTGACACTTTCTAATGCACACGACTTCGAACTTTGGGGTTCATGATACTTAGTCAATGAGTAGACTTACTAGTGACGTTGATACCGGGCTTATTTATTCCCATCCACACCGTTATGACATTTCATGAAGTGAAACCCGATTGGATATATTTGAGAGCATATACAAGAAATTTATGGAGTCGACAATGCTCTGGAAATTTTCCAGGTACGGTACCCTATAGGAAAATGGGTGTCAGCGAAGGATTCCAGAAAACAACGCAGAAAGGGATCAGTATTAGCATGGTAAATTCACCATCCCCAGGTCCTTGAGACCGGGTCAGTGCTTGACTTCTATTTGATGCATCACGTCGACACAAAGGTCAAATACTCACAATGTGGAGACATAGGTTCGGAACGATCTAGAAGGGAAAGAGGGTAAGTCTCGCGTTCAGCATGGCTGGTCAAAAGTCAGAAATTTGGGTATATGAATAACGTTCATCAGCCTATTGGCTTCGAAGTAGCGATTCGTTTGTCTCGTCTTGGAGATGCTGGCAAGGAGAATAGACGCACCATGGAGACTGAAAGAACATGCACGACGGTCATGGTAAGTACAAGCACGAGGCAGAAAAAAGCGTGGCTCTTTTTGTGGAAAGCCTGTTCAGGGCAGGTTCTGTCACCTCACGTGACTAGTACGCGTGACAGAGATACATTGTGAGCGTGACATTAGCCTGTTTTTTTTTTTTTTTTTTTTTTTGAAGTCTTCCACGTAGGGTGTATTTTAGACGTACTCCAAATACACAAAAAATAGGGTGTTCGATCACAGTCCCTTGGAGGTAGGCTACACCTAAACGACCCTCCTCATCATCCCATCCCTCGACCCGCCGCCTTTGGTTGAAGCCCCATTGGGTGCCGAAGCTTCCAGCTGTTGAGACAGTTGGTGAGAGCTGACCAGTTTCCTTGCGGTTCGCCGAATCTAAACAATCAAGGGCTTCATGGTGTTAGTCCTTCCCAGCATTGGGCGCCGAAGCTTCCAAGCCGTCAGTCGCCTGCATGGTTGGTGTGCCGGGCCAACGCCATTGACGGGGGCAGCACATGTAGGTGCTAAGTACCCCTAACGAGATTGGATGGTTTGGAAGTGAAATGTTGAAACGAGTGACTCTGCCTTCCACTATGCCTTCCGCCCTCTGATACAACCCCACCCGCTTTCCTCCCCCATTTCCCAAACCCTAAGGCACGCATCCTGTAGCATCCCCCTACCATGCGAAGGCGGTCGAATATCTAGTGTTTCTCCCCAAGGGGTGTAGCCGGATCATAGGCAACACGGCTGATGATCGGAAACTAGCCTCCTCCCTCCATGGGTTGCCTTCCATGACTAGGTTGCGCCCCCGAAAGGTCTGCGCGAAGCAGAGCAAGACGGTACACGGGCTGCCTGTCAAGTAGGGCCATCAGTTGCGCTTTGAGGTTGTTGTAAACAAGGTCTTCGGGCCTCCAACAAAGCGATTGGGATACAACCACGCCGAAGTCGCGATCTTCTCCGATAAATAAGAAAAGGTGTTGGTTTAATGAATAGATAAGGAATCAGGCAATGAGTGGGGCCCGATGGAGGACGATGCCGATTAATGAGAGGAGTTCGGTAGTGTAGAGCGCGGCCATGGTGGGGGCGACGAATTCCCACGGCCGGATGGTGATGGTTCAAAATCAAGAAGCGTCGTGACATTAGCCTGTTGCCCTCCTCCCTTTCACCTTTCTCCTCACGACTTTCATCATGGCCAACGTTCTCCACCCACACATCAACTTCCACCCTAGACCCGTCTCCCATGCGCCCTCCCCGTTTGGATTCGGCTTTGGCCTCGGTCCAACAGGCTCATCTTCTATGAGTTCCACTGGCTGGGGCTCTGCGACCCCAGGCCACACCAATCCTGCAGCTTTTCAGCAGCTCGCAACGTCTGTCACCCAGTCAGCAAATTCTTCCAGACCTCAGAAGCGAAGACTGGAGCATGATGAAGAGTCGGAAGGCAGCAGGTATCCGACGCCTCGAGACGAGTCGATGGACAGAAGTCCCACACCCGAACGGCCAAAGCGGGCTGCCCCGAAACGTGCACGAGTTGTCAATCCCTTCAGTGCCACCTCTAAGGAGGAGAACTTGTTGGCCAAGGATAAGCACCCTCATGAGGAAGACGATGTCGATATTGGCGTCCTGATAGGTTCGTCCACTCTGTTGCCCACAGTCGGAGTTGACTAATTTGGTTTGTATCTAGCATCTCTGCCACCTCAGTCCCTCCTTCCAATTCTTGCAGGTCTCCTTAAGGCGCAACCTTCACTTAAATCGACGATACTTCCACTCATTCCTCGACCCTCGGCCCAGGAAGCGATCGAAGCACTCAAGAAGGCCAGCCAGAAATTACACGAGAAATATCCTTATTCCTCCGGCTCGGTCTTTTCATCGCAACCTCTTTTTTGCATGCCACAACCCCAACCTGCGATGCGAGATGAATACATTCTCAGCCGTATCAGACCCCACGTCGTTGAATTCGTATCAACCTGCGTGTCGTACCTCCCGTACTTCTCGTATAAGCCCCCATCATCCCAATCCACCAACAAACAATCCACCTCGTCTTCCCCCCTCCAATCAATGCAACACGACAAGTTCCAACCTGCCGAAACATTCAGATTCCTGGCTGATGTGACCAAACTCATCAGCGACCATCAACCTCTCATGATTTCGGAGCTGGAGCCATTAGTCCTTCCCCGACTTACTCAAGAATGGGAAACGTGGTTGAAGAATCTCGATCATCTTGTCAATCGAGATGGCTTCCTGCTCTCAGTACATGTTGTCCGATCTTGGGAGGTCGAGATCGAGAAGTTGGGGGATTCAAGAGCACAAGGTCTGGCGCACCTTATGCGCACCGTTCTCCAGCACTACCCTCTCAAGGAAGGGTGGGAGAACAGGCTAAGAGGAACACCTCCCATGCAATTCTGAACGACAACACGCTGCGTGGTCATTACATGCCTGCTATCTCTGTCGTTAATTATACTTAGGACTCAACTCAATTTGCATTGTCTCTTTCTCAAGGTCCCCGCTGGTTCGTATTTTCCCCGCCGCAGAATATGAATTCTCCTTTGGAGCATCGCATCGGAAAAGTCGATTTCCCTTCACGAGCCAAGCTAGGCATGGCTCGTGGTCGATGTTTCGTAAATTATATCACGATCGACGGCTATTCGACCAACTCACGTTGGCAGAACTTAGAAAGTCGCCTAACGGCGCTTTCATTCAACTCTACAGTTAGAAATTGAATTGAGTTGTCGAGGTGATCATGAGAGACGAGCGTCAGTCGGCGAGCTTGTTCATCGCCGAAATATCTGTAGATAAATCTAAATAGTGGGGCGTTGCTTCCATTCTCTTAACTCTACCGGCCGATTGTACGCCTTGAGGGACCTTTCTTATTTGAACACGCCATGTCGCGTTGCAGCAGTTGATGAGTTCGATGCAAGTTCGATCATTAGGTCCTCAAGGCCAAACAAGTGACCACAAAGGAGTTACGGGCCGGGAAAAAAGCTGAGGTCGCGTTCTCCGTTGACGTCGAGCACCTGTCCCCGTTCTTCCCTTGACGGACACTAAAGCACCCTACGACGCGCGTAGGACAGACAGTGCTCACATTCCCATGCATGCCCTTTCGCGCCCTTCGTCTGTTCGCTGTCCCGACCAGTCCCGACACATTGCTTGCCAGCTCACTCTCCTTTGCGTCAACCCTTCAACTGGCCGCCGGGAAAGCATGGTCTCGACGTGTTGCGGCGCATTCCCCACTAGAACATGCCCGAAAACGCGGTGTACGCTCAGTAGGAGGGTGTCAAACTGCCTCTAAACCGGTTGAGTGGGAATATCGAAGGCAGCCTGGTCCTTCTCGGTATGTTCCAATTGCTCACTCCCTTATCCTGATTCTGACGGTAAAAAAAATTGGAGTAGACTGGGGAACGTGACTCAACCCTTGAGCTTTCGAGATAACTTCCTCCGAGAGCGTGGCAAGGGCACAACTCACGAGACGAGTTTCATGCACGCTGGTCACTCAGCTAAGCTTCACACCACCGCAAGCCAGGTAGGGAAACAGAATCGCCACCAGCATACGCGTAGACGCCAACGTCATCTACCTTCGGACCTTCGTGATTTACCACAGCGTCACCCCAAAATGAGTTACCTAGCTGGTGTCACCGACTTCGACCTCCAACTCAGCGATTACCTGCCATCGCCTGAGGACACACATGAACCCGATGAAGAATCCTGCGACTTGTTCGATGAACTACCCCCGGAGCACCATTCAGAAGTCCTTACGCCAGTGGCCACGGCATTCAAAGAACCCCGACCATCATACCTTAATGCTCCTAGAGACTGGCGCGCACTTTGCCAGAACCTTCTCTATCTCGTCAACGTCCGTAAACCCTCTCTCAGCCTTCCGGCACTGTTAGACTATCATGCCCGCTATCCTCACCACCATTCAACGTATTCATACAATCTACTCATTGACTTGAGTATCAAGCACCATTCCCACCCAATTGCGACCAGATTACTTCACGAACTTCGACAGTCCGGCATTCCAGAGGATATAGAGACCTATAAACTGCAAGTCCGTTTATACGTCCATCAAGCACAATGGAATTACGCGTGGGGCTACGTGCGCAGTCTGCAGAGAGAAAACAAACTGCCTAAAGACGAAAATGGCCGGCCTGACATGCCCCTGCCAATATGGCTGGAACTGTGTCGTGCACCCAAAAGACGGCGCAGTAGACGCTCCGCTCAGCAGGGCGGTGCTCATGACGGACAATCCTCAGTACCCCCTTTCGACACGAAGTCCTTTCAAATCCAACGGCAACTTGTAAATTCCAACAGGCCATCGAGATTGCCACCCCTTCACGAGACACCCCCATATGCAATATATTGTCTAGTTCAGCTGATGATGAGGGCGGGCGATAGGGATGGTGCCTTGGCGCTGACTGAGGCGTACTTCAAAGCAATACCTCGCGTTCTGGACACCAAGAAGATGCTGGTCTGCCTAAGGGTCGTCCATATTCACATGGCCTTCAGCCCTAAAAAGAGCGGGCTCCCAAAGTACGATGACGCACGGAAAAAGATGCATTCATTACTGCGCCTCCACCCGAGTCTTCGACCGACCTCTCGGACAGTATTCCTCCTTCTCTCGATGCTTCGACGTGCCAAAAAGTGTGGGACTGTGGCCTGGAAGCAGCTCGCGTTCTTCAAGTCGCGATGGGGCAATCATCTCGAAGATAGGCGCGTATTACGTCGCGTGTCCCAGTTAGCGCTCAAGGAGGGTCGGATGGACATAGTTCAGAAGCTAAAAGCCACCGTGAGGCTAGAGCGGTCTGAACGACGAGAACGCTTACTCGAAGAGAGTGTGAAGGGTGGGCCGAACCGAGCTCCAACGGAGAAGCTCTATCGACTTCCTCTGCGGCAGGTGTACCCCTCGCATGGTCGAGAAGGCCGCTTGTGGTTTCGTCACCAGGCGAGCATATATCGGCAACAGGCTCGACGGAGGAAAAGAGCGGCCAAGGCTCACTCTACGAAATGATAAGGCCCAGTTCAGCGAACGGGGCCGTCAACAAAGCTCCCGACTACCCCTATTTGCTCGTTCTACAGAGGCCTACCCGCTCTCTCGCACTGGTATTCTCCATGTAGTAGCCGACATTGTGCCCCCTGGCCCCCTGGTATCTCAGACTTAGGACGACATACTACGGGTGTTATTGTGATCCAGTGAAGGAGGGATATTTTAATGGTTTTGTACAACGTAATCCTTGGTCATCTTAATCTGTCTGAACTCGTTGGCTGCTGCTTTCCCTTCTTCAGCTTTGTGATCGACCGAGCGCTAATCAGGACAGTTTTCGACAGCAGTGTCGCTGAATTCAAACTGTCTGCGTGCGGTAAGTGCAACGGGAGCTTGTTTGACATCAAGTTTAGCGAGGTCGTAAATGTAAGTATTTATGATAACATACAGCGTCATTCATGTACAGTTTTTAGGAGTTGCACCATCAAGTCCCCGGTGGATTGACGACTAAGTTCGCTGCCATAACGATCAGCGGGGCAATTTCGACTCTTCGACTTCTTGGCTCATCGACTGCCACTTTCGACCGTTTCCGCGCCTGTCGTTCTCCCATTCCTGCCACCGTCTCCGTGCCCTCCTAAATACGAGGCAGTGCTCGAGAATTGGCTCAGCAACGCTCACTTTTTATTCGGCTTCTGCTGCGTACTTTTTATCTGGCTCCACGCCGCATGACGACAAGACAGCCCTCTGTTTTCGTCTTACTGCACTCGGCTTGACACGAGCCCACTGGCAGCTGGCAAAGAAAGATATGCTTCGGCTTCGTCGGCTACGAGAATTCCTTGAGAATGCCTTGCTTTCTGCGCGATTTCATTGAAAGCTTCGTCGAAAGCCCCGCTTATTTCGTGATCCGTACCTTACGAACGTCTTCAGAAGTCGCCAACCCATCAGATCTTCAGAGGAAGGCCTGTCCACTCCCAATAAAGCAAGCTAATCGGTTCGTTTTTGAAAGGGAAGCATCTCCTTTTTTCTGGGTCGGCCTTTCTAGCAACTCTACTGCCATTTATCTACCCCTTCGAAGCCCTTCTTGGTGTAGGCGCAATTTTACCGGACGGGGATCGCATCTACACATCTCATACTGAATCTAGTATCGCTTACACCTGCTCTCCTGCTGCTGACCATGTCACAGGCCTTCTCTTGGTATTTGGGATTTGTTATCCGATATTCAAAATTGTCGTTTGCTTGGTGTCATCTATGCACAGGGCACCGTATGTCACAGTACCTTCAACCCTGTCTCTAAGCTCCTTTCGAGTCAACCGGACACCATACAAGCGCTACCTGCACGCCATAGTCTAAAATGCGCATAAAAAGACGACGAGCCAAGCGACATGTCCTCATTGCTCGCCCTTGCTCTAACGCTCTTCCAATGGCTCCTCCTCCAGCTATCGACAGATTTCTCGCCATCTCGTGTACCAACGTCGGGGTTGGGCCAGGAGGCACCACAAATTTAGTGGCGTGAGTCTGCCTCTATTCTTTGGTATCGCGTAGTTGACGCGTTCTTTCAGACGAGTAGCCATCGTCGACTATCGAGGAACAACGGTATTCGACAAATATGTTAGACCTACGACGACTGTGAGTCGGTTTGGATCCCTTTTTTCGAATAGAGACACTGACGAACGAACGAAGGTGACCGACTATCGCACTGCGAGTACCGGCTTAACGGAGGCTCACCTGTATTCTGGTGGGTAGTTCTGAGCTTTCTCCCTGCTCTGTTATTTTAGCCCCTCTATTTCTCCCCGTCTAGCCGATGCATGGCAGTTCGGAATGATTCAGACCTACCTCTCTAATCTTTTTAGAGGGAAGATTCTGGTCGGACATAGTCTCTGGCATGATCTAGCCGGTGAGATGTTTGATAGAAATTAAGCTAAACGTTCTAAATCTTATGCCTGGACCAGTCCTCGGTCTACCGCACCCAGCAGTAGACACTAGAGACGTGGCTCTTTATCAGGTTCGTCGCGGTGGCACTATCAACTTTTTTTGCTGGGCACGCTCATTGAACTCCGTCGATAAAACAGCCGTTTCGCAATGCACTACGTTCCCCCCACCAAGTTATCGGACTTCAGACCCTTTCGTGGCAGCTTATGTCACGACGTTGTCAAGAGGGTCAAATGCATCCAGTAAGCGCTACCGCTCGCTAGAGTGTCGGAGCTGCAAACTTATGTCACCTGTTCCAGCTCGAGAACGCTCGCGCCGCTTTGGATCTCTATCGGTCGGATGCTGATGCTTGGGAGGCCGCAATTTCCAATGGCAATTGGCCTTGTGCTCTTCCACCAAGCACTTTTTCTCGTTGCTATATCTGATTCAACAATTTTTGTTTGTAGTGTATAACACTCTTGGTTTCCTCAGTAAACGCCAGTATTGGCCGTTTGCTAATGGCCTCCATTGTATCTTCCAATTGCCGGCGATAGGAACGTTTATTTATACCGCAGTAGTTGTAGCTATAATCGCAGTTCTCGAGGTTTTTGTGCGACATTTATGTGCGAGCAATGTCTGAAGGAACGGGAGCAAAAATAGGTTGTCTGGATATGGTATCTTTTTCCCCAAAAGGAGACATAAGCCATCATATTATGTCGTGCGCCAGACCTGCATCCGCCTTTCTACATAGGACACCCACTAGTCCAGTCTAAATTTTAAGCTGAAGCGACGTCTGCATGTCAATCATGAATCTAGCCGCGTGTCTATCAGGGAAATTCAGGTCCGGGTCATCCGAATGACGACAGAGTTGGATACCTTTTCTGCACCTAATATTCTCATGGTTCCTTCGTACACGAATAGGGCTGATGCATTGACGGGAAATGCACGTAAAAAACAGGGACCGAGGCCACGGTAAAACCCGGATAAACCATCTTGGAGGAGGATCTGACGAGCAACGATGAGAAACGAGGGTCGCTTCAGAGGCGCGGCCCCGGAACCTGAGGAGGTCGGATATGGCAGAGGGTACGGGTAAGCCATCATCCGACTGTATTCAACCATTTGTAAGATAAATTTACATCTCTGAATGATTAGACCCACTTTTTGATATTGTCAGGAGGAATGGCCATTGCCCAGTACACGAACGACGCGAGACCACCAGAGAAAAAATTGGCGGACCCGGTGCTTATCTGCTCCTGTTAAAGAACGATAACGGACGCTGTAGCATAACGAAATACCTCATACTGCGTCCCTGCCAATCTGGAGAACGCACGCATCAAGGTCTAGTTGCATCACCGATCAGTAAGGTTGAATGGTTATTCCACGTTGGCGAGGACTCCCGACCTCAAAGGAAAGAAACATCCAGAAGAAGTTGCTTCTGAACGCAAGGCTACCTGTGAACCCTGACCACAGCCCAGCAAAGCCCTGCACGCGGACGATTTGCTGGGCACAGTCAATGGGGCCTCTGAATTGGCGGTCTGATGCATGTTTTTGTGACTGCAGTTGGAGTTTGACTGTAACATGGGTCAGCTAAGTATGACCTCAGTGAAGGTCTAGGTTGATCTACGGACCTTTAAGCAGTTCTACTGGGGTCGCGACGAGAGCACTAGAGCGCGAGGCATGAGGCAAGCGTGTACTTGATGACCGAAAGAAAATGACTCTCTGGCACGAACCTGGTCCAACCGGCAAACAGCCCCGCAACTCCGTGAGCCAGTAACGTCAGTCGAGGAGCACCAGAAGGCGATGTTTCTGTCATGCCATTTCGGAGAAGGAATAGCCGGTAGTTGTGGAGAGAGCCAAGGAGGAGCGAGTCAATTGCAGCCCATCCAACTGCAGGAGGAGTGGCTCCTTTGTACAAGGCAAAAATTCCCTGGAGATTGGATCAGGAATCTTGCGCGTCGAGGCGCGTTGATTTGAAGCAGACCTCATTCCTGACGATCTTGGATAGGACATCAAATGCGCTACGGTATGTGCCTGGGGGTGAACATTGCATGCGCGTCTTGATTGTGTCGAACCTATTGAGAATTTGTTGGGCTCATCGAATACGCAGGCCTATGAGGAAAGGATAAAAACGCTTGTCGTGAACATAGAAAGGACACCATACCTCGAGAGGAACTCACCCGTGTCCTACAGCAACCTGAAAGCGCCCCAATTTCAGATTATGCAACGGCCGGGTTAAATAAACAAGGGGGCTACTTTAGTCAAACCTTGCGGAAAAAAAAGTCAGCAACTAAGGAGGACTAAGTTGGAGGCAAAGGCATACCGCTGCCCATGCCAGCAACGGCACCAACCAGCCTGACTTGACGCGACTGCCCTTCATCTGAGCTCATCCGCCCAGCCGTGGTCGGTGTGGATTAAGATCAGCCTCTTGAACCTGTTGGGCTCTGTTAGGGAAGTTCGAACAACGTGCTCGGCGAAATAACGTTATTTCCGAAGCCGGCAGTGATGCCTGTGCCAGCGCCCCGCATTCCGCTTGACTTTCTGAACACCCATCATGTCGGACCAGGAGAAACAGTGCAGGATTTGTCTCGACGGCTTGGAGGCAGAGAAGGAACTTGGGCGTCTTATACGTCCCTGCTTGTGCAGGGGTTCCATCAGTGTAAGTAACAGCCAAGTCTCATTGCCGTCTTACTCACCTCTCTTCAGTACGTGCATGTCGGTTGTCTGCAGAAATGGCGAAACACCTCCCAATCGCGAAGTGCATTCTTTCAATGCCCACAGTGTCATTACCAATACCGCTTCTCGAGGACTAAGATATCTGGACTTGCCACGAACCCCAGTACGTCGCCATGTGTGCGATCTTCGCTAGCATAGGCGCTAAGTTCTGGTATACAGTCATTATTGGGGGCCTATCTGGTCTTCTTTTCACCTTCATAGTGATGGTCGCTTCCTTTATCACGACGTTCTTCATGTCTGCCTTCGACGGCCCAGCATATCGCAGCATCTTCTTCGTCTCACCCATCGAGGTCGCTCAGGATCTCATGATTGCAGCATTCCGCGTCCTCAAAGACGGAGAATTAGGGGACATACTTGGAGAGCCCATCTTGCAATCTAAACCTACTCGTGCGTCTAGTTCTGCCACTGGACCTGTCTCCAAGCCAGGGTTCTTGAAGCGCTTTATTCGGCGCTTCATCATCGGTCTTCCACTTGTAGGCGCAAGCTCTGCGGTCCACATGCTCATCTCTCTTCATATGCTTGCTCCCGTCCAATGGATTGCCCGATTCCGCGGTAGTCGGAGTCGAAGAAATAGCAATTCTCGCGATATTGCTGCGTTAATCATCGTTGGTCTCCTGGTAGCAGGGACCGTCAGGTATCTCATCTACCTTCTTTCATGGTTATCCTATGTGACCTTATTCGATCTACAGAGCGCTGTACAAAGTATACCAATTCACAGAGGCGTTGACGAAAAGGGCGCTCCTTCGAGCAGAAGATGCGATTCTAGAAGTCGCTTAGCTGATGTGTATTCTGTATTTATATTTTGGAAATGGGTCATTTGGAAGTATATCGCCGTCGGAGAATCATATTAGGGCATATATCGAGGAACTGAGCGTTCTACACATGTTACCAGTACCGTCTCAGCTGGCGCTTTGCAGCTTCATACAACCCCTTAGCTTCTGTTCTGCCCGGTTGAAGTTCGGAAACATATTGGTCGATAGCGGCATCAACACGGCCAACTGGGAATTCTGCTCGCAACACGGTGGCCTGTGGCCGTGTAGCTTCTGCCAGCCAGTCGGTGATGAGTATGGCGATCTCAGAAGAAATCGCCTGCACGTTAGCCTGGTCATTAAAAGGTGGCACCTTGAAATGTATTTAGGGAACGGTGTAATTGTAATACCTTCTGAACGACTTACCTGCGACTCATACATTTCATGGAACACGTCCCAAATTTCGGAGAATCGTACACCACACTGAATGAGTATTCTGGCAGCCCATCCAGTCGGAAGGACAATCTTGTTTGCCAGCAGGAATCTCACGAGGAGTGTGGCAATGAAGCCTGTATAAATTAGATTACTTCCACAGTCATGCTGGCGGAGGCAGCAACTCACGCAGGGGGAAAGCGCTCTCCGAAGGGTAGAACCTCTGTCCCAGAGGGACTACGCGGCTCTGGATGAGATCCGCTCTGTCAGCTGGGACGTCCGTCTCTTCCATGACTGATCAAAGTAGATGAGAATGGAGTAATGGATGCAGACTTTTAAATACGCACTCTCGTCGAATATTTGGTTCCATATAGGTCGTACGACGCTCTCGTCGCGGTGCTCTGATACATGTAGACAGAGCAATTTGATAGCAGGAAGATCGAAAGGAATGGCAAATTTGCTGTATAGCTAATAAAGTGACAGTTGAGTCAACAAATGGATTCCAGCTCTGGCAAGTCTTGCTTACAGCTGACATCGTGAACAATTGTTTTGAAAGCGAAGCTATTCGCTCTCCAACTTCAGGTGCGTCGTTAACGTGAGGAAGCAGGGTATTATAGATTTCGAGTTGAACTTGGGCCACATCGAGCTTCTCTTCCAGGTCCGTCAGGAAGGCTATCGCGGTTTCGTGTCTTCCTCCAGCTGAGATCGGGTGAGATTTGGCGTTCGCAACGGCCAATGTGAGGTATTCAAGCCGAGAATCAAGATGAAGATCGAACCTTATGGAGGTCGTTGTAAGTAAAATATAGGAAAGATTGGCAGATGTGCTTACTGGGTCGACTCTGCCAAAGCACCTAGAACCTCAGCCGCTCTCAGGGGCTGCCCATTCTTGACGTAGAACTGCCACAGCAACTGGAACTTCTGTACCGTTGCTGGCTCTCTTCGTAGATGAGCTTCAAGGAAAGCCGGTCTCATCTGATATATGCCATATTAGAGCAATTCATAAACCACGCGTTGAAGAAACCAACCTCCAACAGATCATCGGCAAGATTCCGCCCAATTAACCAGTCGTATAATGTTGAATGGAACATCTCATCCTCGCTGGCAAATGCAAGCTCATAAGCATGTGCTCGAACAGTTTCGGGGTCGTCTTGAGGAGGTATTCCGCTGGTAGCAGCCGATGCTTGTGCTTTACTGCATTTGTCCTCAAATACGGTCAGAGAGTCCAGTACGAGGTCATAACACCGTAGTCTCCTTTCAATGAATTCGTAGCGAAGGTCATTTGAGCCGACGCTGGAGTGCCAACACTCCAATCCAGTGTTGTCTACATCTTGTAACTGAGCGCATGTTAGAGGTAGTTGAATTGCCCCTAGTATTCCTTGTGAACAAACTTCGTGCTGCGACATCCCTAAAAATAACGTACCTTTGGCATAGGCTAGTTGTTGGAAATCACCAATGACCTCTCTCAATTTCTCGAACTCGAGAATGCGTGCGCCCTTCGAAAATAATCTGAATGACGTTACGAGTTGAATTTTGCGAACAACGAGCAGGACAAACACACCTGAGGGATTCGGCAAGGTGCTTCTGTTTCTCAGCTGGATTTCGAGTCTCAGCGGCCTTTCGGATGTTCTCCTTGGCCTACGGCTGTATGAGAAGCGGGGAATGTCGATTATAAATTACAAAGCATACCTTATACAACATGACATCGTCTGTACCGCAAAATGAGCCACATCTATGTTGCAGGACTTCGCTGATCGTGTCAACCTAATGTTGTGTCAGGAAATGAACGAAACAAGAGGGTAAAATCTTACGCTAATTTGTTGGCCTATTTGTTGATCGATAACAACGTTGACCAAGGCTCTTGAAATCGTTATCCCGTGTTGAGATGTGATTAGCTCTTCAAATGTCTGAGCTGCAATTAGTTTCTGAACCTCAGCGTCGCATCTATTAGGCAGTTTCAGCCTGCGATCTAAGAGAAGAAAAAATGATCTGCTAACTTTGAGATGAGTTCCCCGAGGCGGTAATCGTTGAGAAGTAGGACGAAGGACAATGCTTCGATCGTCCTCGTTAACAGGCTTTGTAGCTCAGCAACAGAACTTTGTTCGACCTAGCCAAGAACATATTCAATGTAGACTTCAGGAAGTTGAACCAACCGACCTTCCATGCTTCTTGTTCCGTGACCGAGGACCGACTTGATGTAGGCTCACTTGGAGACGAGTGGAACAGGTGTGGATTTCGAGTCAAGAAGTCCTTCAGGGCGTATAGATTTTTCTGGACATTGAGTAGTACGGTTTCGGGTGCATTCAGAACCTGTAGTCCAGCAGGACTTCACGGGAATCATCAACTGATCGTTGATAAAAAAGGAATGGGTTTACCCACCCCGTCTTCGTCAACTTCGCCTTCCAGAAAGGTCTGACGAGGCGCGCAAAGTACAATGCAAAACCTTCCCGTCTGCCACTGAAAATGGCTGAGCCCTTGTTTTCCGCTGCGATATTTCTGTGTCAGGACCTCCGCTCTCGCAATCAAAACGACAGGGCGTACCTGTGCCGTACATCACCCGTTCCGTCCAGATCGGGCGCTCTCCAAAGTCGTAGAAGGCCTGCTTCGCCACGGCAGCGATCTCAGGACTGACAGTGCTGATCGTGCCAGATGTTCCTGAATCGAAAGGATCTAGGAAAGTATTCCCACTCGCGAGGCCCAGAAGCATCGAGCACGTTTGGTCTCTGCCGAAGCTACAAAAAAAAGAATTAGATAAGTAGGGCTTCCAACGCACAGATCTTTGAGCAAATCTCGTACCTGTCCCGGAACTCGATGATAGGCTGCACATTACCTTCGGACTGTAGTTCTTCTAGCACTGCTTTAAGATAGTCTACTGCACGTCGTTTGACCAAGAAGGTCAGTCCAACGTTCGTAAGAAGCATGAATTGGTTAGGCCCCTCCCCGAATTGAGTCGCAAGTTCATTGAGTGCTGAAGGAACTGCAGTCCCACTGGGCGTTTCAGCGACTATCTTGGGAATAGCGGCCATAGACCAGGTTCTTCCTGGGATGGTCAAGAGATTGGCATACTCCGTGAGAGGCAGTCGGTTAGTGCCTCCTCCAGGAGGATACTGGCCATACGCAGAGTTGTACTGCGGCTGTTGGGGCTGCTGTGGAAGATTCAGTTGGCCAAGATTACCAATGCGGGTCAGATCGGCTGCCAGGCATAGAATGTAGTCTGTGCCGTCAACATCCCCGGCTTGAGCAGCGAGAGTCAGCCCATTAGCGTATGACGTGTTGTCCAGTGTCGTGATAATGTAGGGTCGATTTGTTGTTGGCTGAGGATGTATCTGTGGGTTCGCATAGCTGGATCCAGCAGGTCTGAACATTTTAGCTTGTTCGTCGGGATGAATGAGGCTTAGTGGTGGTAATCGAACATGTATCAACTGCAAATTTCTGAGCCCGCTGGGCCCCGAACTAGAACCATAAGCGTATCCATAACCCATCGATGGCCCAAAGTAGAGTCGGACACCGTTGGTGGTGATGGCGATGAGCTGCAATCCGGAGCGTGATTCGGCCGGGTCGACAACATGGATGTTAACGATTTGGAACGTTTGAGGTGTCAAAGCAGGCGAACCCGGCGCCTTTTCTTGAGCGGATTTATACAACGAATTCAACGTTTGTACATGTTGGATGGATTTATCGCCATTGGGCGTATACATCGAGATTGAGTTCCGCGCAGTGAGGGTGTAGAAGCAGTTTCGTTTCAGATCAGACACAGCGGCAACAATTCGATCTGAAGAGTCCTAAATTCCTGCTACCGGAGTGGACAAGAAATGACGCACCATCATTACTTGCTGACGCAAAACGCGGCAACAAGCTTGACATCCCTCCAATGGAGTGGTTGATGAGTTGAACTCTTTTCCCGAACCAAGATTCGCTAGCTTGATAATGCAACTCATACAGATTCCCGTCCTGTTGCCCACACATAAAGATTCTCCCGTCCGCCGTGCCAATGACCGAAGACATTTCGATGTCCGTCGGGACTGATAGGTCTGTCGCATATAGCTTAATTTCTTTGCGAGGCCGATTGTCAAGGATTGGTTGGCTTGAAATGGCGACACCAAGCAGGAGAACAGATACAGGCGTGCAAATGACAAGGAGGGATGTGATATCTTCAATGAATAAGCCTTGCTTAGGTCGGACAAGGGCGACGTGAGTTATTACGTCGGGTTGGTCCATGAATGACGCTATTTCTTGACTGATAGAGTTGAACAACCGCATTTTGTTCACAGTAGCGACGCACTCACCCCTCGTTGTAGTCCCAGAGGAAGAGTTTGTGGTCGATAGAGATCCAGACGCGCTCGATTTCTGGCATCAAGCCCATATGCGATGTTACGTTGGCGCCTAAAACGTATTGGTTCAAGCTGTTTTGTTCATGAAGGGCAAGACATACTGTCATAATATTGGAAAAGAGTATCTGGAATACCAACAAACTTGCGCTTTTGGAATGGAACTCGTATGTCGTCAGGAAATACGCTATATGAAGCGGACGCCTGGCTCCCCGCTGTGCTTCCTGAGCTATTGTGCAATTGCAAAAAAGTATTGAGACGTACACGTCAATGTTTCTCCAATATCAGGTATTATTTGTGCGTCTTTAGCAAGCTGTTCCAGGAGTATGCGGCTAGCATTTTGTAGAGCAGGGACGTCGACGGGTATTGGCCTTGTTCCAGGCGCCTGACGGGTGGCATCGCCGTTATTTTGGCCTGATGTTGAGGCACCGAAGTAGGGCGGCTGGGTAAAGGAGGCCATGTAATGGGGGGACGAGGGGAGTGTGCGCTGGAGCGCAAAGGAGGAAGGAATACAAAAGGGAAGCGCGAACAAGTGAGTACTGAGTGCTCAGAGGATCGCGTTCAAAACTCTCAACACGTGTTCGAACAAGACGCCCGTTTTTGGAAGTCCACGGTCCCGTTGGTCCGCCGCTCTATTCTGGGAAGTTGCAATTAAGTGACGTCCGCCACTTGACTTGACGATGTTCAACGACCGCCGACGATGGTTAAGAACCCCCTCTTCCCATTCTCAGACCTTCTGTGTGACGCTATGCAGAGATCACTCGTCTCCCTTATCATGAACCCTGCCTGTCTATTCTTGCTGCCCACCTTGACTGACCGGACTTGGGACCTCATCTGCAACAACGAAGAGGAGAGAGAGCGTTTGGAATTCCTGGGCGATGCCCTTGTAGGTGCCTCTGTGTCCGAGGAACTATTTCGATGTCGACCACACGAAGGTCCTGGTTTCTATACGGTCAGAAAGATTGCTTCTCTGCGTGCTGTGTTGTTCCTTTGTGTTGAGTTTCATTCAGAAAGCCCGCAATGTCCTGACAGCCAACTCTACCTTTGCCCACATCATGCATAAACTTGGCTTCCACGATATAAACGATGCAGTGAAACCTGCAGGAGATGCGTTCGAAACCATTCTGGCTGCGTACCACGGTGAACGAGGTCCCGAGGCCTTCCAAGAATATATCCACCAATACTTCCCTCAACTTATACACAATATAGGACACGCCTACGACCACTATCGGTGCGTTTGGGCGTTGGTCACTTCTGTTTGTTGTCTTATCTCATCATACATAGCTCGACCGTCGTGATTTCTCGAGTTAAACGGAAGAAACTTACCAACTCGGTAGTGATGAATCGTGCCCAGAAACTAAAGGAACCGAAGCACCGTGAGTCAATGGCAGAACCTTCTTGGCCTGCTTTCCTTAACCCTTCCTTCTAAAGATTTAAATAAAAAACATAGGCCACCACCAGGCCCTTCACAACATACACTGAAATCAACTGCATCCCAAGGCGTGATTGATCTAACAGGCGACAATTCGGACTATTCTGAAGATGAGGTCGAGCTAACGTTGACTCCCATGCCGAATCATGATCAAGGGGTAAACGTCTGACCCTTCATTTTTGGCATATTCTGAAGAGCACTCCAGAACTCGTCGCCCGGTTCATCAAAGCAAGCAAGTTCGACGAAATTAGTGCGTCTATTTCTAGCGAGCCTCCTACACTGCCATACTCCAAACGATCCTCATCGCATTTCAGGACCCGGCAATTCATGGAACACCTAGAAAACCGCCCGATAAAGGAAAGATCGAGAGTCAGGGGATTCTTCGTGCTATTTCGGCCTCTCCTCGGGTTGTCAGAAGCAGCCAGGCTGCTACATCTCTTACTGTGCGAACATCCAGTACTCGGAATGTCAGCACTGACGTCCAGAGCGATCTCGCCGATCGTTTGCAGAGAACAGCGATATGCTCTGCCTCTGGATCAGGAAGCGCGGACAATCCGATCATCCTTGATTGATTCTTCTTGCACTCGAAGGTGTTGCATTGCCCCGTTTATCTCTTGCACTAGCGTTCTCTTCCATTTGCTGTCAACACCGTCATGCTACTTACTACTTTTATATTTTTATTGGAATATTTTGTTACGCCTAGTCATTATGTCACTCGGACCCTGGATTCACTGCAGTAATTCATATTCGTTTCTTGTCGTTCTCCAGTCTCCATGGGCGCTAAAGAGCTAACGGCGCAATTGGCACGTGGAAATAACTGGCATGCCATCGGTTAGATAGTGGATCTTCTCACTTGATCTTGTTCACGTCCAACATGTGAGCAGCCGGAGAGTTCACCTCGTACCAAACGTCCTATGGCATCTCGGTCGCATCCCATGAAGACCAACTAACCTGGCCTCACGGCTCTTCGTGCCAAGTGACTCTTTGTTTGGGCCCGGCTTCCTCCACCACTCTTAACCTGGGCTCTGTGGGTACCACGCTGTCTTCTGACTTCCGATCTGTCAAGTCACGGCATCCCTCTGTCCAGAGTTCTGGTATGTATGTGCCTCCAAAAATATCATCGGTGAGAAAGTGGCCCAAATGTAAACAAGGCTGTGTGCTGAGCAAGAGACGGTCAAACTCCCTCAAGATATCATCTTCGGTCTCTCCATCGACGTCAAGCTCAATCTGAACCCCCCACTAAGCGACACTCTCTGCCCAGCGACATACATCTGCCCTGATCCTTGCCAGTGATTCCGTCTACGCTGCACTTACACTGCTTGGTGGGAAATATGCCTTCACGGGACTCCCGTGTTACTTTCCAGGTGGCCGACGCCAGGCCCCAGTTCTCTATCCCTGAACCTCACTACCAATCATATAAACCCCACTCCAAACCGTCCATCGATGCTTATTTCTACAAGTGGCCTCCGATCATTCGTGGTAATGGCTACTCACTCGCCTCGCCTCCAACTCCGCCTCGAGGGCCAATCCACAGATCCAAGTCTATTTCCTCCACTCTCAATCGCGCAGCAGAGGGGAAAGATGAAAGTAAGAGCAGTACAAGGAACCTCAAGGGGAAGTCACCTGCTACTGCAGTGCGAGGCAAGTGGTTTCGTTTGTCTGGGACGAAGGAGTACCTGACCCGTTTGCGACTTCAGAACCAGTCGAGCCAACTTTCCGATGGATTAAGGGCGAGCTGATTGGGAAAGGTAGCCACGGGAAAGTCTACCTCGCCTTCAACGCAACTTCCGGAGAGATCATGGCTGTCAAGCAGGTCGAACGCCCGCTCACGAAGAGCGATCGTATGAAGAGCGACCTAATCAAGATTGTGGACACTCTGAGAGAGGAGCGTGAACACATGAAGAACCTGGAGCACCCTAATATCGTTCAGTATCTTGGGTTTGAGGAGAACGAGGCGACCGTTAATATGTAAGTTCGCAAAAGGGACAGCGGCGCTTAGGGATAACGGATCCTTCTTGTAGATTCCTGGAATACGTTTCCGGAGGGAGTATTGGCGGCTGTCTCAAGACTCACGGACCATTCAAGGATGATGTTACCCGATACTTCACTGCTCAAATATTGGAGGGACTTTCGTACCTACATGCTAACGGAATCGTCCATAGGGTGCGTCCGACCTCTCTTCGAACCAGCGCCTAATCATTTATCGCCGTTATAGGACCTCAAGGGCGATAACATCCTTGTTGAGGATTCAGGTGTATGCAAAATTTCAGATTTTGGAATCTCCAAGAAACTCGCGGAGAGTGATCGTGCATTCTCCTTCAAAGGAACCTCCTATTGGATGGCGCCAGAAACCCTCCGAACTGGGGGAAGTGGCCAGGGATATGACATGAAAGTCGACGTCTGGAGTGTAGGATGCATCGTGTTTGAGATGTGGACCGCAAAGAGACCTTGGCTGGATGAAAACATTATGTCGGTGTTAATCAAGGTGAGAATTCCTGTTCAAGCTAGCACGCCACACCCGAGTCATCCCTCCTCTTTAGCTCAGTGAAGCGAAAGTCATTCCTCCACTCCCAGATGACTGCAATCTGTCGCCATTAGCACTCCATTTCCGAAGCGAATGCTTCAAGCTGTGAGCGTCATTACTTTTTGTTAGTTAGTAGGCATCCGACACACATTTGCCAGGAATCCGGAAGAGCGCCCATCCGCGACTCTGCTACTAGGGCATCCATATCTTGACCTCCCGACTAATTGGTCATTTCCGGGCATGTCTGACATGGGCTACAAGTCTCTGCGCCCCCGTCCTCCACCCCGCAAACCTCGGGGCCGTAATGAGAGCCCAGCATCCGCCAACGGGACCGGCGCCTCAGACATAGCAAAGATGCACTCGACGATCATGGATGTGAACGTCTCAGGCCCAGATGAAACACCAGGTTCTCCGGCGCTGACGATGAACAGTTCAATTTCCAGGTCTGGGGTTCGACCGCTTCCTCCTACTCCCATTCCGTCTATTTGGAAACTTCCCAGGCCATCAACACCACCATTGGTGACAATAACGCCCGTCGGCCCTCGAAAACCAAAGTCGCTCGGGCGTAGCAATTCGGTTGCCGGAGGAAGGAGTTCTAACTCTTCCTTGCTGTCAGAAGCTGGCGACCCTCCAGTAATTCGCCGAGCTGGGACTCAGTGCAATCGGCAGCCGCGTTCACTCGTCCTGCACGGGTCGAAGCCATTACTGGATATTTCACGCGATTTCCAGAAGGCAGTAACTATCTCTGAAGATGGTAAACCGAGCCTATTGCAACCATATACATACATTCCTCCTGCTCTTCCAGAGAAGACGCTAACGACCGCATATTCAACACATCTTTCACCCCAAGTCAAATTTATTGAGCCTGTGGCGAGATACCCAGTTGAACACCTCCAATTGAAAAGCCACAGCTCAATTCCCCAGACATCCCTGCCTCCACAAAGGGACGCTCATGCGCTCCCATCATTTGCTCGTCGCGAATCCATACCCTCGGGAAGCCCTAGTTCACGGGGACAGTCCACATCGATCTTTAGCGACAGTGACAGTGCAAGCGGATCTATCTGGCAAAAACCTCCGCCCGGCGTGCCCCAGCATCGACATCGTTCCAAGTTATCGGGACAGGAGGAGACGAGCGACATTCCCCCGTCTTCGGGCGAGGAATACCAATCGTCGAGCTCGAACCCACGCAGGGTGTCTGCCTTTGCGGGTCCAACGCGGCCAGGGGTTCGGGAAGTCTTCGAAAATCTCCAGGAGTTCTTCCCAAAGCACAACCTCGACGAGCCCGTCATGGAGAGTCCGATCGATGGGACGAATAGGGTCCGAGCTAACCGGGTAACGATGAGGAGTATCAAAACCATAGCAGAGGAACAGATCAGTCGTGGTAGCGTAGACTCCCCTCAATGTCGCCGACAAACGAGGTTGTGGGACAGTCGTCTGGAAGAAATCAAAATCCCGTAATAGTGGTAAGGAACATTGTACTGGTACTGGTAATATATTGCATCGTGCGTGTGAAATGAATGAAGTCCGTCTTAGTAGTCCGTCTTCGTCGTGCTTATTTAACTGCAAAGCATGTACTTAAGAGTCCCAATGAATTCGGGATGTGCGTACAGCTCGATGTAGCAATAACATAAGCGCCAAATGCAACAAAGCAGAGCAGGGGTATCAAGAATAGCCCACACGGAAAATGAGATCAGAAGTGCTCCTATTGGACAATATTAGCGCACGGGAGTGAATCGAGCCAATGAGGGGACGAACCTTGGCGAAGCTGAACTCGACGGTGGAAGACGAGCTTTCATCGCAAGCCTCCTTTATAGCTTTCGCCAGAACGCCAGGACCGCAGAAATAAGTCTTGAAACGAGGTAAAATCAGGCAAGTGAAACAGAACGGATTTAAGGAGGGCGACATACTCCGACTTTGGTCTTTAGCTGAGATGTGCTTCCCGGAAGGTACTGACCGGCCTCAATAGCCTGCTTCATCTGACCATAAATTGACTTCCAGTCTGGGCGACCGAACATGGTGCGCGAGCGGAGCAGGGTCAGGGGATCGTAGTCTGCGCCGGCGTCGTTGACCGCGATGTTCCAAAGCATGTCCTCTCCAATCTTCTGCGTCAGGTAAATATTGATGCGAAGGAAGTTGGCTGAGGCGGTTGTTAATTTCTCCTGATGTCAGGCGTCACGAACAGAAGAAGCTCACGATCAGCTTGAGCGGCCTCGACTTCCTGAAGCAGACTTTGGAACCATCCGAACGAAGGGGCGTCACGGCAGACCCAGAAAAACTCGACACGGCGCAGAGACCCGAGCCTGCCTTTCCTTTGCCTGTACCATATGTGCTTCAGAATTGACGCAAATGGTGTAACACCTGTCAGAAAGTTGTTAGTTTCAGTCGGAACACCAAAGATGGGATCAACTTGAGCGGGATAAATTGACGTACCGATACCAGCGCCGATAAGCACAGCAACTTCATTGCTGAAGACATCCTCAGCCGGAGCACCGTAAGGACCATCAATGCGGACATGGGGTAGCGAGATGGATGAAATCGAAGGATCGAGCTCGACGAAATCTCCACGGGACACGCCAGCTTTGTCGTCCTTCTCCGCTCCTTTCATCGCAGCTTGGGTCATGGCAGCCACGACGGACGGGCCCACGCCGAGACGGTCTCCGAGAGCACGAGTGAAGTCCCCAACTTGACGTATGTGAACAGATACGTAGGGGTCCTCAGGAGCAGACGTGATTGTGAACTATTATTAACAGTGGTCAGCAACGGTTGGTCTGGGAACCAAAGTAAACAAGACACTGACAGGATGCCACTGGAAACTCGAAAGCTCCGGAATCTGGAGGAAAAGCCATTGACCTGCGGTATACTTGAAACTGGGCTTGGTAATGCGGAGTTCCATGGCACCTGTACATTTTTTGTGTTCTCGGTCATCAGCCTTTGTTACGTGCTTCATTGTCTTGATGGTTTGCTTACCACTGGGGTGGACCAGGACCTTGGACAAGCGTGTAGCCCTGCGTGCACGGATCTCCCTCCAGACCCGCTCGCCGAAGTAGATGATACCAGGCCAAATGGTAAACCTCCAACTGAGATATCCCAGACAATGTTCCGTCGAGTAGAATGGGAAGGTCGGAATTGTGTCGGGCTCAACGGAATCGCGGACGAAGCAACCAGTCGCGTGGGTGTAGAGGCCGATCATGAAGAAGAAAGCGAGGTGATGAGTGTACCAGAACGCTTCGAAGCACTGCTTTCTGATCTTCTGGTGGGCAGTTGTGTACATTAGGAGCATGATGAGCAGCATGAAGTGGCCAGTGATGCCACCGGGTTGCGTGTAGTGGATGTCCTGTGCTGTCTGTTTGCGAATTTCTGAAAGAAAAATGCGATCAATGTAAGGATTTTGGTGGGCGATGAACAAAGCATACGAGTGCGCTCGACGTTGATGAAGTTGACATAGTGGGCGGTTGTGTGGACCATAGACCAGAAGGCCATAGAATAGGCGACCTGTCTGTGGAACCAAATGTTCTCATCGGCGGGGAACAACCAGGTGAGCTTGGGGCGGACGACGCGGATGATGTTGCGCAACATGGGGATGAGGATGAGACCACCATCGTATGCCAGGACAAGACCTGCGCCTCGGGATATCCATACGGAGTATCCCAGGGTATTGAGGCCCGCTAGACGTATGTTAGTCGCCTATCGCACGCGTGAGTGGGGGATGAGAGACGAGAAAAAAAGGGTCCGCACCTGGCTGTACCAACCATAGGCGAAAAAGAACAGGTGTGTGCCGTAGAAGAGGACATTAAAGGCAAGCCTTCGGGGATTGAGGAACTCGCGATGGAACCAGGATTCACCCATGAGCGGCGACGATGGGGGGATTGGGACGAGGAGTAGTACAAGTCCGTGCCGGCCAGACGAAAAGATGAAGGAGAGGAGAGAAGAGCGTACCGGACGATAAAAGAGAGACAAGAAGGGGGAAACGAAAGGGGGAGGACCGGGCTGTGCGAATTGCTGATGGAGCGCTATTATGGGTGGCCCGAGCGAGTGGGACGCCTCACCGGTCCCATGGCAATGCAGGACATGCTGATCCCATCGGTCAAGTCGGCCTTTGTTCTTCGCAACAATTCTCCTCTACACGTATTTTTACTCTACTCTTCGTAGCGATACGCAACCATGGCTTCGATCCGGTGCACATCCGTACTAAAGCTCCTCATCTTAACCTGCTGGCTCTTGCTCGCCTCGATCGCTAAAGGGTCCGTGTCAACCCACTCCCCAACAGGTACATCAGCGCTCTCCGATGTGTATGCCAGGATGTTGAACACGGTAGGCTCGTGAATGACGGGCAGGTAGGTCACCATCGAGATAATTTGCTTCAGGATAGCGCGGATTTCTGATTGGATCTCGGCCTCAGGCTTGGGCGCTCTGAACAATGTGATTGGCCAACTTCCCCAACCAATAAATTAAGCATGGTGGGTCCCGTACCTTGGTTCTGCTCCCTCCGCTGCCGGCTCAACCAACATGATGTCAAATACCCACCGTTCCAGTGGTAGCCGTGTGTCTTTGGAGATGATGGCCAGCACAAGCTGATTGACGGACCCAGTCAGGATCCATTCTTGACAACATGGGCGTTTAGTTACGTTCATCATCCCAAGGCCTCACTTACTCTGGACTTGCTTCAAGATTCTGGACAAGACAAGGTCGATAGGATGCAGCCTCCAGTGACAACAAACATACCTCTCAAGGTAGTTCTCAAGGGCGAGATCTTGGGTGACCAGCACCGTTTGCCCGTACTTCTTGACCATATGAAAGTCGTCTGATGGATACACTTCGCGTTGGAATAGGATACTAGATGTGAGGATGTCAGTGGCAGTTCATTCAACCGCAACGATGCACGTACGTGTTCACAGCATATTTGAAGAACTCAGTTACCAGAGCGGTCGAGCCCTTGAGAGTGATAGCTTGTCGATTCGCTTGCTTCGAGGCCATCGTCGATGTCAAGGCTGTTGAAAGAGAGACGCGAGGAGCATTGCGAGACGCGACTTGAACAGTAGTCACATGATCATAGGGCCGCCATTCTACTTACTTCGAGTCCTTCTCAACTTTCAAGCTACGCTGACCTTCAATAAGACCATGTCCGCCGCAACACCGTCAGCATCCTCCCAATCTCCCGTCGCTCCTTCTCCGACAAACCAAACACAAGAATCAACGTCGAACTTACCAGTAGAAGATCGCATTCTTGTCCAATATCTACGTGACCGCGGCTTCGATGCAGCTGCAAAGGTCGTCATTGAAGATTTTGAAGGCCCCACTGCAGACGATGGCGCGAAGAAAGCAGAGCGCGTCTCGTCTGTGGACTTTGTCAGACTTTTGTCTGTCTTCGCCCAAAAACCGTCTAAGCCTGGCGAGAATATCTTGAATGACCCTGCGAATGTCTTGCAAGAACTCGGGACGATGGGAAATCCTATCAACATTCAGAATCTCATTGCAAGCATCGGTGCTGTTGGAGCGGAGGAACTTTTATCGGAGGACCCTACCGACAAGCAAGAAGGCTTTCGAGAGCTCGAGGCATGGGTAGACGGATCTCTTGACATGTATCGGGTATGTGTTTGTGATATTGTTAGGCGCCGAATGCATCTCACACGCGTATAACACGCCAGCCTGAGTTTAGGCCAATTCTATTTCCTATATTCTGTTATTTCTACCTCGATCTCATTCAACATGGCTTCAAAGATGCTGGTGCGTTTCGCGACTCGTTCGACCCACTCGCTCATTAACAACATGTTTGCAGCATCTCGATTTTTCGAGGCATTCTCAGAATCGCTATCACCCTCTCATAGCAAAACGTTGCACCACCTCAAGACGCTCCTCCTTCCCATTCATGTGCAAAACGACGACCTCGCACAACGTTTCCGCAATGAGAAATATACTATTCGAATGAGCCGCTCGGGTTTTGGGCTCCTGGTTGGGTGGTTAACAGAGGGAGTCGGAGGCGAGGGGCTCGGTGCAGGAGATGGCTTCACTGGTGAAAAGGGCAAACGAGGACGAGGAACCGTTATGCAAGTGGTTAACAACCATTTACGATTTGAAGGTGAAACCATACATTGCCGCCTTCTGTCGTGCTTGACTCGACTTTCTTTTTCAGTGACATCCACCAACCCCACATCCATGTCATCTCATGCATGGGAAGAATCTACCGGCCTACTCTCCTCCCTCATCCCACAAGCAAGCGGAAGCAAAACCACTTTGACGAATCCACATGCTTTCAACGCGAGCAAAGGCACACTCAGGCTTGGCCCAGCGCCGTTGGCCGAGGATCTCAAGATGGAGGCGGAGCGGGTCCTGAGGGAGCAGGCTGTGATGGACCGAGATCTCAATGCACAGTATGACGTGCCGATTACTCGACCACTCGTTGCCCCAGGGCTCACAGCGCCTACAGAGGCGGATCTGTTGCCCCGGCCGACCACATTTAAATATCGGGATGTTGAGAGAGAGGTTGAACTCGTCCGTGATGCGAGGAAACGAATACGTTTAGAGCCGTCTGTATTGGGGAATGTGGACGCGAATTCACCTCAAGCGAATGCACTGCGAGCGCGAGCACTTCCGAGCATATGTGCATATACTTTGCATGATGTCACCGAAGGGTATGACCACGACCTAAGATACCTCTTCTTATCACCCTAAATATGCCTGCAGATCCCCATGCTGTACTTTCTCCCAAGACACGACACTCATGGCCGCCGGTTTCGCTGAAAGCTACATCCGGCTATGGAGTTTGAAAGGCGAGAAACTGAAGGGTTTCCGGAGTGACTTTTCTTCAAATGCAATCAAAGATGGTCTGTCATCTTTCGTGATTTATTGAATCTACCTCAACTGACAAATGATGCAGCCTCTTCATTGAACAAGATACGCGAAAAGAAAGGCAGCACGACAAGAAAATTGATAGGACATAGCGGGCCTGTCTACTCGGTGGCCTTCGACCCACTGAGTGGGTCAGCTGGCCCTCCAAAACATTTGTTGTCCGCCTCTGCTGATGCTACGGTGCGGCTGTGGTCGATGGATACTCTCACCAATGTAGTGGCATTCCGCGGACATGAAAATCCCATCTGGGACGTCAAATGGAACCCCATAGGCGTGTATTTCGCAACAGCCAGCAGAGATCGAACTGCACGACTCTGGTCAACGGACCGGACATCCTGTCTGCGGGTGTATGCTGGGCACTTGAGTGATGTCGATGTAAGTTCCAGTTCTCTGATGAAGTCGAGCTTAGGACTCAATCTATATAGTGTCTTCAATTCCATCCAAATTCGTTATACCTCGCAACGGGTTCGAGTGATTGGACCGCACGACTATGGGACGTCCAACGCGGGTCATGCCTGAGAGTGTTCATAGGACACCAGGGGGCTGTGTCATCACTAGCGCTCAGTCCAGATGGCCGATATCTGGCGACTGCAGGTCAGACAAAGCCAGTTGTATTGTCGTGTCCTCCGCTGATCCTCTTTCTGGTCACTAGGTGAAGACCTTGCCGTCAACTTATGGGACCTAGGGTCTGGTAAACGAATCAAGAAGATGACGGGACATACTTCCTCGATATACTCTCTGGCCTTCAGTGCTGAATCCTCATTGTTGGTAAGCGGCGGTGCAGACTGGACTGTCCGGTGTTGGGATGTCAAAGGTGCGGGAGGTGCAAGGACAACGGCCCAGAAGAACGGGTCTGTGGTTAACGGAAGTCGCGGCTATGGGGAAGAGGAGAGTTTGGAAACGTAAGTGATAGTTTTCTCCATGCCTGCTATCTTAGCATGTTCTAACGGACTCTTCATACGCAGAGCTGATCTTTTGGAGACTTTCCCGACAAAACGTACACCTATTACGAACGTACAATTTACGTCTCGCAATCTCTGTCTAGTTGGAGGTGTCTACCTTTCACCAGAACACCGATGAGGTGGCTCTGATGGATTTGTACGTTTTTTTTTCTGACATCGCTTTCGATATTAACAATGTACTATTTATTATACGAGCTATCCTCTGGCAAACTAGCGCGCTGAGCAAATATACTGAAGGAAAAACTAGACAAAAGGATGATGCTTCTGCATCGAATGCACGTCCTCGACTTGCGAACAACTAGTCATCAGTGTCTCTGTTAGGGTGGCACAGTCAGGAGTACCTTCTAGGACTGTAGTTCGATCTACTCATGCATGCAGGGCCTTCAACAGCTTCCGCCACTCGTCCTTCGGGTCGGTCCCCCCTTCCCTTGACGCGGATGGTTCACTGGTGTCTTCGTATCGGTGTCATCATGAGACACACCTTCTTCCACAACTTCCACTTCTATCTCTTTTAATTCCTTTTCCTCCTCTGGCTCGGACTCCTCTTCCCAATCCTCATCTTCTGCATCTCTAGACGACGAATCGGTACATGGCTTGCAAGTTATGCTTTTGGAAACACCCACCTTTTTCTCTTGTTCTTCGCGCCTCTCGTCGTCCAACTCAATTGGAGCAGCCTGCACTGCGACTTCCTCGTGAGCGAGGTTCTCGAGAAGGAGAACGGTCTTGGTCATTGATAAGGGATAGCAGTTAGCAGTTGAAATGGGCCTGAACCCCTTCCTGAAACCTGATTTTATACACAGGGAAGGGGATGAAAGAACGGGCCAAGGCTGAAGGCATGCTGGCATGACAAAGGCACAGACATCGTTGAAAGTGTAAATCTTTGGTAAATTTCATAAGATTCTTTGAATACCAATTATCATCATGCGATGAGAGTAGAGCACGTTTATCTGTCGAAACAAAGCACTACAATTTCGTGAAAAACTGGTCGGAATTTCACCTGTACCGTCTTGAAAGGTTGGGTCTGCAGCCCGACAAGTTCGACGTTTTTCTTGGCGGTGGCTGAATTAGAGTGGGCACGTGATACCTAATTGGGTTGCGCGAGGTGAACCGTGCCTTGCACTTGGGCTTCATCCCCACTGCAACTCTCCCAACCGTCGCCTCTCCTTGCTTGAGATAATCACCACCGTGACCCTTGTTTACGCCAACAGTGATAAAGGTAGCCACGTTCTCGTACCCTGGAGTGGTCCAGGCTTATGTGCTCATGGCCTTCGGTTCGTGCCACAGATGGCAGACGAGTCTATGCAAATCGACGACGCGCCCACCGTCTCAGAAATCAAACAAGAGCCTCAAAACGGCCAGTTGGATATACTCTCGGGCCCAGGTATGCGTTGATATATATCCATTTCTCTTGGAGGCGACGCAACTTAGCGCCGTCATCTCGCCCAGGCCTTTCACAACCGCCCTCGAAGGACAATTTCAAAGAGATCCAGGTTAAGGTTCACATACGCAAGGCCGATAAGGACTCGTGGCAGTACCTTGGTCGAGGAGTAGTAACGCAGGATGTCTCGGGGCACTCGTCTCGCGTCGGTCAGTGTTCTGTTTGCTCTTGAGTACAGCCGGGCTTATCACCAATTCCGACAGTCGTCCGGTTTCTGAGCAGCGGAAAGCATATGGCAACTTTCAGCGAAGTACGCAAATATTCGTTATTGCTCGCATCTCTTCATTGCTTATCCCTTGGTGGTAGGCATCTGACCTCCAAGCGGAGAAGAGGGGAAATTTCGTCGTCATTAGCTGTATTGACGGACCACAGGTCGTGTCATGGTCCCTAAATGTGAAGTCATAGGCCTCTATTCCTGGATACACGCCTCTGATACAGTATATTTCGAACAGGCTCTGAATAATTCAGAGACGTTGCGTCTCCTTGCGAGCATCGAGCTCGCCTGTTACAGATGCAAACAGCCTCTGGCAGATCCGCGCCTGCACAGCAAGAGCAGGCGCAAAATTGAGAGACTCATCAAGGAGGATCGCCGAAGGAGACATCGCCGACGCAAAGAACAGGAGGCCATGATTGACGCCTTCGCAAAGCAAAACTTGGGCGGTGACCCACCAGTGTCAATGGAAAACACTAGCCCGCATGCCTCATGAACACGCCGTTTCCACGTTCCTTTGCCTGCGTGTTCGAAAGTTGCCCCCCGCTGTCCCTGTAGTTTAACATTGTCCTCCGTCCTCCGTACGGACGGTGTGTATCTCCTAGACATATTTGTTTGCCTCTCCTCTTCCTTAGTCTTTATGCTTTGAAACATTGCAGAGTCCGTGTTCATCTCCTAACCACCCTCGAATCACTATGTAAGTAAATATCGGCGGACTAATCCTGGTTATTGCGTCCATGAAAGAAAGTGAAACTAGGTGTGAATCCCACGCTACGACCGAATCTTTCCAGACAAACCTCCTCCATTTGATGATGACGATGACTCTGGCGGAAGAAGGGCAGGTGTTGTTGACGACGGTAGTCCTGGAATGGGTGCTCGACCGGCTGAATATTGAGGTGGCAGTTCCAATGGTTCATCCATAGGCATGGATTCTGCAATGTCGGTATGAAGGATGACACGTTGCGGAGGTTGTGGAGGGTATTGCGAGTGTCCTCCAGACAAGCTTTCTGCGCTCAGCGGACGGTGTGGTGGATACCCTGACAATGACGGTCCCGGCTGTAGTCTGGTCTGATCCGCTCCGAATTCTGACATCATAGGACTGGTATTGGGAGATCCTGAAAACGAAGGATGGCTTGAATGTGAAAGGAGACCTTTCTGGGAGATACTGCCATGCGTGTTGTGCGTCGACTGGGGCGACTGCGCTCGAAAGACTGGACGATGTCCTTGAGATCCATCATCGGGAGGGGCCGGTAAGAAAGGAACGGCAGTAAGGTCGGTCTTCTGGCTGGGCTGAGTCTTCTTCCTTCTCATGAAGAGGAACGCGAGGAGACCCGCGAGGAGCAGAGCAACCACACCCGCAGCCGCACCACCCGCGATCGCAGCTACGTTAGATTTCTTTCCTTCGTTCGAACCACCTGTACCGCCCGAGTCTGTATTTTGACTTCCGCTTGAAGTGGTAGTAGAACTGGTACCAGCTGAGGTCGAGGTGCTCAGGCAAGACTGGTCGCCCGACAACTTAACGACGCGAATATCGGAGGTTCCTCCGGTCCGACCTTGGGAGTCCGTCATGGAGAATGAAACGGATGTGCCAGCGGTTAGGTTGTTCTTCCATGTATAGCTGTCACCGATGGTTGGTGTGATTTGGAAAGACTGTCCATTCGGAATGAAGCCCTGGTGGAAGAAAGAACACGTCGGCTGGGCTACTTATAAGAAACAAGAAGTGGTGTCTTACAGTAATTGTAATGGGCTGCACGGCGCCAGAGTACAGTGTGAAGGGGTATGATCTAAAACAGATCTTCAGATTTTGGGAGACGTTGAAAAAACCAATGGTACTCACTTGCATTCCTCCAGGTCACCATCCAACGAGAAGAAGAAATCTGGAACTGTAGGAGTCTCAGAAAAACTCAGATGCCTCCACGAAGGACAGAAACGTACCAGGGCTGGTTGTATTGCACTGGGCACCACTCATTGACGCTCCCACTGTCAACAAACTCGTTATCCCACCCGCGGTCACTCCGGTCGCATCCGACATGCTTAATAAAACACGCTGGTGTTGATTGAGGAGGAGCTGCGTCGTGAATGATCCAGCATCGTTTTGAACAGCGTTAGTCGGAATGGAGAAATTGCGGATGGGTTGGCCGGGCTAGTTTGGCCGAAGGTTAGACGCCTAACGCAGTCGATGTCGATTCAAGCGCGCACCGAGATGACGAGTAGGCGGAACGGCTGCTGACCGCCTGTAATGGGGGATGCAGAGTGAATACGTCTTTTCCACAACGAATTGGAGGAATTCCGACCTGTCCAAGTAACGGTCAGGACATCGCACTGGGTAGGCACCGTGTTCGTAAAGGTAAAGGCGTGCGCAAATCTCGTGGAAGGAAGCAGAAGTGCGATGATGGCACCAACGAGAGTCTTCCTAGAACACAAATATAGAAAAGACATCGTCACCGCCCTCAGCGCTCAAGGAAACAGGATGGAAAAGAACACTGGGAAAGAGAAAAAAAGGTGGAACAAGCTGGGAGAGTGTCAGATACTATCAAGGTGCATCATTCAGGGCATCGGCGTTCTTGGACTTGCGGCATCAGGACGAGAGTTTGTAACCCTGACAAGATGGTTGTAAACATCTGTCTTGGCAAGGAGCTTTCAACCTCCACACCGCCTTATGTGGACACCAAGAGCAGCCTCCTGCGGCGGCGGTACCGCGCCTACATGTCTACCCAGTGATCATCACCACGGCAACGCCGCAGAGGGCGGGTACCAGTGGACATTCCTCGCTTTCAGCGAAGCTGCACGGGGTGTGCAAATCATGGACAAGCGCCGTGCTTTAAAAGTGGACGCTGGATCAGCATCGTCTACGAGTACAGATTCTGGTGATAGACAGTGACAGGATAACATACCAGGGAGGGGTGACGACGGCACGGCACCGCTCCGCATGGCGATGCCTGCACCAGACAACGAAAATAGTCCAGGGCGGGTAGAATAGAATAAATACAGGAATTTGAAATTACGAATTTGAAGCACCAGGATGATGACCAGCATTTCGCCCCGATGCCGGATTACTTCGTTCAGTGTATTGTGGAGGAAGCTCGATCACACCATCCTCGTTAGGAGGAGGTAAAATGTCGTCTGCGTCTGTGTGAACGACAAATCTTGAAGGGGTGTAGGGTGTGACGCCGGCCATGGCGGCCTTGCTCTGTGCCCCAGAAGAGGAGCTTGACGAGGAGTGAGAGACAAGGCGGAGCTGTTGTCTTTCAGGCGCGACACTGGGTAACAGGGGAGGTGCGGAAGTACTGAAGGGATCAACTGCCGGCGTGTTCGAGGTGCTATAGTTATGCCGAGTTGGGGGATATGTTTGAGAAGGCCGGTCTTCTGGGTCAGCGTCCGCGTATGGCCGAAAAGCCTGATAATCACTCGGGGGATACATGGAGGGTTGGCTGTAGACGGATTGGTTGTAGGTCGAAGGGGGGATGTGCTGAGAGGATGGAAGGGGAGAGTCCAGGAACGGATTATCGTTTGCTCGACTTGGTGCGTAGAGATAGGAAGACTCTGGAGGCTGGACAGTATAAGGGGTGGCTAATTCTGCCTGTGAATCCATCCTATGCGAGTGTCTCTTGTATGTGTTTGGGGGACTGGGAGGGTGTTTCTTCTCGTGCCTTCGTCTAAGGAGGAAGAGCCCAAGGGTGATAAATACTGCGAGGAACAAGAGGGCACCAATCACTGTTCCCGCGACAGCAGCAATCGATATCCCGTTGCCTGAAGCCGTCGAGGTGGTGGCGGCAGGGGAAGAATTCGTGTTTGAAGGAGCAGCCGTTGAGGAGGCCGCCAATGTCGAGGAGGGTGAAAGCCCGTTAAGACAGGAGGAGTCATCTGAGAATCCAACTACTCTGATATCCGAACTTCCTCCCTGGCGTCCAAGAGAATCGACCATAAAAAAGATGAAGGATGTCCCACGAGCGGCATTAGCTGGCCACTGGAAGAAAGTGGGTCCACGAGGCGCTGCCATAGTTATTGCAGTTCCTCCAGGAACGATGGCCTAAAAATGTGAATCAGAGGCCTACACAAACGAGTGAAGAGATGAAAAGTTCACATTTATGGTGACGGGCTGGGATGCTTGTAAATATCCACTGAATGTGAAAGGTCTGCACTGCTGCAGCGCCGAATTTAGCTCATATGTAAACGAAACACCTAGAAGGATTATTAAGGCACAGTGACACGGAAAAGAAACGACGCATCGTCGTACCAGGATCGGTCGTGTTACAGGTGCCTCCTTGCGATGCCCCAACTGTCAACACATTTGAAGAGCCCCCAGTGGCGAATCCTGTCGCGTCCGACATCGTGAGCACCATCTGCGCATCCTTGGGCAAAGGTAATGGGAGTGAGTAAGAGCCAACTCCATTGCTGAACGCATCGCTGGGTATGGAGACATTTCTGGGTGTCCCAAAAACCTGAAAATTGATTAAGCTTTGGTAGTGTGTGCATGTGCCGCTTCATGCGCGCTTACGGGAAGGATAATCAGTTGGAAGGGTGGTGTTCCTCCTGCAAGCCGTCATCAGTTATCTGAATGAGACATAGGGCAAAACTGACCGCTCCAGTTTATCGAGAGGCTATCACATTCGGTGGGCGACCCATAAGTAACATTGAAGGCAGAAACGAGCGAAAAAAACGAGAAAGACGAAAAAATGGCAAAGATGACAACGAAGAGACCGGGCATGGTAAGGAAGGACAGTGACGAGACAGACGGAAGAAAAGAGTGGGCGTTGCAGAAGACAACCCTCGACACTCCGCATGCCGCCCTACTCGATTATGTAATCCATCAGCCAGTCTAGGGCTTTCCCATTTCTGTCAGATTTCAACTGATTACGTATCATACGCAGCAGATTTATTTCTGTTGCCACAAAACCCCCGAAGTCTTCTTCACTATCCACCTCAGCGCCGTCAATAGCCCGCCTGCCTTGCCCTGCCCATTGTCCAGTGTACACCCGTCCGCAACGTACGTCGGTAATAGGGGTCTCCGACCCCACGGAGGGCTCGGCAGCGTCATCGCAAAGCTAAAAGATGGCTTGCCCACTGGAGTACAAGCGGGGGGCACCAGTCCTGCCCTTGGCGGCAATGGTGTTCGAGAGCCGCCAGTGTACCATACTAGCGGAGATTGTCTGCCATCGTCGTTCCATTCTTCCGTCGTTGATCTTCTTCTAGCTTCCGATGTTTTGCTTTGAGACATAGTTATAACTGCAGCCGGAGCGAGAGTGGTAGCAATAGGGCTTTGTGAAGGCAACTCCCATTTCCGATCATGTGTTGGATTACGCTCTCGCTTCACGTTCTGCGGAAAAGCTAAGCCGGTGCAATCGAAGGGGAGTTCCTTGAGCCATACCTGAGAGCTTTCGACTGGCTGTACTTCCTTGGCTTTAGGAATAGGTCGCCTCGACGAACTAACCTGCCAGAAATAAGCACCGGAGCCCTGTTTTTCGGCAGGACCATCCCCCGAAGCAATGGGCTGAACAGGAAGCACGTCCTCTCCGGAACCAGAAAGATTCGAACCGCACGCAAGCTGCTTAGGAGTGGCAGCAGATTCAGAGGAGACGGAAAATATTACAGCGGAGATACCAGCAGGATGACGGCGATCTGGAGAGCCATTCGGAGCAATAGAAACCGGCTGAAGAGGTCCCATCTGTGGGTCAAGTTTCAAAGACCGTGCCGTGACGATGGTCAGAGGCATTCCAGTTCCATAAGAGCGATGGGTATCGGAGATAGCAGAAAGTGTAGGGCTGTTCGCACTGGTGCCGTTGAGCGAGTTGAAAAACGATCGATTCCGAGCTGGGTTACGCGTCAGAGAAGAAAAAGGACTGCGGGAGGATCGGCTTGAACTGGTCGAAGAACCCTTGGAAGAAAATTGGCTCGCGTCAAGAGGTTGGCTGAAGATGAAAGACTTGGAGTAGGCCACATTTTTGCGGGAGGGTACTCGAGAAGAGTTGGCAGAGGATGCTTGAATGTTTCGTATTACGCGGTCGGCTAGTCTCTGTGCAGTCGAATATTTCTCCTGAGACGAGAAGGCAGACTTTGTTTGGAGAGACGGGGCTAACGAATTTGTCTAGACCGACGTCAAATCATGGCAGCTGGACTAGGAGAAGGAAAGGCTCACGGTGCGATCGATGCCACCAGTGTGGATCATCTGAGCCTCGGCGTACAGTTCCCTATCGGGACCGGAGACGGGAGTAAAGCCAGCCGACAGCATGTCTCGAGACACTAGAGGGTGATCCGATGGACGAGCGACCAGGCTAGTTACAGAGGAGGACGATGGCAAAAATAAGGGGCGCATATACGCCTCATTATCAGACGATTGCGTCGTAGAAGACATTTCTCGTTGACCAGGTGCTTCAGTCTTTGCAATCTTTTTGAAAAGCAATACAGAGTCTGACACAGGCGGTTCGAAGATAACGGGAGACGGAAGAGCGGCCTGAGGCAAGGCGAAAGACGCAGGACACTGATGAGCCCTTGGGGATTCAAGACCAACAAGGATCCGGCTTTTCGATGGGCTTGATCCACCCAGCGCGTCATCGCCAAATGAAAGATCAGGTTGATCCAAGCCAGAATGTTCCTGGGATCTAGAGAAAGGGTGGTAAGGGCCTAAGAAGTAAAGGGGAAGAAGAGAACGCGACGCAGCGCTGCAAGAAATGGAAAAGAAGCTTACCGTTCTGTAAGAGGCGTCATATCACGAGCTCGTTCACGGGCCTTCGCCAATCTTCTAGAGATCCTGCGGCTGATAGTCTTTTCGCGTCGCTTTCTAGCTTCCTCGAGGATTTGTGGGTCAAGTGTCTTGGTGCGCAGCCTCCTCGAAGAGGACAGTAGGAACTCGAGATGCTCCCGCGGTTCACCTTGGTACGGAGGCTCTCCATTTCCGAGGCGCGCCGCCCTTTTCTGCTCTCTTTCGAGCCTCACCAGGTCTCTACGCGATGGCGGAGGTAAACTGGGTCCAATCTTGACCATTTCAGCAAGGGCGAGGCGCGATAATGGGTCACATTCGTAGTCAAGAGCAAACGAGGTCGGCGCTATTACAACTCTCCGTTTTGGGTACTTACGTCACGGCAACCTGCGGTGACGACGCCTCCAAAGGAGAAGCATTAGCTCCTATTCACACGAAATGTAACTCTTTGAAGTATGCCGTATATTGTGCAAAAAATTTGTATAGTGTACATGTTTCTTGGACTATTCATTGAGTTCATTTAGAAAGATTTAGGACCAGCAGGTTCACAGCCAAGACGATAAGTAGATCAAAATAAAGTGAGCATCCAAAAACTGTGTGGAAAGGAAAGGCGTCAGTTCTTCAGGACATTTCCGGTGGCCAGATTTGTTTTGCGGCTTCGACGAGGAGCGCGAGCTTCTTCCTTTCGTCCTATGGAGTGACGATAAGAGCGGGATGATGTGCCAAGCTGGATAAATAACCCACCTCCTCTGTGACCGGATTTCCCTCCCAGACCGAGGCAAAGCCGCATTGAGTGCTAATACAAAGTCTACGAGATAATCGTCAGTCTAAATTCAGATGCTCGCATAGAAACTCTTACTGGTTCAACGCGACTTCCCTAGAGCGCTTCGGACTTCCTTGACGCAGAACTTCTACCGCCTCATCGACTCGCGCTTTGAGTTCCTCAACTGATTCAAGCTGTTGAGCGTAGGTCAGAGCAGTTACGACAGGGTGAAACGGTGGTAACGATTACCTGTGGGTTCTTGGTCGTCACAAGCCCGAGGACCACAGTCTTGTCTAGGGGCAGGAATCTGAGCGGCGTAAAATCGCCTGCGCGTTTCGTGTCGTACTCGAGCTGTCAAAGCTATAAGGCAACGCTAGAACCTCTTAATATTTGCTCACATAGAAGACATCGACGTCAAGCGTGTTGAACAGCTTCACAGCAATTCTCTCGTATCCTCCCTCTGCGAAATGAACTCCACCCTATGTGTCCAGAAACAAAGAACGGGGTCAGTCAGTCAGTCCCAAAGTTATAAATCTGCCGAGTAAGTCTGACCTTGAAGTTTCCACGACACATGTGAACGCTGACAGTCAAGTCCTTTGGACGTTCCTGGGTGATAACATTTATGGCGCGAATGTATGTGTCAAGCAACGCTTCGTGGTCGACGCCGGCTCTTTCCATCCCGGTTATCATGTTCTCGCTGCAGAAATAGCAGAACGTGGGGTCGTCAATTTGAATGTGCCCTTGAAGTGGAGAAAACGAGCTATTAGCATGAATGGGATTAGATATATAAAGGAGCACTTACGGCAACCCAGATCGTACAATTCTCTAATCTCCTCTCGGTAAGCAACTCCGAGGTCATCGAAGTAATCATCTAGATGGATTTTGTATAGCAACGTCAATTATGGAACCCGTTAAAATGCTGTTCATAACTCACCGTCATTCTTGTACACCGATAAATCGTAGGTTTCGTCGGATCCATGGCGCTGATGGAACCACACCGGCGAGCACATCGTTATTTTGATATTCTTGACATCCTTAGAAACAGCAGCGATAAGGACGCTTCTTTTGCATCGCGGAAAACATATGCGACAGTAGACTAACCTCTGGCGCAACAAGAGACTTCATATACTTGAATTCATCCACGTAGAAAGGCTTAGTTCTTCTGATCTTCCCCTGCGTGATAGGTCTTAGCCGAGAACATGAATGTATAGGAAGGTCAGGTGGGTTCTCACGTTGCAAAAGGCGGATGGAGATTCCTGGACGCCTGCAGCGTACATCACGGCGATATGGGGAATATACGGCTGTGGAAAGACACGTTGAGCTCGTACTTGCGGCCACTTAGGGTTCTGAGCGCGATATCTACTTTGAAAGTGGCAATAGGACCTAATCACGGATAAGCATAGCCGAGGAGGCGAGAAGCAAGGGGACTGACGATCGGGAAGCTCTACAATGCCTTCAAGGTTATTGAAGACACCTTCGTAGAAATAACCCCTATGCAGATGAAAGAAATGGTTAGTGCGACGATGAGCGAGGGGTGATTGAACAGAAACCTTCTGAGCTCTCCATCCGTAATGGTCTTAATGCCCACGTCCTGCTGAAGCTTAACGACATGCTTAATGGCTTCGTCCTCGACGGCTTTGAGATCGTGGGGGATGGTATTGGTGGCTTCCACCTCCTTGCGCTTCTCAAAAAGCGCGTTGGGACGGAGTAAAGAGCCGACATGTTCGGCGCGGAAGGGCGGCCTGAGATGAATGGAAGACGCAGAGGACATGTCAACAGGTTACACCGGGTCTGGGAGGTAGGTGAGGTCAGAAAAGGGCGGAGAGGCATTGAAGTATCATGAGCCTCTTATATTGCAAAACAAGTTGCGAAGACGTAATGGGTTATCGCAAGTGCCGAACGGGGCATGGCATGGGGAGGAAAATGAAAGAAGGAAGCAATTGCAGGTTCGCAATGCCATGCCATTCGTGCGCACTGTCGGGTAGACACACTTTAGACATCCGGCGTAATCGTGAGTCGCAGACAAAAAACAACCGAGATGTTTGTGCACCGTGCATAGGCCAAAACGTGCACCGATTGGACCTGAAGGTAAAAAAATCGGGGTCGGGGTGGGGCGAGCGGGCACATGACAAGGATCTGTGCGGGAGTGACATTTACAGCCTACGACACGATTGGAACGATTATGTAGTGGAAAGGGTTGATCCCATCGAGGGACGTTGTGGGAAGCGGCAAACGAGAAGACGAGAAGAAGGTAAAATCCTCACAAATAGGGGACATCGTGGGTTGGGGAAGGCAGAGACTAAATGGGGCCTGAGCGAATATGGCTGGGTGCGTTCTGGCGAGATCCAGGCGGCGAGTGGATGTGCGTGGGTTCTGCTGATAAGTATCATCAGCGAGGGCGGCGAGAGGCGTACATGACGCTTCGAAGCATCGGCGGCGCGAGATCCTGCGCGCAGAGGCCGCCATATAGTCGCAGCTGGGAGAATATTCGCCGGATAGTGCGGGAAGGCGCTAGAGCTCTCGCGCGCGAATCGCCTTTTGCCACGGACGCATTCAGTTTCTTTGACGCGATTCGATTCGGAATCGAACCGTGAGCGCCAAATTCAGACGCCGTGGGAATCTCGTCCATCCGGGCGGCAAGCGCTGGGTTAGGGGTTCGGTGTTTGCCGGTGGTGCTAGCCAGTTTATGCAAGCCACCCGTCTGCTTTGGGAGGCCTTGCTAGGCATTGGCATCGGCACACTCGACGACCTCAAGACCTCAAGGTACGTCCCTCCGCACGGCGGTCAGAACCCTTGCTCATCGTTCACCAGACTAAGACATGGGTTTCGCCCACAACAACGGTAGGCTCGTTCGCGCTTTCCGTTTGTCTTATCGCTCAGAAAAACCATGTAGTCCTCCACGCCAACCATTTCCGCAAGGACTGGCAGCGCCGTGTCCGCACCTGGTTCGACCAACCGGGGCGCAAGCTCCGCCGACGCAATGCCCGCAAGACCAAGGCAGCCACCCTCGGCGTCCGCCCCCTCAACCTTCTCCGCCCCGCCGTTCGTGCGCAAACCGTCCGCTACAACCGTAAAGTCCGGGAGGGCCGTGGATTCACCCTCGCTGAGCTCAAGGAGGCTGGCATCGGAAGGAAGGAGGCTCGGGGCGTTGGGATCGTTGTTGACCACAGGAGGAGAAATCTGAGCGAGGAGGGCAAGAAGGTCAACGTGGAGAGGCTGAAGGCGTACAAAGCCCGCCTGGTTGTCTTCCCCCGCAAGGCTGGCAAGCCCAAGAAGGGCGACTCTTCAGTGCGGCGATCATTTTTTTAGTGGACTTGGTTTACTGATGCTAATGTGCAACAGGCGGACGAGCTCAAGGCTTCCTTCACCCGTGACTCCCTGGCCCTCCCCGACATCTCTCCCGCCGAACCACCACGCAAAATCACAGCCGCCGAACGCGAGTTCCAGGCTTACAAGACTCTCCGCACCGCTCGCGCCAACGCACGGCACGAGGGTGCTCGCAAGGCTCGTGCTGCCAAGGCAAGTTCATTTCTACGGTTTCCCTTTGCGCTATGGTTCTAACCCTTTGTTTTTTTTTCTAACAGAAAGAGGAGGAGGAAGCTGCCAAGAAGAAGTAAACTTGTTGTTATCTTGCCTGCTTTCTCTCTTTCTTTATGTTCATACATGTCTGCTTTTGGGCCTCTCAAAACACCGGCGGGAGAGACCCGCTTCTTCACGTTGCAATCCATATGCTATATGCAGATCAATATGAATGTCCATTTGCTTAACCGACGAAACGAAATCAAGTTAAATCTCTCTTCAAGGATCTGGATGCGATGCTGGCGAATTCTGTTCATGAGACCCTCCGGCAACGATCCGACGGATCCAGGTCAAATGCAGTCTCCGGCCACGGATAGGATACGGAAGACATGTGGCAAGCCTCATGATTATAGGGTGCCGCAGGAGCCTTTTGCTTGATCGAGCGAAAGCGTAGGCAGCGTCTGAGTTGTCCACTAGTAGCCTGACTTACATACAGATGAACAATCAAATTGATGTACGATTAGAATATAGTACGGCTGTAAGGACGGTATGTCGTTTATCCTAGCCTATTTCCTCCCGAATTGACGCAGCAGAGACCGCCATCTCTTCCTAATTTAGGAATCGATCTACCAAAATCGTTCAACGGTCGCGGGGCCAGTGCTCAGCGTTCATGTGATCTTTCCCCAAAGAAAGCGGCATTTTACAAGATCTCTGTGAATGCGTTTTTCCTCCGAACGCCCACCCTACGATCTAGAGGTATAATTCTAGAATGACAGATAAAGATCTACGCCTGTTTCTCGTGTATACCATTCCCATTTCCATTGAGGTGCCTGCATCTCTCTCCACCACTCGCAGCACCATTCCTCTTCTCAATCGCCTCCCTCGCCTCCACACTCGCCACCTTCCCCATAATCTTGACCTGCTCAGCAACAAGACTGAGCGTCCCAATGACTTCATGGTTGCCGTCGATGAACCCGAACTCGTTGTACGTCAGCCCTTGCTCCTTCGCGAACGCCTTTACCAGCTGGCTGGCCTGGCGGAGGTTGTGCCGCGGGAGCCGGGGGAAGAGGTGGTGCGTGACCTGGAGGTGGAGCCCACCGTGGATGAAAGCGAGCGACTCGGGGCAGATGACGTCGCTCGTGGTGCGCATTTGCCTGTGCGGGAACGACTCGATGGGACCTAGGTCGCCGGTGGGCATGCTGAAATGCGATAGGACGATCTAGGGAAAGAAGAAAATCAAACGGGCGTCGAAGGGCGTTGTTACAAAGAGATTATAGGAAGGAACGGAGGATGGGCTCACCTGAATGTGCAACGGGCTGGTAACAACATGGCTCACGAGAAGATACACCAGCGCCTTCTGCCACGACCCACATCCAACGAGCACCCTCCCAAACCACGCCCAGAAGAACACGATACCCGCAATCTCGAGGCGCCACGCCCAGCTGCCGCCCCTCGCGCGCCTGGTGTCGAATGCCTTCTTATATAGGTAAGTATACGAGTTGGCGTAGAGGTTGAAGCGGGCAAAGGCCATGACGACGTAGAAGAGCTTGTGCTGGAGGGAGAGGAAGAACTTGGCGAAGGCGTCGAATTTCATGGTGCGTTTGTAGTAGGAGGACCAGAGGGATTCGAGAAAGACGGGGGAGATGGCGAAGAAGGGGAGGTGCTCGATGTCGGGGTCACTAAAGGCATATTAGTAGATAAGAAGAACATAGGGGCTAAAGGCTTACTGGGAAGGGTGGTTCGTAACGACTGCAACACTTGTCAGAATAGAGATGCCAGATTACGTTGTGCTTACTTACGATGGTGAACATTGTGATTCTGTCGAAACCAAAATTAGAATGGCTAAAAAAACAGGCCACAAAAAAAAAACACACCTGTACCCACCAGCCGATACTCAGGCCACCTATAAAATCCGCGATAACGGTCGCGATTATGCGGTCTACGGCCCAGTTATGTGTGACGCCCATATGGCCTAGATCGTGGGCAGTGAAGACTAGCTGGTGCCAGAACAGCCCCAGAAAGACTGCACTGGGGATGAGCCAGTTGTGGGCATAGGCATACGCGGAGAGGGAGGCGAGGAGAGTGTAGCGGACGACTTCGGGGCCGTAGCCTGTGATGTAGCGCGTCTTGTAGAGGCCTGCATCGATGACGCGTTGGTGCAGCTCGCGCCAGGCTTTGGAATGCTCAGCCTGGGTTTTTAGGGAGAGAGACGAGGGAGGGTGCTTTAGGGATTCGAGAGATGGACCAGAAGCTTCATAAGAATTTTCGTCCTTGCTGACTAGGAGGATAGATGAGGAGGGTTTGAACTTTGTGTCCTCGGTGGAAACGGCCTCCGCAGCTTCCCTGTACCACTCGAGCTTGCCTGACGCCCCCGGTCTGCGAACCCAACCGGTTGCAATGGGGGGAATGAATGGCTCCCATACGCCGTCAGTAAGCTCGACTCTCCCGATAGAGTAGCGGGGAATGAGCTTGAGTGTGTCCTCCGTGTGGTTCGCCTCGATTTCGTCTGTCGCATCTCGGCCAATGAAGTGGAGGATTGCGAGGTCGCCACCAGGATGGGCCTGGAGCCATTTGTGGGGGATTGCAAGGAGGTAACCGCGGTATACGATGAGGGATTCGCCTGCGAGGATGCGCTGGGCGACGGAGTGTCTGGAGTGGAGGGTTGTGGCGCCCATGCGGGAAGGAAGAGAAGCCAGCCGGAATGGCGCTACGCGACGCGAGGGAGCGTGATCATGATTTCGGACGTAAAAAAGGAAATCAGAGATGTGCCAGAAGGGGGAATCTCTGGGCGCCCTCGGCTCGGCGCGCGATGGCTCCTGTGCGCTGCTGAATACCGTCTCCTCTGAGTCTGCATTCCTGGCACTGGTGAGCCGCTGGGAGTACTCGCAGATGCCGAGAGTGGGCGATTCGGCGCGTCAGGTGTTCCCTGATCAAGAGACGTGACCGGTTCGGGGCACTTGGCGTGGGAAAGTGACATTGCGACCAACCACCATCTGCTCGTCCATCCAAATGGCTGCTGTTCGCTCGTCTTCCCGACAACACCCACACTCTCGCCTCAGATCCTCCTCTGACCCCTTCACTGACCCCCAGCCCCGCCAGAAACACCCAAAGCCGCCCCCGCCGCCCCCAAAGGCTTCCCAGTCCTCAAGGATGCCTGCTGCAGTCCCAAAGAGTGCCCCAACATCAAGAGATGGCTATGGCACTGATATCACAGACGCCGTCCGCGACACCGTCACCCTCAAGTCCCAGGAGCCCGCCTCCCGTGCAAAGCCCTCCCGCACACACACAACCGCGTTCGCACTATCTCTCTATCTATAGCGCCTGACTCATCATCTCCGTCGTATAGCCCTGCCGCGAACACATCAACTCGTCCAGCCGGCCGTAGATCACAGTCCGACGACTCCGCCAACATCGTCGAAAAGCCTCGCTCAAACGGAAAATCTCGCCCCAAGAAGGGCTCGCAGCACGCAGATGTCATAGACCGCCTCGACTTCACAGGCGTGGGTCCAAGTAAGCTGCTCCGCTCTCTCATTATCGCCCTCACCTAGCATGGCTAATACCCTCAATCCCAGTGTTCCATCACGATGGTCCATTTGACGCATGCGCCCCTTCCCGCAACAAGCATCGCAACAAAGCCCCAATGTATGCATGGGGCACCACCGACCCAGCTGGCGCTGCCCCACAGTATGGCGACAGTGCTTATCCGTCAGCCCATGCTTACAAGGCCTTCACCAACGACTACCCTGAGCCCCCCAAGAAAAAAGTCGATGCCATTGCAGAGGCTTGGGGCATCCACGAACCCGAGCCCTTCGAGGAATTTTTCGCAGGTGGAGGATCTGCCAAACCCGATGGAGACACCCCTGCAAGTTCCATCTACAATGGCAGGGACTCACATTCCTCACGCAGCAACAATGCCGCGAGGCGTACCAAGGACACCCGCGAATCCCGGGATGAGAGGGCTCGGATGGTCGTTCGCCGTTCTGGCGTACCACCACCCCAGCCTATCTTTGTAGGCGAAGCAGCCGATATGGAGGCGCCTACGGGCTCGCCTCCGGCTTCCTCCCCAGGCTTCCCGAAACGTTCCAAGTCGCTCATGCACCGCATCCGTAAGATGCGAGATGCACCAAACGTCCCTGTTGGACCCGATTACGAGCAACCCCCCTCCCCGACGTCCCCTACTGACCCCGCTCGTCCAACACATCGATCCCAGAACTCGTTCTTGGGCCGCTTCGCTGGTGGCGGGCCCAAAGCAAGCCAAGCTCCACCGATGACAACGACAGCGACAGAACCGTTTGTGCTCATTGAAACCAATCAGAACAACAAGGAGCTCCCTCCACCACCCCCGAACAATGAGACAACACCCCCTGGCGAGTATTATTCAACAGGATACTTTGATACTCCAGGTGGATCCGGAACTTCGCCTGGAGGTGGGCTCGGACGGAAGACTAGCTTGATGAAGAAGGTCGGGCGCGTCGTGCGAGGCACCAAGTAAGCTTGCACGGCTTCGAATTCCCCGCTTTGCGCCCACGCCCCGAACCCGATCACGATCGCCCTAGTGATCTTCTTTCCGCTTCCCAACACCCGACACCCGCCTTCCCCGACGGCACCCCAGTATTTTCACCTGCATTGGTGCCCATCTCCGTCTCCGCCCCGCCAACAATAACGAAACACAACCGCCCTCATTCCTCACCTTGTATTTATTCTTGGAATACCGCCTCTCCTTTCTCGGACTTGTGCCCTTCTGACCGCCGTCTTCGACCTCTATCTCTCCTTCGTTTCCGCGCGGCTCGATCTTGTATTTATTTACCCGATATCCTTCGCCGACATGCTTTCTTTTGCCTCGTTCCTTTCTTCGAGTCCATTCATAATGCGTTATCGTACAATTTTAAAAAGATGACAGTTTACGAAACCCCTTCCATGTCCTAACTACAGTAGTCTCTGACAGATATTAGTGAGGATAGATTGTAACACCTTGAAAGTTGACACGATACCTCCTGGATGTCTCTTTTTGATTGTACTGTATTAGTCCCCTTGTTCTCACTGTTTCTTTTTTCTTTTCAATCTCACTTTGAGTTTCGTGCTCGTGTGCCTGTGTTGTATGTCTCCGTCTCGTCATACATAATAAATTAAGCCCAAATCCATTCCACTTTAACTGCTACAGAGCGAGAGAGATAAATTAAGGGTACCTTTTTGCCTTCCTTCTAAATTCCATGTCCTTCTAATCTCTAACGTTTATACCCGCTTTCTTCATTGCAGACTTTACTTCTGCGATCCCCACTTCTTCACGATGGAAGATACCCGCGGCCAGAGCAGCTTCTACCCCCGTCCCGTTGAACACGTCTACAAAGTGCTGCGCTGTCCCGGCGCCGCTGCTGGCAATGACGGGTATCTTCACGGCGTTCTTGATCAGATTGACCAGCCCGAGGTCGAACCCGAGCCCCGTACCGTCACGGTCAATACTATTCACGAGAATCTCGCCCGCGCCGAGGGTCTCCACGCCCTGCGCGAGCTGCACCACCGACAAGTCGCGCGTCTCCCGCCCGCCTGACACCGTGCACTGGTACCACCACGCCTTCCCCCGCTCGCTCTCCGGGCCGCCCTCCTGCTGTCCGTACACCAGCTCGCCCTTGTACGGCCCCTCGTACGTGCTGGGATCGACGTACACGCGCTTGGGGTCAATGGAGACGACTACAGCCTGCTTGCCGTATACGTGCGCTATGCTCTCAATCGCGCCGTTGGGGTCGCCCTTGCCCGACGCGCGTAGGCGCTCGACGGCGTAGACTGCCTCGGAGCCGATGCTCACCTTGTCGGCCCCCGCGCGGAAGTAGGCGCCGGCGACCTCGAGCGCGCTGCGTTTTGTGCCGTCGGGGTCGACGGTATCTTTGATCCCACCTCCGATGGTGAGGGGCACGAAGACGGTCTCGGCTGCTGCGCGCACGACGGCGAGCATGGGCTGGTCGCGCAGGGGTGAGTGGCGGAAGGAGGTGATGTTGAGGAGGCACAGCTCGTCGGCGCCTTCGTTGTAGTACCGTGCTGTGAGCGCGACGGGCTTGCCTAGGTTGCGTACTGCGCCTGCCGTGGTGGCCAGGACGGACCCAGGGGGTGGGGCTGCTTTTTCGCGGACGTCGTACTGATCGCCTTTTGTCACAACAAGATCACCATCGTCGTTGGCTCGTACGTCCATGCACGCGACGATACGCTTTGTCAGTTTGTGAGTGGGTTTTGGAAGACGCGTCACGAGGGGTGCTTCTGGTGCATGGGTGTGTGCTGACTCTGGTTTTCGAAGCCATTCGTCGAGGAGGGCAAGACCGGCTTTACCAGACTTCTCCGGGTGAAACTGGGTCGCGAAGACGTTACCCCTCCGCACAGAGGATACGAACAGCTCTTGTCCGTACTGCGTCGTCGTATGAGCCCATCGCATCGCGTCCGGGTAGACATCCGGCTGGTACTTGGCACAGTACGAGTGGACGAAGTAGTAACAGGAAGAAGAATCGACGCCCTCTGCGTCTTGTTGCTTGGTGATGAGGTCTGCTGCGTTCCACCCGATATGAGGGACTGCCTTGTATTCATCATCGAATCTGTCAATGGAGCACGGGATGAAGCCCAATCCACGAGATGTTGCTTCGGCTGATGACTCAAAGAGCACCTGCATTCCGATGCAGATCCCAAAGTAAGGCCGGCCAGAGGCGATGTATTCCTTTAGCGGCTCGAGAAGGCCACGGCTCGAGAGGTGTGAGATGGCAGTCTCAAAGGCGCCGACGCCTGGAAAGACGAGGCTCTGTAGTCGATAGGTGAGGTTAACAGGAGCGTAAACGAGATAAAGCGTTAACTGACGGTGGCCTTTGCGAAGTCTGAAGGTTCCTTTATCCATTGGAATTGATGCCCAAGAGAATTAATCGAGTTTGCGAGGCTCTGGACGTTTCCAGCGCCATAATCGAGGAGGAACAGACCCATGGTGGTGGATGAGCAGAAGAAAGATTCGAGTCAGCGGATGACCGGGCCGCTGATTAGATTTCGTGCTTATGAGCATGATCAGCGCGATGTTATTCCGAATTCATTTTTCCTTCGGTCCTATATAAACCTAGCCCTTCGGCCTGTCACCTAGTCATCCCAAAAATTACTGCCATGTCATACTCGAACCCCCAGTCTGTCGCTGCCTCCGTTTCCCCCTCCACCTCCAACATCCACGACCGATTCCGTAGCGCTCGCCGCGAGTCCTACTCCGACATCCGTCGTCCCAAGATCCTCCACCCCCTCGAGAACGAGAACCTACGCCTGTTGATCCTCGAGAACATCAGCCAGGATGCTGTTGCCCATTTCAGGCAGCAGGGATACCACGTCGATCACTCGACAAAAGCCATGTCTGAGGACGAGCTCGTCGAAAAGATCGGCCAGTATCATGCCATCGGTATTCGCAGCAAGACAAAAATAACCGAACGGGTTCTCAAATCAGCTTCCAAGGTGTGTATACGCTGCATTAATAATCGCACGAGACTTACATTTTTTTTATAGCTCCTCGTCATTGGTTGCTTCTGCATTGGCACCAACCAAGTTGACCTGGGTGCTGCCGCCAGGGCAGGAATCCCTGTCTTCAACTCTCCTTTCTCCAACTCGCGCTCAGTCGCAGAGCTCGTTATGGCCGAGGTTGTCGCCCTCTCGCGTCAGCTCTTCGAACGTTCCTACGAACTCCGCACAGGCATCTGGAACAAGCAATCCAAAGGTTGCTGGGAGGTGCGCGGAAAGACCCTCGGGATCGTCGGCTACGGCCACATCGGCTCGCAGCTGTCCGTCCTCGCAGAGGCCTTCGGCATGCGCGTTGTGTTCTACGACATTATCAACATCATGCCCCTCGGCTCAGCGCGTCAACTCGACACCCTCGCACACCTCCTTTCCGAGTCCGATTTCGTTACCCTCCACGTTCCAGAGCTGCCTGAGACGATCAACATGATTTCGAAGGAGCAGCTCGCGCAAATGAAAAAGGGTTCTTATCTTATCAACAATGCCCGTGGCAAGGTCGTCGACATCCCTGCGCTCGTTGACGCCCTCCAGTCGAAGCATGTTGCAGGTGCTGCCCTTGACGTCTTCCCATCGGAGCCCGGCTCCAACGGTGCACCCTTCGATGACCAGCTGAACTCCTGGGCCAGTGTCCTGAGGGCACTCCCAAACGTCATCCTCACCCCGCATATCGGTGGTTCGACAGAAGAGGCGCAAACCATGATCGGACAGGAGGTTTCACAGGCGCTCTCCCGCTACCTGAACTTCGGATCGACCAACGGCGCCGTCAACTTCCCCGAGGTCGACCTGCGCGCCATCCCTGCCGATGTGGTCAGCCAGATTCGCATCTGCCACGTCCACAAGAACCAGCCTGGTGTTCTCAAACAGGTCAACGACGCGCTCTCGCCGTATAACGTCGAGAAGCAGTACTCGGATTCCAAGGGCGAAATTGCCTATGTCATGGCCGATATCGCGGATGTCAGCTTCAAGGAGCTGCCCAACCTCAAGGAACGTATCAGCTCGACGGATGCTAATATTCTTACTAGATTCTTGGCTTAATTTCTTCAGCCACCTACACATCGAACTAACTGTACATTTCTAAAAGGCCGACACGGACGGTTCCTCCCGCATTTTTTTGTATCTAGACTCTCAACTCGCTCTGGACGTCCACTCAACTGGACGTCATGCATTCACCACTCAACTGGACCCCACTCATCACACATTTGTTGGCAATCTTCGCCATTTAGCTGAAAGGCATGCAATCGTATAAAAATGTACAGTTTATAATACAATCCTGCTGGAACCCGTGCAATGTCTGAGCAAACTGAGCATAGTGAAGATGAAAGCAGGGTGCCAAATCCTCCGTCGCAAAGCTATGTGCAACATGTGGGCACTATTGACAGCCCTCTAAGTTTCTTCCTCAGGATCGCCAATGCCACTGGCGAGGATGGCGAAGTGGGTCTCAGATTCCGGCAAACATGGCGAATCATAGATCTTGCATGAACGTGTATTGCCTCGTGCTTTCTTGAGTTGGAGCCTAAACCCTTGTCAGAAATACCACCCCAAGTTCAGAAAAGAGGGTTCATTCTGGACGCACCGAGTAGTCGATGCATGAGCCATAATATTTCCACCAATCGGCTTCTTCTCGTTTCCAGCGTAGGGACCAGCTGAAGCATCTGGGTTCGACATGACCTGATTCGTGACGACCACGGCAATACCAAACTGGAAATTCCGTCAGAGGTTTGAAGATTAGAGTTCAATGGAAGGAAAAGTACCTCGTCTGCTAGGCGTTGTAAGGTTCGAAGGAATTTCCCCAAGTGGTTCTGACGAGAGGAGAGTTCGCCGCGACCACTAAAGTCCGTTCGGTAGAGTGCCGTACAGGAATCTACGATCATGAGACAGAACCTAACGAAAGGGTCTCAAGTTTATACCTTGAATCTCATGTTATGAGAACGAAACTTACCGAGACTCGGACATGAGGGCACTGGCACTCGTGAGCAGGGCGTTCTGGTGATCGGCATTGTAAGCCCTTGCATATGCGACGTTATCCAGAACTTCCTCTCCGTTCAGACCGTATCGTTCAGCAACCGCCAAAAGACGGACTGGGCGGAACGTGCCCTCAGTGTCGATGTACAGACACTTGCCTTCTCCACCGCCCATGCTGACCGGAAGTTGGCAAGTCACAGCTAGGGTGTGGCACAGCTGAGACTTTCCAGTTCTGAATTCACCGAACATTTCGGTGATCGCACCAGTCTCGATGCCACCTGTGAGAGAAGTCAAACACAAGGCTGAAAGGATCGTTTCAAGCAAACATACCTCCGAGAAGAGCATCCAATTGTTTCGATCCGGTCGTTATATGCACCAATTCTGCGCGACGCGCATGGACTTCTGTGGCGCTTTGGAACCCAAGAGGGACAATCTTCTGGGCTGGTGAGGTGTGTCAGCAACATGGACCCTACGAGGACAGGTCCACACACCTTCTGCTAGAATCTTGTCTGCCTTCTGCTCTGAAATGCCCTTGATGGTGAGAAGATGTTTCTTGGGAGTGAATGCTACGGCCTCGACGGTGTTCAGCCCTGCCTCTGCGAGTTTCTTGATGTCGTTTGGGTGGATACCGGCTTCCTGGAGCTTGTTGACGAGAAGGGGTCCTGTGACTTGATACTCGTCCTCTTCTTCGATCTGCTGGGATTGAGAAGGCTGAGACATAGCTGGGACGTCGAGTGGGGAGGCGGTAGAGTCGGATGAGTCAGGGAGGCGAAGAGGGTGTCGCCAACATATTCCCACGCGAATGAATCGCGTAACGCGTCTTGTCACGTGCTCGTGATTCGGGGAGTCCAAATATTCCGACTCCCATCTACACTGACAGTGTACACACACTCTCACCCCTTCTGCCATCACCCTCCTCTCTTTGGCCAGATTTCAAACCACGATGGCACAGACAGACGTAGAATCAATTCATATAAGCTCCTTGTGCCCCAAGATTCTCAGTGACTCCAGCCAGGATGTACGCCGCCATCGGTTGAGCCATCGAACAGGCGCTAATTGACTTCATGCAGGATAAGAGCTCTACAGCCTCGAAATCTGAAAACCGAGAAACATTTTTCGACATCAACGAACTCCCGGACGACCTGCTGACCGAGGTCATCACATTCGCTATGAAGAGCTCGAAGCCAAACAGGAATGGAGAGGTCCCTGTTCAGATTGAGCTATCTCTTGTCTGCCGCCGTTGGCGAGACCTTATTCTACACTCCCCACTTCTTTGGACGGACATATTTATCTCCACTACTCCCTTAATCAACGCCTCCATCTTCTTCGAAAGATCACAAACAGCCTTGATCGACGTCACTTTTTCCTCCTATACTGGAGACAACACAAACGCCGACCATGATTACACGATTTACTCGACCGTCGCAAAGCACATTTCGCGGATCCGGAGCCTATCCATCGATGTCATTGGGCCGTCGGATTACTATCCATTTTTTCTCCCATGGAAAGGTCTCGAGGCGCCAACCCTGAAGTCTTTGCACATACGTTCCTGCTTCGACGGTTCCACGAGATTTTTAACGTCATATGAAACAGACAACGAACTGCCGGTGTGGATCGTGGCTAATGCTTTGCATTCTGTCAAGTTGGAAGGGTTTGAATCTCGACATTTTCCCCCTCTCCCAAGTCTAACATCTCTTGACCTTGATAAAGCGAAGCTGTGCCCAGGACAATTTTGCCACATCTTGAATAATTGCCCGCTGTTGGAATACCTTGTCATACATCATTTTGGTTCTCCTGATGGAGAACGGGATCGGGAGGGTCGAAGCGTGCCACAGTTTGTAGAAGCCCCCTCTCTTCGTTCGCTGGCAATCAACATAGAAAATGACCATACCGACACATGTGCATGCGCACTTCCATCCCTTTCTATGAAGAATCTCCAATATCTCGAGGTTTCTTTCTATTGGTCACATTTCACGGATCACCACGCCTCAATATTATCTCAGTGGAAGAACCTCACAAAACTCAAAACACTACGCATTCACAGCATCTCCTTCTGGGCCAACGACATGTCGTTTCTTGCGGCCCTTCCAAATACCACCGTGCTCGAAATTGTCGGATTTCCAAAATCTGAAAACACGGCTCTCCTTGAGATCCTCAACCTCTCCAACCTTCGCTCCATCTCCCTCGATCTGTCTTCCCCCAGATTTCCTCAGAACAGTATTGATCTTGACGAATTCCACGAGGATGTCGTGCAGCACACGCCCACCTTGAGCTGTCCCGTTTCTCTGTATTGCGGGAGTACAGAGCATGAACAGGGTAAGAGGCTGCGAGAAGACTTAGGTTCATTCTTTATGGTCCAGTCTTCTCCACCTCACAAGGGAATCCTGGATGGATATCTTGCCCGGAGTTCATTCGAAGATGATGACACTCTGCTGAATAGGCTGTGGGGAATTGATGAATCAAGTGACGATGAGTTCGAGGACGACACGGAAGATTTCGATGATGAATTCGATTATGAATCATTTGGAGGGCATGACTTTGATGATGAGGATTACTTTGAAGGTGACTATTTCTTCTGAAATACTAAATTAATGTAAAGTGGTAGGCGTGTACGAAAGCATGGGCAACTCTGAAATAACAACTGGAGTTATACAGGAACAGATTGAGTTACCTCTTGCGCAGGAGGCTCTGGTACAGGAAGGGTTGGAACGTTAACTCTTTTCAGCTTCTCCTCGAAGTAGTCTACCGCTTTGGAATCAAGCACAACTCTCTGCCACTTCAGCAGCTCGTAGACGTTGACCTCCTTCGCCCGAACAAGCTTGACCAAAGGAATGTTTCTGATTGCTCGCTCCAAGCCATCATGTACAACTGGCTCACCACTCACAAAGAGCGTCTTCCGAAGGCCAAGACCTTCAATTCGCTGCGCGAGGTGCTTCGTTTTCCCGTTGGGCCAGTATAGCCGTGTCATGACACCCAAGTGACGCTCCTTGAGTTTTGCGCTCAGGGCGACGCGCATACCCATCTCGACGACCTTTCGAGGAAGTTTCGTGCTAAAATCTCGGGGTTTCGGACCAAACGCGACACCTCCTCCTCGAAGCATAGGACTTTGAGCATCGCCCAAACGAGCCTTTCCCGAACCCTTCTGACGGCGGATTTTGCGGCCAGAACCGCGTACTTCTCCGCGCGTCTTCGTATTCGCCGAGCCTTGACGGAGAGAATCTCGGTGGTGAACGACACATAAATGTAGGATATCTCGTCGGATAGGATGCTTGAAAACCGTAGGATCGAGGACGGCAACACTTTTGTCGGCAGGCTGGTCCCAGCGACCCCGCTTGAGAGAGGGCGTAAGCGCGAGGTATACGGGTTCAAGAATAGGTAGTGCTGGATAGATGTCTTAGTCCACGTCAATTGAACTCTGAAGAGGTGTGACGTACCTGCAGTGGTCGCCGGAATACGTGGACTCACATTCAGCAAGGGCTTCGTCAGAAACGAGGGGCCAACCCTGGCTTTACGGCTGGCGAGGCCAGAGAGCTGGGATAGGACATATTAGAGACGTCAAGCATGCATGATAGATACAACATACACGAGATGCAGCCTTGCTGAGCATTTTGAGTGAGTGAGATGTGGTCGACGGATGAACACGCGCAGCGCACTTGGATTCCGGACATGACCGTGGGAGACTACGTTCGGCAACACCTTGGCTGAGTCAGCGGCTGAGCGGGATATGCCGACTAGAACTGGATAGGTGATCCAAGCCACAACTTGCCCTAATCCCGGTGCTGGCTTCCACGACTGTACGTTCCATCTACTGCCAGGGACATATCGTCCTCGTCTAGACAAACCTAACCCGACCTTTCAACGGGGACTCTCTTCAAAATGGCATCGTCAGTCAAGGCCGTTCAGACGTTCGGCAAAAAGAAGGTGCGTCTTTGCCTTGGAGGGCAGGGATAGAGATTGACGAGTCTTCCTAGACTGCGACAGCAGTTGCCCACGCGAAGGAGGGCCGGGGCCTAATTCGCGTTAACGGATCCCCTATCAATCTTGTCCAACCCGAAATCCTGCGGCTCAAGGTCTACGAGCCTGTCCTCGTTGCTGGCGAAGACTCTTTCTCCCTTCTCGACATCCGTGTGCGGGTAAAGGGTGGAGGACACACCTCGCAAATATATGCCATCCGACAGGCCATCGCCAAGGCCCTAGTCGCCTACTACGCCAAGTACGTCGACGCCTCGAGCGCGATGGAGTTGAAGAAGAAGTTGGTGGCATACGACCGAACACTGTTGATCGCTGACCCCAGACGGATGGAGCCGAAGAAGTTCGGAGGTCATGGTGCCCGTGCTCGCAGACAGAAGAGGTGTGTTGCGCCTGTTGTACTCCCTCTATCGTTCGTTTCTCATGATGCAATTATCCAGTTACCGTTAAATGGTTTCCTCCTTGTATTCTATACGCCTATACTATCATGTCCCTTACTTCACCTGCCATGCACATATGCGAACATGATGAAACATGACATTCCTTTTGAGCCATCTTATTAAGCGAGTTCAAATGCAGGCCTAGGACGTCATTATCAAATATCTCCCTCGATCAGGTAATTCCCACCATTCTTCTTCATGGGCTTCGCAAGACATAGCCCGACACAATAAGAGATGTATGCACATACCTGGGCCATGCATTGGTGGGAAGGTGGAGTGATTGGCTTTTGTATGCGCTTGGCTTCAATGAATGGACGCTCCGCTGCTATATTTGGAGCGTGAGTATTGAATGTGGGCCAGCAGGCCACATATTGTTAGGCTCGGATTTCCATTTATTCTAACTAACCGCTGGCGTGTCGCAAGCCTCCCCCCGGTGTCCCTCTAGAGTTCTATAATGGACTCCATGCCCCCATCTCAACCTGTTCAGACAAGAAATACCACACTTTTCTCCAACGCGGATGGATCTGCTATACGCCTCTTTGCAGACCTCTGGGGCATTCCACATCGTGCTAAACTCGCGAAGACCTTCAAAGTCCGTATTTTTTTTTCTCGCGTCTTTCGCAGTTAAATAATCTGTCTGCTTCGCTCAGAACCATGGCGGCGTGATTTCAGCCGATCCCCGCGAGGCTCAAATCATCCTGGTCGATTCGCAGACAGCAGAAGGCCGTCAGCTCATTCGCGATTGGGGCGCCGATGCGAACAAAACAATCCTGGAATACACGTGGGTGAGGAAGTCTGTGGAAGCGGGAAAACCGTTGTTGGGCGATGAACAATGGGGCGACTGTTTGACTCATGACGATGGGCAGCCTCTTGGGAGTACTGCGGACGCAGAGGATGACGGAGAGATTCCCAAGTCAGTGGTTCCCTTTATACGTGCCAGTTATTCTCTTTACCAACTCTTACAAGAAGTCCATTACCTACACCACGCGATACGCCTGATGAGCCTCCACGGTCTCGTCTACCTACATCGCACACTGAGCCTTCTTCGTCAATCCCAACTCTTCAGAATGGCTCAGCATCGATGATGCCACCGCCAAATCCAGTTCCTTCAACGAACCAACAACCCGCCACTACAACGGCTACACCACCTCCGCCAACTCAAATCCCCGCTGGTGCATCTCCGGTCAATGGCATTAATCCGTATGCTCAAATGCAATATCCTATGCAAATGGGTCCAATGGCGAACATGATGTCTTCACAAATGTCCCAGATGACTCCGGTGCAACAGCAGCAAATGTTTGCTGCTCTGATGGCCGGCCAGGCTGGTTTCCCCTTCCAACCCCAATTTACCAGTGCCCAGCCGCCGAATAATGCATTTTCCATCGCCTTTATGGACACACTGAAGATGAATGTGATGGGACCATGGTCAGGAACACAATTACCGACAGGGTCTCAGATGCAACATGCGCCTGCTGAGGGGCCTCCACAAATACCGCAGACCAATTTGCCCTACCCGTCAACAGCGTCGGAGTCGTCGACAATTCGTTCCAGCACCACGGACACGATGGCAGACGCTTCCCCCATTCTTGGTCTTGAGTCTGCAATGTCAAGACAGGGAAAAAGACCATCCAATACATATATATCAATAAAAGGAAAGGCCAAGGAAAGGTCGACACCTGTGACACCGCAGAGAAAGGATTCATATCGGTTCTCTCCTTTATATGATTTCGACACGGGTCCTTCTTCATCCGAAAAATTATTTACTTGGAGAGGTAGAGCATTGTGTTTCTACGTTCAAATCGACTTGTTCAATCGGAGTGCATCCGTGAATCCAATCAAGGTATGTGCATTCACACTTGCCGCAGCTCTTTTTCACCCTTTGCAACAGAAAAACGGAGGTACAATTGTTGCCAACCAGGAGGCAGCGGACTACGTGATCTTGTATGGGGCTAGTAAAAACCAGAAATCGTTCAATGAACTCCTCAAGGCTTCTCAAGTGGCAGGCAAAGTTGCACTGCAAGCCAAGTTTGTCCATGATTGTGTGGAACAATATAGGCTACTCGACCCGACGCCTTACCTCTATGGACCTATGGCTAAGCGTAAAAGAAAGCGTTCCACCTCGGTAGCATCTGCAGCAGATGATGTCTCAGAGGACGAGGATGACCCCGAAGCAAGGGCAAAGGAGGAGAAGCGGCTGAAAAAGAATCAAAAAGAAGCTGAAAGGAGGCAGAAAATGAGGCAGCAGCAGTCCCACACCAAACCAGCAAGCCAGGTTTCAAAGCCTGCAAGTTCTGCGTCTACGTCCACGAAGGCACCAGGACCCAAACCGTCACCAAAGAAGAGGACATCCTCGGGTAAAAAAGCAGTGCCCGTTGGCCCTCGGCCACCAACCCCACCTCCAGAACACACCCGACAGCCTTGGGCATCTGGTTTCAGGTTTTCGCCTATTGAGGACGAATATGCGCTGCTTTACGCAAAAGTACTTCTAGATCATGACCGCACAACATCTATGAATGCGGTTGCCACAGCGCTACACAGACAGGTGAGGAACCCAGGATTTGTCTGTTCTGTTCATCCTAGCTTACCTGCAGTTAGATGCCACATCATAGTCTTGCCTCTTGGAGGAGTCACTTCCAGTCGTCGTTCTCGGCACAATTTGACCAAATGCGAAAGCGTGCTGGCATAGCCTATAGAAAGGCCCTGGGCCAAAAAGAGTCTGAACCTCCAGTTGCCTCAACGTCTGCTGCGTCTGATGTGGAAGAGCTGCCGCCACCTTCTGAGTCTCCTGATATACAAGACAGTTACTTCCAGACACAGGAATACCAGGGGGACCTAGAAGACGACATCCAAGCTGTTGTCCGCTTTTTCGTCGAGGGCAATGATGACGATAAAACTAAGGCAGAAAACGAAGTATGGGCTCGATTGGAGGAGAAGGTAGGGCGCTCTTTCAGCGAATGGGGTTATTACTAACGATCCCTTCCTAGACTCGTTGCAAAACTGCAAGCCGATGGGAAGAGTTCTACCAGCACCATTACGACGAGGTTCTGAGACGGTACCAAGAAGCGGCAACAAACCCAGAGTCTTAAGCCTTCAGAATCAGCTTCTGTATAATTGTACATCCTAATGCACGTTCCACCCTGTAGCCTAGAGTATCGTACGAATAATAATTCCGTCAGTAGGGCGTGCACCGTGGGGTGGTCCTCGAGGAATTAGGACTGACAATCAGGTATTCCGAAGCTTTCGATTGCGGGAGGTCTAATTACTGGGAGTCTGCGGTTTCTGCTGTGTCTAAGAAAGGTTTTGGTGGTGTTTTGAAGAATCTTGCTCGCCTCTCTTCCTTCGAAAGTACTTCTCCAAATAGATTTCCGGAGTAATCGAATGCACCCATAATGGCACCCATAACGACACATCCACCAATAGCGCTTGGTATTGAGCGTGCTATGAGAATAGGTGAGCGCCTTCAATCCATGAATGCGGGGTCCAAAACACACATTTAATTCCAGCCAAAAAGCCAGCTGCGCAAGCACCGGCAGCACCACTGACAGCATCCTTCTTTTGCCGTTGGTTGGCGACGATGGTCTCTGTGAACGCAAATGTAGCACCCATAGCGGCTGCGAAGGAGGAAGATTAGGCGCTGAACACTTTGAAGGACTCGGAGACGCACCAAAGAAGCCAATAGTCCCTCCGGTTCTCGTCAGCACACCCATCGCGCCATGAGAATGTTTGCCCAGCGCGTTCTGGACAGAGCTCACGACGAAGCCGACTGCACCTGCCTGCAGGGCGACGTGTGATGCGTAGCCAACAGCTGACTTGGGCTCGAATGCTGGGGTATTACGGTCCTCGACGTCTGCCATGATGGGCTTTCGAACGGAGGCGAGCGGATTGGTCGAGGGAGAGTTGCAGTGATCGCTTGCCTTTTCCGGACTCGCCTCCACTCCAGCACTACAGCCGGCCCTCCTCCATAAGTGCTATCAACCAACGAATGGCCTCACCATCGAGAGAAGGTGTAATAATTCGAATGAAACTGACAGGTACGCTTTCCAATGATATATTGAATTCTCTCCGTTGAGCACAAACAGTGATCAGGTGAGAATATCCAACTTGCCCCAACCTCCAGATCCACCAAGTGCCCCTGTAGAGCCTGTGTGTCCTCAATGCGATGCACACGCGCCTTGCCAGAGCACCAACTTATCATTCCAGGCAATGGTAACAGGTACATGTCTACAGTCCGAAATGAACATACGGAACCCACGCAAGGAACATTTTTTCACCAACCACCTCCCGAAGCTCTCGAACTGCACAATGCAAAGCATGCGCAGATCTGGTACTATCCAGCCTTTCCTCTCTCATAGTATCCCTCGTCTCAGGACAATGTAGCAACCGTCGATACACCCCATCTGCTACCAATGGCGCATCCTGATCCCTAATCGACCACATCGTTGCGATCACACTCTTATACCCAGCCACCATCATCCCGGCCGCCCCCCGACGCTGTCTGGCAGGCTGACAAAAATGCTAGCTCTGCTAAAGGGCCGAGAGTCGCAGAATAAGCGTCTATTGCTTGCTGTGAAGGCCCGTGTCGGATCCGAGCCGTGTGCGCCCATAAGAACCCGACTTCGTACCGAAAGGCGGGTTCACCCGACGGAGACATTACTGCCCGTTTATAAGCATTAATCGCCTTTTCAAGTCCGGCCACCATCCTGAACGCGTCAAAAAGGTTGCGCGTGCATATCCCGAGCCAAGTCAGACACTCGACTTTGAATGGATGTCCGTTTGGAATGAGGCTGACGACTTCGTAGATGGTCAACATGGCTTCTTTAAGATGGGCTCTTTCCTTTGTGTGGTCTTGGAATCGTGTGAGGTAGGCTTTGCCGAGGTGTAAGAGTCGGATCGGTTTGCGGGCATGGTTCTCGGGAGTGAGCGCTATGGCTTGTTTGTTAGCTAGGATGGAGAGGTTAATGCTTTCGATGTCTCTACGCTTGTTGTGTCGTTTAAGGTATGACTCTCCAAGGTTGCTCAGGAATGCTGGTTTGAATGGGTGGTCGTCAGCGAGAAGGCGGATTGCTTTGTTAAGGAAGGCAGTGCTGTTGTCAATGTCTGCTTTTCGCCAGAGGCGGGTGAACTGCGTTTGGACGGCTCCGCTGAGGTTGTTTAGGTAGGTGGGTTTGACAATGTCCGTGTCTGGGGCCAAAGAAATGGCTGTCTGGAAATAGGAGATCGAGGTGTGAAGGTCGGTCGAATTGCTGAGGTGGGCGAAGCGGAGGCGGTTGGCCCGTCCAAGGCTATTGACGCATATGGTTTTGAATCTTCCCTTGGGGAGTAGATCTTCTGCACGTTTGAGCGCAGAAATGGAATTGTCGACAAGAAATGTTCAAAGCGACGTAGGAGGGAGTTACAGAGAGTAAGTTTGATCTGGACAATCTTGTGAGGAGAGTTGAACAGCCTCTTCTGCCAATAAGATGGGATTATCAAGATCTGCAGCGTCGCCGCCCTGTTCGAAGCGATCGAGGAGCGAGGCGCTGAGGCTTTGTAGGTACAGGAATCACATAGAAGACGTGGAGCGGGTTTGGCAAAGCGCACGAAGGCTAGCTGAAAGGGCATTTTCTAGACTCTGACGATCATTTGAGTGCAGAAAACGGGTAGAATATAAACTACTTAGATTGTGCAGGCGGTGGGGGAGATCGTCAGAGCCAAGTGGTGTACGTTGGACGACGCCTTCTAATACAGATATTCCTTCGTCCAGATCTTTCGTTTTCCCGGAGTGTTCAAAGACTAAGATCGTTGAAGAAGAAGGGGATGTTCTTACTTTTGCTGCTTGGAGTAATTTCTAGATCTATTGCCTTTCGTAGTGCTGTAATCGCCTTCGCTATGTCATCTTCTTGTCCAAACATCTCGAAAGCGCTCGCAATACCCTTTTCCTAGATCGCGCCAGTGCTCTGCCTTGTCGGGGTGACTATCGTGAATCGAAGTCATAGCTTCTTCAAGGCATACGCAATACTGAAGTGTTGATCGCCTCCGTATCTCGAACGTAGCGGTCGTTGGCGACGCAACGAAGGGATTTGCCGACGGATGCTAGAATGTCTGCCTTGCATGCTGCTCCTTCTGTAGGTGTTGTAATAGACATTTCTGGACACGTTTTCAGCTATGCAGTAGACGCGATAGAAACAGATCTGCTTCAGAACTCACTAGAAGTGCCGTCGGCGGCTTCAAGAGACGACAAGCGCTCGCGAGAGTTGGAGGTCATCAATAGGGAACAACAAGTAACCCGTGACATCCCAGGTTCACTGGGTTTCTGTGCACATCGTGAAGGTATACGTACGAGTCCTACTTATATCTGGAGTCGTTCTTATGCTAGACGGGCAGGGATTTCGAGCCCGGCGTGTCTGATACACACACTCCCCTGAGAGAAGAGGTGGAAAGAGGTGTAAGAGGCGATGTAGCTCTTTCTGGTGTTGGCGATGGCACGGACAATACGAGAAATGATAGAAATGGCGTTGTCCGATGACAAGAATCAGCCCGCGGTTCTGGGGCGGATGGAGGCATCAAGCGAGTTAAGGTGGCTGTGGTTCCTCAAAACTTTAAAGCATTCCTTCCAGACATTTCCGAACCAGAGCCAGAAGGAAGGCACTGGTAGACATCGTGCCAGGACTCGAAGCAGGCGACGCATGGATGATGCATGACTGGAGGGTATAGAGTCGAGGTCCGTGCATGGAAGACAGAGTTGGGTGCATAACTGTGTCAACTGGAAGCAATTTTGAGGAAGCTGTAAGGGAACGAAGGGACTCAAGGATATCTGACGCACCTCGGAGCAGTAAGTAAGAGTCCAGTTGAGGCCGTCCAGATCTAGCAAGCTCGAGTTTCTCACCCGCACCACCATCTTCCCCGAAGAGGCGCGCGTCGTAGACCCAGAATAAACCTTCCCCATGTCGCAGGACGCACAAGCAGAGCAAAATGAGGAGTACCAGCCTTGGTACCGAGACGCAGCAAACGTACATCCGTTTCGGATGGTCAGAAGGCTCACCGTCGGTCTCTAACTCTTCAGCACGATCGCTTGACCTCTGAGGAAGGGCGTTCTTGATACCAGGCTAAATCTCCAGATGCCCCCATTCTACGCTCGATTGCGATGTTTCCTTGGAACGAGAACTCCCTCAAGACCCTCTGGCAAGGCACGCTGAACGCCGATGACAATCTTACCCAGTGGAAGGCCATGATCGCACAATTCTGGGACGCGGTTGCGGTAGGAGCCGATCGCAGCGTCTACATCTATTTCGCAAGCAAAAGGAAAGCTCCGCTCACGATTAACCTGCCGCCTGTACGTGTTGTCATTGCATGAAATCCGGTCGCGTTTTATCTCATCTGTACAGGATAATCAGCAACTTCTGGACGCTGATGAAATGTGCGTTGAATGGAGTCTGAGCCATTTTGCGCCATTCGAGCCGGTGGTGGCATTCTCCCGCGGAAGCCTACTGTATCTCTGGAATCCTATTCGATTGGGCATGGCCGGATATCTTCGTGGTCACGGCGGTGTGCGTATTCAGCCCGATATTTCATTGCGCAGTGCTCTAAACACCAGCATCTGTAGGCAATTACTTCGATCGCTGTCCATCCAAACACACCCCATCTTGTCTGTTCGACCTCCCGAGATCTCACTACACGCATATACGACTTAAGTCTCCCTGCCGAAGTCCCGATGGAGCCCAAGCCACAACGGCCAGGAAAGAAGAAAAAACCAGAAAAAGAGAAGGTCCCCAACCCTGTCTGGCCACCTGGAAAAACACCGAGTCTAGCTGGTGCTGCCCATGGTCTCCGCATACCGTCTACAGAGGCGGGGGGAGAAGGTGTTGGTGCTGGACGGTGCATCGTCGTTTTGTTGGGTGGGCGCTCTGGTGGGCATAAAGCTGCTGTCCTTGGAGCTGTAGGAATTTCTGCTGCTTCGAAGGAATTGTTTCTGACGCGTTATTGCAGGCTTTCCATCCTGTTCATCCAATCATTGCGACCTGTGGGGTACGTATCCCGCTCCATGATTGAATGGATGCATCATCTCAACCGAGTTTCGTAGATGGACCGAACGGTCAAAATTTGGCCAGTTCGGCCCAAGAATCGATCTGAAATTCAACGAGAGGACAAGCCATTGTTCACAAGCGGACATATACACAAAGCACGAGTGCTTTCTGTTTCTTGGTATACTTTTCGCCTCACCTTCCTCCAGTAGAGAGCTGAACGAATAAAGGCTGCAAGATGACCTTTTGCTGACGCACAGTGCTCCTGCGATTATGCGCGTCGCACCCGAAGACCCAAACAATAAAGCAACCTATCTCGAGCCCGGCGAACTGATTGTCTGGCGGTGGCTTGGTCTCAATCGATTTTTCCCGCCTGGGTACGAAGATACGCTACCTTTGGTTTTGCGAGGTTGTTCATCTGTGAGTCAAATGCCTTTCTTCTTCCTCTTCTAATTTTTGATTTTTTTTTTCTCGTAGGATTATCAAGAGAGCTGTGAGCATCAACACTTAAGCGACATTGTTTATTTTGTTCTGACTAATAATATTCTCTAGCCTCCTTCAAGCTCATATCCATACACAGATTCCCAGCTACTGGCACTCAATACGTCGTCCCAAAACTAAGTCTTTTCAACTCACCTTTCAGCGACCCTCTGGCGCTCTTCGTCTATCCAGGAGCCACCTCGCTCTTCATCGTCAATATCACGAACTTCTCGTGCAAGCCACGTCCACCCTTCCCGCTCGACGCGCCAAAGAACAACGGCTCGAGCGAGCTGGCTAGGGCAGCTGAGCAACTGCATCTGGACGGTCGGCAAGAACCCGTCGCCCAGACCGAGACTGAGGCTGAGACCGAGCAAGTCAGGGCAAATCTGTACAATGGAAGAAACGAGGTGACACCGCCTGGTCTCGTCTCCTGGGAGATTTCTGTCCGGGAATGTGAGTGGGACCGGAGTAGTGCTGACTCCTCTGGGGCCAAGTTGATAAGGTGTGCGATGGGCGCTGGTGGGAGGATTGTTGTTGGTGTTGGTGAAAAGGGAACATTCTGGGTGTGGAGATATGACGATGATGAGCAAAAATGAGAGCAGCCTACGTATACAGACGTATGTGGCGTTGAGGATGTGCAATGTACATTTCTAAATTTATCACTCAATATTTCCTTTTTGAAAATTTTAACATCGAGTTGTCATTGTTGTGACCATGAAAAAAGACGGGGTTGTTCCGGTATTTGTGTAAAGTACATGCAATGTGTGGTGGGAAGGAAAGTGGAAATGCAGGAATCACGTATAAATGGCACAAAGCTATACGACAATGCACAAAATGCGGCAATGCCAGAAGCTCTAGCGAACGAAAGAACATCGGCTTACGCCGGTGCTAATACTTAGTACTGCTCTATCTAGGTGTGATAATGAAAAACAGGACATCCGAGGGGGGGGAGTTCCAGAAATCTGTTTGAGAATCTACAGGCAAGATCAAACGAAACGCAGGGTCCCAGGGATCATCCAACACTGTGCCGCAAATAGTGTCGGCTCGTGCTTCCACTACTCGTGTCGTAGACCCTCTGATGCAGACCCTGGGGGTGGAGGTACGCCTGGGCCGAGGGCATGGGAGGACGCTGCAGGTATGAGTGAGGCGATGCCTGTAATTGCAGCTGTGGCGGCGGTACGCCGAGGAATGACGACGACGCCATCGCCGCAGAGCTCATGCTCTGATACTGCGGCGGCAGGAAGTACGAGGACATCAGACCTTGGGTTTGCGGAGGCGATGCCAGGCCGACGCTGATCGACCCCGTGGGTGTGGACAGCGCCGACTGTGAGTACGAGTGCGTGGCTGAGGAGCCGCCGCCGTGTGTCGACCACGGGCTGGTGGTGGGTGATTGCACGGGCCCTGGTGGAAAAGAGGCTGAGGCTGAGGCAGGGTGCAGGTGATGCTGCTGCTGGAAATAGCCACCGGAAGCCGAGCTTGTTCCCTGCGCAGTAGAAACGAAGGCAGTTGCTGGCCGCGGAGGTTGTGATACGTCCGACTTGTGGTCGGTGGTAGATAGATTGTTCGATTGGCAGGGTATCAAAGGATGGGCGCCGATAGACCGATAGACCGTTGACCGATTTTTTTTGGGGGGAGGAGCAGAAGATGCGCAAAAAGAGGCAATTTCAGCACGGAGGGAGGAACTATGAGAAAAGAGAAGAAGAGTAAGAATAGGTACAAAATCGGTCGGAAGGGAAAGGCAAAAGGCCGACAGGGAGTCGGAGAAGAAAAGTGAATTAGAAGAACCTGCTCACCATCATGGGCACTTGCTGGGCGCGGTGGTGTTGGGGTGGCATCATGATGTAGCCTGGATGACCTCCTGCCATTGGGGCACCAGGGAAGGCGTATTGATATCCTGGGGACACGGGGGGTGAGGCCATGCTGTAATACCCTGGGGAGTGATGCCGCGAACGTGCACGCGAGTGGGAGCGGTGGTGGTGCGATGACCTGTGTGGAGGGATAGCGAATGTCGGAGGCATCATCATGGGCGGTGGGGTGAGCATGGGCTGGCCACCCATCGGCGCGACCATGGGTTGGAACATTGGCTGCTGGGACGGTCCAGAGTACATCATCGCTGGTGCGGAGAGTGGCATGGGACCAGGACCGTCGGCATAGTCGTCCGACGAGTCTGACCCAGGAGCAGGGACGTGGATGAAGAGTTGGCGTGGCTGGGATTGGCCGGGGTGGTGGTGGCGTCTTTGCCTGCTATGGGACGAGGACGAGGGCTCGAGAGGCGCGTCGGCTATGGGAGCAGCGGGGACAGCGTGCTGGAACTGAGGGCGGTGCTGCTCTGTCTTGTCGACCCAGTTTGCGATGCGGGTCTGGGTGGCGAGATAGCGCTGGTAAGCCTCTGGGGAGTAGTCGTACTCGGTCATGTCGAAGAGAAAAGAGCTGGTTACTCTGCAGAAGCCAGAGCAGGGCCTGCTGGATTTATACCAGACAGCCCTATTGTCGCCAGGGTGACCGAGGGGGAAAAGGCTCTGCTCGCTCGATGGCGGAACAAGCAGAACAAGGATCTCCACTTGTGAACAATCGCACCATGCATCAACAAAAGGGCTGTGGGTCCGGATCACCCTCCTCCGTCATAGCTGTCGTTCATTCCGCACGCCCGTTGCCTCCTCCGGGGTCCAGTTCAGCACCGCCTGCTGCAGCGATCTCTCACTTGCGAAAGTCTCAGTCACTCATAACCAGTAATTCCATCCAATCCAAATCGTATAATGAAAGAAAGTGCCACTGCTATCTAATGAACAAGGCCCACGCCTATTTACAGCAAAGAGCATCTTCGTCCGATATCTTTGGGTCCCAATGCCCACGCGGTCCTGTACGTCCCATCAATAACTGTGCCACGATGCAGGAGCGGAGACGAGCTCACCTGTAATTAATCCAATTGCCATTGCGAGCCGCTATTGCTTATTCTTCCCTTGTGCCGAACGGACGAACGACCCCGTTCGGCGCAGTCACAGCTTGTTCAGCCGGGATCTGTCGAGGAGCAAGTAGTTCCCTAGTTCCAAAGGGGCGAACGACGCCATTGGGAGCGGTAACGGCCTGCTCAGCTGGAATTTGTCGACGTCTGAGCGCCTCTGCTCTTGTTCCAAAGGGACGAACGACACCATTAGGCGCGGTCACAGCTTGCTCGGCAGGGATCTGTCGACGGCTGAACCTCTCTTCCCTCGTGCCAAAGACACGGACAACGCCATTAGGTGCAGTTACAGCTTGCTCAGCGGGGATCTGTCGACGTTCGATCGCCTCTTCACGGGTGCCGAAGACGCGGACAACGCCGTTGGGCGCAGTCACGGCCTGCTCTGCAGGAATCTGGCGCTTGTAGACAGGGATGGTCTTCAATGGTTCCGAGGTGCGCCCCTCGAGCTCCCTCATGGCAACCTGATGGCGATTAGATGCGTATAATGATGAGGTATATGCTCGAGGACATACCTTCAAGGGCATGGGCACTGGGGCCGCCGCCACCTGACCGGTCAGGAAGACGGTAAGAACGGCGAAAAGAGTAACCAAAGACGTCCTGGCAAGCATCGTGGAAGGTTGCGTAGAAATGACTTGTGGGGAGGACGAGAAAGCGAGTGTGGAACAGCTGCAAAGGACACAGAAGATAGGGCGCTCCTGGCACCTGGGCTTGAACGAAAGAACTAGATAGATAGTCAGAAATCGATGAATAAAAGGCAAAAGACCGTCGCACTCACATGAAAGGAGGGAAAGGAAGGAACAGAAGGACTACGACAGGTGGGTTGCCTGTATATATAAGCCCCGCAGGCGAGCCAATCGCGGTCGCCAACGAGCAACGAATGATGGTCGCTGCAACAACCGACCCCATTTTTAGCACACACGTGACCACGACATTGATTTCCAGTCGAGGGGAACTCGGCGTCGACTTCGACGACTACCATAATTACCTCACCTCGTCAAATCTTCATATCTTCATCTTCATCACACACCAACACCATATGTCCGACCCACGTTTCGCCAGGCTCAAAACCGACCCTCGCTTCAGGCGGCCAAAGACGAAGCAGACAAAGGTGGTGATCGACGAGCGCTTCAAGAGCGTGTTTAAGCAGGACAAGAAGAAAAACGGTAAATCACTCAATTTATCTCGGGAGCCCCGCACCTTGGGATGCGCGCATTTTTGCTGATTATTGATGATGATGATCATAACACACAGCTGGGCGCAAAGTCGACAAGTATGGACGGGCCATCTCTGATACGCAGGAGCAGGAGGACCTGAAACGGTACTACCGTCTGGACGATGTGGAGGACGATGGTGCGACCCCGAGAAAACCTGATCTTGCGCGTGGAGAGGGCTTGGTGGAGTCTTCAGATGAGGAAGACGACGTGAAAGCCAAGGACGATGACGACTCGGAGGACGAGGAGGGCTTTGTGACACTCGGCGCGGACCCGTCGAGGCCGATTGCGGTCCGGGACGAGGACCTCGAGATTGATTTGGATGAAGACAACTTTGCGGACCTCGACGCGCAAGCTGCGAGCTACTCCAAGGCGCACCAGCGCGACGATGACGACAGCAACGAAGGCCAGGAGGACGGTGTGCGCACCTCCCGCCTGGCGATTGTCAATTTGGACTGGGACCACGTCCGCGCGCACCACTTGTACAAAATCTGCTCGTCGCTCGTGTCGCTTAACGCGCCGGCGACACGTCTGTCGACGTCTTCCGTGCAGGAAATGACTGGAAAGAGACGCTCGGCGAAGGGTTCCGTCGGTGGGCCTGTTGATGTCGTGAGAGGGAAGGTTCTGAGTGTGAAGGTCTATCCGAGCGACTTTGGGAAGGAACGTCTGGCAAGGGAGGAGAAGGAAGGTCCACCGCCTGAAATCTTCAAGAAGAAAAGAGACCTTGAGGTTGACGAGGTTGATGAGAAGAATATTTTCGAGGTTGGGGACGAAGATCATGATTACGACGAGGATGCCCTCCGGAGATACCAACTGGAGAGACTACGGTGCGTTCTTGGGGCTCTTCTACGTTAATGGCAAATTTCAATGGGCCGCTGCAGGTACTATTATGCTATTGTAACGTGCGACACAGTGGATGCTGCATCTCACATTTATAACGAACTGGAAGGAACAGAACTCGAACGTTCAGCTAATGTCTTCAACCTGAGCTTCGTTCCTGAAGACATGGTGTTCGAAAACGAGCCTCGGTGTGTTGTACTCACTACTTCATAGACGCGACTTATTGTCTTCTTAGGGACGAGGCAACAGACGACTTGAACACGGACTATAAGGCGGTGGAATTTGTTACAGATGTAAGGGCCCCATTGCACTTTCTACGGTTTTCTTATCTAATAATAGTAATAGGCTCTACGACATTCGAAAGTTAAACTGACTTGGGATGACGATGACCCAGAAAGGAATCAGGTCACTCGACGTGCTCTCACCAAGAAAGAGATCGAGGAAAATGATTTCAAGGCGTACATCGCTAACACCTCTTCAGAGTCTGAATCAGATGAAGAGAGTCAATCTGCGCCGAAGAAGGACAAGAAGGCGTCTCGCGACAAGCTACGTTCTCTTCTCCTTGGCGGAAACGAGGAAGAAATGCCGGAAGGTTGGGGAGACGACGCTGGAGCTGACGATGTGGACATGGAGATAACGTTCACTCCTGGGCTCAGCAGTAAGAAGAGCGAGGAGGGTGAGACGACGCTGGAGAAATACCAGCGGAAAATGAAGGAAAAGCGGAAAAAACGAAAGGAGGAAGTCAAGGAGAAAGGGAAGGAGAAGGAGCAAGCTCTGGAAGACGACTTCTTTGAGGCCAGTGGTGATGACGAGCCACAAGCTCAGAGGAGCATGTCGAAGAAGGGCAAGGAACCGGTCACAGAGGACCAGGAAGAGCCTCCTGCTCGGGAGGAAGCCACAGCAGAGGAATTGGCACTCCTTGTGGGATCTGACAATCCAAATGCTGAGCCAAAGCACTTCAGTCTTAAATCTGTCATCAAGGCTGAGAAACAGAAGAAGAGAGGCAAAGGAAGGAAAAGGGGCAAGGCAGATGTTGATAACGAGGCGCAGGAGGACTTCGTTGTGGACGTCAAGGACGAGCGGTTCAAAGCTCTCTTCGAGGATCATCAGTTTGCCATTGATCCTACAAACCCTCAGTTCGTCTTTTTTCTCTTGTGGTACTGTTATATGTTCATCCTAACATCTTTAAATTCTATTTTAGTTTCAAAAAGACAAAAGCTATGTCTGCTCTTCTGGACGAGCGCCAGAAGCGGCGGAAAGGACAACGCAACGAAGAGGTGGACGTTGTCTCTAAGAAACCCAAAAATGCCGATGCGGACGGGGCGAAAAACCTGCAGAGTCTCGTCGAGAGCGTGAAGAGGAAAAGCACCAACGTCCACCAGCCTGGACAAGGGAAACGCCGAAAGCTGTAGTTCTGTTGTTCATTGGGTGCTGATCTCCATATTGGATCTCCCTGCACCAACGTGATCATCGTTCTGCCTGAATATGACAAATGAGAAGAAGTGCATGCGGACTGCATGGATCAATTGTAAAGCAAAAACGTGTGAAGGATTGCAATGAATGAATACAATCGTGTAAGAAACATTCAAATGAAGCATGAAGCATGTTACCCGCATACTTGGTTAGTTACTAGTGGGGCGGACTACGATATCTTGGCATTGGAGAAGTCGAGCTCTGGATGTGCTGCTTGGAACTTCTTGAGAGCCTGATAATGTGGGTCAGTGGGGTAGCAACAACGAAAGGGCAACGTGTTGCTTACCTCCATCTTCTTCAGTTCGTCGGATGTCGGTCTGCCCATCTGTTTCTGCTGATTATCGAACTGGAAGGGGAGGTGATGAGCGCTAATCTAATCAAATTACTAGAAAGTTCCATCTACACACCATCATCTTTTCGACCATTCCACTGGGGACACGTCAGTCAGCGGGCAGTGTCACAACAGAAGGTGGTGGAAGGACACTCACCGAGTCTCCCCGTCAAGATCGCTCAATTTGCTGTTCATAGGTTCGATCTTCTGTGTGTTGATCTTGGGGTGGTGCGTTAGAACGTTCTCCCACCATGTCTGGTCATTTAGCTTCTCCAGGTGAATTAGAACATTTTTGTTGTCCTCTGAGGGTAAATTAGTATGTTGGAAGCCTGGCAATGAATGAAGAAGGTGCACTTACGAACAGTCCAAGTGCTATCCTCGACCTTGATCTCTTTACAAAGGTCGCCGCCCATGATCGGTTCGTGACCTTTCAGACCGATGCTGAGCTTCTTCTTCTGAAGAACTACAGTAAGGTCTCTTGCCCGTGTTCCCTGCGGGACAGGGACGATGATGTCCACATCGCCTAACTCCTGAGTCCAAGAATAAGGAAGCGCTGGAGAAATGGCAAGAATTAGACGGGGTTGTCCGCGAAGTGGCATATGCATACCAGCCTGCTCTTGTTGTTCACGGAGCCTTTCTTCTTTATCGCGAGCTTCACGTTCTTCCGCAGTTTTCGCTTGAGGGCCCTCGATATTCGACATACTTGGGGTGGGGAGATGCAAGTGTGATCAGGACTTCCTTTTGGCGCTCAATGCCACTTTAAGAATGCTCGCTTAGTCAGCGACGCGTTCCTTCGTTGTCGCTTGTTTGGTTCTGAGGCTCCCCTGTGTGTGCCTCTAGCCTCAGCCCTGCGCTCGTCGGACAACCCCATCTCCCTGCAGGCCAGATCCATTCCCCTTCGCTCGCTTCCAATACCATGTCGTCAGATGCATGGGCTGACTTTGAGGTGAGCCGTTTCTCTTGCTCTTGTAACGCCAAACTCACCCTCAACATGGGGTATAGACTCTTCGGCATGGCATAAGGAACAACACGGTCGACAGATTGAAACAGATTTTAGCTGGGTTCAATGACGAGTGTGGCACACATTTTGCGAAGTCGGGGAAAAAGCAGGACCTCATAGACCGGATTGTTGTGAACATGGACCAATGGCAAGCCAATAGTGCGGAGGATAAATGGTTGAAAGCGAAGGCAGTCATCTATCAAGTGCGGAATACGGGAACGTGAGTGCTCAGGGCCTTGAAAATTGTTTCTTAAGCGATTCCCTTCCTGTCCACCGCTTTCTCTATCGATACTGACTATTTTATAATCTAGATATACACACTCTCATCGCATTCCAGCATTGACGGCCCCCATCCCTACTTCCACATCTCACTCGACGTACGATCCTCCGAAAGCCAGCTCATTTGCAACAACGCCTTATTACGATGTATACGCGCCACCCCGAAGACCTGGAACTTCTGCACAGGCGCCATCCGCATCTACCTCGAGCGCTAAACCTCAAAGTACGTCATATCCCTGTGTTTCTGAAGCCACGCCTTGATGTTATCTCTAGTCATCCGCTTCAAGGAGTCGCCTTTTTTCATGGTTGACCAAATAGTGAGCCAAGTGATGGAGTGTCCGGGTAATACAGTCCTCTTTTTCCAGGACGGCGTAAGTACTGATGACATCTACCCAGAATCCACAAGCGCGACGGACCGCCGGTCACAAAACATCAACTGGAATATGTCTTCCGACGTTATGGAGAAGCTGAAGGCACCTGGGTAGGTGACAACTTTATCCTGACCCGCTCTCTCCCAACCTTCCTATCCCGTAGGAACAAGTATCAACTGCGATTATTTAGCACATCCTCTATTTTCTTTGCCGGTACCAACACGTTCAGGACCAACCTCCTTCCGTGTCCGATTGAATTTCCCCCTACATGTGAAGTCCGCGTGAACAACGTCCAAATAACAGCGAATCTCAAGGGGTTGAAGAAAAAACCCGGAACTGCTCCCCCACCAGATATCACCAAACTTTGTCGGATAACGGGATCGAATAGGGTAGAAATGGTGTATGTGAATAGCCAGCAACCCGTACAGTCCAAAGTTCGTATGACTCTTCCCTTATCGTGGCGCAGGGCTGAACTCTTGTCTTAGAAATACTACATCGTTGTTATCCTGGTTGAAACGACGACCATCGACGCTCTCGTTGAAAATCTCAAAACGCAACATCGTCGCAGTGCCCAAGATATCCAACAGAAAAGTAACCCATCTGTCGCTCGTCGTGAACCACTTCTGACTGGACAAACAACAGTGCGTCAAGCTCTTTCAGACGACGACGATATCATTGCCGGGCCACAGAAGATGTCTTTGAAGTGTCCTGTGAGTATTATTCTCAAAATTATGGATACAGATCTGATCACTCTTCTCCTAGCTGACATTCGTCCGGATATCTACGCCTTGTCGTTCATTTAAATGCGTTCATCCTCAATGTTTCGACGCGACTTCTTGGTTCACGATGATGGAGCAAACCACAACTTGGCTTTGTCCTGTATGCGAGCGAATACTGGATCATAGAGACCTTATTCTCGACGGGTACGACCCTTACTACTTCCCGACAAAACCGCCCTGATCAAAAACATTTAGCTACTTCGAGGAGATACTACAACAAACACCTGAGAGTGTAGAAGATGTTATGGTCGAAGCCGATGGCCAATGGCACACTACGGACAACAAGTATGGATCAGCCGAATGGAAAGCCGCACATACACCGCCGGTTCCCGTCAGGAAAGCACCACCGGAACCTGAAATCGCTTCCCGAGTAGCAGCTACCCTCAATGGCACTGGACAAACCAACGGGAAGGGAAAGGCACCCGACGTCGAAATCTTCGTGCTCGATTCTGACGAGGACGAAGAGGAGGGACGTGTGAAACGAGAACTGTCGCCGTCCTACGCATCGTCTGCGAGGGAATCCTTCGACGGCCACTTGCCCGGAACACGAAGCGACTCGCAATCTATAAGCGGGCAAGTTATCGACCTAACATTGGACAGCTCTGACGAGGACGACCAACCGGTCTCAGCGAATGTGTATGGTAAACGTAAAGCCGCAGACGCAGAACTTGATAGCATTGCGGTAGCCGAGCCTATATGGAAAAAGGGGAAGATTGATCCTTCGTCCCGAATTCTGCCTGCTCCGCGAGGCGGCTTAGGCGTGGCACCGCTCCAATTGCATACACCGCCGTTGAGTAGCGGCACTCCGACGTCCGGCCCCCTTGGAAGTCGATATACGTCGTCCTTTCAGAATAACACTCTTCCACCACCTACTGCCTTTTACAGCAGAGGCGGTCCGCCGAATGCATCGTTGCAACTCCCGCCTCTTCCCACCACATTCACCCCGAGGTCAGCGTCGCAGAATCCGCGCTGGCCCGCATAGTGGCCCTTATTTTTTGCAGTAATACATACTCTAGAATAGCCTACATAATCGACATGTACTTGTTAATGACACGAAGGATGAAGAAAGAGCCTTGCGGACTGTCGTGATTGGTGCCAAGTGGTCGCGTGCGAGTGATTGGTCCGACTGTGGTTGGTCTTGGCGGCAGCGGTCGTGCCGGTGAGTAGGGACCGAGCGGAGTTTCGAGTGATCCGGTGCTACCCGAAATCCTTTTGACGCGAAGTTTTTCGCCAATTGCTCTTTCCACATCCCTCTCCACCTCCACTCACTTTCCTCTCCCTTCCTCCCAAAAATGGCTGACGTCAAGAGGACAAAGACCCCCAAGGAGTTCGCTGGTTAGTGCCGTGCTCGTCGTCGTTGTGCGCGTGCTCATCATTCGTCTTTAGTGGACTTCCTGATGGGTGGTGTCTCCGCTGTAAGATCAATTACTATGCGCGCTTGTTCCCCTCTCACTTCGCTCTTCAGGCTGTCGCAAAGACCAGCGCTGCTCCCATTGAGCGTATCAAGCTTCTGGTCCAGAACCAGGATGAGATGGTTGGTTTCCTGGTCGTCTACGTTGGAGTCTTATTGACACGTCACGCGCGTTCAGATCAAGCAAGGTCGTCTAGCTACCCCCTACAAGGGCATCGGCGATGCCTTCACCCGCACGTACAAGGAAGAGGGTCTCCTTTCCCTCTGGAGAGGGAACACCGCCAACGTCATCCGTTACTTCCCCACCCAAGCCCTGAACTTCGCCTTCAGTTAGTCCTTTTTTAGCGTGCTTCTGTCGCGTTCTGACATCATTTCCAGAGGATTACTTTAAGTCTTTGTTCGGTTTCAAGAAGTCGGAAGGTTACTGGAGATGGTTCGCTGGCAACGTCGCTTCTGGTGGTGCTGCTGGTGCCTCGTCTTTGCTCTTCGTCTACTCGCTCGACTACGCCCGTACCCGCCTCGCCAACGATGCCAAGTCAGCGAAGGGTGGAGGAGCTCGTCAATTCAACGGTCTGGTCGATGTCTACAAGAAGACCCTTGCCTCTGATGGTATTGCTGGTCTCTACCGTGGCTTCGTTCCCTCCGTCGTTGGTATTATCGTTTACCGCGGTCTCTACTTCGGTGTCTACGATTCGCTCAGTACGTGGCATTTCTTTTGCCTCGTTCTGATACCGGATTAACTTTGTTCCGCAGAGCCCGTCGTCCTTGTTGGTGCTCTTGAGGGTTCGTTCTTGGCGTCCTTTGGTCTCGGATGGGGTGTTACCATTGGTGCTGGTCTTGCTTCCTACCCTCTGGATACTATCCGGTAAGTTATCAGCCCCCACCAGGTTTCGTGCGAAAAGCTCATATTCCTGTTAGTCGTCGCATGATGATGACTTCTGGTTCCGGTGTTAACTACAAGTCCATGTTTGATGCTGGTTCTCAAATCATTGCTAAGGAGGGCACCAAGTCGCTTTTCAAGGGTGCTGGTGCCAACATCCTCCGTGGTGTTGCTGGCGCTGGTGTGTTGTCGCTCTACGACAAGCTCCAGGAGGTCCTCTTCGGCAAGGTCTACTCTGGTGGCTCCGGTTAAAAAGTGGATTGATCCATTGAGAGGGTTAGAAGCCTACGCATTATATACATTTATTACGCATAGACTTTCGTTTTCTTTTGTTATCATCGGGTATGGCGACAATACACTATACCCAGGCCAACGAATATCAGTAGAGCAGAGAATACCTAATCATTGCTTTCCTGGACACCTTTTCGTGTGTAGTGAATTGACAGGTCTGGGCCTGCTGTCTTATCTTGAGCGCATGACAGCCGAGTCAACCCCTCTCATTCATGCCACATTGACATGGCGGTTCTTCGTGGTCTGACTCCAAGTGTTACAGGGCCATTCCGTCGTCGTCTTTCCTCGTCAGCCCACAGCCATGCTCTTCGACTGCCTAATGTGCCGCTCGATGTTCATCCCGAAGTAGAGGACGCCCTCGCCCATAACATACCGGTTGTGGCTCTTGAAACCGCTCTTGTAACCCATGGCCTTCCTTACCCAGATAGCCTTCAAGTTCCTCTTGCTCTCGAAGAGATTGTCAGATCGACGGGTTGTATTCCTGCAACCATCGGCCTCATCGAAGGACGCGTCAAAATCGGCTTGGAGAGACATGAACTGGGCAGATTGGCACACCGCCAAGAGAGACCTGCAAAGATATCTCGACGCGACATCGCTGCAGCCATTGCAAGTGGGAGGGATGGAGGTGCGCCAGATTGACTTGCCTATCGCCGGTCATTCATACCGAGCGTCTACAGGTACTACTTGCAGCGCGACCCTCGTATTCTCTGCCCTAGCTGGTATCAAGGTAAGCTCTGCCTTTCATGAACACCCAGCATTATCCAACGATGTGTTCTCTCAACAGGTCTTTGCCACAGGAGGGTATGCTATCTCTCCTGCGATATTTTCCTTTCCTTTAAATAACATCGGTATATCAGCCTCGGGGGTGTCCACCGTGGCGGGGAGAAGTGTAAGGATATAATCCCTGAAATGAAAAGCACGATCTAACTACCACCGTTCTCGAATAGCCCTGGATATTTCTGCGGATCTGCACGAATTGACGCGCTGCCCAGTTGGTCTCGTTTCTGCTGGAGTTAAATCTATTCTAGACATCGGCAGGTGAGTGTTTGGGCTGGCTTCAAATTCAAGTCTTTGTAGCAAAACTGAACCTCTTATAGGACGCTCGAATACCTTGTAAGTCTTCCTGGCTGATTATTTGCCCACGTTTCTCGGACTGCGTCAGGAAACGTTGGGCGTTCCGGTACTGCCTTATGGGAAATCACGAGAGTTTCCTGCTTTTTTCTCTCGTCGCAGCGGCTACAAGGTAAGTGCATCTATCGTCGTTTTCCATCGAATCTCATCTCGTCAAATACAGGTCCCTTGGCATGTGGAAGACCCTCAAACAGCGGCAAAGATTCTTTGTAGGGTCCACGTTCTTTGGATGCTGAGGACGGTTCACCTAGCCAAATCCCCAGACACTCAGGCACAGCTTGGGATGCAAAACGGAGCACTGATTGCGGTTCCCATCCCCGAAGAATATGAAAAGCAAGGCGAGAAGATCCAGCGCATCGTGGAACGTGCCATCAAAGAATCAGAGGAGAATGGCATGAGCAAGTCGGGCAACGACGCTACTCCTTGGCTTCTGGACAGGATTGCGAAACTCAGCGAGGGTAAATCTTTGGCTTCTAATATTGCTCTTCTCAAGAACACAGCTCTTGTTGGTAAGTTCGGGTCTGTGCCCTTGGGGAATGATACACCGACCGCTACGGTTTGTAGGGGGACAGATTGCAGTCGAGCACCAAAAACTTGTCAACGAAGGGGTCAGTAAAACATGTCAATTCTTTCTGGTATCCGTCATGAAGTATTTGCATGGCTTGCCAGATTTACGGCCCAAGTGAGAAAACGGTTGCAAGGCAGTCGTCTGGAAAGCCTGCACGTCCATCCTCCGACTCGGAATCCAAGAAAGCGAGGCTTACCCACCCCGTGAGTTCTTCATGTCAACGACCTAGTCCTCTAATCTCCCACGCATACATCAGGCTACAGCGAATGTCGTCGTCGTTGGCTCTGCAGCGATAGACATCACCGCTCAAGAATTGCCTAACCAGAATGCTGCCCTGGCCGTCCATTCGACTGCTCCGGGCCACGTCAAAGTGTCACTGGGCGGAGTGGGTCGCAATATTGCTGAAGCCTCTCATCGGGTGATGAAATCCAAATACCCTGAACTCTCCTCGGTCCTTGTATCAGCAATTGGCAACGACGTGTTTGGCCGCATTCTCGAAGATGAACTCGTTGAATTTGGCATGCGAACAGACGGTCTCATTAAGGTGGATGCACCTAGCGCAGTTTGCAATATGGTGCTGGATAGCAAAGGAACATTGGTTGGTGGAGTAGCAGACATGGGGATCACTACCAGAATGACAGCTGAGGCGGTTGGAATCTATTCTTTCCCATCTTGGATTATTTGCCTCATCCGACCTCTTTGCAGATCATCCCAGAGATCCAGAAACACGCCCCTTCCATTGTCGTCTTGGATGGAAACCTCCCACTCGACACAATACAGGCGCTCACTGCTCATTGCTATGATCACACTGTCAAGGGTGAGTCTCTGAGTGTCCTCATCACCAAAGACCATGATTATTGACATCACACAGTTCTCTTGTAGGTCCAACGAAATGCCATAATACAAACGATAGCCTAATATAAATGCACCAGCGAACCAACATCAACTATTAAATCAACGTCCATACTCCCTGCAATCGCTGCCAATCTCCAGAAAGATCCATCGAGACCACCGGTTGACTTTTGCACCCCAAATCTCCTTGAGCTCTCCCGGCTGTTCGAAGCAGCAAGTTCAGAACCATTTTCTCTCATGGATCATCCTGTTTGGTGGTCGGTGATTGATGGGCTAGGCTTGAGTTCCGCTTTCAACAATGATATCGAACAATTGGCACGGAGACAAGCGTCTGACGAAAAGTCCGGAGGAAGCCTAGCTTTCCTTGTCCAAGATGGAGTCATCCAACAGGCTGTTCAACTGCTCCCATTCTTCCGGCACCTCGTCATTAAATGTGGTGATTTGGGTGTCCTTGTTGTCATGCGGATAGCACCAGAAGATGCTAGCAGTTCAGAATGGGCTCAAGAACGCAGCAATCCCCTCCAGAGACATGTCGTTGTTGCAACGAAATCAGGGGAAATCATCGTTGTTCAACACTTCCCATCCCATCATCTCGATGTCATTACCAATGTGACAGGAGCGGGTGATTCCTTCGTCGGGACATTGCTGGCAGCTTTGGCAAAAGATTTGAAAGTTCTTTATCATCCAAGACAGCTCCAAGATACAATAACCACCGCCCAGAAAGCAGCAGGATTGACCCTGCAAGTCGACTCTGCAGTATCTCCATTACTCTCCCAGATAGGGCAGGTATAACGGAGAGCTGCCGATTGATCATGCGAAGATGTCCTGCGCAAGGGGGCCGACTTGGACGACTTCCCGTGCTCGACGACGTTCTTCCTTTTCAGCCGCAGCAAGGAGCTTCTGGCGTAGCTTGATAGTTTTCTTGTAACGTGCCTATTTAAATTGGTTTTATCAACGAGGAAGATTGCAATCCAATCACCAACAGAGCGCACCTGTGATCCATTTCGGAGACGAGTAATGATTGTGGCAGCATCTCCTTTATTCATAGAGTCGATGAAATCGCTCCCCTTGTCTTTGCCAAGGTGGGCCAGGGTCTTCTCCCAACGCTTCCTAATCATGTTTTTCTGAGCATCGCTAGCGGGTTTCTTACGCCATGGGGCAGATCGGTGAAGACTTTACCATCATTCAGTTCTATGTTCTTTCTTTTTCCGAGAGGGGAGGTACTTACCCTGTAGTCCCACTATTTGGAAAAATGCGTTGTGCGTATGTATCACAGCCTCGAACAGCCTCTGATAGACTTTCAGCCGTCAAAATCTGTCGGCTTAGTAGGTAAGGGCTTCGGCCTGGATTTGCGTCGAAATTGGCGGGCGTATATCGAGCGAAAAATCGGTTGTCTTCCTCTAGGAGACAGGGATGAGATGCAATTTCATAGAAAGTTGCTTTTCCACAAACCGTCGAAATCAATCCGAATGAAACCTCTGGAGAGGAGCTCGAGGACATATATGTTATCTCCACAGGATACCCAGGCATATGGACTCAGGGCATTGATATGATTGGGTTTATCTGAAGTTTCGCTCACGGAGAATGGATCGTCATGCTCCACATATGTGATGGATGCTGGATATGGAACAGATGGCGTCGAGGACAAGGATGGCGGCTCAATGCCACGGAGCCCATCGATCTCCGCCGCCCGCCTCTCAAGGTCTTCCGTTGTCATATCTAAGAGCAAGACGATCAGCCACTGAATGCAAACATGAAGCAAGTTACGAACTTTCGAGGGCCATTTCGTTGGGATCTAACCCAAAGAGGGTTGGAATAGAAACAACACCGCCGACTCTGGAATTGGTATCAACGAAATCGATGATGTGGCAATCTTCCTTGTGCGTTTGCGGAGAAAGTCTCATGCCACGGCCAATCTATCATAACAATTGATTTAATAGACACACATTCCGGGATTAGACCCACCATTTGAGCGAAAATGTTTCTTGATCTGGTTGGACGAGCAACAAGGACGCAGTCGATATTTGGAATGTCAGCCCCTTCCGTTAAGATAGCTGGAGCACACCGTTACTGCAGTGACTGGGAAATTTCAAAAGAATACTGACCACAGTTGACGAGAACAGGGAACTCTCCAGCTTTGAATGCATCGACCAGAAGTTTTCGTTGAGCAGCAGGAGTCTCAGCGTATAGGAACCTTGCGTCGATGCCGTAGCTACGGAAGGCCTGAGTCAAGGCTCGTACATGGGCTACATCCACGCAGAATACAAGCGTTGATTTCCGCGTGGCTAGAAGAGAGTAAGCACACATTACGTCGAGAGCAGATTGAGCAACCTTACAGCCTGCGCGGTCAATCCAAGCCTTTACAACTACGTCGTTCATAGTGTCAGTGTTGATGACTTGTGAGAGACTGGTGGGGTTGAAATCTCCATTACGAGAGTTTACCGTGACATCCTTGAGGTTTAAGTTGGCCTTCACAGACGTAAATGTAACTTTGCAAAGCCTAACCGTGTTCCGGTGAGTCAATGGTGGGAATGTCGAGGCCAGTCCTTACCATTGCTCTTTAATCATTTCTAAGAAGTCCTGGTGGTAGACGATGCTCTCGAAAACAGAGCTCAATGCTACGCCATCATGACGCCCGAAGGTAGCAGAAAATCCAATGACAGGAACTTTATGGCTTCCTTGTGGAAATGATTCCAAGTTCTCCGGATGCCGGATATCAGGATGAAAACGAGAGAGTAAGGTCCGATACCTAGGGAGGGACGTCAAGATTACCATGTTTTTGGAGAGAAATTAACGTACGAAGGAGCGGCAGCATGATGCGCTTCATCCACAATAATAGCCTTCAGCTTTCGAGGGTCAATTTTGAAGAGGCGCTCTGCTCTGCTCAGAGTCTGGTACGTTGCAACAGTCCTAGGAAAATAGAGTCGGCATAAAGAAGATTGACATTGCCGTCTGCACATACACGTCTGCTGATCCTGAAGCCTGATGCTTCGCTCCTTGCTCAATTTCCACCGACCAATCTGGGAAAAGACGCCTGACTTGGTCGGCAGATTGTCGCGCTAGTTCGATGCTGTTGACAACGATAAGAGACCTGGTTGCCTCTTCGTTCTCAGGTGGCGAGGTAATTCGTGAAAGGAGTGAAATGAAGACGGTGGTCTTCCCTGAGCCAGTAGGTAGCGAGACGCCTATGCGTGATGAACCGTTGCTCAGCGCGTCGATGCAAGCAGCCAAACATCGTTCTTGATAAGGTCGTAGGACGACAGGAGCGTGCGTGGAGCTCTTCCGAATTGAGACGCGCCGGAAGAGCATTGGAATACTACGTGGTGCAAACATTGCATCGGTGATGGTGGTATAAAGGCAAGGTAAGATTATTTAGCCAAGTGACCTCATTGATGGACGCGTCCTGCGACGGCATGATCTGTGACTCGCTGAAATCATCTCTTGTTTGTCTAGTGCCATGGCTTTAACCCCAGGTGCATCTGTAGATGCTGCTATTGAAACTCCACAAGCAACCTGTGTCCTCACTTATGATAGTCTTGATGTCGACGCCATAATCGCCAGTATTCAGGACGATACAGCAGGCGCGACTGCCATCTTTATTGGTTTCTGACAATATTCCTCTTTAAACGCTGATGTTCGTTAACGCCTGGGATTCGTAGGGACAACACGCAATTCTTTCAAAGGCAGGAATCGTTGAACAACCTTATCAATTCTAGCCAATGCCCGTCTGCAGGAAAGAATGTAACAAAGCTCGAGTACCAGGCTTACTCGAAAGTCGCTATCAAAACCATGTCCACCATCGTCAATAGTGCCATTGGATCTGTAGCCCGGTCACAGCACCAGCCAGCGTCCGTTAATGTTCCGTCCATCATCCGTTGTGCGGTTCATCATCGCCTTGGAACAGTGCCAGTCGGAGAGCCATCCATCGGTGAGTTCTCCTCTCCAGTGCTTACGCCTGGCCGACGCTCCGCAGTGATCGCAGTGTCGTCGCCTCATAGGAAGGAGGCCTTCGTCGCGTGTGAGGAGATCCTAGAGGAGGTGAAGAAGAAGGCGCAGATATGGAAAAGAGAATACTACGTGGGTGAGGATGAAAATGAAGCGGAGTGGAAGGCGAATACGTAGTGGGAGGTATCTAATTCCACGAAGTGATGCTGATTGTAGGTGAAGATGACTGATACATGTGGTGGTAGAATGGTGCAGGCTTAACGTCCCGGGATGGCAGAATGGCGTCGGAAACAGTTCCAAATGCGATGCTGTTTAATCAATTTTCCATTCCTTCTCGACGATATCATCCTCGGAGCTAACTGTGAGCTCTATGGACCAGAGGACAAGGGTGAAGAATATGTTCATCCATCTCCACCAAATCTGCGAGGAATGATCCAATACTGTTTCACGCATACACATTAGGACGTAGCCATAGAATACAAAAGAAATTTTGGACATACGCAGAAGGTGGGAGTAAACGGTTATGAATATCGATTGGCGGTAAGTCAAAAGTATCTGAGTCAGTGTTGACGTCTAAATGGGTTGAGTGCGACCTCGTAAGCATGCATTGTGAACGGCGCTTACAGGTCTGTCATTCCAAGTTGAGTCCACGCCCTCTTCAGACTCCCAACTGTCCGCTCCAATAGTAGGCAGAATTCTTGAGGCAAAATGAAGGATAGTAAGTCGGTATAGGAGCGCGATAAGGACTGGTTTGGGAAGCGTGTTTATCACGAAGTTGAGCAGAGTTCGAAAATGCGGCATGAGATTAGGCAAAAGAGGGGCACTACATGGCAAATATCAGCACATTATCATTCCAACGCTTCAGAAGGCCACTTACTAGGATGATGCCGGATCTGTGAAGGACTTCTGGTCAAAGCCACATAGCCAAACATTGTATGCGAGGAAAAGGGCTAGTCCAGACGATTCGATTATGTTCGTACGCCGCAGGACAAACCCGATGATGGTTATAAATAAGAAGGCAGTGAGGGCAACCCCGAGGAGAGTGGAAGATAGAGGCGAGGAGGCAGCTGTGGGATACGACTATAACAGGTCGCGTGAGCGATAAAGGCGTCAATACTTGCACGCGAGGACTCACATTAACAATCCACCAAGCCGACGCAACATATGCCACAGCGGCTGATATCAGCAGTCCAAACTGATAGGCCTCCCCCCTCCCAACTAAGCGCCGTCCTCCCTGACCCAACTTCTGTACGACCAGCAAGCTCGACATTCCTTCCATTACGATGAAAAGAGGGCCGGACATCGTGAGCAGCGTTCCCCACCAATCTGCAGCCGTGAGAAGGCATGGGTGAGGCGATGACGAGAATATGTTGAAGCACAGGAGGAGGAGGAACGGGTGCATTGGGACTTGGAGCACCGAAAGGGCATTTGAAGCCCATAGGAGGCTAATGGTGCCATGGATGACGGAATGTATCGTCAGGAAAAGTGAAAGTAGAAGGAAGGCCTGATTGGAGATAGTCGCAAGCGTCAAAGGAAGGAAGATCAGAATCTGGAGAGCTGTCGATAACCTGAACAACGAAATTAGCACTTTGAGGACGGTGGAGTAAGTTTTGCACACCTTGCTGTGTTTTGGACGGCGCTCCAGATGAACCATGGGTTCAGCATAACTTGCTACGGATGATGAAAGGACGTTGACGTCGTGGTCGTCGCAGTGGTGGGGTCCAAAGGAGCGTTGAACTGGATGGTGCGATACCACTGCTCACCGTCATGCGCAAGCGACTTCAAAGCAAAAATGCTGGGTTTGGCGCTTCCCCGTGATCTGACCAATTGCGGACCGGACTCGGCGCTTGCTTGAATCCCTCAACTAGATACTATAGACTCGTCGTTGTTTCCTCAATACGCAAAGGTTGGGATTATATGGAACATTTATAAACCGGCGGGAAAAGGTAGAATATAGAACTATGGTAGTATACAGTGATCTACGAAAACAAAACATGGGCAACATGTGCCGCACTGAGCCGAAGAAAACACCAGCAAGGATCAACAACAGTGGGTCTGAACAATATGTCTGCCAGCCTTCTGCGGAGCATCAATAGGTGCTATACTCTTCCGAGGGTTAAGTAGTCCCTTCTCCTGCGCAAATTCGGTGGCCCGTGTTAACGCAGCTGGATCGGAAGGTGGCACGTAGAATTTATCCTTGATGGGTATTTGGAGGAGGTTCATCTTTGGAGTAATAACTACCATGTGGTTGGTCTTGATTTCCATCCAGTCGGCTGAAGCAAAAAGAGTGAGAAAGGTGGGTTTTGGAAGACAGGGTTAAACTTACCTCTTTCGAAAGTTAGAGGTTCGCTTGCAATCTACGAGATGATAAAATACCATCAATTCGCTTCAAGCTGGAAGCACGATGAGACACACCATGATGATATTCTCTCTCTTGTCAGCCTTCGACATCTTGTAGTGGCCGCCTTCGGCATATTCACTGAAAGCAGTACCAGAAGAAAACCACTGACGTGGAGTGAAGTAAGCAATTGAAAGTCTCTCTCAAGTCCGACCGCAACGTACTAGAGAAGCTGCTTCGTCTTTCTTGGAAGAAATGTAACGAGTGACCACGACGCTTTCGCCGTCTGTGACACAGAAATTCATGAGGCTAGGCTACATAAACGACATGTGAGCGTCAATTCGGGACGGACGACGTGAAAGCAATGGGCCCACCTCGGTAATGCTAAATTCATCGGCATAATCGTTTAGTGTTGTGATGGTCGCCTCCATAGCCCTCCGCAATGTTTCCGGCGTGAACAACCGAGCATTGCAATCAGGAAGCTGGACCTGCAGATCAGACTCCGAAGCAGACTCGAAAATTCTAGGCACATACTTTCGAGAGGAACAGTGCGAATGCCCACTCCGAATCTTAGCCGGAATCCGTGAGCTCTGGCTGCCAGACCGAGCCAAAGAGAGTAAGGCATACCGGTATTTCCTTGGACCATATCAAACGCGACATTTGGCAAGTCTTGTTGTAGTCGACGCTTTATCCGATGGAAGTCGGCGATCCCACCATTATGCATGAACTAGTCCATGAGGGGTAAGATTGCTGAGAGAAGCGGGACATTCGGAATACACATGCCATGAGTTTGCCATGAACGAAGGGGTGACAATTGTCAAGAGATAAAGAGCCTGCCGTCGTCGCGCGAACATGACCACTGTGTGATTGAGCTTGAGCATAAGACAACGATGAGCTCAACAACGTACAAGACTAAAGGCGATTTGATCTTCTCAGCCAACCGAATCAGGTTCACGTTGTTCCATGCCTGACCATTATCGTCAGAAGATGTGGGAGCAGCACAAGGGCTGGACTCACCGGCGTTACTGAGGTGAAAATGCATGGTTGACTACCAAGTTCTTCGTCGTATACAGAATCATACCATCCTACGGGAAAGCCCTTTCAGGATAATAACGCACTGCATAGAACCGCTACGCGCACCGACACCGAAGCCATCCCCGTTCATAGGTCTCCGCCGATCGAGTCGTAAACGAGAGTCGAACGCCTGGTTGATGATAGAATGGCATGGTCGAGTGAGAAGCTGGAAGCAGAAGCCATCGCGTGAGCAGGCTGCCTGAAATAGGCATGGGTCTTCGTACATGGGACAATTGAACAGGAGAAGTGCCCTTATAGATCACGAAGCGGCACATCGGGCGGAGAGGGCAAGGAGGGGTAGTAGCAAGCGCTGAAGAGGGAGAACGGGTCCAAGTGTGAATGCGCCTAGCATTATGACTCTTGACTTCCAAGAAATGAACCGTGACGATGGCAGGGGTGCCTCAAGATTACGTGCGATCGCGTGAGCGGAGGCAAACCCTCCGTGTTCGGGGTTCGGTTTTGCGATGAAAAAAAGCCTAAGTTGTCACTTCTCGGCCCAAAGCCGGCCAGTAGGTACTCTACAACTACAATGCTGCTACATAGATGAAACGCGAAACACTATTGTGGACACCTTTGGCCAACGGGCCTTGACAGTCTGTGGTCCAGTTGCTTAAGGAGCACTGTCCAGTTGTGATACATAAACAACCAAAGACCCTGAAGGCTTCATATGCTAAGTAGTCTTACCTCAACATTTCTCCGGGCTTCTGAGAGCTACGTACCAAGACCACATTTTTATACTAAACTCAGTGTTATTGGAGCTTGATTGCCAAAGCACCGAACGATTGAAGAAACATGCCATATCTGCTCAGGCCTGAAGGCTGAGCATCGTTGGCCCGAATTCGCCCCTTTATTAAAGAGGTTGGACAGTCTTCAGACGGAGCATCTTGGTCTTGTTCTGTGATATATAGTAGTGCAATGAGGTGTACATGGGAAATTTCTAGATGTCCTCCGGACCATTACTTCCGGGTATTAACTGACAAGACTTTGTTAGGCAGTCGCGCTGTAGAATGTCAATGAGCGGCGCACCATTGCTATGTTACTTCCATTTAAGAGCGTTTGCAGGAGCTTAGTCTTCTTCACCCCTTGTGTCGTGATCTCGCTGAGAGGGAACACAAAGTTTTCACTATGCGAATGGATGAGGAAGATCGGGTTGGACGTACAACTCTGTAACATCTTCCAATACGATGTCTAACGTCGCGCGTCAATTGGCGGCCACTGCTCGATAGAGCAAGAGATCGATACTTACTGACGTAGTCGTCAAATCCAAGGAGTGTTCCTGTGAATTCACGCTCGCTCTTCATGATTACCCAGATTTTGGAGCCAATACAACGATCAATGAGTTCTTGTATGGGTTAGTTCAGGATGTTCAGGAAGAGTGGTGACGACGGTCCAACGATACCTAGAGGAAGGATTTGTGAAGCCATGTTTTTTTGACGATCTGTCACTTTCAAGGGGGTTGTGGTGGGTCGTGGTGGAAGGACACTTAATTACGAAGATTCAAGCATCTGTGCCACCACTGACCACTGACCAGGTTCAAGCGCGTTGTCCCAATGAGTGACCCAGTCACGTTATGCTTCCCTGCCGCACAAGTTGAAGGCATATTCAAACTTATCAAAGTCCATGAAGTTTTTAGCTATTTATCTTACTGGGAGAGGAAAGACAACCAAGAATAGAAACAAGTATTATTCTGAAAATTTCTGAGCAAGGAAAATGTATGGGAAGCTGTGGCTATCTCTGAGGGGACTATAGACTTGGGAAGACCTTGTAAAAAGGAGAAATTTGCTTATACAGTGGAGCACTTACGTTACGAGTCGTGAATCATAAATGACCAACGAAGAAGACCAGCGATCACTGCCCAAAGCTGAATCCTCCTTGAGGAGCATTCATATCGCTATGGAACTGAGGGAACCAGTCAACTGAACAAGCCGAAGAAAGAAACAGACAGGACGTACAGCAAATGCCCCGGATGCATCAACATTAGGTGCACTGATGGAAGGATCGACGTCTTCTTCGTCAGGGAAGTACTTGTCCATGATATTGAACGCCTTCTTGTAAATCTCCAGGTTGTCGTGTTGCTGGAGGTTGTGGATGGTGATCATGCCACCAGCCTCTTCCACATACAACGCGTATTGATTAACGGCACCGGGTCCAGCAGCCAACTTGTCTTGTTCACCGATCTTAAGAATGTTATCCAGGCCATCGAGCGCTACTTGAATGATCTTGTTGTCCATCATGGTCAGAAGATCACACAGGGGCTTGATGCAACCCTGAGAAACGAGGTAGCGAATTTGCGAAGGCTCTTGGAGACCACCGGAGGTTGCATTAGAGATTGCCCAACAAGCTTCTTTCTTTGTCTTGAAATCAGCATTCTGCAAGATATTGATGAGGGGAGGAATGATGTTGGCGTCGATGACGGCCTGGATTTGAGGAGGAGACCCAGCAGTGATATTGGATATCGTCCAGCAGGCTTCCTTGCGAATACCGTCCTTCGGCGACGAAAGAAGCGAGAGAAGTGCAGGAAGGGCTCCAGACGCAATGACGACCTGAGTTTGAAGGTCATCGCCCGTTACTATATTTCCGACCGAACGAAGCGCAGGAGTTTGGACGGACGTCGATTGATGCAAAAGGAGGTCAACAAGACGCCTGCACACCCCAGATTCGATAACCGCCTGGATCTTGTCATTTGATCCATCGGAAAGGTAGGAGATGGCCCAGCAAGCATCAATCAGAATTTCGTCATCAAGAGAATAAATGAGCTTGGTGAGGACAGTCAAAGCTGGAGAGATCTACGAAGCGTTGAGAATCTATGAGATAGATAACGAACAGTCACATCACATACCAGTTCCCAGTCAGGCTGGGGAGATTTTCCGCGACAGAAATTGCTGAGGGTCCAAGTCGCATTCCGGAGCATGCTGAGTTTGTGATTTTCACTCAACAAAGTAAGCAGAGGCCTCAACGCTCCTTGTTGAAGGACGTAATCTCGGCACGTGGGGCTGTCACCTGCAATATTGCCCAAAGCCCAAACAGCTTGTTCGCGCACATCCAAGACTGGGGAAGAGAGAAGATTGATGAACTCCGGAACAGCTTGAGCATTGATCACGACTTGAGTATGTTCAGCGGTACCAGATGCGATGTTGGTCAAAGCCCAAGCAGCCTCGAACTAATAGAAGATGAAATACAACAAAAACGAACAAAGCAGATCACAAACCTGGAGCATGGATGCGCCATGCTTCAGAAACTCTACAAAACGAGGAACAACGCCACACTCGATTACACGTTCGATTGGAGGGTTCTTCTCTTTTGAAAGAAGCTTGCGGAACTTAGTTGTCGCATCGAGTTGACGTTCGGCATCGTCGGAGAAAACACCCGAAATCATTTCTTCTGCCAGCTGGGAAGACATCGGACTTGAGAAACCCGTCATCGGAGACAAAGCATTAGTGTAACTCACAGGAGGATCCCAACTGCCACCACTAATTTCCTCATCGGAGTCAGGTCCAACAGAAGGCAAAAAGTTGCGTCGTTTTGAGATGTTCTCCTCCCTCTTCTGTCTCCTGATCTCGACTTGTTGCTCCTCTCGACGACGTCTAAGGTCATCTTGCTTGAGGGCGCCTTTGGCCTTGTAGGCTAGATGAGGAGGACGCGTTCAAAGAGGATCGCGATTGACATTGATAGAGGGCTTACCATCCCTCCGAGCCTTCATAGTGCGGGACTCTGTGGCATCCATGGTTGTCGCGTTTTACTGGTAGAGTGGCACGGGCGACGTGAACGATGAAAAGAAAGAGATAGATTCAACTTGGGCGCAATCTGCAAAGTTCTTGAATATGTGACTCGTGGTCCCGTGATTATGGCCACAAACATGTCACACAACCAAGTGTCACTTACATGTAAACGTTAGATGTTAACCTTTCACCGTCAGCGACGGACAGAAATCTAGCGCGCTGAGGCAGGCAGCTCTCGTCAAGGCATTAACCATACAACCTCCGCGACTCCAACGGGTCTGCTCGGCTAGCTTTCGTCGCTTTTACGGGGCCCATGCGTTTCCCCTTCAAACTTTCAACTGCGATTCGTATTTCAAAAGCGTCACCAACTCGGAAGACAGAAAAGTACTCTGACAACAGAGACCCCTGTATTCTCTTCCCCGTCATGTCCCTTGATCCTTCCGCATCAGCAGACAAAATACGAGTCAGGTAGTCCCCACTTAGCCAAGTCGATGAAGTATCGTTGGGAGTCCGATGCCGCCGTGCTCTAGAAGGCTTCGAAATATAATTAGTTCGTCCAAACCCTGTTGTCTCATGCATACCTACATATCGATTCACGGAACCCGCACTACCATTCATCTCAATGGTGGCATTCCGGCCTCGTTTGGTGAGGATGTCCCCGCTCTCAAGTAGTCTTTCAAGCTTCGGAATGCCTCTACACCCGAAACGATCTGCTCTCAGAACTAGTCAATACTTAATCGGAATTTCTTCCAAGCCAAGCGTGGTTAGGCCTCGTTCTACTTGCAATATAGATCCGTCATAATAATCCTCTTGCTCCAGCCTTCAGTCTCCCTCTAATCGTCACCTTCACGGCATTGATTTGCCAAACCCCTAGAATTCGATGACCGATAACCCGCTGGTCTCGCACCAGATCTAATAATAACTGACATCCCAGTTTACTTAGGTCAATACAATAAGTATAAAACCTGGACTATGTACCCCAATCCGCTCCCTAGCCATCCATGGTTACTTACACAACCGCCTTTTACTACGCTCTCTCAGCTTTGGCAGTCTGGTCGCTTCTTCAGCTTCGAAAGAAACGATTCCTGCCATTACCTCCAGGACCTTCCGGCTTTCCCCTCATCGGGAATGTGTATGACATTCCTCATGATTATCCGTGGCATACCTACGCAGAATGGGCGAAGAAATACGGCGATATAATCCATCTAAATGTTTTCGGCCACGAGACTATTCTCCTCAATTCCGCCAAAGCCGCCATCGAGATTTTGGACAAGCGGTCGTCCAATTACTCAGATAGACCAAGAATGGTGTGCTAGGTTTCCTGCATAATGCGTGTGTTCTCTCTGAGAACGACCTATTGCTTAGGTCATGGCTAATGAACTGATGGGGTGGGAATGGGACTTTGCGCACATGCCATATTCCGACATTTGGAGGTAAATTTATGTTGTTTTCTCCACCTTGTTCCTCTTTAACGCGAAAGCACCGCAGACGCCACCGACGAGCTTAGCGTCTCTATACCCTGTACACAAGCAAACGACCATCACTTTGCTCGAACAACTATCGAATTCCCCAGAGCGATTCGTGGACCATATTCGACAGTGCGTCTCTTGCTTTGATGGCATACCTTTTAATAAATTCCATTCCTACAGATACGTTGGTTCCGCTGTCCTTCGAGCAGCCTACGGCTATACGGTGAAGTCTGAAAATGACTTCTACGTTGGTCTGGCGCGTGAGGCGATCCGACCCCTTCTTTTGGTTATCCATGCAGGATCCTACTTGGTCGAATTTCTGCCTTTCCTGCGATATATCCCCGGTATTTAAGGTGCCTTGTTGGTATAACGTGTGTCCTCACGTCATCCATTTTAGCACGGTTGCCTGGGGCTGGTTTCAAACGAATGGCCCAGGATTCGCTGAAGAGTTCTCATGCTCTTCGCGATATCCCCTTCGACAATGTCAAACAAGAAATGGTGAACATGTCTTCCACAGTGGACTTTGTTGTCTGTAGCTTACGCCTCATATACAAGGCGAGTGGATCAGCAGAGCCGTCCTTCGTGAGCAGTAATCTCGAAAAACTCAAATGTTGTGATCGCTGGATGTAACGGAAGAGGAGGTAATCAAGAATTGTGCAGGACTTGTCTATCTTGGTAAGTCCGTGCTTAAAGAATTCGACTGCTGCTCACGACCTATGATAGCTGGATCCGACACAGTAAGACCAGTTCACACCAGAGTGGACGATGCTAACAATATGGTTAGACGGCTTCTCTTCTGCTTACCTGGATGCTCGCTATGGCTCGCTACCTAGAAGTTCAAGCGCGTGCACAATCCGAAGTTGATGCTGTTACCCGAGGATTGCGTTTACCAGATTTCGACGACAGGAACTCCGCACCCTATCTAGATGCCATGATCACTGAAACTATGCGATGGCACCCGGTCACTCCAATGGGTACGTCTTGCTTTTGTCCCTTTTGGTCATGCTGATCTTGGGGAGTTGATAGCGCTCCCTCATCGTGCGATGAGTCAGGACGTTTACGAAGGATATCGTATTCCAGCAGGTACTGCTAGATTTATTTTCGTGTTTTCATTCTTTGAGTCTGCGATTTTGTTTCGATCAGGCACAACGGTGACTGCGAACACCTGGTCTGTTACTTCGCAGTATAGTTTAACTGGACACTGGCTCATGTGGCGTGACTAGGGCCATCCTTCACGACGAAACGATGTACCCCGAACCTTTCGATTTCCAGCCTGAACGTTTCTTACAATCGAAGGATGGCGGGAAAGATGGTGTTTGTCCTGATCCTTTTATTATGGGCGCCTTTGGCTTCGGCAGACGGTGAATTATTTTCACTCTTGCTTGAATTTATTCTGAACACCATACTCTTATAGCATTTGCCCTGGTCGGTATCTCGCTTTGAACTCGGCCTGGATTGCTATCGCTAGTATTCTTTCGCTCTACACCATCTCGAAGTTCGTCGAAGAGGATGGTACTGTCGTCGAGCCGACCGTTGAATTTACAGATGGTCTCGTGAGGTAAAGTCAAATTTCACTACGAGCGCTATAAAAATAATCGATCTTGCAGCCATCCGAAACCCTATAGAATCAAGCTCATCTCGCGACGAGACGTAAACAAAGCCCTTGAGGCTGCAAAGCTGGAAGACTACTAGTCTTCTTATTTTGAGCTAAAGACGCGGTCATTGACCCGATCGCACAATCAATCAATTAACCTTGGACTGGGCTCTTGCAAGCCTTATGGGGAGTATGAACCTAAATCCTCTGAGTGGATAGGCTAGAATCCTGAGTGTTTAACCTTCTGACCCGGGTATCACTCCCGACCACGGTTCATTTGCTCGCCGTATGTCGTCGTGCAGCGGTTCCACCGTACTCTGACATCTGGAGGTGAGAATGTATGGATGTCATGTATGAGACCAATGCTGACCTCCAGTTCCAAGACGCCATCGGAGACTTTTCCGCCAATACTACCAACCACGCAATCTTGCTCCTCAACTTCCTTTCCAGCGATACATCTCAATAATTCTGCTGGAACAATTATTCCACTCTCCGGAGCAATTCTCCGCTCATATACGCCAGTTAGTGTTCTAGACCAAGATCGTCCTTCGAAAGACATACGCGTTCATTGTTTAGATATGTCGGCGCAGCTGTTCTTCGATCATTCTTCGGTTATGAAGTCAAGTCAGCGGACGATTTTTTCATCCAGCTGGCGGAAAGGGCCGTCGAACCCATCCTCAAAGTCATATATGCAGGAGCATATCTCGTGGAATTCCTGCCTTTCCTCTAGTACATTCCGGGTATGACAACTAGCTTGGCTTCCTGGTATGGAATTAAAAAGGAAGGCGAAGGTCTGGTCCAAAGGCACCAGAGAACTTCATAACGCTCTTTGTCGAATTGTACAGACGTCTATGGTGGGTGATCAGTCACCTCGTACATCGTTTGTCTGGTATGCCGAGCAAATTACAGGCTGAGGGGACGGCGAAAGGATGCTTTGTTCGTGATAACCTAGAAATGATCAAGTCTGGATCCGCCCCAGATACATTGAACGAGGAGATCCTGAAGAACTGTGCCGCTGTCTCTTACTCTGGCGAGTATGTCCGCTTGGCCACGTTTCTTATGATTATTTACTTTACTCTATTTTTAATAGCTGGGTCTGATACTTACTGTCAGAAAATACCTTTCCTTTCTAATTTGATCGCTTATCCTGTAGGTTTAGACCGTGGCCCTGTTGCTTTCTTTCGTGCTGGCAATGGCCCATTATCCTGCCGTGCAGGCTCGCGTACAGGCAGAAGTAGACAGCATAACACGTGGATCCAGGCTTCCAGACATCACTGACCGAGAATCTCTGCCTTATGTTGAAGCATTGCTCAGCGGATCGATGAGGTGGAATCCAGTTACTCCTATGGGTATTTAAATTTCCTTTTTCAGTCTTTCAGAACTCTGTCATTAATCGAAAAGTCTGGCCATCCCTCACAGTGCCATTAATGAGGACATTTTATTTCAGCCTTCAGATGCTGTGTAGTTGATGTGTGTCTTATTATTTGATGAGGTGCAACGATCACCCCGAATGCATGATATGAGCGGAGTTGGAGATATTGCCATCAGCCAAAGATATCTGACTCGATGTTTCCTATTTTCTGTACCGAAGGGCCATGCTTCACGAGGAGGAACTGTATCCTAACCCTCTTGGCTTTAAACCAGAACGCTTCCTGAGTGAAGGCGGGAACACCCCTTGTCCTGATCCTACAACCATGGGTGCTTTTGGATATGGTCGCCAGTAGGCCTTGAAGCATGAACATTGAATGCGATATGATATATGGCGAAACTGATGAAATGCTTTCAATGCAGAATCTGCCACGGTCGTCATTTCGCCGCCAATTCTGCGTGGATCGTTATAGCCAGTATTTTATCCACGTATAACATTTCCAAGTTTGTTGATGAAGACGGAGGTGTACTGGAACCTAGGATTGAATATTCCTCCAGCCTCATCAGGTAGTAGGAGCATTCCCCTTCGTCCTTCCTCTTTCGTTAATCTCCCACATACTCGAGTAGTCATCAAAAACCGTTCAAAGTCAGAATCGCTCCCCGTTTTGCGAATACACTGCAGACCATCGAATCAGCGAAGCTAGCGTCTTCCATATAAGGAAGATGGAGTCGAGGTCAAGATGGAAAAATAATAGGGGAAACATTGTTTTATGCCAATAACCGTGTAGGGCTTCCATTCAAAAAGGCAACAATATTTTCCACCGTGTGTTCCCAAAAAACCTAAATATCAGTGTGTTACTTTCTCAGTGAACATCTAAAACAAGGCAACTCTTACTTTGTAATTGGTATCGGCAAGATACCCCGCATGCGGACTCAACGTAACTCGTTCAGCTTTGCGGAGAGGGTGTTCAAAAGGCAATGGCTCAATATCAAAGACATCCAGACCTGCTCCAGCAATGTGACCGTCTTGCAAGACTTCAAGCAGTGCCTCCTCATCCACCAGTGGTCCTCGGGATGTATTAATGAAGAAGGATGTTGGCTTCATGAGAAGGAGATCTTCCTTCGTGATTATGTGCCATGTTTTATCGGAAAGCACGAGGTGCAAGGACACAACATCGCTCTGCTTCATAAGTTCCGACTTGGTTTCCGCGCCGCCAGCAGTCTCGCGTGAGGTTCGGTGACCATGCAATTACTTTCGTGTTGAAAGCTTTAGCTATCTGAAATACCCAGGATAGTGATCAACTGAAGTTTTGTCAAGATTGACACAATGTTACGTGCCTTCGCAGTCATTGTACCGAATCTGCCCAGGCCAATCAAACCAATTGTCCTCCCTGCCAGTCCGAGTGGCATGGTGCTTTGCCACTGAGGATTCCTGGACTTTATGTTGGCATCCTCGACGGTAGTGTACCGGACGGTGGAGAGAATCAAAGCCCAAATATGCTCCAGGGTCGAATTGCCCCCACCGCCGGTCTCAGAAACGACGATGCCTTTCTCCTTAGCATAGGCGGTATCTATACCTCGATTTGCCGGGCCAGTGGTTGCGATCAACCTGCTAGCCTAAGAAACTTAAACTTTAGGAGGTGAAAGTGAAATCCAGACCTTAGCTTTGGAAGTCTCTTGAGTAGAGAGCAAGAGAATTTCGTCCGCTCTCGCATAGCGCATACTACGTCATAGTTCTCCAGCCTCTTCACTAAAGCGTCTTCATCGAGTAACGTATCTCTGAAAACGTCAATGTGAACCCTGCCGTCAAGTGGGGTCCAATCGGCGCTGGTGAGGGCTACGCCTTGATAGTCGTCGAGGATGGCGACGCGTGAGAGGACCATGGTGGTGGGTGGAAGAGAACAACTAGATATACTTCCCACAGCGTGACTAGCAGCCTTGAAAGAAAGCATTACAATGCAAAATGACAAAACCAAAGGAAGCGGGGCCGAAAAGAAACGCAGTTATTATCCATGATTGTGTACAGATAGCGTGATCTATGTATCGTTATCGAAGGGGTACTGAAAATAACACCATGAGAATCAGGATTCATAATGCCGCCGAGAAAACTTACCTCGAATGCCTCCGGTGGTTCAGCCTCTGGGGCGCTTTCGTCCAGAGCAATATGGCGCCCTGTAGGTGCACCGACTGCGTGGCCATTGCCTGGAACATCCACTGGGGGTGCGGGTGGAGGAACTGAGGGAGCCGTCTCGAGTTCTATGTACTCGGCTTCCTCGTTCGGCCGCAGGTCGGTCAAGATGAGAATGCCTCCTCCGCCGGCATACTTCTCTGATCCGAGTCCCAAGGCTGTTGTTGCTGCTGCCTTCCCATTCTTCGAAGGCGTCCTCGTTGATACTGCACGCACAGGTTGATACCTACCATCAGAGGGGAATGATATATAGGACAACTGCGCAGGAGTGACGCGGGAGAAATTAGGCCGTGTTTCGAAGGTGGACTCCAATTTCTTTCTTGACGTTGACGGTTTGCTTTCTTCAGCCAAGTTGGACACAGACTGGATAATGGGCGACACATCTCCATCTTTCGGCGAGCCAACTTCCGTCTTCATTTCGACGTCACCGTCAGCTTCCGTTTTAGTGTCCTACACGTTCATAAGCATTCAGCATATGCAAAGAGAGGGGGAGTATTCACCAGGTCCATATTTTCACCTTCTGCAGCAGCCTTCTTCTTTTCCCTTGCCTTGACCTTTGCCGTTGTTGACAGGACAGCTGTCGCCACCTTTGTGACTGCTTCCTTCTTCGGGGGTTTCGTGGAAGAAGGGTAGGCAAAGAGGCTAGGTTTGGCATTCGAGATATACTCAAATTTGGGAGCCTTGAAGAAGAGTCAGCTTCCAGAACCAAGCTAAGAAGGTCTACAATACCTTAAGATCTCCGTTCAGACCAATGATACCAGTCGGAGAGAACGCCAGGCAAGCACAATGAGCCAGAGGATACCAATACCAGAACTGGCAGAAAAGAACCATTCCAACAATTGCACTAGTATTCGTACTTCCGGCTCGACTTTGCAGGTTGATGGTCACATTCCTGCCACCAGCATCAATGAAGCCTTGGCCAATAGCAGCGCCAAAGCGGGCCATAGGGTCTTCGTGCTTGTCCGAAATCACTTTCGCGTACTTCGCTCGTGTTGGGGCAATGGCAGGAGACGAAGCCTCAGATTGCTCAACAAGGATCATGCCCAATGCAATAAATGCTCCTTGACGAACGAAGTCGACGCTGTCCTTCGTCATGGGCTCCAGAATTTCAACGGCATCCTGGGTGTTACATTAGCCACGTCATTGGAAGATGGAATGCGACGGAACGAACCTGGAGACCAGTTCCGGCACAGGCGATACCGAGAGCAAGAGTAGCACCGCATCGTACATGAGGGTTGTAGCTCTCACTCAACAGTTGTACAACTCGAGGAACTTGACCAGGGTTCTTAAATAACAGGAAGGACAAGGATGTCACTGCAGCACGCCGAACATCATCTGATGTGTCCGAAACAGCAATATGCAGGAGTTTGCGAACCGCGTCATTGTTTGCGGTTCCTGCGTACGCAAGCGCTAGGGTGTAAACGCCACCGTATCGAAGAATGGGGTCCTAAGCGAAGGTGTCAGGAATTTATCCCACATGTGGAGAGGCCACGAAGTACCTTTTCGGCGAGCAAGAGTTTGATGGTCTCGTCCGCCTCTTCCTGCCTTCCGTAGTAGACGAAGGCGGTACCCATAGCGAGACCACGAATGATCTTCTCGTGTTGCGTGTCACGAGCGTACTGCAGCATCTCGCGAACAGGTTCAGCAGCAGCGGTGCCGAGCATGACCAAACCCATCGCATAACCCGACGCCTCTCCGGCGACAGCAGAGTCAGTGAAAAGGATGTTTTTGAGATCCTCAAATGCTTCCAAGCTCTTGGAGCCCATGCCAGAGACACCAAGACCGAGGGCAGCTCCGTGTTGCACAACCTCGTTCTGCGCGGCTTTCAAGGAGTCACGCAAGTAAGTCGTAATTGAACTTCCGCATCCCGCGTTAACCAAACCCAACGCATATAAGGCACCACCCTCCTGATAATTTGCTCCGGGAACATTGCTTTCGCCTCCGCTTTGGGGAAGGTAGGGTCCGAGGATCGTCTGCCCTTGCTCAAAGTAGCCTTTGTGAATAACACCAAGACCAGCGGTGGCAGAGAATTTCGACCAATTTGAGGCAAGACCGAGCCATTCGAGGTTGTCCCTCAGGAAGACATCAGATGTAGTTCCAGCATGCATGAAAGCATTCTGAAGGGTGAGGGCGGTATGGTAAATTGATGATCTTGGTTCCAAAACATCCTACACCCAGGGTGAGCCAGAGTGCCGCACGAGAAATTTTTCAGGAAAATGCACCTTAGTATTCTTTAGGATCAGCAAGTCGGTCTGATTGTTTCGTTTGAGGAATTCGCGGTAGAACTTGACGGACTCTTTGCCAGTCAAAATATTTCGTAGTTTGTCGTACACAGGTTGCGATTTCTAAACATAAGGGCGTTAGCGAACGCAAACGGAGGAAGACGTAAATCAGATTTACCTCATCTCCTTGAGGTAATTGTGTCCGCAATGTTTCCAAAAAATCTTGGGAGCCACCCTCCACCAAATCAAAAGCGAGTTGGTACGCCAGGAGCTCTTCGCTGACCACGAGGGTCGTGAGGAGGGGAATTGTCAAAGATATATCGCTCAATGTTACGAGCAGGCGGGTTAGTGCGTGGACGTGAGGAGAACCGTCACCAGTTGTTGGTCGTGGGAAGAGGGGGAACAAGAATCGTAGGACTTCGTCGCGATAGGAAAGAGAAAAGCCGGTGTTTAGTACGCCCTCCATAGCATAGGTGAGTATAGAGACATCTTTGGTTTGGGAGTAGATTGACGATATCACGTCGAGGCGATGAGATTCCAAAGCAATCCCGATGGCCTAAATCATTCATTTCAATCGCTGGGTGAGGGCATCGCCGAGAGGTACACACCTGCTTGAATTCTCCTTCTGAAATACACCGTCCAAAGATGCCTTCAATAGTAAATTGGAGACGCGGGTCGATCTTGTCCTTGCTACCGGCATGCTCGACGGAACGCACCGCAATGTATCGGTCAATGGCTTTGGCTACGATAAATCAAAGCATTAGCAGCCAGCAGGGAAACGCGAGCGTATATCACGCACAGACAATGGTCTCCACGTATTCCTCAGATCCATAAGTTCGAGTCTCTGCAAAGAACGCGTCTCCTGCGCCCAGCGCGAACGACAAGGCTTCGTCGTATTCTCCCAAGAAGTAATAGACTTTGCTCGCGACCAAGGCAGCAGCAGCACGCGCTGGTTTTGGAAGCTGGTCGGCCTCGTACAGCTCTTCGCTATTGAAAATTTATTATCAGAAAATAAAAAGGGCATATAGAGACCTGAAGCGTACATGGTGGCTATATGCTCTGAGATCTCTGCCCAGAACTGGGGCACAAGCGAGATGAGGGCTTTGAGGGCATGTTGTTTGAATGTTGAGTCTGGTTCTTGAAGAAGCGCGAGGACGCCGGCGGCAGAGGACTGGGAATAAACCATGGAGGAAAGGATAAAGATTGGGAGTACGCAACCCTTGCGTCTACTTGTGGAGGTGACGCGTCCTTGCACGCGGTCTCCTGCATTCCAAATACGTGCAAATACGAGTTGTTTCCTCCGGGAAATTCCTTCCGTGCTGTACCTTCAAACCTATCCTCTCTCTCGTTTTACACAGTCGGCATGTCCTTCGCTGCCCGCAATTCCCTTCGAAGCGTCGTCCGTGCGGCTCGCGTCCGCCCTGTGGCTACCCGCTCCTTCGTGACCTCCACCGAAGGAACCGCCCTCCAGAAATACCTTGAGGCGGACAAAGCTCTCCAACATCATGCTGCTGGTGCGCCTGCATCTTTCAGGAGTCGATTTAGTATTCATGTCTGCTTCTGCTTCAGAGACCACTGATCTGTGGAGGAAAATTAGGTATGCCTCGGTCCCTATTACATGTTAGACTGAACATAACGAATCTGTCGCGTCTAGCTTCTACGTCTGCGTCCCAGCTAGTACGCGAGCCATTTTTGGAAGCTTATTCTTGTGATTAACATTACCACTACCAGTCGCTGTCTGCGTCGCTTGGGTCTACAACGCTGAAGCCGAGCATGCTGCCCATGTCGAGCACCTCAAACACGAGAACGGCGGCATTCTCCCCGAACCTCCGGCCTATGAGTTCTTGAACAGGCGTGGCAAGCCCTTCCCCTGGGGCAACAATTCTCTCTTCTTCAACCCCCATGTCAGTCCCATATGCTGCCACTTTCATTCGCTCACCGATGCCTGCCTCAGACGAACAAGGATTTGAATGCCTAGAACTGGTCTTTAGGCTCGACTGTACTCTAGATGTTCTAGGCCATCGACAAATCATAGTGCACCAATTACATCTACCATTCAGGCTTCCTCAGATCTCTGAGTCCTCAGTCTTCAGCTAGCTTCGAGCTTCGGACTATTTCGTCGGCAATCCAAAGAGTTCATTCTTTTCTCGACACCTCCAACTAACTACCATGTCCGAGGAGTAGAAATACACGAAGCAAGTGTCCATGTCACTAAACCTTTTAGTGAAGTGTCCTTTCGTTCAGCGCTAGTCTACAGAACCGTCCAGGCACCTAAAGCAACGGCTCCGAGGACCATGTTCAAGCTCAATGACGAAGGCACAAGTTGCATCGCGCCTGCGGAGGCTCTAGAGTATAAATTCAATTGATTTCAATCAGCTTCAATAAAATCAGTGCATCACAATACAAAAGACGAACCTATCCTGAGCAGAAGCATTGGCAGCGGTCGCCAAGGAAGAAGCAGAGGTTGTCGGGGTAGTAACGGTAGACGACGAAGCGGGGGTGGTAATCGTCGGCTCAGGCGCCGTTGTCGTGCCTGGAGGCGTGCTCGCCGAGGAGGCCGGCGCGTTTGTCGTTGTTCCACTTGCGCTAGGGACTGCAGTGCGCGTCTCGAGTGAAACTGTGCTCGTCACACCCTGTGAAGCGAGAATGACAATGGCACTGCCCTCCTGAGTGACAACTGTTACTACAGGTGCTGAATTATTTGATGAGCCCTCTGGGATCAGATAACCTTTTTGAACGATGATTCGACTCACCACTCGCACTAGCTGTTGATGGAGGAGGGGCTGTGACAGTGCTGGGGCTGGCAGACAAGGTGCTCGATGGCGCAGCAGGCGTGGTGGTGGGCAAGAAGGTCGCAGGTGGGGGCTCCGACGCTGAAACGTAAACTGCGATGCCTAGCATCTTTTGTTCCACTGAGGCGGAAATACCTCGTCAATACAGGGAATTTCAAAACGAGGATCCAGGGCAGACTCACAAGTAGCCTTGGTCTCCGCAAGCTCCTGCTGGATTTGAGAACGAAGAGGCTCAGAGGCTGAGTGGGATGCAATATTAGTGGGCGAATCTGTGCAAGGATAAGGCACATACGCACCTGCATCGAATTGTTGCTGCAAGTTCTGCACTTGGTCCAACAAATCCACCAGAACAGCTGGCGAGAGCATTCATTAACATCTCTAACGAGATTTCGGGAGCTTAGTTGAATACGCACGCGCAACCTGGGCGCCCGTCACAACAGGTTCGATCTGTTGACGCGCTACCAGCCTGAATCCGCTCCGAACCTGGACAGGCACTGCCCACGAGAGACATACCGAAGCGCAAAGGACGAGGACAGTGTACAAGCTGATCGAGGGTATCTTGCCAAACATATTTCCACGCGATTATTAGAGACCGGTTTGAAAGTTGGTTTCGAAGGAGAACGAACGAAGAGGCGAGGGTCGAAAGCAAGAAAACGAGAAAGAGCTCTTCGAAAAAGAACGAAAAGAAGTATAGGTCGAAGATTAAAGCGACTATGAGGTCAGGCCCAGCCGTCGCTCAAGTGGAAGAAGGTGAGGAAGGCAGATGAAGGGTGTTCGACCTAAAAAGGTGGTTGAGGGTCGCAGCTACCAGAGCGCGAATTGTATACCCTGCACCGCCGGACTGGGTTTATATGATCTCGCAACCGTCGTGGAGACCATCGCTTCGGCCCGATCGGCTGCCTGTGCGCTTGATTGGGCTGCTGAAGAACCTTTCATATTCCGAAGCTGGGGAGAAGCTGCAAGCACTTGTCTAGTAAACTTTCTCCTTGAGCTTATCACAGAAGTGTGCTTGCGGGAAGCATCTCGGATCGCAGGTAAAAGCCAGTAGTCTTTTATAGCAAAGAGTGGCGCACCGTGATGGAACACTTTCTCGGCAATGGACATGGCGACCATTAACAGAAAGCACATTGGTGTGGAGCAGTGAAATGGCAGAACTCCAAGGCAGGGGAAGAACGATGCCAGTTAAGTAAGTATATATTATGGCGTTCGCCAAAATGAAACGATGAGTCCAAAAAGTAAGAATTGTAGTATCACGAAAGTCGAAGATGTAAGTACTTGTAAGATACAAATAATTGGTCGTTAAATTCAAAAAGTCCCACTTATCCGAAAAAAAATTCCTCTATGGAAGGTGTTCTAAAAGGTGATGATTGCGCCAACAAGTGTGCTGATGATGACGGTGGCAAGGCCGACGACGAGAGGTGTTGACACTTGCATCATGGGCGTCCAACCTGCATTGGTAGTGGCACTGTTGACTGCAGAACCGACTGCACCAGTTACAATGGTGAATACGGCGCCAAACGTGGAAGTAGCGACACCAGCTCCCGACGCGGCGAGGGTAATGGCATCTCCTCCTTCGCTGGTAATAATGGTGAAGACTTGGCCACCAGCAGCTGAGTTAAGGACCAAGGTCAGGACATTCGTCACCAGTGAAAAGAGGGAATGTTGGTCTCACATGTCACCGTCTGGAAGACACCGGCAGCCAAGCTGGTGACGTCGCCGCCAACGCTGCCAGCTCCAGCAGTAATTTGGCTGATCACTGAGCCAGCTACGAAGGATCTTCAGTAGAAGAAAGGGAGATCGTCAACAACGTAACTTACCTCCAGCGGTGATAGAGGAGATAATGCCATCGACTAGAAAAGAAAACTCGTCAGACATGGAAACTACTCGAGGTGCACAAAGGGCCTTTACCCTGTCGCTCGTCAAGTTCAACAGGCGCTGGTGTTGGTTGTGGGCTGGCATAGACGGCAGCAACGAGGAGGGCGAAGAGAGAAACGACGAAGACCTTGGAGAACATTTTTGCGGGAGGGAAGGGGCGAAAAGAAAACGAATGACAGTAGGGTGATGAAGATTGTGGAGACTTTATAAGATGTGGGGTGGCGATGCGCCCCGATTAGCCGGCGTAGACGAGTTCATTACGTCACACGATGTTTGAGGGAGGAGCGGTCACGGAGCGTTTCTGTTTCCAATTATCTACTGCGGGTCAGATCTGCACACACAGCCTATCCTCCTAAATCATAATGCCTCGCGCCATCATCTCCCCCTCCGTTCTCGCCTCAGACTTCGGCCAACTTACCGCGGAGTGTAAGCGCATGATTAAGGGTGGCGCAGAATGGCTGCATATGGGCAAGTAGCAGATTCAATCTCCTCTCCCCTCCCCAATTTCTCACCTGAGAATAGATGTAATGGATGGGTGATTACCTTTATTCGAGCCAGGAATGAAAATCAAGCTCAACCTTGTCTGATCGCATGTCGACAGCCATTTCGTGCCAAATATCACAATGGGCATGTCCTCCCCTCCTCTTTGTTATCCTTCATGTTAATCCGGCCATCCAGGCGCACCCATCCTCACATGTGTGCACAAGGGGGTACCAGACATCTTTATGGATTGCCATATGATGGTTTCTCATCCCGAGAAGGTTCGACGACCCATAAATCTCCTATCGATCCATTAATGACGGCAGAACACAGTGGGTAGATGACATCGCGGACGCTGGCGGCGCAATGTACTGCTTCCACCTTGAGGCAACAGGTAGGTCCCATAACCGTGCATAAGAGTCCAGGAATTAAAGCCAGACCTTTCAGAGAACCCATTGTCACTGATAGAGAAGATCCATGAACGAAATATGAAGGCTGGTGTGGCTATCTCCCCCGACACGCCTTCAACCGCCATCTCAGACGAAGTAGCCAATGCTGCGGACATGCTGCTGGTCATGACGGTATATCCAGGTAATATTCCACCGTCCAGCCGTGTCTTAATTATTTTCTTACGATTGGGCCGCGATAGGACGGGGCGGACAGAAGTTCATCGAAAGATGCGTCCCAAAAGTAGCTGAGCTACGAGCCCGATTCCCGGAGAAGGATATCGAAGTCGATGGTGGTGTTGGTCCCAAGACAATAGGCGTGTGCGCAGATGCAGGTACGATACGATACCACACCCCTCCGAAACCTCAGTCAAATGTGTTCGTCTTATCAGGCAGCAACGTGATCGTCGCCGGAACAGCGATCTTCGGAGCGGAGGATCCCACCGTGGTCATCCAACAGCTCAAAGACACGGTGAATACGGCGCAGGCTACGAAATTCGCCAAGTAGAAAAGGAGCGACGGTGCGACGGACGTGGACTGATTTAACTGACCATCTAAACTCCGAGTTTCCACTGCTATGCGTTTGGTTGGATATTTACACAGAAATAGAATACACACTGCTTGGCGGCGCCGCAGCGGCGCATATTTATGAGGCCCGAGTGAACAGTGAAATGGCGATGTCCCGCGAGGCGTACGAGGCCGTGCACCCTGAAATGCAACTATCGATGTTGGAGAAACGGCGTCTTGCAATTGTTGATATGTAACCTCCGAAGAAAATCACCGATCGACTAATTATAATGTTGCTTGTACGAAGTGGATTCGCAGTAAGTGTTAATTATGATGACCACTGAGGAAGGGGTATACTATCGAAGAAATGGTCGGGTTATAAGCTAGCTAAATGGTTCAAATGAACATCCGTAATATCTACATTAGTACAAGTGGGGTACATGAAGGGAAAGGCTTGTATGTGTTCGTGGAATGGGCTTTCTAGGAATGCGCACATTCTAATAAAAGAAAGGAAGAAGCGTCGCGGGATAGCATGAAGTGAAAGTTAAGTTAAAGAAATTAACTTTGTCGTTGGAGTCGTAAAAATAAATCCGAGCGTTGCATTCCATCCGGACTCAGATAATAGGCAAGCTAGGGGCATCGAGCAGAGCAGGAGCACTGTGCATGCCGCTGGCCGATTATCCGACAGTGTAGGTCCCGTGTGCAGTTACTTACGAATGTGAACTTCAATCTTCTTGATGAGAGGGATCTCCTTCCTCATCACCATCAGTCGTCACTTCTCTCTGGTCATCGCTCATCTCCCCCCCACCCTTCCTTCCGATCGTCTGCACCGACGACAAATCAGCCAACCATAAGCGGACCCCACTACCACTTCAGCATTTCCCCGTACATATTCGGTCGTTCACCCCGGATGTATGCCTCGAAAGTGCGCTTGAGTACCGTTGCCCAATCAAGATCACGTCGATCGTCTTCCACCCGATCCTCCTCGTCCTCTTCACCCGATTCTGAGTACTGAATCGGTGACGGCTTCTTCGACTTCGACTGCTGCTGTGCCGTTATCGCCTCACGCAGTCTGCGTCTTGCAATCTGCTCGCCCTCTGAGAATCGGGGTCCGAGATCTGGCCAATTTCGGGCGGGATCGAATGGCTTCCACCTATGGTGAATGTGGTCAGCACGCGTCCCGAGGTTAAATTAAGACAAACGTGAATGTCAAAAAGTGTATATGACGCACCAGAAGTTATGGAAGTGATAAGAATAGGCCCCCCTGAAGAAACCTTCGAAGCCCAGCGCCTGGGGTGCTGCACTGTCTGTTACCGGCGTCTCGAAGAATTGCTCGAAGCTGATGAAGGAGAGGTCAGACATAGTCAACATTCGAAAGGTATTTGGCTCATTACTTTGTGAAGAATGGCTGAGGCGGTCGCATATGCTGATGGTCTTCTGTGGTAAGCCATGCAGAATCGAACAGGGCGTCCGGCAAGCGAAGTAACAGTCCTTCAAGATAAGCCTCCTTGGTGTATCGCGAAACCGTCATCGGATGGAAGTCCAAGTTATTCTTCAATGCAGTTCTGAACAAAAACTTGCCCAACGCAGAGTTCTTGTTCAAGTGCAGCACAGCAGTGTTGTACTTCTCCCACCGCGACCACCGGTACGCGAACGCACCCTTCCAACCCCACAGCTCCTCCCAATCCCGCAAGAAAATCGTGTCGGCATCCAAGTAAATACCTCCATACCTGTGGCAAAGAATGAAGCGTGCCATGTCTGAAAGGATAACAGAAAGTCGATCGTAGGACGATAGAGACTTGGAGCCGGTTCGGTTAATCATGTCGTCCTCGCGTCTTGAAGCCGTGTCGTTGCTACTTGCCCGTGTCACTCCGCTCTCCTTCAGCTTGGATGGAACAGAGATAACATTTCCTCCTGAGTTGAACAAATCCCTCGAGCGCCATTCGTCCTTCAGTTCCGGAACCCCATCCAGTTGATCCGTCGTATTCCACATCTTGAAATGGATGATGTCCTTGAACCGAGGATGCAGGAAAGGTGATGCCCAGGGATTCGCCTTCAGTTGGTCGTACATGTCTCGCAATGCCGTCGGGTTTGGCACCGTTGCAGCAGGACCGGGGTTTATCCATAACCAAAACTGTGGTCGACACACACCGTCATCGGGATAATGGTCCAGATGCAAGCCAGTGTTCTGCGTGAAAAGGAAGGAAAGGATAGCGAGATAGGGTTTGTCGGTGAACGGCCCCGTCCAGAACATATGGAAAATTCTGGGGTTTTCGGGATCGCATTCGGATGGATCCTCGGACGCGGAGGTGTAACGGACGCGTTTTGGCAGCGCAATCGGCGGTGTTTCCCATTCCACGCCACGCTTCTTGACTAGACCAGCATCTGGGTCTGAACCGTCGTCCGCTGTCGTCACTCTGTAGTCGTTGTAGGCCGGGTCAGACTCGCCATCAAGACTGCGGGCGACATGGGTGATGTTTTCCGGCTGTTCCACGTAGATATATTTCCAGTCGTCCAATCGACCTCTCCGAACTCTCCGCCCGTTGTCAAGTCCTGCACCAACACGAAGCACCTCCAAGCAATCTCGAACGAACTGCGAGAGAATGTGCGGTGTAAACACCACGGTCTGGGCGAGCCGGAAGTGAAACATGAGACGCACCTTCTTTTCCGCAAAGTCGCAGTGCTCCATAATGATATCCATATCGGCGACACTGCCGGGGAGTGGCCTCGGTGGGTAAGCCACATTATCGGGGGAGCTCTGAATGTCTAGGTAGACACGTCTTGCTCCAGTCCCACGTGTTGTAGTGGCATACGGGCCTTGAGCGGAAGGTATTGATGAGCGGGGGGGAAGTGCTGGGTTTTCAGGTGCAACTTTCAGTCTGAGTTGTTCTGGTACTAGGTGGGAGAGGGAAAAATGTTAGCATCATGTGAAACAAAGAAATAGAGCCCATGCACTTCGTTGACGACTTGGATAATGCCCACTCATTACCTCCCACTGCCATATCCTCTGCAAGTCCTCCCTCCTGTAGATGAGTGTTGGTGGGTCCCCACTGAATGGCGTCGGCCATTGCTTCGCATGTGTTCCGAAGCGTTTGGCAAGCGCAAAGACGAAGAAGAAAACTGAAATGACGAGAAAAAATAAGAGTAGCGACCCTCTTTTCCGTCCGAAGCGCGTTGTGCTGAAGGCATGTAACCGTCGAGGGTTGATGAAGAAGACACGGAGGCGGCGGGATGAGAGTCCTGGTATTGGAAGCGAGATGTATATCCACCAGGGTGACTGCTGGGCTCTTTTGGCGTACTTCTCCTGCACTGCAGTCGATGAGGAATATACTGGGAGGGCGTTGCTGATGGAGGAGAGACGACCACGGTGGTGGCCATTCTGGCGTGATGACTTCGGAAAATATGCGGAAGTGGCCATCTGCCTAGCAGACGTCACTGCGCACGACTGCGGGCGTTAGAGGAAGGATGGGAGGCGTCGGGATGAATGTGACCGCCAGCAACAACAGGTTCTTTGCTGCTCGAAATTTCTGGCCGTGAGACGCTGATGGAAGGGCATAAATAACCCCGTTTGTCACCTGTCTGTCCACTGATCGGGACCGTTGGCGAATGTATTGCCTTGTGTTTGCCACTTCGAAAGATGAGGCAATTTCTCTATGTTTGCAGGAAAGCTAAGTATCAAGTACAGCACAGGGTTTATATTGTAGCTACGGTCAGTTTTCTGGCACACCTCAATCACACAGATCCCAGAGGTTGCAGCTCGAGGTCGGCCGAGTCTGTGGGGACAGAAAGGATACGGAGCGTGTTAGTGTGGCCAAGACCACCCTTCCATCCTTGAACGGCAATGATGGTTGAGCCTGGAGTGATGATGTTGAGTGCCAATGCATTCCGCAGTCCAAACCGGATGCGATTATCCACCTGGAATGGGTTCGTTATCTCGTCTACAATCAATCTCAAGCGAGGACTTACGTCGGTCTGCCATTGGTGTGTTTCTATCCCCCTTGGCTCCGGGTACCAGAATGGGTAGCAGCCACGATGCAAGTGGATCTGCCTCGAGGTTTGCTGGTTGCGGGTAACTAGAAGGACGTTAGCAGAGTAAAAACATCTCGTCAAAATATCTGGACGGACCAGTGATGATGGGCACCGCGGGACGGTATTTGGAAATCAGACGGGCGGTGTTTCCACTGGTCGACAACACAAGGATAGCGCTAGCGCCCTGTTCAGAAGCAGCAGCAACCGCTGCGATGGCCACAGTCTCGGCGGTCTCTGTAGGCCGCGGTTGGATCGATCTGATGTCGTCGAACAGAGGAGGGTAGCATATCGCTGCTTCGGCCAGCAGGCAGGTCTCAGCCATCATGAGAACTGAAATAAGGTAGACTGTCAGGCAAGCATTTTCGGGCAAGCAAGGCCTAACTTGCCTGACTGGATGGGATAGGATCCTTTGGCAGTTTCTCCGGACAGCATTACACAGTCCGCACCATCGAGAACGGCGTTTGCAACATCGCTCACTTCGGCGCGAGTTGGCCTTGGGTTGTACTGTCATAAATTTCAGAACTGGGTTCATATACCCGACTATGAAAACTCACTGTCATGGACTATCGAAAATCCCGTTATTCCAAGATTCGTTTATAAAATGAGGAAAACTGACACACCTCCAGCATTTGAGTAGCCACGATGACAGGTTTCCCAACAATATTGCATTTCGCGATCATCATCTTCTGCGCCAGGAACACTTGGCTTGCAGGGATTTCGATACCAAGATCACCACGAGCGACCATAACGCCATCTGTTTCCTTGAGAATCTCATCGAAGTTAGCAACACCTTGTTCGTTTTCAATCTTGACGATGATCTTGATATTGGCGCCATCGGGTCCAAGAACAGTGCGGATATCGCGCACATCTTGTCCGCGTCGGATAAATGATGCAAAAATCATGTCGACACCGTTCCTGACACCAAATTGGAGATCCTTCTTGTCCTTCTCAGAAAGCGCCGGAAGATCGACATCAGTCTTGGGAAGATTGACACCTTTGCGAGAAGAGATATTTCCGTTGTTCAAAGCACGAACACGAACGTTTGACCCGTCAATAGCTAGAACCAGCAGCGACAAGATGCCGTCATCGACATAGATGAGTTTTCCAGGGGCAGTAACTTTCGGAAGATTGGCCTTTTGAACATGAATTAATCGGCAATTCGAGGTCATGGTGCGAGATGGGACATACATAGTCGAGATACATGACCTGGTCATCGCAGACTTCGGCATATTTGGGATCAGTGGCGATGATGAACTCGTGTCCAGCAGCAATGAGCCACTAATGGATTTGAAATATGTCAGTACCTCGGAGCCTATTGCGATCAAAGTGACGTACATCTTTGCCCTCTCGTGTCAGCCCCGTGCGAATCTCAGGTCCTTTCTATAGGTGTTGTTCAGATTGGTGCGACAAAGAAAGTTATTATGGGCCCACTGTGTCCAATGCGATGGCCACGGGACGCCCATGGGGATCCTCTGATGACGGAGATTGGCGTGATTTGATTCAATGTGGAACGAAAGACCAAGAACATACCAGCAAGCATCTTCCTAGTGTTGTCGATGACACTTTGGTGGTATTCATAGGACCCATGGGAGAAGTTCATGCGGACTGGGCGATTTGTATGAACAGACAACTAAGGAGTCAGAAAATTGGGCCACTAACCAACATTGACACCAGCTCGTCGAAGCTCAGCCAACTTCTCTACGGTGTTGACCTTGGGCCCTAACCAAGTACGATGCTTTAACACCGCGAACAAAACTGAGGCGGAGACAACGAACCGATCGTGGCGATGATAGACGTCTAAACAGTCGTGAGCTCATCGACAACAAAACGGAGAAAAAGCGGTGTACCTTGCGTTTGAACTTGTTCTGGTCAGTTGCGGTTGGAACCAACTCAGTAGTCGTCAAAGACGAGTTCCACTCGAGCTGAGAACGGATGCCGTCGACGGGGAACATTTTATGGATGTTGTGGAGGAAGGTGAGATGTGGGTAGGCCGATTGATGCCTTTATAGTCGGAGGTAGAGAGGGGATGGGGTTTGCAGCCAAAATTTAGGGCTGCTATTGGTAATCGATAAGGAAGGCACGTTTGAAACACTCTGGTCTTTTATATATTCTCCGTGGCGCATCTTAGGGTGCGCACGGACGGTCATTGCCTCTATTTGTGTCCATCTCGCCATCTTCTACCGCCAACATCAACGTTTGTCTGCTCTTTCGCCATATCAAAAATGGCGGACATAAGAAACAAGTCCCGAATCGCCTTTTTCTGCCGCCGCAATGATCTAACACCGCTCTCCTTCTGGACTGATCATGACCAGGGCTTTCTCACAGCACGACGATTAACCCAGCGCAAGCGGGGTGGAGCAGGGTCGCACGTCAAGTTGGCCGGATCCGCGATGTCATGCCCGCGAGACGACACACTCTCAATTGAATTTCATTCGAACTGTATCGCCGTCAGAATGACTTAAGATGACTCCCCCAGGTTGCAGAAAGCTAAAAATGTCCTCGTCGAAATCTGTCTTTCCTCGGATCGGACTCGATGGATAGAACAGAAGTGCAGCTACTCTGCGTAGACCTCCAGCTGGAGGAATTCGAGGTCCTTCAGGTTAGTCATTATCCCATTGTCGGCGAATCGGTCCTCGTACCCGACAAAATGGAAGCTCACCATTCACAATTAGGTCATATATCCGGATTTTATTTCAAATCCGACCTCTTTCAGGAGCGATAAGGTCCTCCTTTTGAAGGTCGACGTAGAACTTCCCAACGAAACGCGCGTGGAGGTGATTCCACACCAGGTCGATGGTCCGAATCTAGCACCCTCGTCGTCAGTGATATCACTGTCCTCATTGCCACCACTTTGCATTGGTGTTCGCTTTCCTTCTGTTTACCCGTTACAAAAGCCCCCCGAGATCACCTATATTCGCGTTGAGCATCTCTGGTTTAAGCAAGAACATGCGCTCAGATGCGCTTTGCTAGCCAGTTGGCAGCCCGGAGAAACTATTTTGTATGCGTGGATTGAGTTTGTCCGTAATGGACAATTTCTCCGCGACTTAGGCTTGCTCTCACTGAGCAATAATCTGAGGTGAGCTGTTGTCAAAGTCAACGTGAGTAGGATAACGCTGAGCTCGACTCTGTTCAGACTCGTTCACGACTCCCCTGAGGGTCTATTTCCGTATCTCAGAAGATATGATGCAAATTTGAAACGAACGGCTTTCAGAGAAGCCTCACATTTCTGCCCTATATGCCTGAGCAGTCGAAAAGGGGTTCATTTCACCCAGTTATCCTGCTCGCATGTTTTCTGCAAGTCTTGCATCGAGGAGTATTGGTCAATATCGGTTCGTGAAGGCGACCTCGAGAGGGTCAGATGCATTGATCCTGAGTGCATGAAAGCCAAGAACAGAGCTACAGACAACGAAGTTGAACAAGTTCTGTCAGATACATCCCTTGCTCGATGGAGATGGCTGAGGGACAAGAGAGAATTCGAACAAGGTAAGTAGAGGAGGCAAATGTATAGTAGTTGTCAACTGACCCCGAACTATTCTAGATCCGAACCACGTATATTGTCCTACTTGTGAAAGCCCAGTACGAAAATACGAGAAGGATGGCATGAACACGCCGGATGGCCCATGGGTCAGGTTTCGCCTTTGCAACGAGTGTCGCTTTCCTTTCTGTAAAGTCTGCAAAAGCTCTTGGTTCGTTCCTTTATATGCTTGTGCTAGATATTGGACTTTGGCTCATCTGGTGAATAGGCATGGCCCTCTCGTCGTCTGCCCGGTTCCTCTTGAGCTTGTCAAGCGGTACATGGAAGCGACGAAGACGAATTCGGAAGAAGCGTGGCTTAAACACGTAGTGCTTCAGTATACGCAGTGGGTACTGGAGCCCCAGGCTGCTCTGTACGAACAACTCCTCAAAACCAACGAGAATATGAGGGCCGGCCAACAGACGAAAGAGATAGCATTGAGTGAGGCCTGGCTATCGAGATCGACACAGACCTGCCCTCAGTGCGGGGCATTTATTCAACGGACAGAAGGGTGCAACCACGTAAACCATTTCTCTCGCTTCTTCCTAGTCCTCTTTTAATGCTATCTATGTATGATCAAGATGACTTGCTCCTTGTGCCAGCAATCTTTCTGCTATCAGTGTGGCGGGATTATGACGGGCCATCTTTCACATATGTGCCTGCTACTGGTTGACAGACAAGTTTTGTAATTACAGCTTAGACCAGTACAAAAAGTAGAAAGCAGAGCAAGACAACATTGGAAAAAAATGGAGAATAGATAGCGATTACAACTTGTACACAATCCCCTCACTGATCATCAACTCGTCGTTCTCTCCCATTATCTCGCAAATGCGGGTGGCTTCTGCTGTTCCGTATAATGTGTCTGTTGACAGACCTTCGTTGACAAATTCAAGGAGATCTGTCAAGAAGATAGTCTCTTCATCCTGCACGCGTGTTGCGAAAATCTTGGACACGCGAGAACGGAACAGTTGTAATCTAGGAGAAATAAGCACAGGTTCTGCTCGCGCAGAAAATGATACCCACCGTTCGGGTCGGATTGTGCCATCGGCCGTAGGGGCAGTGGTGGCAGGTGGCAGCAGTTCGTCCACCGCCATCGAAACATCTTGACTTTCGTCTCCCCAGATAGGGTCCACAGGTGGTTGCGCCGCCGCCGCCGCAGCAGCAGCAGCGGATCTCGATGTGGCCCCAGGAGTAGTCATTCTTTCCGTGGAGGTAGGCTCTTGTTCATCCTCGCTGTCCTCTTCGGATTCGTCGTCGCCACTCCCATCAGAGCCCTTGCGTAGTGCGGCTCCGGTGTTCAGTTTTCTCTTCTTCCTGCGCTGCCGCTTGGGCACCTCCCTAAACAAGGCAAAGCGCATAATTTCCTCGGCCTGAGTCGCGTCTGCTCGCTCCACCTTAGCCGACAGACGAGCCTTTGCATGGGCGGTCGCGAGACGAATCAATGTCTCCAGGGTACGAGCAGTCAATGGAGAAGTCTAGGCACCAAGAGGTCAGCATCTAGTCGAAGGGGAGAGTTTCAAGTAGCGTTCCGTACCTTTTTCTTGTTCCCTTCCATACCTTCATTGCGTAAATTGGCATACACTTCGACGATATGGTCCGCTGCTCCTTTAGTCAGAGCCGGAGCCGGCTTGCTCTTCGCGTACTGGATGTACTTCTTGACGAATGGAATACTCAATATTTCGACTTTCTTGGGCTTGTTTTTCCGCGTCTGGGGGCCTTTACGAGCAGCACTCATATGCAACAGCGGGTCGTATTTCTCAAAGGGGCTGGTGTCCACGGCTTCGTTGTCCGCATTATTCCCTGGTCCATCGACGGATAGAGGCTGCGAAAGGTTGTCGTGGCACGGAGTGCCTTCTTCGACACCTGGAGGCAAGTATCGATGCATTCGCAGTACGTGATCTGCGATGGTACGATCCCGTTCTTCGTCTACGTCATCTGTCACAATAAAAAGCAAATCAAAACGAGACAGAAGAGAATCGGGAAGGGCGATGTTTTTATGGGGATCCTTGTGTATATCATACTGTTTTTTGTCATCAGCCAACCGCTGAATGCCCGACGAAGTAAAGCACATACTTGTCCATAGATGGGATTGGCTGCGGCTACGACACTGCACCGGGCATTCAAACTAGTATGAATGCCAGCCTTCGCAATGGTTACAGTTTGCTGTTCCATGACTTCGTGAATGGCGACCCGATCAATATCCGACATTTTGTCGAATTCGTCGATGCAAACAACTCCTCGATCTGCAAGGACCATGGCTCCAGCCTCGAGCCTTCGCTCCCCAGTTTCCTTGTCGCTGGTAACTGCAGCAGTTAAACCAACTCCGGAGCTTCCACGACCGGTGGTCGCGATCGCGAGAGGGGCAGTTCCGAGCACGAAGCGAAGTAGTTGTGATTTAGCCGTTGAAGGGTCACCAACCATGAGAAGGTTGATGTCTCCACGGATATGAGTACCGTTGGGCAAGTTCTTCTCTGCGCCTCCAAGAAGGAGAAGCAAAATGGCACGCTTGATATGCTCGTGGCCGAAAATTGAAGGTGCCAGCGACTCAGATAAGAGGTTAAAGATCGCTTTACGTTTCGCGAGCTGGTTGATGGTTCGAATATCGGTATCTGTCAGAGGAGTTTGGGCGATTCCTCCGCCTATCTTAGAGGAAAGGAGGTTGATGTTGTTGGCAATGATCAGAGACCTAGACTCCATAAGTAAAGAATTTTGATTGAATCATTGACTGCTCACTTAAACGCTCCACTGGAACCGCCACCAACACTCCGGTAGACGCCAACCAACTGGATACGATCCCCTGGCTTGCACTTGTCAACAAGGTCGTCATCAAGGATAACATCCGTGCTCCGTGGCAATTGTCCAGCAGGAGCACGTTCAGGCATTTCTTGGATGCTAATCCTTTGGTGGTCTTGGAAAACGCAGAAACCAAATTCTGTCTGTAGGGCGTGTCCTTCGTCATCCGTTTGGGGAAGAAGGGAGGTTGTGGGAGGCTGATTAGAGTTAGAAGATGTCCCGTCGCGGTATTCGCGTGAATGGAAGGCACCTGTCTCAGGGCAGTAGTGAACAGACTTGAGCATTTTGGGGCGGACCAGTGAACACCTGGTGATAATTCCTTCCAACGATACCATCTTGCCGAGATGTCCTGCGTTAAGTGTCCGAGGACTAACATTGTGGTCACCGAAGGACCCACTGAAACCAACGTGATACCTCTTGGAGGTAATATCGTGCTTTTCAGCATCGTAGACGTGTTGGATAACTTGCGTGAGGGCGGCGTCGAATGCAGGAAGGTAGTCTGCAGGGAGTTTCAGGAGCCCATTGGCCGATTCACGGTCGAAGTCGCGTAGATCGTCGATATTGACGATGAGACGCGTCTGATCGGTGCGGAGGAGGCGATGAATTTCATCCTTGTAGTTGTAGATGGGGGAATCTGTCTCGAGAAACTTCTCAAAGAGACGAGTCCTGTCTTTCATCAAGACATCATCAGTTTCTGTGTTGTCCAGCATCGACATGGGGGAGAAAGACGCGTCGGGGGCGGAGGACGAAAGGGTTTTGGTCCAAGATTAATTGCCACACGCGTCGCGCGACTGGTACCAAGCACGAACAAGCAATCACACGATCCGGTCCGTCGTCCCGGAATATTTACTTGCGTGAACTGCTTGGTGAACTAAGTAATACAAATTCAATGACCGCGAACATAATACCCAGTGCTCTTCGAAGCTACCAAATGATAATGAGTACGTATACAGCCCCCATTTGACTGTGATGCTTTTTTTCAGCCAAGCGGATTGTCCGATAGATAGCTACAGGACATCCTGTTGGCCCCTTTGACTTTATAGGTTCGAATTGTACGAACTGATAGATGAAGTCCTGGTGCTCTGTCAGTGGATAGCTGTCAATGGAGATAGGATAGTCCCTTTCTATTCATCCTTTTGTCCCCTGAAGCCGTGTTCGCCATGGTTGCGACCGGCTTCAATCATTCAGACAAGACAGTGGCTCACGATCAGAAACTAAGTATGCCTTGCCCAGTGTCATCATCATCATTCGCACAAGCTCGCCGGGCTGTCCAATTGCAAGCTTTATGTACCTCTTGTAGTCGATGCGTCCGTTCGATCTTGTACGCCATTTCTCAAGTGCCGGGAATCGTATCATGGGTCAAAAACCTCGGACCTGTTAAACGCCTCGACAACCACCAAGGGCCTAAATAATATACCAGCTCAATCAATGGTGCTCTTGACACGGTGACGCAGAAGCAGAGGTTATTCTAGTTCATCAGTTCGGGTTTGACGTAGACGGCCCCTTCTATTCTGCCTTGAAGACAAACTTTGCCGCGTGAGAGGGAAACAGTATTCAGCGCGAATTCTCAAGAACAGGCTTCTTTCATCCAGCCTGTAGTTGCGAAAATCAGGGATGGGCTATAATGAAAGAACATCCTAAAACTGATACAAGCGGGGTAATATGCAACCTAAAAGCGACGGTAGCCTCTGTCGTATAGGAGAAGCGGAGCAGTGAAAGCGAAAACGAAGGAGTGGCAAAAGGGAGTACAAGATAGCTAAGAAAGAGAAGCTATAGGGGTCGGATCAACGCCTGTGGAGTGGTAGGTTTTGGTGGCTACCCAGCGCAGTAAGTCTGGAAGAAACACCGGCATAATGTTGCCTATGGTGTCTATCAGGTATCTATTGTCAATAGAGAGGTGAGAACATCGGGCCAACATGATAAGAACATCGCCGTTCACTCTGTCACCAATCTGCAGGACTTGGGTTCTCTGAACGCCTCCAGTCGGCGGTCCCACTCCCACGAGCATCGTTCTCCGACCTTCTCGCCTCAGCATCGCTTCGCACGGCATTACCTGTGCGCCGCCAGTCCTGAACCGGGGACCAGCGAGCACCAACATCGGACCGCTTCCAATCGGGGCCGGTAGAACCAGCAGTCTGTCGAGGGGAATGCGAATAAGGGCAAGAAAAGGCATCCAGGGCAAAGGACGTACAGGAACAGCTGCTGCCATGGACGTCAAGAGGAACAACGAGATTGCTGTGAGGTAACGAGTATTAACCAGCATCGTTCGCGTTAGAAGGGGTGATGTGGAGGGAATGATGTGGGGTGGCTAGCGCGATTGCTTTTATGCATGGTGAACCAGATCAAATCCGATGAGTCCCGTGTACTGGAACCCAGGAGGGAACAACTCGATCCGCCTGTCCACATCTGGGACTTTGGGCACCCTGTCAAAAGTTCACATGTTGAGGTCTTTTTTTACCCCACTCACAGCATATATATCTCATTGACAGGTACCGGGGCTAGTCGCCCGGTTGGAGAAACTTATGCCCTCGTTTGACCAGCCGTCACGAATCGTACTATGGGAGCGGGCAAGCAAAATGGCCCACATCCAACCTGTTGGTGAGGGGCTATCATGAAAGACAACGGACAAACCTTCCCTTCTCAGCCCCAGAGGAGTGACCCGGAGCAAAAAGAAATTGGGACCTAGAAGCTCGGTACCTTACAATCTTCACGTTGTTCCCGGTTCGCGCATTCGCGCTAACGGCGTCTTCTCGATCATTTATTCTTGCTAAAGTTTGGTGGTTCCTGCACCTTCTTTTGTGACCCAGGTGCATGAATCCACAGAGTTTACTGTCAGGATCAGCTGATTCTGGATGGTATAAATAAACGGGTGATCAAGACTATGCGAGCAAAACTCACCTTCGGCAGCAGCCCAATAAAGCCCCTGCGTACAAGTGGAATGTCCGGTTTCTTTTTAAATATGAGAAAATGAGCACTTTTAGAAAGCAGGGACATTCAACGGGGACCCAGGCAGTGAAACGTGAAAGAAGGGTTCAGATTGCGGTAATACGTCGCCGGGTTCCGTGGCTAAATCTTTCCCTCAAAATAGGTTGTTCTCGTCAGTGATAAAAGTTGTGAACCCACATTTACGGAACTTACACGGCCCCTTGCGACAGACTAAAAATGACGACAATCGCAGTCTTCAACCTGAGCAAAGATTTCCACTGAGTGTGCTCAGGTCAAGGGTACAATCAAAACGGAGATGCAGGAAGGCGGTGAGCTGAGGTGATTGTGTGAGATGGTTGGAGAGTAGTTTCTTTCTACGGTCCTAGAAAACTGTCAATGCAACGCAAACTTGAACGACTGTCATTCTTGTGAAGACCGTTGATTCTTTGGTCATTGTGACTGCACTTCTCGAAGAAACGTCCATTCTACCGGCCAGAAAGGGTATCAAGGTCTGGTCCAATAGAAACGAGCACGAAGTATTGACCGGATCACAATGTCAGGTTCGCTATATATGATACAATGGCTCGCAAAATTCAATCCTGTCGGCAATGTGAGAAGTGGTACTAATCGAAGAATTTCGGGGACATACCCAAAGCTTAATAAGACCATCCCAAGACGCGGTGATGACCTTCGACTAACGAAAGTGTCAGTCTGGCCTGAAAAGGCAAGAAGCAGAAATGCGACTTACTGTCTCATGAGGCAACCATTCATGAGCAATAACGACCTTCGAGTGCGCTTTTAGGCGCGACTTGATATGGCCTGTCTTCCAATCCCAGAAGACAACATTTCCTTCGCCGTCACCACTGCTAATCCATTTGCCGTCTGGAGAAAATCCGACCTGACAAGCATAACCTGCAACTGAATGACCAGCAAAACGCTTTTTTCGGTTTTGCCGGAAGTTGTCCGTGCTGTACACCAAGATCTGATTATCAAGCGATTGAGCGGCGAAATATTTTTCTGCAAGAAAGTCATCAGATGGTCATCTCACGCACGGATCCACGGGAAAAGGTAACTCACTGGAAGGGTGTAAAGTGACAGCAGGCATAGAGTGCATGTGGGGTTCTGCGATGTATTTGATCACCACTGGTATGTCGAAATCCCAAGCCCGAATGGTCTTGTCGTCTGAAGTTGAAACAAATCGCCGATTTTCGTCAACGAAAGTGATTGTGTTCACTGGCCCCAGGTGTTGATCATATTCTTGCGTGATTTCTCCCGAGTTGATGTCGTACTGGTACAAAATATTGAGAAACGCTTCGGGCCCTGATACAGAAATGACACACCTGAATAATTTTTTTGTCTGACATTCCAGCCAGGAAAATATGTTGCTTGTCCTGATCAGGATTGAACCGGACAACGTAAGGAATTTTGCCGTTGCTGAACCGTTTTATACATTGGCCCGTTTCGGTGTCCCATAACTTCATCTGGCGATCGTAACCACATGAAAGGAACCGATGACCATCGTTGGAAAATGTCACATCCTTCACTGCTTTGACGTGTCCATGGAAAGTCCTCAAGCAATTGCCATGAGTGTATATGTCCCAGAGCTAAAAAAAAAAAACGCTGAATACTGGAATCTAGAAAGGAGTTGACCACCTACCTTGATCTTAGTATCCATGGACCCACTGAGCAGGAGGTGCCCCGTTTCCGGGAAAGTGCGTACAACGGATACACCTTGTGTATGCCCAGTCCATGTATGTATGCAGACTTTCGGAATGAAGCAATCCTGAGAACCTACTTCTTGCAGAAGATTTGGAGCTTCTGCAACTGGAGGTGATATGTACGTCCGGCCTTGATAATCTGTTAGAGATTTGCCATGGAAGACTGACGTTTCCTGGCCCTCGGCACCGCGTTTTGGCTTTGCCTTCCGGGGGATAGCTGTAGGCTCCGGTTCGTCTTCTTCTTCCTCTTCGTCTCCATCGCCCGTGCCTTCCAGACCGGACAAGAAATGCGCATGGGGTTCTTCGCCCTCCCATGAAGCCCACGGTCCAGCATACGCTCCTTCTCCATCGACTACACTAAGGTCCCCTCTGTTCTTCCGCTTCCGTTTCAGTTCACGCTTTTCACTCCTTGTGGCGCGAAGGGTGTCTATTGTCGCGAATTTATTAGCCTGGGCACTCTCAACTGAGCCTAGTATGGCTGGTGCGTTTGGATCGACGGAAGGGTTGGCGGAGTAGCCGAGAATTGAATGTGTAAGATGTTGGGCACGGAATGCATGCTCCGACATTGACTGTTCTTCCACATGTCCAGCGAGCGCGTTTTGGTTTTGGAAACGATTTCTGTCTCCGAACGGATTCTGTGGACCTTGCACTGGAAGTATCATGTCTTGGTATGGGATGTTGACATTCATTTGCGTATCACTCGGACGGGTTACCAGGGAAGTCATGTTGAGGGGATCCTATGTTGCGTTAAACACCGGTTACATGCAAAAATCGGTATGCTCACCTCTGCCAATACGTGCGGCGCGGTATCTGTATCATTGTTGGATGGTTTGCTGTTCTCCTTGGTACGTGGTTTCTTTGCGGCGGGTAGAGATGATAGACCAAATGCATCATTCAGTGATGCGACGTCCTCGTCAGATGAATATGAGATGGGTAGAGACATGAAGGTCAATGTCCTAAAATCAGTGCTGGACACACAAGTCACGGACACGGATGTGACCTCCGTCACGATCACTGCCCAGGGTGCCTCATGTTCCCGAGTTCAAGAGACTCCAGTGGCATGACTCTCTGACTCTCCACTAGTCACTAATGGCAGAACGAAACATTAGTCGACCGTGGTCGGAAGAAGAGGGTAAGTCTCATTGTTGAATTTCTCCTCCGATATTGTACTTTTCTCTTCCCTTCTAGATCGTCAACTGCGCGAGGCGGTCGGCCAGTTTGGAGAACATGACAACTGGAAGACAATAGCACTCCATGTGCCCGGGAGAACTAACAAGGCCTGCAGAAAGGTGATTTTCATTAACGATCGCCGAGTGCTGAATATTCATTCAAATATTCAATTTTAGCGCTGGCTCCACTCCCTTCAACCCAGTGTCAAGAAATCCGCCTGGACGCCGAATGAAGATGAACAGCTCTTAACCCTGTACAAAGAGCATGGGCCCAAATGGTCCCTAATCGCTCGTTCAATCCCTGGCAGAACCGATGATGCATGTTCCAAACGATATCGAGAGTCGCTGGATCCGAATCTCAAGAAAGATCAGTGGACTCCTGAGGAAGACGCAAAGCTCGTGGAAGTCTACGGTCGTCTTGGTGGTAAGTGGGGACAAGTTGGCCAGGAATTGCAACGCAGTGGGCTAGGATGCAGGAATAGGTTAGTTCCTTTTTTCGTCGACCGTGCTGGCGCTGATCGTTGCATGTAGATGGAGGCTCTTAGAGCGCAAGAGCAAATCCAGGGTGTCGCAACATTCAAGTCCTATAGCATTTGCTATTCAAGAGATGCCACCTCCCGCTCAAGAGACATCACGCAACCCCCTTCCTCCTGAGGAACAAGTCCCTACCCAGACTCCCTGGCCACCATACTACCCACCAGAAGCTTATCCCACATTCCCGATCGACGACGAACCACGGATAGGACACCAATTCCGCGAACCCACGCCGGAGAAGTTGGATCTCCCAGACCCACAGGTGGCTCCATTCAAGTTCTCGTCATCATCCCTAAGTGCGGCGTTATCGGATCCTCCCAGGGCGCCTCCACCACTGCCACCCGTCAGCGCCTTCAACACTCCTGAGCTCCTCATTCATGATAGTTTACATGATTCGGAGAGGCAACCGTCCCTTTCCCCTTTATCACAGTGCAATGGAATGCCTGAAATGAACGATGTCCTCATGTCGCTGGACGACTGTCAACAGACCATGGAGCAGCAGCGTACCACTGATGTCGCAATAACCCAATCTCCCTATGCTTCGTCCTCTGGTAGATTCAACATCCTCGGTTTGCACGCTATGGAATACGCACCTTACTATTCAGCCTCGCCCATTTCCTTTGCCATGGACATAAATCGTCCTTTCGAATCTCCTTTTATCGAGAACAGTCAATGGAAAGCTCGGAATATGTCCTATGAGTCCGACGTGGATAATTCACCACGAAGCGTGCTTGATGGGCTCACGGTTTGGAATGAAGGTCATGACGACCAGTCTTCTACCTCCTCGACGCCGTACAACTTCTCGACGCAGTTATCTCCAACTGCAAGTCCTTACCCCATCTCTCCGGTCGATCTTCCGTCTGTAGACAACTTGGCAACTGGCTCTTTGCTTTTCGCGCCGCCTGATAGTCGAGGACCTGGCCTTATACGGCGAGGCAGGAAAACTTCCAGGAGGACGAAGCCATCAATTAAACTCGCCGTCACGACACGTTTATCTTCTCAGCTTCCTTTATCCAACGAGTGAGTTCTATATCAGTCATTTACGCGATACCTTCGTTAATGTCCATTCGCAATAGTCCCAACATGCGACCCTATGCCTGCGGACACCCTTCGTGTTGGCCGATAGGCCAGGAAACGAGTTCCCATTGTTTTGCTACCTCTGGAGAGCTGCTCGACCACACCAAAGATGACCATACAGAAGAGGAACCTTCAGAGAAACCATTTAGGTGCGCGTTGCCTGGATGTGGGAAATCTTGGAAGGTTCGTGGTCAACTTCTCAAATTATGGATCATCGCTCATACACGGTTCGACACAGTCAATTAATGGCCTCCAGTACCATCTCCAGATGTGAGTCTTTGCAGTAATCATTTTTTTCGCATTTTCTAACATTTTTTTTTTCTTCTTTCAGTTCTGCCGCCCACTTCACGCATGCATTATTCTCAAGGTTCGCACAACAGCCAGCAACGCCAGACCAGCACACATCTTCCCTAAGTATTGATGGTGAAGTCGATGCATCGGACCCCGACCGCAAGTACATGTGCCCTCGGGAGGGCTGTTTCAAGGCCTACCGTCAACCAAGCGGCCTACGATATCACATCAAACACGTATGACATCCCGTTTCTTTCATTTTCTTGATCCATTCTGACATTTCTGCATATTATGATAGGGTCACCCAACAGATATACCTGCTCAGCTCCCTTTGGTACCACCTGCGTTGGAAAGGCAGATACCCACGAAAGCGAAGAAGCTCCGTGCCAAACCCGTCTTCGAAGTGCCCGCTCCCCTTGCAAGTTGACTACTCGGGGTCCCTTTCCCTGTTGTGCGTTGTGCATTCGTACAACCTGTGACATGGTTGTTGAGATTCTGCTTCCTGGGTGTTCACACCCTATCTTGGTACAATGGAGGTCCAAAGCGTCTGATTAAATTGACACAGCAGTGCTACATCTCTTTTCCATCTTGCTTTCTGTTGTAAATTGAATGTTTCATCAGGATTGGTTTTGCCATGGAACACTCCTACCCTACCTCAATGCTTATTTAATTACTGGCTTGCGGCTACCTCGTACTTCTACTTAGGACTTTTGAAACTAATAATGTCTGTAACTTGGCAGTCAAACTGTGCAACGAAACTGATGTTAACACTGGCTAAGACTCATAGCCCAGACGACCGAAGGCAATACAACTGGTTATTGCTATTGTTAATTACCTGATGATTATACAAGAGTTGAGGTGTATCAATTGTGTTATCTCACTGTCCTCCTCCCGTTCCTCCCAGTCCCCTCACACTGAAAGAAATATTAGACTGAAAGATATCATCTGGGAACTTGCTACTTACATATCTGCCAGACTCGGATCCGACATGAGTTCCCCCATGGACGGGATTTCTCCACCAGATTGCATGCGATTCATCTGACAAAGAGAGCGTGTGTTATACCAAAGGCCATTTATCCAAGCTCTAAAGAAACACACCATATTCGCAACAGCGGGATTCTGCGCGAGAGCCTCGAGGCCACCATTGGCAGCTAATTGCTGAGCCATGGCCATTATCTGGGGGTTGTTCATCATGCTTGCGAGGTCTGGCGTTCCGCCTCCACCGCCGCCCATACTTCTGAACATATCGGCCATGCCAGTCATGCCAGCCAGTCCACCCAGCCCGGCACCGGCAGCCGCTGGAGAACCTCTTGTTGAAGGAGATGAGGTTTCTTTGGTGTCGTCTGAGATTCGAGCCTTGGCATTTTGAAGGCCAGATTTCATGCTTGCATTTGTGGGTTCAAGTTTCAATCCTCGCTCGAATGCACTTGCTGCTGCCTTGAAATCACTCAGGGAATATTGGGCATGCCTGTATGATCGTGAATCAGCATTGAGGGGAAAGAGATTCGAGCGAAATGAACCTACCCTAGTCTGTGATATGCCTTGACAAACTTGGGATCGACAGAGATGGCTTTCTCGGCATCGCCAACAGCAGACAGATGGTCCCCTTTGCTTGAATGCGCCGCAGCACGGTTTGAGTAGTAGACCGGGTTTGTGGGATCGAGGGCAACAGCTTTGCTGTACGAGTCAATGGCGGCGTCGTAATCCTTACTGGACATCTGTGCGTTGCCCGTTTGCTTCTGTTTTTCTGCCCGAGCTTTATCCTCGGCAGTGGGTCCTGTCGATTGGGACGCGGACGCGGACGCCTGCGATCCAGATGCCACCTTGTTACGTGTCTTAATGAATACATCGAATATGCTCTGGAGGGTCGCGGGTTTCACGGAAAGTTTTTCTGCTTGCTCGGCATTCGATGGATCTACACCGAACGCCTCGCCGATACACTGGACTTCAGCGCTGCTATGAGTAGATAATCGAGCAGAAAAGTAATCGGAAAAACACACTTGCTACTTCCAGACTCTCCTGGTCGTCTGCCTTGACTGTTCCATCCTGGATGGACTGGTTGAGGAACTCGATGATGGAATATACGAGTCGCTGCTGTTTCTCGGACATGGTGATCGCGAAGGAAGGGGAATACGCCAAACAAGCAACAACAAGCGAACCTGGGTTCAACGAAAATCAGACTCTGTCTTGAACGCGTCGTCACTCCCAATGTCCTTCTTCTGCGCAATCTCAGGAGAACCTCCATCGGAACCCGTCATTTCCGCAAAATCTGGAAAGGTCTACGAGCGTCGTCTTATTGTCAAATACATCAACGAGAATGGGACAGACCCAGTGACGGGAGACAAGTTGGAGGAGTCTGATCTCATTGCTATCAAAGCCTGTATGTCTTTTCTTCGCGCTCAGGCTCGGTAGCGAACTCTTTTTGAAGTGGTTGACTGAAGTATCCTTTCTCTACCAGCTCCAGAAACCGCGGCTCCCCGTCCACCTACCCATACTTCTGTTCCTGCTCTCCTTCACCTCCTTCAAAATGAATATGACGCGACCGTTTTGGCGACTTACAACCTCCAACAGCAGCTAAACGCGACGCGCCAGGAGCTTAGCTACGCGCTTTATGCCCAGGATGCCGCCAGTAGAGTTATTGCGCGTCTCATTCGGGAACGTGATGCCGCTCGAGAGTATGTTCTTGTCCAGTTTCTACGATGGCCGTCGCTAACTCTGTGTGTAGGGCACTTGCTAATGTCCAAGCGTCAATGGGTGTTGCCCCATCCCAACCTGCCGAAGAAGACGTGGAAATGGAGAATGGCGCTGCCGAGTCTGGCCTGCCTGCCAACATCACTGCACAAGTCGACGAAACTCACCAAGCGCTGAGCTCCCAACGGAAAAAGCGGAAGCCTTCTCCGGGTTATGCAACCGCCGCAGAGGTCAAGACCTTTACTGCTACACACACCATTCCATCCCTGCATTCCTCTTCACCAGCTGGAATCACTTCTTTGGCACTCTCCACTGCCAATCCTTCGCAATTCCTCACTGGTGGGAACGACAAAGTCGTTCAACTCTACGACAAGAGCACCGACAAGGTATTAGCTTCTCTCAAAGGACACACCAAAAAGGTCAACCATGTCGCCTTCCGTGAACGCGACGGCGAAAGCACCCTTTTGCTCTCTGCTGGAGCAGACAAAATTGCGAAAATATGGTCGCATGACTCCGTTTCTGGAGAGTATATACCAAAATCCACTGTTCGCATCCACAAGGGTGAACTCACTGGATTGGCTGTTCATCCCACGTCAACGCTTGCGCTGTTATCATCCAGCGACAAGACGTACTCAATACACGACCTTACCAACTTTACGCAAGTTTTCCGCTCTGTGCCGTCCGATGAAGCCTTTAGTGCCTTGGCCATCCATCCTGATGGATGTCTGATTGGTCTCGGGACGCCAACGTCGAGCATCCAGATCTTTGACATCCGCACTGGTGCCATCGCGGCGTCGTTGGCCCCACCTGAATCGTCGCCTTTCACCATCAATACCCTCTCCTTCTCCGAGAACGGGTACCACCTCATCGCCCCCGACTCGTTATGCTCTGTCGCCGTCTGGGACTTGCGCAAGCAGAAGACCGCCCATTCCATTGCCCTCGGTGATGACTTCAAGATCAATAAGGTCTTGTTCGACGTTAGCGCTCAGTTCTTGGGTGTCGCTGGCAGCCAAGGTGCCAGAATCTTCGCACATAAGACATGGGAGGAACTCCTCCGCCTCGAGCAAGGCGGCGAAGTGTCTGACTTTGCTTTCGGGCAATCTGGAAAGGAGATATGGGGTGCGACTGGCAGGGAAGTGCGGCTCTGGGGTCTGCCAGCTTGATGTGTCGTGTCTTGTAAAACTCGTGTTCGTTATATATCTTTCTTTCTGTTGCTGCCCTCGAACTTCCAACCCTCGAACTTTCCGAGAGAAGTCCTCAGAATTTTAACCGTTACACTGAATCATGGTTATGTCATTGCAGTCGTCTGAGGTACATGAGACTATGAGGGATGTTGTATGATGCCCAAAAGTAATGCGTGAGTGGGAAGTATGAAGAGGAATAAGTATGGTGAATGGTACACGAAATATCGCCAAGGATATATAATGAAGCGGTATGCAAAGTCGTAATCGTCAAATCATATAAGGTCTATGACCATGTTGCGGGTCCAACAAAGCCTACTTCTGGCATAGGCTTGAATGGAAGACCCTCGGCATCTGCTGTATTCTGCCAGACACTGGAGAGCAAAGAAGTCAACACAAGCGCCCTCAAGAACATACCAAAAAAGGATACTCACGTATTGCCCCACCACAGAAGCTCAATACCACCCGTCTTGGGCAGTCCCAACGCGAAGAACACCACAATCATCGCGATCGCGACGCCAGCGTCGAGAGCCGCAGACAGGATGTAGTTGTAGCGCATCCACCAGCGGAAGTGGAAACGGCGGATGCAGAAGTTGAAGATGAAGCCCCAAAGGACCCAGGAGATGTAGTTGATGCCCGAGGCGGGGGGCATCGCACCGAGGCCGGCGAAGAACACGGGTACGTTGATGTAGCGCCAGAATGACAAGGGGAAGCGGCGGGCGAGGAAGTAGAAGGGGATGGGGCCGAGGAATCCGATGAGGAAGAACCACAGGAGACCGGAGTAGGGTGCACCTGGGCTGAAGAGGCGGGCAGGGCCGACGGCACCCCAGATGACGGAGGCGGTGGCGAAGGTGGTCGAGCCGGGGCAGCGGAAACCGGACTTCTGGCCGGGTGTACAGATATCCTCGATGTTTGTGAGCATGAAGTCCTGGACAAGCGTAACCCAGACGCAGGCGATGCATGCGGCGACGACCTGGACAGAAAACATGATGCGGGGCGGAACCTTCATGTAGTGGCCGAGCTTCAAGTCTCCTGCGAAGTTGATGGCCTGGTTGGCGGTGATGAAGGCGATCGTCTTGAAGATGACGTTGGCGATGGGGCGTCCTGGGAGCATGTAGCCAACGATCAGCTCGTGCATCACCTGTGTGGGCACTTGCTGGTTGGTAATAGCTTGGAGCATGGCAAGAGGGATGGTTAGGATGGCGGCAAGAGCGATACCGACGACGGCAGCCCAGATAGGGAGTTGAGTCGGGGTAAGCTCGATGGCCGTGCAGAGGAAGGCAAAGGCGATAACGCCGACGATGCCGTACCACCACATAGGAACCTCAGGATAGTACTGCATGAGGCGAGAGTGGATGTCGCGCTCGTCTTTCAAGGTGTTACGGAATCGGCGGACGATATCTTTGCGGAACCACACTAAGGCGCTAGATGAGTACCAGAACGTAACTGAAAAGTCGGATGACGCTTACGGAAAGTGTGCACGAAGACAGCAGGGAAAGCGGCGAAGGCAATACCGTATGCCAACGCGAGCGTAACCGACATGAAAACAGGAGAGTAGGCCGCATACTTTTCGGGGTCAAAGATGCCGTCAGTAACAATTTGCTTGGCTTGGTAGGGCATGCCAGTGTTGTCCCAGGAGATGTAGGCGGAGATGGGGAAGTATGCGGAATTCCAGACATTCGTGACTAGGAGGAGAGATCAAATTTCGAGACATCATGAAGAAAGAGAAGACATACAGTAAAGAATGGGGGCAACGATCCAAAACATGATAATGAAAGCGACACCGGTGTTCATTTGAGACCACCACTGAAAGCAAAAAAGTCAGCAAGGCAGAACGAATATAAAAGTCCAAAAAACGTACAGGTGTGACGAGAGGACTGCCAATGAAAGCAATCATGCTCCAGTCAAAAGTGAGGATACTCATCCCGAGGCCGGTGTTGGTACCGAACAGCGCGTTTACGACGATGTTGGTGGGCACGATCCAGCACACCCAGTTGAACATGCTCAATCCGGTGAAGAGGAATCCTGGGACCCAGTACCACACAAAGCTGATGGCCATGGCGATGCAGAAGAAGCGCTCGCGGGACATGTGCCTCCTCTCGGGGCTGACGTACGAGTGCTTGTGGAGGGTGTTGAACAAGGCCGAGTTGACCAAGGCACCGGGCCAGATCATGCTGGACGGCCAGACGACGAACTGCCGGAGGAAACCACCGAAGGAGAACCCGATTATCTGCGAGCCGAGCGCGAGGAGCATCTGGTAGCTCATGGGGACGGTTTGGCCGTAGAAGATGCGTTGGGTGAGGACGACCTCGGTCGAGTAGGCGCCTCCGACGACCACGTTGGCCATGACGGTGATGCAGACATGCTCCTTGATGGAGAACGGGCCCGGGTTGAGTGACCAGATGTATCCAAAGGTGTTGAACTTGGTGGTGGGGAGGACGCGGGCGAGGCCTCGACCGAGAGGGAGAGAGACGAGCTGGGCGACGATACCGGTGATGAAGACGGAGGGGTCTGGAGAATTCAGATTAGTTAAAGAACTGTAAAAGTATGGGTAAGCAACTCACAGCGCAATGCGAAGATCTGGTTGAATCCTGAGACTAGGAGGACGAAGATAATTCCCAAAAACCACATGCGGAAAGTGTTGACTGGCATCAACGGATCATCGACGCTGGTGACTGCGGCTCGCACTTCGGGGTAGGGAGACTCGCTGAAGCAGGAATGAGCAAAGAAAAGGGACAAAAAGAACCAGAAGTACGCACTCGTCGAAATCAATTGCCGTCGAGTTTCTAGACTCTGCTCTCGAGGTGGAGTACCGATCCGACTCGAACTGGGACTCGGCATCGACATCGGAGTGAGTGTAGGTGCCTTTCTTGCTCTTCTTTTCTACGGAGGTGAATGAAGGCGGACGAGCCCTCAAGTCGTAGTTGGGATCGTTCAAGTGCTCCATCATGAAATCGACATCCTCTGGAACGTCGGGGACATTGCGGGCGCGGATATTCGACAGGTGAACATGTTCGGTGGAGGACGTATAAGGCCTGGCCTCATCCATGGCAGCCATCGGTGTCGTGTCGGAGGGGGAGGGGACTGGAAGGGGAGGGGGAGTGGGGGGTACCGCAAGGGGGGAAAGGCGGGATACGGAATGAGCTCAAGACTTGGGTCCTTATGAGGACCGCCATTCGGGGACCCATGAGGAAAAGCATAAGATTACATTGCACGGCCAACCTGATCGATTCCAAGTCCAGAGGATGGAAGCCAGGACCAAGATTCCCCGAAACAATTAGACAATAGAGGCCAATGATAAGTGAGGGACACCGTGGGCACATCGAGTCAGATGCGCACTCAGGGTCAATTCCCATGGCCCATACGCGCTTCTCTTGCCTTGGAGGTCCATCCACCGACGCGTTCTGGACGCTGAGCTCGATGGTTGCTGTCTTTCACCCGCTTTCTGGGGTGTATTCTGCAGTGCAGGGCAGCTCGTAGATGCTGTTCACGGACGAAACGAGATGAGATGTGAAAGACTATTATCGCTATTGTGTTCTAAGGAATACACAGAAGCCGGGCTGCTTTCCTTTCTTGGCAGACATTGCTGACAGGTCTTTTTGTTCTCGCAAATGATCGGTCCGATCCATCGCTGACGTAACCAATGCGTAGGACGCCGCTATAAACCACGGGATGCCCTTTCTTTCAGCGCGCTACAATTGTCAGTCAGACGCCAAGTTTACCCTAATCTTTCCCCCCTCTTTTCACCTCATTTTGTGAGTCCTCGCTGATGCGCGCCGCGTACTGACTTGGTACTGACTATTGTTTGAGCGTCTCTAGTCATTGCCGTCCACAATACGTACTTCAATAATAACAGAACCCCTCTATATTAAAGCTAAAGCGCTCCATTTCACTTACATCAGAGTTATTTTAATATCCATCTCTCAGAACTCGACTGGATATCCTCAGGACACCGGACCCCGAGTCTATTAAACTTTATTTCTCACTAGGCCTCTTTCAAGGAGCTATATTAGAATCTCCTATCTCTCGCTCAGCTGCCCTGGGTCCGAATGTTGCGCTTTCATAGTAGAGCGCGTCTTTACCCATCCCCTTCCCGTGCTGATCACCCGCACGCGTTCCCGCCTTTTTGGGTCGCTTGTCTCACTTCGTGCATGGCCGCCATGCGCATTCCGTAGCGGTGCCAGTTGTTAGGACCTTTACTGGAGGCATCTGTTGAAGGTCTCACCCAGCACTCCATTTCATACTCTAGACGTCAAGGTGGTAGACATGGAGACTTCCCTTATCAACAGCACTTGTGGGTCCAATCGCCATAAATGTAGTCGCTGAATTTCTTGGTTTCGGATAGAGTATGATACGGTTGACGGCTGGGCTCAGGTCTATGTCAGACGATGATCGCGTCAGGTTTGCTCAGGTTTTGCCCATTAGGTGTGCATCCCTCCTACTTTTTGGTCGATATATAGATGGTACAGAAGATCTCAATAACATATAGGTACAAAACTCACCGTGAACAAGCCAGGGAGAGACAAACCAGACCTGAGCTCAGTCGATGGAGAGGGCTGTTTTACATAAGAGAAGGAGTGGTATCAGGGGTACATGGCACCGCGTCCTATACTTAGTTGCGAGAGCGTGACACTAATTAATGTGTAATGTATTTTAAAAGAAGTTTGAGACGATCTGGGATGATGCTCATAGCTGCGCACACCAGTTTCAGCAGTCTTGGTCAGACCGTACGTAGGCATTTACCGATATCTACAAAACCTCAACATTCAGTGCTCAGCCTCTAGATGGCTATCATACAAGTCAAGCCGATGGGTAGCACTTAATTTCATTGGGTTCCCGGACATATTGGCGGGCTGATCCACCTAGCGAGAGAGACTTGCAAACCTCTACTATGTGTGATGGGAAGATGGTGAGATCTTGAGCTAGAGGACCTGGACAGCTAAATAAGCGCTCGAAACACTGAGATTTACAGGTGAAATTTAATGTTTAAAGTGATCGCAACTGCTGTTCTGATACACCCCAAAACATTACCCAAAACATAAGGCGGAAAAAAAACCTTTATTGAATCTTTACAAAGAGAGAACAAAGGGACATATGCACGATCCTATATTTTCCATGAACAACTCATGTTATGAGGGCTAAATGAGGGCGGATATTAGCCGCCGTGACAAGCGCCGTCACGAACGCACACCTGCCATCTGGCAAGGACCCCGGAGAAGGCCCGTCGTGCGTCGCCCTATTGAAATATAGACCTGAGCCCAGCCGTCAACCGTAGTATGATCTATTCTCGGTGCCTTGCCAACAGCAGTAATTGATACATTATGAGCTGTCCCGGCACTACATGCACTGCAGTCTGTGAATAGCCCTTCTACGAGTACAGAGAGCTCGTCACTGTTGCGAGATACGTCCCGCGGTGGTGCATACCTTGGGATAATAACGGTGGTCATCAGTTCTGCCAAGAAATTGTGGTAACACAGACATCGAAAAGCGCTTGGACCTTTAGCCACCGTTATCTGTTACTTGTAATGGTACAAGCCATGATTTGCAGAAAATTGATTCTCTTCACGAATTTCCATTGGGCAACGTTCACCCCGTGTGGCGCACAGTGGACGCAAGTTTGACCTGGGGCGATCACACACACACACACATGTGACATTATGAAAGCCCAGTCTTAATAGGGTTAGGCGCCTGTGGGATCTTCGCTTGGACCCTGCAAAGAAACGCACCATAAAGCGCTAACTGATCGCTGTGGGCGCTTCGGCGCTGATGGCAACGGGCCGCCAGCCCGCGTTTGCTGATGTCGTCATCATGTGCCAAGTCGTTTCTCTCTTACCACCACGCTCGTGCTCCTATCTGCAGATATGGACTCTGGATCCCATGAATGAGGTCCTTGTGGCACAGATTTTCTATTATTCAGCTTCTGGGAACCATTCGTTCTCTAGAACGACCGAAGATATCCAGTAATATGGCGAACAGGAGATCAGATTCAACTTCGACGACCTTTCTCCTACGCAAACACTTTATGCCGAACACCCTATGGCTCTGCTTCTCCGATAAGCCATCCATAACACTCCAAAATCCTTGGTTATCTTACCTTCTCGTGACCAGACCTCCGCTCTAGGTGTAAATTTGGTTCCTTCCTGAGCACGCGGAAATGGCCCTTCGTTAGGTGTTTTTGCCACGCGATTGCGTATTCCGAAGACCAAATGACGAGCTCACCCAATTATGCCCTGCCTTTTAAACGGGATGACGCCTGTCAGGGTCTGCCCTACAGATAGGCTTCCCACCATCGCTAACTGTGCCAACTCTAAATGCCTATCGCCACCACCACCACTACTGCGACGAAGGTCGAGGAGGCCACGCAGGGTATTGCAACCTTGAAGCTGCGCTCTCCTGCTGCGGGTGAAGGAGAGAAGGCTGGAGAGGAAGGGTATCGATATGCGCATCTCTTGCCGCACTTCTCTCCTGATCATTATCCTCCCTTGACGCCTTTCGAGCATGTCGATCCCGGACATCGGGCGCTTGCTCTCCCCAACCCTCGTGCTTTCCTTGACAGTGCTGCGAGCGTCGTCGAGCTGACACCTCATCTGGGAACGGAGGTTACTGGTATTAACCTGGCGGAGCTGGATAGTTCTGGTCGTGATCAATTGGCACTGGAGGTACATACGTTTGCCGATCATCTCTTCGTAGTTGCAACAGATCTAACTTAAGGTATGTTTAGGTCGCTCGGAGAGGTCTTGTAGTCTTCCGTGACCAACAAGATTTTATTGATCGCGGACCTGATTTCTACCGTGAATGGGGAAGCCATTTCGGACGGTATGTTTATTATATTTTGGAGAAGGGAACACAACCAACACGTCCTCCAGCCTCCACATTCATCCTACCTCGGGTCACCCTGTTGGCTATCCTGAAATTCACTTGGTGTATCGGTAAGCATTCGCATCAAGTAATCCCCTTGAACTTCCTCTTACCATGATTTCAGCGATCTGAAATCGACCTTCAACTTCGAGTACGAAGACTCCATCACATCCACCCTCTGGCACTCCGACGTCTCTTACGAGCTGCAACCTCCGGGCCTGGCCACCTTCTTCCTGCTCGCCCAGCCTCAAAGCGGTGGCGACACCCTCTTCACATCGCAAGTCGCCACCCTGAAGCGGCTCTCCCCCCAGTTCGTCGCCTTCCTGCGCACGCTCAAGGCCGTTCACTCGGGCGTCGAACAGGCGCTGTTCTCTCGCGCTGGTAAGCGCGGCGGCATTGTGCGTCGCGAGCCCGTCGAACACGTCCACCCCATCGTCCGACGCCACCCTGTGACGGGCGAAGAGGCGCTCTACGTCAACAGACAGTTCACGCGCCGTATTGTTGGCCTGAAACGCGAGGAGTCAGGTATACTTTTTCATTTCTCTCCTTCCTAATTGTCGTGAGGTGATTAAGAATTATCTTATTAATCCCGTTCTCCCGCAGAAACCATCTTGAGATTCCTTTACGACCACGTCGACAAAAGCGCAGATAACCAGGCCCGCGTCAAATGGCGTCCCAACACTGTTGTCCTGTGGGATAATCGAGTCACTGCCCATGTGAGTGTTCTCATCACTCCGAGTCCGTGTCAATGGAAGCTTGAGTCAACTAATCGGCGATGTGTTCCCCCTTTTACATAGTCCGCCATTGTTGACTTTAAGGAGACTGGAGAAGCTCGCCATGGTGCTCGTATCACCCCTCAAGCAGAACGACCAATCCCTGCTCTCGAAGGCCTCGACCTTTCTTCATAAGATATATATCTGTAAAATGAACCCGAGAGGTGTGGATGGGTGTGAATAGCGTGAACAAAAATATAGCATACAAATACAACAAGAATGATGAAGACGTTCCAGATATGCGCCTGTTCCTAAAGAGACGAATGAAAATGACCTTGATGAGAGGGAGGTATCGATCGCATCCGCGTTTGGTGCTCAAGGAAACGTGAGTGGTAGGCGCCAGCGCTGACAGTGGAGAAGAATCTTTCTAGTGCATCCGCTGACTCGCCCTCGCGGACCTCAAGCATCTTGCCTTTGTCAAATAGATCGATTATGCGATGGGCCAACTTGGCGTCTGCTTCCAAGTCCTCTTTCCGGTGGAATCTAATCTTGACGGTGCACAAGGAGCGGCTCCTTTCGAGGGCGGAGAGAAGGGTTGGCCATGATAATTGTTGGAACCCGACGTATTCCAATACCTCGAGCTTTGGAAGGATACTTGGTTGTTCGACGCCATGCGATTCATCAGGAAGCCTCGAGATGCAAGCGAGAACACGAGGACTCATAATCGGGGCGTAGGTTTCGAATATAGTCGTTATGATGGACAGTCTCTTCAACGAGGGAATTTTGGAGAGCAAATTGATAATATTCTCTTCATCCACTGGAGAACTTGTCAGGGTTAATATTCGTAAAGGGCATGCGGAACGAGTAAGAAGGGATACGAAGGGAGGGACTTCGAGGGTTTTCTCTGACCCGTCATAGCTGAGCTCTTCTAGGGCCGGTAGTGCGATTTTGTCGAGGAGGGCGGAGATTGAGACGCCTCTCTCATGACCAAGGTGTAGGTATTTTAGCGATGGAAGTGTTAACCTGCTTTCGAGGAGGGTATGGGTTTCATCGCCGCCAATGATAAAAGGAAATGCCGCGCTGACGAGTCGTGGTGCTCGGTGAAACATTTCAAGACATTCATCAAGGTAGAAAGCGGATGCGTAAATGTCTGTGATGCTGTCCCACTGTACCTGCACGGAGGCAAGGTATACGGATGAGAGGTGAAGTCGTTTCAGGGAAGGGGTGGATACGAGGTGCAGTGTTTCCGCACTATTGGACTGGCCATCTGGGGGATCAATGTATAGGTATTCCAGCGTGGATCTCCCCAACGGATTCGTGTGGAACGTATCGAAGAAGTAGGTCGGGATGCGGATGTCGAGTTCGCGCCAACGTGACGCGTGTGTGTTGAGTGCAGCAATTAGTAGAATAACTTGGTCGGCGCGTGCCATGATGTTGTTACCATGGGTGGTGGCCTTGGGCTCGCATGATAGGCGAATATACAGAGGAAGGTTTCCACTACGCCCGAGCCATTGCTCTGTCAGTCCTGTAAGGGTCTCCAGATCCTGTCCTGCGATGTACAGTGAAAATGTGTTCCAAAGTGCAGGGGTGGTCCATGCTATATCTCTCCAATGTTGGCAGACAGCACCAAGGAGAAGGGGCATAAGATTGTTTCTCATATCGCGTTTCCTGGTATCGAAAGTTGAGAAATCAGGGAGACAGAAGGTGAAGATGTGGGAAAGGATTTCAGGGGGAAGGATGTTGTTGATGGGGCTGTTCATCTGGTTTATCCTGGATTTCAAGGGAGCACGCCGCTTGACGAGCTTAGCTAGCATCCCCTCGACCTGGCTAATTATTCCGTCCAACGCTGCGAGTTCGGCGAACGGGTCGTCTGCTGGAGGCTGGGTGCGTTCCAATAAATCGTGTACAATATCTTCAAGGCTGAGTACTCCATGGCACATCGCCGTGGGGAGGGTATCTGTCTCGGTTCGACGTGCGCACGATGGAAGTCTGCAAGCAACCGACGGTTTCCCACTGGTCAGTCAAGTGGAGAGAAACGGAGGAGATACAGATGTCTAACCTGAATTCTCTGGTCAGAAAGCCTTGAGAAAGCCGCTGTGTAAATAGGAAGTTTGAACCGGCAGGATCAGTTCTAACAGTGATATGCTCGTGGTGTTATTTGAGGACGTGAGGGTACCTGGCTAAGTCAAACGTACGAAATTCGAATGGCGAACCCGGATGAGCCGGAGTCAGGTCTTACAGAACCGGCCCGCCAATCTCTCAATGGGAATCAGAACTGGCATTGGAAGGTGAAGACGAGCTTCATCAGGCATACTAAAGACTGAAGACACTTGGGTCAGGGCATTAATAACAGTATTCAATTGTCAGCGACTAGTGCCCTAGATAGATCATAAAAGTACGACGACAGCGACAGGCATGGAGAAAGGATGGATATGAAGGATAGCAATCATTGTAATTTCAAAGGAAAGAAACTGACTTCGCGTGAGATTCATTGGCGGTGTCGGACTGGAGTTGTATTCTCAGCCGGATCATTGGTCCATTGGTCGACAATTCTATCCACTTGGGATATTCATCAGGTCCTATCTCTGGAATATTCGCATCTCGGCGTGTCACATAAAACGTAACAGATTTCAGCTTCGCCACAGTCGTCCGATGTGGTTCGTCGCCTTTGGCTTCATCTCGCGGCAATAGGCTACGTTTCCTAGAGTCCAGAGTCTCAAGAAGCAAAGACCACTGAAAACTTTGTGGGCCATGATACTCGAGCACCTCCAAGGCAGGAAGGAGGCGGTCTTGGTTGTCCGAGGGAGCTTTGAGTGGGTGGCATAAACGCAGAACGCTGTCGTTAAAAAGGGAGAGGAGCTGGCGCTGAGACCGGCGGGAAAAGTGGGAATGTTGAGGACGACCTTATGGATCGCCTTCAAGGCTCGTAGCAGCTGAACGAAGACGTTCTCACTGGAGACTGTTGTCCGATTCAGAGTGAAGGTGTGTAGAGATGGGGATCTGGAGATTAAGGCGCATAGTTGTGGGACGTGTATTAGGTTTCTTCCTGAGTAGCTCAGTTCCTTGGCGTTGGGTATTAGTATGCTGTCAAATAAGAGGGATATCGTGGTATCTCTGTCGTTTTCGATGCTTAATGTCTTGAGAGATGATAATAAAAGAGGAAGTTCTGGCAGGGCATGGCCGTCATCTCCGCCGATAATATTTCGGAGAGAGCACGAAACGACTTGTGGCGATTGTCGTAATGCCTCCAGGCATTCGTCGACGTAGAAAGCTTCTAGCCGAAGTTCAGTGACCTGATCTCATTGGAAACTCATTGGAACAAGGTAGACGCAGCTAAGGCTTAGATGCTTGATCTGCGCGCACTTGCTCATGTCGACTTTATGCCGGCGTTCTCCCTGTTCTGCAGGCTGGTTGAGATGAAGAGAATCGGGGAGGGGAAGGGGATCTTCGAGCGAAGGAAGATACTTACTGCACGACGTTGGAAGCCTTAGATACAAGTCGCGCCAACGCGACGCGAACCTGTTAATTATCTCGATTGCAGATCCTGGAGTTGAAGGTGGGGCCCAATGGTTGTCTTCGCAGGAATGGAGTCTGATTGACAGTGGGAGACCTCCTGAACGCGCCAGCCATTCTTCCAACAGGACCATTTGCGCGTTTATCGTCCGTGTGTTCATGTTGAGGATCAACGTCTTCCAAAGGGACGGCGTACTCCACGCAATCCTCCTCCAGGTGCTGCACACCGCGCCGAAGAGCAACGGAACGAACGTCTTGACTTCGTCACTGGCGTACAGCGTGAATGGTGGGATACAGAACTGGAATATCTTCGAGAGCAGCTCCGGGGGGCAGAATACGAAGGATGGGAGAGTGAAGATGGTTAATGCGTTCTTTCAGCATGTGCGTCTTGTGCACGAGGGCGGCGAGCACCATGGACACCTTGGTGACTTCGGCCTCGACGGCAGCGAGCTCAACACGCGGATCGTCGCTCGGTAGAGGGTAGTGCATAACAGGTGATCTTTTCACGGAAGAAGGTGGAGATTGGGGGCCTTCATGAAGCATGCAGAAATGCTGAGCGTCTATTCAATATGCATGTCATTGCAACTTGCCACTGAACGCGCCAGCGAAGCTCAGTGTGTCGTGAATTATCAGTATAGAAGCTTGAAGCTGTAAAACGTAACGTTAGACGAAAGCTGTGTAGTGAATGGATGGGCAGAGGACATACTGTGGGGTATCGTTCACGTAGTTGGGGTATCTGTCGGACTTGGTCAAGACAGGAACGGCCCGAACGGGTTGATCGCCCGTTACCGCGTCACTGTAGTACACACTTTCCTTCACACTTCCACGACCGATACTGCCCAGAGAGCGGCCATGTCTTCTCTCTATCCCATATTCTGTATACTATGCGTCACGGTGCTCAAGGAAGTGAACACGGCCGTGACTGAACCTTACATGGTACAATGCCATCCCTGGGAACAGAACTGCAACCTACTCACTGACTTGCTGGCTACCTCAAGGATGAGCCTTTCCACATCCCGCAGGCTCAGGCATACTGTCACGGCGAATTCTCAACATGGGATCCGAAAATTACCACTCCACCTGGACTGTGAGTCGCCTTCGAATTCGCTATTCAATGCCTTCACGCCGACCACCCGCCAACCTTAGGTATGTCCTCTCGTGGATCCTGAAACGCCTCTTTCTGTTCAAGTGCAACGTCAACATGCTTCGACTGACACCCCTCCTGACGCTGCTTGCACTTCCGCTGGCCTTGACTCGCCTGTTGTGCTACCATAAACGCGAGCGGCCTCCGGCTTCGATCACCTCGCCTCTCGTCGAGGCCATCATCCTTTCCGCGTTCCCGATCGCATGGTTCTTTGGATTCTTGTATTATACGGAGGTGCCGAGTGTCACGCTAGTGGTTTGGACGGTCGTGGCTGCTTCAGAGGGAAAGCACTGGCTCGCAGCTTTGGTGTGCTCTCTGTCGTTCTCGGTTATCAAGTGCTGACGATCGACAGCTAGGTTTGTTAAGTTGTACTTTCCGGCAGACGAACATCGTCTGGGTGCTGTATGCTTATGCCTCGAGCCAGCTCGTGTTTTTGCGCTTCAGACGTGCTCCTGCAGGGCAGCCAGCTCCAGCTAAACTTCACGATCCTCCGAGCCTCGTCGCTGGCCCCGGTGCGTGTTTTCTCCGGGAATAAGAATCTGCGATGAATTTAGATGATCTTCAATGTATCCCAGGTGACCTGTTACGATCGATAATAAGCTTTCCGAAAGTCCTTCCGGACATACTTCCTGCTTTCGTGCCCTACACGTTGGTTGTTGCAGCTTTCGGCGCCTTTGTGGTGTGGAACGGAGGGGTAGTTCTTGGTATGGCGATTCCTTCGGATCGAGTGGTCCTATTGCTGAAAAGCTGGCTAGGCGACAAGTCCAATCATATACCCGCGCTTCATATACCCCAATTGTATTACTTCGTTGCAGCCGCAACGTTCTTCGGGTGGCCAGTTTTGCTATTCGGAAAAGAGGGACCAGATGTCCTTCTTCGGGAAGTACGAAGCCGGATGTTTGGCAATAAGACGTATGTTTCGTTCAGTAGTCTATCTCTTGGTCCTGACGGATGTCTGCAGGCGTACATCCATCACACTCGCCGTTTGTGGTATCATGGGGATGACTGTGAAGCTTTTCACGTAGGACATTCCGCGATGTTCTATCTCCGTTACTTACCTCGTAATTTCAGCATCCATCACCCTTTCCTCTTGTCCGACAATCGACACTATACATTTTATGTGTGGCGCCGAATTTACATGTTTCATCCCGCGGTACCCTACCTCTTGATCCCCGTATACCTTGCCTGTGCTTGGGCATGGTTCTTGCGCATCGGTGAGTTCATGTACCCTGTCATTCAGAAGTAAAACTGACCCCAGCTGCAGGTCAGGATCAGACCCTCTTGCAAAGCTTGCTTTTGCCCTTTTTCGTAGTTCCGACCCTTCTTCCTTCTCCGCTCCTAGAGCCTCGCTACTTCTTGATTCCGTATTTTCTGCTGCGTGCACAAGTTTCTGACGTTTCAGAGCTGGGGGTGGGGTTGGAAGGGGTATGGTACACGCTGATCAACGTTATAACCATGGGTGTCTTCCTGTATCTGCCGCGGGAGGGGGTTGGGCGATTTATGTGGTAGCACTTGCACAAACAGACACAAAGCGACGCGACGGGGTATGTTGAAGCCGAAATAGGCAGGAGCACATTGGCACTACTTCCGCCGCTCACGACAAATCACGACCAACGACGCTCTTCATTTTCCTTCACAATCCATGCCCGCAGAAACCAAAGCAGTCGCATCCCCTGCAAAGTCAAAACCCACCACCCGCAGCTCCATTCGGCAGTCTCTCAACCTCGCCTCAGTGAGCAAGGCACTTGTCGATGTAATTAGCAAGGATGGACGCGAGGCCAGCAAAAATGCTAAGAAAACCAAGGACGCATCGCGTCGCTCGAGTGTAATCCCACCAGCTGCCCCCCGTCTCTCCATGGGCGATCCCACTGCTAGACCGTCGTCGCAAGTCTCGAAGCGCACAGGCACCCCAGAGTCTAAGACGGTCACTCGCAGGCGAGTATCCGCCTCGTATGCCCGCTCGTCGTCGGACGAACAGTCGTCGAAGCCAACAGAGCCTTCGACTTCACCATCAGCAGTGCTCCCCAGGTCGACTACCCTCCGTCCCAAGAATCTTAATGCCACCAATTCAGCTCTCCCCAAATATAGACCCAAGTCAACAGTTGTTGAACCTACGAAGCCACCATCACCAGTGAGACCTGGGGTTCGGCGTCGTCTCAGCACATCGGATGAAGAGAAGAAGGAGCAGAATCGACCAGGATCTGCCACAGCTCCAGAGGAGAAAACGTCACGTCCTATCAGTCCTCTGCCTCAGAGGGCCACCCTCAAGGCGAATTTGACCAACTCCGTCAATGCTACACCCCCATCAACCCCATCAAAGGCGAAACATATGCCTCCTGCATCTGCCAAGGAATCCCCTTCCCGCCCCACCAAGATCGTTAAGACTGCTGCTACTTCTATTCCTCGCCCACCCTCATCTAGCTCCTCTGCGCCATCTGTACATCTGAATGCCACACCCAAAAGGCCAACACCCAAGGTTTCTACACCCAAGGCTTCAGGCGTCAAGAGCAAACTTGGACACTCCTCCCATTCCGCCCAAGATAAATCTGGTGGTTCGCCGTTCAAGGTTCCGGCATCTCCTTATTCGCGAGATTCACCTTCACCTTCGGAACGCCATGCTCGCAAGAACTCTAAGTTTACGACTCCGGCATCGTCGATGGCGTCGGGCAACATGTCGCATATATCAGAAGGCACCAGCGAGCCAGAGGATAGTGACGAGGAGGACGTTGAACTGCTGCTTGCACCGGTCGCTGCGCTCGGTGCTCCTACACCCGCAATGCCAAAGATTCAGACCTCTCGCAAACGGCTCATCCCACAAACTCCTACACGTCCTGGTCTGCCAACACGCGACAAACTTTCATATGTTTCTCCTATGCCTCCTGATTCTGACAAGAAATCCGGGGCGTTTTTGAGACCTCCGCGGCAAACACCTAATTCAACCGCTGCCCGCGGTTCGATACTATCTTGGGAACAACTAGCAAACGAGTCGTCGCGAACCATCGGCGAGGATGAGTTCGGTCGTATGCTTGCTGACATTCCTGCCCCGTTCCGTTCCGGTGCTGCATCTCCGAGCCTTAGCTCACAGATGGATGTCCCAGAGAGCCCGTGCTTAAGCGCGATTGACTCTCCAGGTGGTTACGGCTCCATCTCCCAGGTTCTATTACCGGACGTGACGCCTTCACCTGCAGTGCACCACGCCGCCCAACAAGCCCGGTTCAACCTACCCTCAGAGACCCCCGGTGCTGCCGATGCCTCGGCAGTGACCTTCCTCCGATTGCAGCTCGCTCAGGTGGAGAACACGGCCAAGGAGCGGCTCTTCCAGATGCAGGCGATGGAGGAGGAGATCCACAACCTTAAGCAGGCGCATGCACTACAGATGGAAGAGGCCCACAAGCAGATGCAGTACATGGAGATGCAGGGACGCGAGAATGACGCGAAGGCGTCGTATGCAACCTCTTTGGAGGAGCAGCTTTGCCAAGCCCAACTACTGCGCGATCAGGCTGTCGAGGAGGCGGTTGCTCGTGCGCGGCAGACAGAGCACGGCCGGGTGGAGGTACTCAAATATGAAAAGTGCAGATTGGCGGCGGCCGGGTGCGCGGGCCTCGCTGCTTCGAAGTGGGATATAGTGCGGAGTGCATGTGAGGTTGAATTGGACCTTGTCCGTGGCGACAGGGAACTGTTGGCGCTTTTGTTGGCGCAGGTTGAGCAATTGTCTCAACCTCTTTGATTTTCTACTCTACTCGTTCTCACATTTGGTGCGTTGGCGTCTACATGAACACCCTTATATCTTCTCTGGCACTATATTTTTTTGCTACAGCGCCCTGCCTTATTTCTTGGCACGTCTGTCCTTTGCCTCCTTTAATCTTTTCGATCTGTATTTTTAGCTCTTATGTTCTTAGTACTGGCTGGATACATCTGCTACCAACCTATCCGCTCTCTCTGTTTGTCCTATGTACTGTGTATATTCCTCTATCTCTCTTGAATGATAATGATCACGACGACGATCCTTTTCCTTTCTTTTGACACCAATAATTGATTCCAAGGCAAGAAAATAACAGAATTACGTCGAGTACATACAAAGATAAATTATCAAAGCCTTATGATCGAAGATACAATTCCTGGGCCTCAATACATGCGTCCAGGAGGCAGGCATAGTTTTCCGATGGCGTGGCTTGACTGAGACGATCCATAACTGATTTCAGAATTTCAGAACGCCTGGTAGTCGTTAGCTGATGCTCAACGTTCTAAATAGGAAGATACGTACTCCATAGATCCATAGGCAACGTCAACTTCGCAATCCAAGGAATTGAGCGACATAGGCCATTGCGATAGTGTGTTGAAGGAGAACATGAAAGAGATAAACGCCCTGCCCGTCTTCGACGGGAACATGACAGCGGCCCGAGCTTTGAAGGACGGCGACGGGTTCTCAGGCGACGGTGGGGGCACAACGATGTCAACGGGGTACTTGATGCTGAGAAGGGTAAGTTGGGATCGAAGTTGAGCACAAGAGGACCAGTAATCGTTCAGACGATGAACAATCTGAAGAAAGGAAGATACTTGAGTATACCAGCGCAATATTAATGGTGAAGTAAACGTACCTGACGAACCGTGAGATCCTCACTCTCATTGATATGGTACTTGGCTGTGGCCAGAAGGAAGGCGCTAAGCTTCGGGAAGTCATCTTTATATCTTGTGCCCGCTTTCGCATATCGAGTGATGTTGACTTTGGTGACAATAGGCACGAAGTTTCTGCACGGTATTGAGACTTGGAACAGGGAAGCGTAAACGTATTCAAATAGGTCGGCGTTGACTTTGGATATCCTGAACATATGAAGGTCTTCCAAAGCCTCTAGTTCTCCCCTTAGTCTGAAGACTTCAGACCGTGTTGATGTTTGCTTCATGCGCAGAACCCGTGCAGCGGTGCTGATGGTGTTCTTCGCTTCGCGCTTCTGGGCCTCAATCTCGTCGACGCGTTCTTGTAGCCAGCGTACTTGATCAGATCCCTCCGCGATTTCCGCTTTGAGAGCCTCGACCTCGATACTAAATAATCCGAGACGTCATGAGCCACGAAGCTATGCCATCTAGTTAGCACGTACTTCTGCTCAGCGATAGTTGCTTTGAGTTCATTTAGGTAGTCCTGGTCGCTCTCTTCAATCTCCTTCACTTCTGCCTGCTCTTGCTCAAGCTCGAGCATGAGCTCTTCGTACTCCTTCTCCAACTCTGGCAGAACACCATCTATGGATTTCTTGAGATCTTCCAAAGCTCGGGCATCCTAGAGGGTTCCTTAACGAGTACCCAGTGTCCGATTGAGATACACCTACGTTTTCCAATGATACGAACTCTTCGTCCGCTGTAACATGTAGGCCCTCAATCCATTGCAATTTCCAGTCGTACCAATCGGACTTCGCCTGATACCTTACGTGCGTTTTGATTAGGTTGAGTTGGTGCTGTCAATACATTTAGTTCGCTAGAATTTGTGTCAACATTGCAATCAACTTCACATACCATAAGCTCGGCTTGTCCCTCTTCGTCCGCTCTGGCGTACTCGACGAATAATTCGGGCGTGACCTTGGCAGCCTCTTCCTCTGCCTGCGCAAACACAAGCCTACTCTTACACATCCAACCCTCCAGGTCTCTTGACACTCGGGAATATAGGTCAAGTTGCGGAATGTCGATTGCCATTGCAGTGACATATTCCGCAAGAGGAATATCTGTTGGACTGCGGGGCTGGCGTGTAGGTTGTTGTGAGGGGTGAATAGAACGTCTGGGCGCAGTCAGCTCGTCCATGAATTTGATGTTCGTCATCGAGAAGAATTGCGTGATTGAAATCGCGGGCTGGGTGTTCCAGGTCAGTTAAGGGATGATTTCGAAATGAAAAACCGCCTACCGTCTCTTTTCCCTCTTCGACGAATTCACTCTGCTGAACACCTTCGCGCCATTGTTGTGTCGCATCGGTGTCGACCTCTATGTCTTGTGAGAGTTCTGCAACCTCTGGAGCCTCTACCACACTACGGACAATAGACGCTGAATGTTGAGGTTCAGGTGTCAGTTCTCTCGGCGCGGGCGTAGGAGCAGCAACGCGAGTTGGGGCAGGCGACCCTCTTGTCGGGCTAGGTACAGCAGTTGCTTGCCTGGTAGTTTCACGTACAGAGTGTGCTGCCTCAACCTCCTTTTCCTTGCCTTTCTGCGATACGGGTTTATCTAGGACTCCAGAACCGGCATCCTTGTCAAACCTCGTCCAAGCATCCGCTGGTGCTGACCCTAGACTGACACGACCAAGGCCGATACCGGCTTTCTTCTTTGGGGACGAAGGCATGACGGTTTGTGTACTCTCGGAGGGGACACTGAAGCCGACGGCAAGACTCTTCCTTTTCGCGAAGTATCCTGAGGGTCGTCTCAAAGCAGAAGGCGGACGTGACGTAGCCTGTGCTGACTCGGAATAAGGCGCTTCAAACAGCACCTTCTTACTGGGAGAGAGAGGTCTCGGTTTGCTTGCTGATGCCGGAGTTGCAGCTATTGATGGAGGTTTTTCAGTTGCGTCTTGCCATTTGCTAACCAGGGTTTGCTTCTTCGCTGGACTGGGTTTGTCGACATCCATATGTTCCAAATCGGCAGTTTGCGTGGAATGGGGTCGTTTGGCAGGAGGGTCGTGAGATTGAGTTGGGGCAGCTGGTTTCTTAGGCGAAGGGCGGGACACGGGTGGTGCGAAAGCTGCAGAGAAAGTTGGTTTCGGCTTGGCCTTCGAAGGCGATTCTGAAGAGGTCGGTCTAGATTTGGAGGGTGATGGAGCTCTTGGGGTGAAGGAGAACGGTGTGGGAGTGGTGAGTTTGGGTGCATGTTGGGCAGTTGACGTCGAAGGTTTAGGATTTGCATCGGGAGGGGGAGGACGGAATACGGACGAAGAAAGGGTTGGAGTGGTCAAAGGGGCTGTCACTTGTTCAGGTTCGGCGCGCTGTTGAGGGTCCAGAGAGTGGCGAGGAGTTGGCTGAGCAACGGCACCAATGTTACCGTATACTTCGGATTCGTCCATGTTGGATTCCTGATAGCCTGTGCTCATACGCGAGTTTGCCCCAAGGCTCGCGCGGCCGAGAACCTGGCTAAGATTAAGAGTCTTATTACCATCGTTTCCTTCGTCGAAGCTATCTTCCGTACTCGTAAAGCTCTCATCGTGGGTCTCTTGTAGTGGGACTTGGATCAGGGGCAGAGAGTCTCTCGCGCGCCGCAAGCGAGCCATGGCGTTATCTAGATCCATTTCGTCCTCTCCATGAACATCTTCTGAGGAAGTGTCCGGGTCCGTAGGTTCGTTGCCTGAGTGGGTCATCTGCTTCAGGGCAAGCCACGCTTCGTCTTTCTCTGGTGGAGGTCGGAGAGATTGTCCAAGAGGAATTGTAAATTCCATAGCCTGCGACTCCTCCGACATGGCTTCTGATGCGCCTTCAGACTGAACCGACTCGTTGCCAACATCGGAATGCGATTCATTGGAGTCTTCTGCTGATAGTTGGGCGAGAGGCTGGCGAACACCCATTGATAGAGAGCGCTTCCGAGCAAAATCACCGTGGATGGCCTTCGTGACATCCATGTCATTGGCACCATAGGATTGGTCGTAGTCGAAGTCGTCGAATTCTTCATCGAGGATGGCTGAACCTCGTTGGAACCCACCAGGTGCTATTACCGTAGTCAAATCCATATCTTCGCTGCCTGCCATCGAGAAACGAGCGGAGCTGCGCCGTGGACGAGAATTCTGACCCGGATAGTCGTTCTCGTCAGTTGGCCCTTGTGAGGGTGATGATGCCTCTGGGACTGAGCTTGGAGAAGACTGGGGTGATCCGGTGCTGTTGGTATGGTTGGGCTCAAACATGCGCACATGAGAGTGGCTGGCAAAGCTAACGCGTCGTCCGAAAGATTTACGGGAACTGTTATCGTGAATCGGTGCTGTGAAATCCATGGTCTCCTCCATCGAGCCTGTGGCATCGTCGGTTGACTGGGATTGCTGAGTTGAAGGTTGAGAAGAAGATTCAAGATTGAGTACGTTGACGGACGCCTTCAGAATACTCTTTCTAGGAGCCTTAGAGAGTCGGAGGCATGGATGTTTAACCAAAATAAACGAGGCACGAGAGGAGAGTAACGCACCAATGATCGTCGTGCCTTGGCTAGAGGGCTTAAGGACGCCCCAGGAACTATACTGTGTGCTCTCCGCCTATTCTTTGGGACCAGCGAAGGCAGATTCTGGTTGGGAACCGCGATAGACTTCCGGCGATTGGGTGATACTTTCTTGACCATGGTGGTGGATCAGCGAATTAGGGACCTGAGGGGAAATCAAGAATAAAGAATAAATCAAGAGGTGTCGTCGATATATGTTGATGAGTAAGATGAGAGGGCAAGCGAAGATTGGGCGAACAATGGGTGGGGGTCACCGTTGAAGTCGCCAAAATAAACAGACGCGTTCTGGATACTCGCACGTGCAGCACCAACATGACGCCGTCATGTGACCGCACACCGTGTTTGCCTCGCGTCGCTCCACTTCCCGATCTGGCAGTGGCAATCAAAAGTTCCTGCTCAGCCACCAACCATGTCCAGCAAGCCCTCCGCGGCCACTAGAGCCTCCTCTCGCACTAAAACGGCGTCCTCAACTGTCCCGACGACCACCAGGACCACAAGAGCGCGCGCAGCCAAGACCACAACAACGCCTGCTGAAGCCCCTGCTCCTGCTGCAAAGAAAGCCACCCGGAAGCCCCTCGTTAGCAAGGACAACTCCATTGACGCACCTATGCCTCCGGCTAAAGGAAAGACCAAATTTGCACCCACTAGGAAGACAGCAAAGCAGGCCAATGTCGAATCCGAGCGCGAGCCGATCATGGTAGGGACACTCTTGGGTCAACTGTTTGCTCGTGACTGACGCGGTCTCAGGCATACCTTCGAATTCGACCCCGTATTGGAGAAGAAGACCCAAATTCAATCCCTTATCTTACTCCCCTCTCCGACACGATGGTCAACATGACCGATCCTCAAGACCCCCAGAACGCCAGATCGAAATATAGGATATCCACCGTACCACCATCTTCGATCTACACTTTCTCCCATGTCTTCCCTCCGAACACAACACAGCTGGATTTTTTTACGAAAACGACACTTCCTCTAGTGCAAGACGTCTTAACAGGCCAGAACGGGCTCCTATTTACCTACGGCGTTACGAACTCAGGCAAGACCTACACCGTTCAGGGTGGAAAGGAAGAAGGAGCAGCCGGAATTCTGCCTCGTTCTTTGGATGTCATCTTTAACAGCATAGAAGGTCTACACGGAGACGGAAGAGTGAGTATCGAACTATATTATTGCCTCTATTATGATCTAATCCTTCGGTACAGTACCGACCTGTCCGCTTGTACGGGGTCGAGCTTGCAGATGACACAGATTCGAAAGCACCTCCGACCATGCCCGAGCCTGCGATTGTTGAAGTGCTTGGCTCTCTTGATAATATGGCAGAACTGGAATTTGACGTGGATCCAACTATTGTCAAAGTCGACCGGAACTACGAGTACACTATTTGGATCTCATACGCAGAGGTTTACAACGAGAAAGTCTACGACCTTTTGGCTTCGGTCAAAGGTGACTCTGGTACCCGTGTAGCTGGTGCTGCTCGTCAAGCTGGTAAACCTCTCCTGCTAACGCGACAGGCTCTGCCTTTGAGACCGTCGCCACCGTCGGACACCAATGACACAGAATCCTCTGGCAGATATATTGCGGGCCTCCGACAATTCCGTGTACATAGTGCTGCTCAGGCGAAGGAGTTGGTTAAGTTAGGACAACTCCATCGTCGCGTCTTCGGCACTTTGGCGAATCGGGAGAGTAGCCGTAGCCATAGCATGGTTATCATCAAAGTGGTAAGAGGCCATCGAGGAGAACGAGATGTGAGTTTTCCGAACATCTCCCACTCATAGCCTCATACTTACAACGTCGGGATAGGACCCAACTGCTCTTCAGATATCCAGGCTGACACTCGTCGATCTTGCTGGTTCCGAACGAACAAAGCACACACACACAACAGGAGACCGACTGAAAGAGGCGGGAAATATCAATAAGTCGCTAATGGTTCTCGGTCAATGTATGGAGGTCATGCGTTCCAACCAGCGCAAGCTTGCCGTCAGCCTGTCGTTGGACGACAAAGACGGTCGCATGGATACTCGCGACGTCAAAAAAGGACTTTCAGTCGTGCCTTTTAGACATAGTAAGCTGACTGAAGCACTCATGGATTACTTCATCGCAGACGGAAGAACGGTTGGTTCTCTGATCGTTATAATCGGCCCATTCCGCTAAATTCTTTCCCTCTTCTAGGTGATGATTGTCAATGTCAACCCTTACGATACTGGCTACGACGAGAACTCGCATGTCATGAAATTTGCCGCTCTTGCTCGTGAAGTATATACCACTCCAGCCCCAGCCCCTGTTCAACGAGTTCCTGCCACTGTTGGCCCCGGAAAATTGCACGGAAACAAGATCAAGAACCTTGGTCCTTTGAGTTTGAGCGATCCTGAAATTATACCTTATCCATACTCAAGGAAGGTCACAATTTCTGTTGGTAACAAAGGCGGAAAGAAACCTGTTGAAGCTATCTTGGAGGTTCGAGAAGGTCAGATGTTCCTCAGATCCATGGTCCAGTTCTGACTATGGTCGCTTTAAAACAGAGGATGAGCCGCAGGACGAAAAAGATAATGACGAAGATGATGGTTATCCCATCAACCCATTGGTTGATGCCCTATTCGATGAAGTCGAGAGTCTGCGGATGCAGGTGAGCTCATGTCCTTGATACAGACATGGCGACGTTTGCTAAATTTTGATCCATTTAGTTGTTCGAGTCCGAAATGCGATGCGCCGTTATTGAAGCCGAGACAAGAGAAGAGGTCACGCGAGAGATGGAGGAGCGAATGAGGACAATGGAAGCCTTATATTCGAGGAGGATGATGGCGGAGGTATGCTCTGACATTTTTGAATCATGCTTGCAGACTAACTGGAGTGGTAGTTTGAACAGAACGAACTCAAGACAGATGCGAAAATCGACATGCTGCACCAGTCAGGCCTGTTTGGAAGCCCAGCAAAGGCAAATCGGCGACCTCTTGATCAGGACGAGATGTCGGAGGATGAGGAGGACGTTGAGATGGTATGATTTTGTAATTACTCGATGGATATTATGTTTGTCGAATCCTGGCTTGTCTAGGTTCAATACGGGGACGATGATTCGGACATGTCCGTGGAGGAAGGGCATAGCCGTGGAAACTCCCCGTCACCGTTGGCGAAGAAGAGCAAGCTGCCGTCGACATCAAAGTCTCCGAGAAAGTCTAGTGTTGCTCCACAACTTATCATCGAGAAAAGGCAATTCATTCCTGATCCTCCGATGCTCCCTTCGGATACAGAGGACGCAGAGATGACAGAGACTGAGTGTACTGAAGATGAAGAGACGAGCAGCATAGCGCCGTCCGGTGCAACAGCGAGCGAACCAGCAGACGATGGTGAAGAGGAAGAGGAGGAGGACTCGACTGATCCAGACGATGAAGATTACTCTGAACCTGATGACGAAGATGACGAAGAGTGGGAAGAACCAGCGTATTCGAAGACGCCCAAAGGAAAGAAGCGAATTGTCATCTCGCCCAGCCCCAGTCCTTCACCCAAAGTTACGAAAGCCGCGGAACCATCAACTGTGAAGGGCCCTGCAAGGAATGCTAGAGTATCAAAGTTGGTACAGGAAATGGATCGGCTGGGCCTTAAAGATGCATACACCGCAGATAACTCGGTTGCCATTCTCCCCAAGAAGGCTTATAGGAAATCTCAAGCCTCAACTGTAGCAGCATCAAGTATAGTCACTGCTGATGACGAGGCTGATGAAGACGACTCAGACCCCTTCGAGCTCTCGGTTGTCAAGAAGAAGAAAAGGTGTGGGCTCTATATTCTTTCTGAAAATAACCGAGGACCAACCGCGCATATTTTACAGACAACTTGGAAAGAAACCTATCATGAACGAAGAGGATATTAAGAAGGCCACTCATACAGCAGAGAAAAAGATTGCCAAAATTCAGAGCTCTGGTATCATTCGCCGCCTTCATAGGTAACCCAAGTATCATTAGATCTTTTGCATCATTTATGTACTGTACCAACTGCAGGAAATCTACTCATCCATTGTACATTATTTATTTTCAGTCGCGTCGCGACGCGTCCAGCCTGTTGGGCGTGACCGCGTTCCTGACGTGCCTGCGCCCTGCAAATAACGCGTCAACAAAGCCATATAATTAGGTTCCGTGAGACCCTTGGTGACGGTCTTCTCCTGACCACCACGTTCTTGTTTACCATGCCCAAAGCCACGTCAGACGACATCGAAAGCACTGAAGAGATGCTCGCAACAAGAGCGACCACCACTATACGCAAGTCTTCTCAGACCGTGACCAAGGTGTCCACCCTCTCAGAAATGTGGTTGAAGAAGCCGTCGATTAGCACGTCTGCCAAAGCGAAGGCTTCCGCCAAGTATGTCTATAATCTTCTGCGAATTTCGTGTAAAAATGACGCTCGCGTTCATTAGGAAAGCCACAGCTGACGCAAAGGAGGAACCAGAGGCAAGCTCTTCTAAAGCGCGAACGACAGCAGCCGCGGAGGTCGCTCTGCAGGAGAAGGCAATGACTCAGGGTATTTTGGATACCCTTGAGACCGACACCATGGGCGAATCGTGGCTGGAAGTCCTCAAACCTGAGTTCAAGAAGCCTTATTTTACGCAGGTGCGCACCTTAATGCCATGTTCAGCCACGCATTTAAACCTGAACTGGGTCTCGCTTTGCCAGCTCAAGAAGTTTTTGACGGCTGAAAACGCGTCCCAAACTATATACCCCCCAGGTATCTTTCTCTTTTCCTGAGATACCCTGTCTTAACTGCTCTCAAGCCGCCAACATCTACTCATGGTCGAGATTGACTCCCTTGGACCAAGTGAAAGTTATTATCCTAGGACAAGTCAGTTTTCACCGACCTTTATGGTCATTATTTTCACGCCTGATGCCTACTAGGATCCATATCATAATCAAGGACAAGCTCATGGTATGTCAAGCAATACTTAGCCTCGAATCCTCTCCGACAAAATTCAGGTCTTTCCTTCTCTGTGCTCCCGCCAATGAAGCCTCCTGGGTCGCTAAAAAATATCTACAAGCAACTCGAAACAGATATTCCTACTTTCAAAGCCCCAAAATCCGGGTTTGTTCCATATTTGCAGGGATGAATGATATCTCATTCGCTCTCAGGGATCTTTCGCCAATAGCCAAGCAAGGCGTCTTGTGGCTCAATACCAGTCTAACAGTACGAGCACACAAAGCCGGCTCCCATTCTCGTAAGGGCTGGGAGACGTTCACAGCTCAAGTTATTCGCGCCGTATTACAGCGAGAAGACGAAGACTCCGGTGTTGTCTTTATGGCTTGGGGCCTCCCTGCACAGAAGACACTTGCAAGCATCGGGATCAACAAGGTGTGTAGTACGATTCAGAGCAAACATGAGGACGATTCACTGACAGGACCTTGCAGAAGAAGCATCTCTATCTCGAGTAAGGATTTTTTCATCCGCTGGTCAGTAAATGTGTGATAACATTCGTCTAGGTCTGCCCATCCATCACCCTTGTCAGCTCATAGAGGCTTCTTGGGGAATGGCCATTTCCGCAAAGCAAATGAGTGGCTGGTGCAAAAATATGGCAAAGAGGCTGTGATTGACTGGACGGTCATCAGTGCGAAGTGATGCCCTTCGGGTCGTTGAACACGCATTTTGCTAATATAATTTATATTTCATGTATATACTTCAGCCTCCTTGGTGCATGTATAGATTATCGATACCACTACCTACTTTCCAACTACCTAGATCTCCACTTTGAACCTGACTCCCAGATTCCGTAAGTTCAGGTATAACTATGTATCTACTTCAAGTGGCCGCCATTCAGCAGTCACTTTCAACTCTCCACCGGGGCAGCCACTGAGTGGCCACCACTCCCGTCCGTCCTCTGCAGCTAGCAGCTCTTGTAGAGGGACTGAAATGTGTCCATAGATAGCCGACGTTTTGGAAGATTCGCCATCAACAATTTTCAGGACGACTGTTGAGCTCCTGTTAAAGCACAGGAACTCAAACGTTGAATTCCACATAGGTGGATCAATGAAATACGACGGCACGGTCTGATGGATGAGAGGGCTATTCCATCCCAAACTAGTGGTGACGGAGAGCTTGATTGGTTGCTCAGAGTACAGGTCCCACTTGAAATCCCTAACTTCTTGGATATGTAGGGACACGATCCCAGTTTCTAATGATCTGCTTAGGCATTTTGTGAGGGCGAGATGTAAGACACCTACTTGATGAAGGTGGCTTCTCGTAGGCCATGCTAGCAGGGTAATAGAAAACATCAAATAGTACTGTCCCCCTTGGACTTCTAGAATGCTTGACTATGGTCCTCTCTTCTCCGATTTTCTTCATGTCACCGTCCAGATAGTAGAGGGGAAACGTCGCCTGTCCTATCAGACTCGGCTGGACGATTTTGTGATGATTCATGACTTCTAATTCGAGACGCTCGTCTAGAGAATATACCAGAAGGTATCTCGGTTCATAAAACCAATTGGCAGAATATCTGCAATTTATGGAGTTAATCCGAGCAACCGCTACAGCGTAGTGACCATGCATACGTTCGATCTTTTGCGGGGGAGATGGTCACGACTTCCTCCCGACCTTGAACTCGAAGGCGAACGAAGGGCCGTGGCTTTAAGAGCTTGCTTTGAATGTTTGCTGCCTGTATCACGACGCAAACGGCACCGATAGCATTTCTACGTGGGGGGATGTTTGATGGGATGCGTTCATAGGTGTTGGAACGGCGTTTTCGTCCAAAGCAGCCAAAGAAAAGGGAGTGCAGGAAGCCAGCCTGCCATGCAGTTCGATCGAAATCACCATCACGAACTTCGAAGAGATGATTAAACGTACCATTAGAACTGTCCTTTTAGAAGAGATCGAAGGCAGAAATGTTTTCTAACTGTCAGTCCTATGCGGTGTCTTGCAAGAACAGCCTGAGGATGGTGGTAATGTCTTGTGGCTGAAGCTGTACCCTTTCAGAGGGGCTAGGATGACATCCATTACGGGTCGTGTGGACCTCGATGTAGCCATGAGGTTTGCAGCTACAATTCACCTCGTTGTGGAGACAGTGGGTGTACGGAGCAGGTGAAGGAAGTATTTCCGGTTCCGGAGTTTCCAGTTCAGGGTGATCCGGCGTTCCAACTCATCATCTCCTTCCCTTTCCGCTGCCACCAACTTCCAAGATGATACCCACCCCAGATCTATCACATCTCACAAGCCAGGACTATGACCAAGTTTACGAACCTGCTGGTCCGACTTTGGACTCCTCTTTCCTGCAAAACCACTGACCTTCGGGCTTAGAGGATACATTTTTACTTCTAGACGCCCTTGAAGAAGACGCGAAGAATCTGAGAGATATCAACGCATGTGTTTGCCTGGAAGTAGGGTATGGAGCTTTCTCGGTCCCCAAAGAATAAAATGTTAACGAGCCTAAAGTTCAGGATCAGGCTGTGTCTCGAGCTTTATTGGAAAAATTCTTGGCCCTTCCGTACGTGCGTTTTCTCGTCGTTCCATTCCGTACTGGTAGGATTGACCCGAGCTTCTAGTCTACCTATGCACCGATATAAACCCTCATGCGTGCAAGTGCACTGTTCTGACCGGAAAACAGAACCATATTGACCTCAACGTGGTTAATGGTTCCCTGGTAGCACCTTTCGGTACCCGCCTAGCCAATAATGTTGACGTCCTCTTGTTCAACCCACCTTATGTACCGACGTCGGAGGAAGAAGTATCAGATGCGCAGCTATCCCGGGAGCTAGGTGGATCATGGGCGGGGGGTTCTGATGGTATGCGAATAACCAACGTGTTATTGGGCCGTGTAGAGGTATGCATATCGCTCCGTTTCAGGAGCGTTATACCTACATCAATCGTAGGGCTTGTTATCCCCAGAGGGTCGTTTCTACCTCGTTGCCTTGAAGCAAAACAACGTCCCCCAAATAGTTGACACCATGCGCCAAAAATACGGGTTCTTAGGCGAGGTATGCCTACCCTAGCTCCACGATGGCAATCCCTGACCAGTTCCAACAGGTCGTGCTACAACGCCGAGCAGGGCGTGAACATTTGTTTATTATTCGCTTTGTCCGGGAAAGTAAGAACTCGAGCTCATGAATATGTTAGACTGGCAAGAAATAAACGGAGACAGTGTGATTCGAGATTTTTAGGCGTGCACAGCAAACAGAATGATAACTTACTAAGTACTAACTGAATGGAAAAGTCCGATGCATACATGAGAGGTAAATGAAAGTTGAGGGTCTTTTGAAAAGAAAGATATATCATGAAATGTTCATCAATCGTCGCTGTCAGCACCAGGGCGTCGTCCGCGAAGACTGAACCTCGACGGGCTGGGCATACTGAGTGACATCGTCCTATTCCCATCAGCATGAATAGACGGAGTGCTGCGGCTTGGATTTGATGAAGGGTCGAATTCCAGGCGCAGGCGCAGCTGACCAGCTTGTCTCAGTTCAACGAAAATATCGCGAGAAGATACGCTGTCCGCCCTGATGTGGCGCCAAATGTCGACCTCGCCTTCAGCAAGTTCCTTGTCCTTTCCGAGCGTTTTGTGATCGTGAATCCAGAAGTAGAGTTTTGGTGTCAGGGTCGAGGCAGCAAACAGGAAGGATTCGTTCCTGAGAGAAACGTATCAGTACGTGAACAATATCGCAGAAACAAAAACGCTCACCATTCCGGAGCGGAAGTCTTGCCTGTATGCTTGGTTTTGTATTCCTTGTCACCAACTCGGATCGTGGCGTAAGGCTTGACGTCGGTGTGGGTGAAGTCCTTCACATCCAGCACAGTGACCCTCAGCGAACCAGGCTCAGTTGATGGAGCATTGACGTTTTCGGTCGACGGGAAGCTTGCATGTGCAGCAACCATATGGTCGGACAATCCGGCTGGTTGAGAAGCCTGGCCTTGGGGAAGTTCTGCAGGTACAGCTGGAGGGGAATCCTCATCCTGGTCCTTGTCTCGTTTGAACACGCCGGCAACACCGTGGAAAACACCTTTGCCAGCATTGATAGGCAAACCGCCGATAGTTGTCATAGCACGACCAGCGGTTGAGAAAGTCGATGTGTTCTTCCTCGACTTGGCGATAATTTCGGGCTGGAAGACTAGCCGCAGACGGACTTGTCCTTTCTCCCCGTGTTTCGTGTGGGACAAGTTGACCAGGACCTCTTTGGCCTCGAATGGTTCGATATCGGCTATATCTATGCTCCCTGAACCCAAAGACTTCGATTGCTCAATCTGATTCCAGTCAAAGACTTCAACGGAGAAGTCGGCAGCAACTCGTGAAGGCTGGCATAGGGTTAAGGGACAACCTATGCTTGTGAAAAGACAAAAGACGTACCACAGAAACCTCAAACTGCTCGTTCCATTCAGGGGTGAGAGTCTTTTTCTTCGTTTGAGACTTGAAGACTTTTTGGCCATTCAAAGAGAAGACGGCGAATGGGTCCGATTTGCCTCCTCTATCGACACCGCGGATTTCGCGACCGTCAAGAAGGTCAACACGAAGAATACCCTGGTCTGACAAAGAGTTAGCACAATTCATTACGCCGCCTACGCCAAAATGACTTACTATTGACGCTTTCCCTGGCTTCCAGTTTGACAGGAACGGGAATGTAGCGAGCCTCAATCACAACAGTCGCCTTGGCCTTCTCTGGCTCATCTTGCTCTGTCAGAGTATACGTTTGAGGAGCAACCTAAAGTAATCCGTCAGCAAACCAACGTTAACAGAGTACGTGGAAATAGGAAACGTACCATGGTAGCCTGCAAGAACGACTTGGCATCCCCCTTCCACTCAGCGATGATGTTGTCCTTCTCATCGCTCTCAGCATCGTCCAAGCGAAGCCAGACACGACCGAAATCGACCTCCTTGATGAAGCCTTCACCGACGTAGTCCCACTGCGCGTGTGTGCTCCGAGATTTGACGGTGCTGAAGCACGGCCAGTAGCCATCATCGAGGAGGACCTCAACACGGGCTTTCTTGGGGAGCTGGCCGGAGATGACATGGAAGACGATGATACCAGATTCTGAAGAGCAAATGTCGATAAATCAATCAGAAACGTAGGAAGGGGGGGCTTTGAAACTTACGATGCGTCAACAGTTCCTCGTTGCTCATTTCAATCCCGTGCTCAGCCGTTCCATTGGTGCCATTAGGAGGGGTCACGCTCATCGGCGAGTCAGACACAGGGGAACCCTTCGAACCACTCGAACCAGCACTGGCAGCTGTATGCGTCGTCTCGGTCGTATCTGTGGACTGCACCTTCTGGTGATGATGCTTCGAATGCCTCTTCCCTTTGATCGTCACGTCCTTCGGGATATCCTCATCTGACGAGGACGACTCGCCGTCCGTAACGAGGCCTTCGTCGTCGCTATGTTGCTGCCGTTCGGTGAGCTGCTTGACTTGGTTACCGTGCGAGTCGAACTTGACGTTCTTAAGGTCCAGCGCAGGAATGAACTCGGCAGTGTAGTGGAGGGTGCCCTTGTGTGTGCCACCATCGATACGGAGCGGGTCGGCGACTGCTTGACGTCCTTTGGATTCGTAGGGTAGCGAGGGTCGTCGGACTCAGCGGCAAGGTCCGTGACATGCAGCTCGGTGAAACCAAGACTACGATCGCGAGTGAGGTGTTGATAGTCCATACACTCGAGCAACATATTCTGGAGAATAGTTTAAACATCGAAAGACGTGAATAGTAAGACCACGCACCTCTCTCAACGAATGCACAGGAATGTAGATGATCTGGTCCCAGACAGGGTTGAGATCTATGCAAAGTTCATAAGCCATTCTCTAAAAAAAATCAGAAGAGACTCACTATTGTTGATAACCTCCGTCCTAGCCTTGGTCACATTCTGCACTTGCACGCGAACATACGGATCGCTCTTGCCACCAAGAGCAGCCTCGACGTTCCTGCCAACCCATCTATCAGCAAAACGACCTTCCTGAAACACCCACATAACACGCACTTGACATCAACAGCCTTATCAATGACTAGCCTGACCACGCCAATCGGGGGCTTGTACTGGTCCGAACCGTGCAGCGCGCCAGCCATGGCCAGTGGTTTGAATTCCGCCGAGAGCCGCAGCTTGCCTTGCTTGCACCCACTAAGAGGGAACCAGTCGCGTCCTTCGCTCGCCTTGGCGTGTATGAGGTCCGTGAGTTTGATCGACATATATCCAATGACGGGGTCCTTGAGGAAGTCACGATCGTCGACGACCTTGACAGTGATCGTGGCCTTCTCCTTGTCCGTGCACAGGAACTCGTACGGTGCCTCCCAGACGGGGCTGGTCGTGTGCTTGAAACATGGGGAAGAGAATGAGGACGACGAAGATTGGTTGATGTACACCTTGGCGAAAGGGTTGAGGTCACCAGAGAGTGACTTGCCCTGGTCGAGTTCTTTCGCCTGGTGGAGGACCAGACGGACAATGCCAACAGCTAGAAATGAAAATCAGAGCTAGTTGCTATACACATCCACGGACAGACGCACTTGAATCCAGGACTTCCTCCTTGCCTTCCTCAGGTTCCAAAACAGGGAAGTAGTTGACGTCATAGCGCAGTTCACCACGCTCCTTTCCGTCCTTCAAAAGTGGAGAGACGATATCCTCCTGGGTCGAGTCTTCCTGCAGCTTTCCAAGATCGAACTGAGCAGAGCTCATCAAGGTGTTCTTGCGATGGTCATTGTAGTCATAAAGACTGAGGACCAAAGTTTCGTGCAGCGAGTTGACCAGAATATATTTCGTCTCCATCCAGGTCGGGTTGTACGTGTTCGACTTGTATTTCGTCCGCGCGAGCTCTGCACGGTTGTTGATTGAGAGACTGACGTAGGGATCGGGGGTACCACCACCGATTTTCGTTCCCTTGATTCCACGCGCAGTACGGACGACGACCTGGACGACACCAATAGCTGCATCAAGGGGTTTGCCGGACAACATCTGTTCGAGGTTGAGCGTGAAGATGTTCGGGTCATACATCATCGGCCCCAGCGTCGCGTGTGTCATCTCCCGAATGAACGTCGACAGTCCAGGCAGCTGTAATTACGATCGCAAGGTCAGCACACACGCTCTCCGAAGCACCTTATCGCACTCACATTCGCAATATCCAAGCCAAACGTATCACCGCCCAGGGGCTTGAGCACGAAATCGATATCCGGCTTCTCCAAAAACGTGATGTCCACCAGCTGGATGTGCGGGAAGTTGGACATGAGCTTCATGCGGATGCGCAGGAGGCCGGAGAACGAGATGTCCTCGACGAGGATGGGCAGCGCGGCGGTGGCGAGGCCCTTGCCCACGCGCACTTGGAGTGTGATCTTCGGATTGACCTGGTCGTCCTTCTGCTTCTGCGTCATCTCCGAGGTGTCCTTCGGGGTGAATGAAAGACCCCAGTCCATCATCACGATATCGTCGTCCGTCTTTGGGAACGTGCGGACCTTGTCGATCCGGGGCGCCTTGCTGCCGAGGGTGAAGTGCGATAGGCGGAGTGAGTCGAGGAAGGCCGGGGTGTTGTAGCTCAGGATCTGGTCGACGGAGGAGACGATGGTCGCGGAGAGGACGGGCTCGTAGATACGCCAGAAGCGCTCGAGGAAGTTGTTCAGCCACTCGGCGGACTCGTGTTCGGAAGCGAGGCGCGTCTTGACGAGCTCGCGCTGGATGTCGTCCCGCGCGTTTCGTCGCATGCGGGTCATTGACGTGGTGTAATACGTGTTGCAGAACGCGAGGATAATAAACAGCCAACCCCATCCAAAGCCGAAACGCGTCAGGAAGTGCGTCGCGAATACCGCCTACACACATAACGAAACAACACCAAAAGCAACGCCCACACCCATCCATCAGCTATCACAAACCAAGTGAGATGGCACAGACACGTACGACGACAATGACAGCAGCGTTATGATACCAGTCCCCATAGAACTGTTCCGCCAAGAACATGTCGAGAACGCCTTTGTCCCTCTCCTCGCCCTCGGGGAGCGGCGGCTTGTCGATGCCCGACGCCTGGCGCCAGCCGACGACGTACCAGTCCGGGATGGCAGGGGCCGCCTTCGTGGGGAGTGCCCCGGGGAGCTGTGCGGCGTCCTCCTGCACCTCCGCGGCGACCTGCTCGGTATCCTTGGCTGTGATCTTGGGCTTCTCACCGTCGCCCATGTCTTCCACCACGATGGTGGGCACGACCGGTGGATTGGATTTCGCGTCCTCCACTTTGAGCATGATTGCGGACGAGGGGGAGAAAGGAGGCTTGGTAGTCAGTGCTTATTCGGAAGTGGTGTGACCCATACGAGGATTAGGCAAGGGTGTCATCGACGGCGCCCATTGCCAGTACGTGATGGGGATGAAATAGAATGAGGAGCTCACCTCTGTTGACGGGTGCATCCTTCGGCTTGACCGAGTCAAGCTGGTCGCGGTTCTTGAGCGCGAGGGCGGCCTTTTCCTGGGGTGTCGCATTGGGATCGAACGAGTACGCAGGCACGCCGCCTTGTACGTCCTGCTTCATCCCTGCATCCACCTGCGCCCCGCCATTCGTTTCGAAAGCGCCAGGCGGCATATGTTCCTCGTCAGTATGCGTGTGTGGGGTTCGAGCCTTGCGTGCGGTGCGTTGGTGTCTGAGACTCGTGCCAGTCAATGAGTCGACTTCCTAAGCCCAAGTGTAGTCAGTGGGGCAGAGAAGCGTGATACGACGAGGTAAAGCGAGGGGTGGAAGAGAGGGGGGTGGAGCAACTCGATTACGAGCTGGCAAGTGTGGTTCGAAGGTAGAGAGCGTGGATGGGGGAGTTGAAATGAATGTGCAGCCTTGCATGCCTGATGTCACCGCACGCGGCTGTCACTCCCCTTTCGGTAGTTCCCGGCATGCCCCTGTCCCGAACAGGGCATTGCTGTGCCCGCTCGGAGGCAGATGCACCCGAAAGGGCAGGACCTCAGCCATGAGCTCGCTGCGCAGCGCGTCATTGACGGCGCCAAGGCAGTGGGGATACTTGGACTCGGGGGACCCTCAGATCTGAATTTCTTACTCTATTGTCACAGCTTGCAACTAAAAATACGCCGTAGTCAGTGCGTATAAATAAAGGAGGCCCTATCGACGCTCTAACGATAGATTCAAATGAACTGGTGGGATCAGAGGCGCGCAGCGGCGCTGCATTTTGGCTATTTGCTCGGACAGCTCGCTTTTAGTCGCTGGTAAGTATATCGTGTGCTAGTACTTGGCGTCATCCGGAGCATTTCTCAACGCCACCCCTCCGCCACCGACAATTCGACGCGTCCGAACCGACCCTCCATCACGGCATCAGATGACGTCTCGTTCAAATCCTCTGTCATCCTCCATACCCTATGTTCCACTTCCACGTCCTCCGCTTCTACGTCGTTTTGTACCGTTGCTTGTTGGCAGTGCACCACACATCCTGAAAGCCGGGAGATAAGCACCTGCGCCACGGCCCCTTGGCGCGCATGCCAGGGAGTTCCAGACCCAGACCTCAGAGATACATGCTGCATGAAGTGTACCTCGGAGCCGGACGGAGGAATAGAACGTGTAACCGTCGGCGTTTGAACTTTGAAGAGGGCATGGAGGTGAGGCAGGAGAGAAAGCCCTCGGAGTTCCCCGAACGTAATTCCCACACACCGTTCACGTAACGCATTGCACAAGTTTGGCTACGCCCTCTCCCGTTGTGCCGAGCCGAGCTGCAGGCTCCTGCCATCGACGATCGTCATTGCTCAGTCTTTCAAGCTCAAGTGTTTCAACTCAAAGGCGACCTACAGGCACAGATCCAACACTATCTAATCCCCGACTACTGCTACTCGTACACCCGCACTGGCAAGTAATGTGATGAACCCCCCACCCTCCCTACGCGACCTCTACGCCGGACCCTCCGCCTCCCAGCCCTGGTCTTTCTCCCCTCCCTCAAGCACCAACTCAACATCAATGCCTCCCTCCCTCCCTTCCGCACCCACCCTCTCCCCCTCTCTCCCAAGAACCCCCTCCCTCCCCTACCAATGGTCCACCCGGCCCTCCCACAACTCCATCTTCGACCTCTCGCCGACGCTCGACCTGTCCGAGCCGAGCGGGGTCAACGCGGCGCAGCTGATGAAGGCGCTCATCGCATCCGCGGTGCTGCAGTACACGAGCACGGCGATCGTCATGCCCTGGGAGGTCGGCAAGCTGCTGATGCAGGTGCAGTGGGTGCCGAGAGACGCAGGGGAGGTGGAGGAGGCAGACGGGGAAGTAGACGGGCAGGGTGAAGGTGCGGAGGATGTGGTAAGTGTTTTTTGGTTGGTGATTGAAGGGATGAGAGGAACTGACGAATGGGTAGTTGAGCGACGACGATACGTCCGAAGGCGACTCGTACTTTGCCGACCCCGGTGCAATACCGGCCACACGCCCGCCTGTGCCCCGCACGAAGGTGGATGACCATGGGCATGTCGTCCGGCATTCTGTGCTCGAGGAAGGGTCGCGCCCCGAGTACATCATCCCCGTCGGGAGCGCAGACGGCGTGTGGGGGATGATGAAGCGTGTGGGCCGGTTCCGTTCAGAGGGGTGGCTCGCTTTGTGGAAGGGTGCGTGTCAAAGTTTCTTGTTTATTTTGTACTGACTGATACATGCATTCTTTGCTGCCCGCTTTGTGTGCTACACAGGCCTGCTCACATCCTGTGTAACCGAAGTGCTGAGCGACACGCTCCAACCTCTGATCAACGGATTCCTGCAGTCGTTGTTCTTTCCTTCAATGTCTCCGTTCCATCAACCACCCATCGTTCTTCCTGTGGCGTCTCACCTGATAACAGGGTTCCTGCTCTCGCCTCTGGACCTCATACGGACGCGTCTGATCATCCAGTCATTCACGACGCGCTACCGGACGTACACCGGGCCCATCGATGCATTCAAGCAGATCCACCGAGATGAAGGCGGGCTGCACGGGATGTACATGCATCCGCAACTGCTCATTCCTGCACTACTAGACAATGCGCTACGCCCTATCGTCGCACTCGCCCTTCCCGGCATGCTCACAGCATACTTCGGGTGGGGGCACATTACAGAAGATACTCACCCGATTGGGTGGGGTCTTGCGGAGCTCGGGGGGAGCTGCATCGGGTTGCTGGTCACGCTGCCCATCGAGACGATCCGGCGGCGTCTGCAAGCACAAGTGAGAGGGACAGCCCAACCAATCAAGGCGGCGGTGGAGCTGCGTCCTGCACCGTACAATGGAGTCGTGGACGCGTTCTGGCACATCCTAACGGAGGAGCGGTCCGACCTGCCGATCGCGCGGAGTACGACGCGGAAGAGAAGGAGGATGTCGGTGAAGGGGAAGGAACGGGCTGAAGATGGTGCGGAGGCGGCGCAGGCAGAGGGTTCGGAGGAGGGCCGAGACGAGTACCAGAGCTGGTTCCGGCATACCGGGCTGGGCCAGCTGTACCGGGGCCTCGGGATGCGCG